AAGCTGCTTGTTTATATTAATAAAATGTAATAAACTTTTGTGTTTTCATTCTGCAAATAACTCAAATCTTACCATCTGTATTTGAGTCATTTTTAGTCCGAGTAAATCACTTCATTTTCATCAGACAAGTCATCTTGTCTCAGGATATTTATTTCAGGATAATACAGGGGTATGAATTTCATGTAAGGAAAAAAAAGCCCCTGGAGCATAGGAGGTAAAATATGTTTTAAGTCTCTTGAAGTAAAATGTAAAGTCTAACCCTCAAAAACTTAACAGGAACTTTTTTTGGCATTACTGGCAGCTCAGATCTCATTTTTTTCATGTTTTATCAGTCGGGTAAATGTGACTGATACATGTGTAATCAAATCTTTTTGATAGCTATTGGACAGTTTGACTTGAAAGTGGGGTAGCGGAAGGTTTTATTGGCACTTAAACATGTAGATAAGAGAAGATAGGGGTTTGAATTAGTTTTACTTTTTTTCCTTGTAATGATGATAAAAAGAAAATATACAGTACAGGCCAAAAGTTTGGACAAACCTTCTCATTCAATGCATTGTCTTTATTCTCATTACTATTAAATTGTAGATTCTGAGTGAAGGCATCAAAACTATGAATGAACACATGTGGAATCATGTGCTTAAGAAAAAACTGTGAAATAACTGAAAACATGTTTTATATTTTAGATTCCTCAAAGTAGCCACCCTTTGCTTTTTAGATAGTGCTGCAAACTTTTGCTGTTCTCTCAATGAGCTTCATGAGGTAGTCATGAAATGGTTTTTACTTCACAGGTGTGGCTTGTCAGGGTTACTTCATGACTAACAGAGTCAGTCACTAAGTACTTCTGTCATCAAGAGCAAAGAGTGGCTACTTTAAAGAAACTAGAATATAAAACATGTTTTCAGTTATTTCACACTTTTTTTCTAAGTACAAAATTCTACATGTGTTCATTCATAGTTTTGATGCCTTCAGTAATAATCTACAATGTAAATAGTTACATAAAAAAATAAAGAAAAGACATTGAATGAGAAGGTGTGTCCAAACTTTTGGCCTGTACTGTACATTTTTTTCCTTTCCAGGCTTTATAATGACTCTCTGAACCCCTGAAGTAGTTTCGCATAATTATAGTGTTTTTTGAAAATCCTAAGTTCAGCTTCTTTTAATTTTGACCCACAAGTATATTTTCTTCTGATTGGCCAGAACTCTAGAATCTTTCCCCTTGTTGCCATACCAGGCAGTTGCTGTCAGGAAGCCAATCAGTGTTTTTTTTTTTGTTTTGTTTTCTTTAAATGAGGCTAAATGTTTAAGACCTGGAAAGTTTCAAAAGGGACCAAGAAGAAAACACCTGACAATTACTAACAGAGCAGAACATTTCTGTACTTTAAGTCCAGTGTAGAAAGAGACAGTCTGGCGGCTAGGCAAAGGTGTCTGAAAGTGAAAGGGGTTGATGAGAAGGCCACCATGTGAAAATAAAACAATGAAGACCCATCAGTGCTAAGCAGAAGGTTGTGACTGAGGTCCAGATATTTGAATGATAAAGAAATGTCCCTCAAACGACTCTTAAATGTACTTTTAACTGGGTATGACTGAATAAAAGAGGGACTGATTGAAATATAAATAGTGACCCTGCAAGTGTCCCGCAGTCCTTGCACTAACTTTAAATCTGCAGCTATACTGCAGACAGTGTCTGACTTGAGTGTTGCGTCCTTTTGAGTCTTTTTGAAACTGCGAGTAGATCGAGGGCGTTAGAAGGACTAGTGATGTTCCTGATCTTGGTTCTTCAGTGAATAGAGTGCCTCTAAAACATATAAAAAGACTCAGTTTGTAATAAACTAGAGGCAGGACTCGTACACCTGGTTGTGAATGTTCAGTCAGATAAAGATGCAGTTTGAGTCAAATGAAGAGAAAACATGACTTTTTTCCCACCTTAGAATATGTACATACTTCTCCCTATATTAAAACGTAGAGAGACTTGTGTATGCAGAGCCGAATCTGTAGTCCGCACACATTCCACACTCTCTTGTATTTCACAGAGAAGTTGTCACACTCTGAAATCTTCACCTGTGTGTCACACACTCTCTTGAAGCTGCAGATAAGAAAGATTTTCGCCTCAACCTTCCTTTTATAAACGTATAATGACAGGCGTGGGTGTTTACCTCTGCACTCGCACGTGCAGCGTCTCTCTCCAAGGTTCAAGCAGACACCAGAATACTCCTCTTTCTCTCTCTGTATTCTCTGTACACCCCCAGCTCATCCCCCTGCACCCCCTGCTCTGCACTCCCTCCTTCCCATCGCTGCAGTGGTAATTGGGTATGACACGGGATCAACAGGGAGAGAGCGAGGATGCATTTGAATGCGCTGAGCGTTGTCTTCCTCACTTCTCTTTCCTAACCTGCTGCCTTCCAGCTCCGAGCCCTCGCTCACCGCTGTTACCGTAGCAACGTCTACAAGACCGCATCCTCTGTCTCCTCTCCTCCACCCCCCGTGTCATTTCTTTTATTAAGATTGCCCGCTGGTGCCCAAATGTGTGTGTATATCGGAGGTGCATAGCAGCAGAGCGTGTTCCAAGCCAATTACCAGCGCCTCAGTACAGAAGTGAAAGCTACAACTCAGGAAGAATCACCCGAGCAGAGAAAATGCAGCCACTTGAGTCAAACTTGTTACATTAAGTCAATCAAGTACATTATTGCACACCTGGGTACACCTCAGAGCTGCTCAAAGAGGGTGTCTCAAGCTGGAGCAGCCACAAAGCTGCTGCTGAAAAGTCCACACAGCTTTGGGAAAACATAAAAAAGCTCCCATGTCTCACTTTTTTTCAAGTCTTAACTTAAACTGGCTCAAGGCTACTGTTGGTACTGTCATCTTAAAGGAGGATAACTCTAAAGGTCAAGTAGCAGCATATATCTAAAAAAGATCTCTTGTTCCCTGTTTTGTTAATTTCTTTTGCCATTTTTTACCTAAAAAAATAAAAGCAATCAGTTTGTATATAGCTGTGCATAACATAACTCCCTCGACGAGCCACTTTGGATTTATAGCACTATTCTCTGAGATTATTTCAGTCATGATGCTTGAGATTAGAGTTTTTACGCAGGTTTATCTTTCCCTTCTATAACAGGAATGTGGCATTTCCACTTATACAATACTGCAAAGTCAATATTTCTTAAGTCCATCCTTCTTTTTTTCATCTTTGGACCTTTGATATTACAAACCCCAGTTCAGTTGATGTTGAACATGAATGAAAACAAGATACAATGGTTTGCAAATCCCTTTCCTACCTATATTTAATTAAATAAACTAAAAATCCAAGATATTTCATGTTCAAACTGATTAACTTTTTTTGGGGGGTTAATATTCAATCATTTTGAATCTGATGCCTAGAACACATTCCAAAAAACCTGGGACACAGTCAACAAAAGACTGGGATAATTCGGGGCTACTCTTGAAACAGCTGTTTGGATCATCCCACAGATTAACAGGCTCACTGGAAACAGATGAGTGTCACGGTTGAGTGTAAAAGGAGCATCCCTGAAAGTCTCAGTCTTTCACAAGCAAGAATGGGGTTCAACATTAAATATCTTGTCTTTGTCGTGTCTGTAATTGAATATAAGTAGAAAAGGATTTGTAAAAGGGAGATGGCTGCAGAGGGAATATAATCTTCTGGTGTCAATCTGAGGAATCCTTATAGCAATCCAAATCTGACTATGACCTGGCTATCAGAGAGTGATGAATCCAGATACTTACCATGCAGATGGTTGTTAAATTACAGAGTGGTGTGCATCTCTGAGTACAGACACAGAGTCAATGCTCTTTGGTGGATGAAATTGTCAAAAGCATCAAAATACAGAGTTAATCTTTAACAATCATGATTAAACATAAAAAAAACCCAAAAAAACTCTTGCATCCAAACTTGAAAGTGTAAACTAGTAAAGTGTAAATCCACCTCACTATTACAGAGTTAAAGGGATATTCTGGCATAAATTTAAGTAGTGGTCAAACACACCACAACACCAGTTACACACCCCCTCAAGATGAATGTTGCAGACTGCTTGCTTCTGTAGTTATATCAACTTCAGCAATGACCGCACAATAGCCCTGACGAGTTGACCGCAGAGTGCAGCAGATCATTTCCATTAAGTAATAATCATCATATTAATAATTCTGCACTGCAGACGCAGTCGTGCTTCTGCCTTAGTGTCTTGGTCTGAGTACATTTCCATGAAGTAATCATCATAAATGTTCTTCCTTGAGCTGCAAAACTCAGCTGCATTTGGTGAGCGACTCGTCAGGTTTGCCCCGCAAACAAGCTGCTGCTGGAGGAGAGTGGGTGAGATGTGTTTAGTCTCTTTGCTAAAGAAATCAGGCAAAGCTAAAAAGATGTTTGGTGGCTAGTTCTGTGGCTGGGACCCTATATGTACTGTTAATGAAGTTAGGTGCTGTTCTGAGCATTATTTGTGGCTATAGAGTGGCTTTTTAGTTAGGGTTTGTGCGTGGAGACGTAGATTGCTGTATATTGCTATTGTGAGGTCGTTAGTAAAGTCGGTATAACTAAGGAAGCAAGCAGTGTAAAATTCATCTCTTCAGGGGTTGTCTAACTCTGTGTTACGGTGTGTTTGACCCATAGACTGTATATAGAATGGACAGAGTCTGCCTCCTCACTGGGTGAAGCCACTCCGAGAAGCACCCTCTGTTGATGGGCAGCAGTATAGGTCATAAATCCCGCCTCCGCCAGCAAAGCTTATGGAGCTGTGGACAAACTTTAGAAATATATTACACAGGATGTACATTTTTCTCCCCCCTGCATGCGGTGTTGACATGTAGTAACAGTATACAGTAATCAGTATACAGTAATCAGTATACAGGCGGAACCGGGTTGTCCATAGCATATACAGTCTATGGTTTGACCCCAACTTAAATTTACGCCTGAATATTCCTTTAATTTGAAGTTGGAAGTTAAACTTTTAGAAGTTACAGCTGAGTGTTATCACACAGTGTTCACAATCATAATAGCATGTCATAGAGGTTAAATTAGACAAAGGAAAAGGCATTTACATTTAAAGAAAAATACAGATGCAGTCAAATAAAGCAGTAGATATAGGAAAGAAAGAATTGACAAACGAGAAAGTCAAAGGATATGAGTGTTTTAATAAAATCACACACTACATCACAGGTTTGGTGGAGTGATTTCATGGCCAGGATTACCTGAGTTTTTTTTTTCCTGTCTTTACAAAAATACAAAACTATAAAACTCAAAAGCAATAAAACTCGATCAGTCCTTCTTTCAGTCAGGGATCAAAACAAGGACGGTCCTAATGCACTGGATTCAATTCATACCTGAAATGATTTCTCCTTCCTTCATCCCAACAAAAGCAGCAGAGGATGTGACAGACTGACTCTCACATTCAGACGATGGAGGAATGACCCTGAATGGATCCTTACAACTCCGATATCAGAAATTCTTTCCGCTGATGTTGTAAAAGGTTGAATAGAAAGTCTGCTCCTTCGGGCCATGAATCTAATATACACTCATTTCTTTTTCAAAAGCTCTCTTGTGTAAAGTAGCTGTGCAGAATAATAAAGCAACTTTAATGGATGATAACTCAGATAAATAGCATAGAAAGAAAGTTTTAAGATCATGGCATTCTAAAAGTAAATCAACTCTCTTACACTTCAAAACAGGAATGCGACATGTACTGCCCTTATGGTGCCAAGGTAAAGAGTCTTCGTCAAATAACTGTTTTACCCTTTTCCTCCCTGTCTTCATACATGGTTGACCAGCAGACTCTAAGAAAAAAGAAAAGAAAAAACACAAATAAGTGTGGGTCCATTTGCACTCCAGCTCCCCCTGTGACCTTTGAGATGCTCTTAGGTGTTTGGACTATTAGAGTTTTCCAGTTTTAATTGACCACAACAGAAAGGTCAGACCGGGTAATAGTAGAGATTATCTTAGAGAAGGAAGGAGGTGGTTTTACTGATTTACTCTGAGCGATGTCAGTAATAAAGGGGTTTCTTCACAGAGCGACAAAGTGCAACTACAAGAGCGGAAATGATGAAGATTTTCACTAAGAACCTGTGCCTGTTGTTCAGCTCTGTTGATGCAGACTGTGAAGGCATTTCTCTGTCAGAACTGGATCAGTATATTCTCTGTAGAACACCGAGAACCTGGGTTGGGTTTTCACAAACTCTGTTTCAGTTTGGACATTTCCAGGAGCAGCGAAAATTTAATTTGTGGTGAAACAAAAGAGAAGTAAATAAATCGCCTTAAACTTATAGCTCCTGTGGGGAGTTTTTAAAGTTTTTTAAATAGACTGAAATTCATATTGATGCTTTTTTTGTAGTGTAAAAAAGCAGACAAGGCAGTGAATGACAAGACTGACATTTTTCATATTCTAATTTTTCATGTCTCAAATCACAACAGAGGGGGTAGGTGTCAGCCAACCAGCGAAAGAAACAGCCCTGTTTCATAATTTCCACATAAAATAGCGATAAAGAATGACACATTTCACAGTAGGATGAGACACTCCTTAAGCATGTTGGGTAGAAGATATCCACAGGGGGCGCCAAACTAACACAAACAGGAACTTTAAAAAAATGCATTTTTCGCAAAGTTGTAAAAGTGTGTCAACAATAGAAAGTGTAAAACGAAATGTTATGAATATAACTTCTGTTCCCTGAAGGAGAGGAACGAGGTACAACACATATAGTATGGGATATCACGCCCTCGCGTGGCCTGACTGAAGACACCTTTATTCACGCCTTTAAGGCAGATGATCTCTGGTGACGTCTGGGAGGCTCCGCCTGCACATATATACGTGTAACACCACAGTCATCCTTCAGTTCGATAGCCGCTCTTCACCGAGCCTAGCTGCGCAGTGGGGCAACCTAGTGTTGTACCTCGTTCCTCTCCTTCAGGGAACAGAAGTTATATTCATAACATTTCGTTCCCTTTCAGTCGATTCACTCGGTACAACACATATAGTATGGGACATATATACACGCCCCACAGAGCAGCCACCGAACCGAAGTCAAACCTCCAAAACTTTAGTGCACTGTAGACCCAGCAGAAAGGACAGAGTGAGCCACTGAAGGGGCTGTCCCACATCCAAACAATAAAACCGAACAAAAACTGTGCGGTGATGATCAACTGGCTGCAGTGCAGATATCACTCACAGAAACCCCTTTAAACAAGGCCTATGAGGCTGCCATTCCCCTGGTTGAATGTGCCCTCACACCTTGGGGCAACGGAAGACCCCTGCTGCCGTATGCTAAGGAGATAGCCTCCACAATCCAGCGGGAAAGCTGCTGTTTAGACAGTGCCCTGCCTTAGGCTGGATTAGCAAAACAGACTAACAACTGGTAACATAAACGCACACTCTGAGTGTGGTCTATGTCAGTACGTAGTGCACGCACAGGGCACAAGGAATGCAACCTCCTCTGCTCCTCAGATGCAAATGGAGGACGGCAGAAGCTCAGTAGTTCAAAACTCATAGAGCTATAGGCTGTGGGGATAATCTTAGGCAAATACGCTGCATTTGGGCGCAATGTAACCTTAGATCCATCCAGAGTGAACTGGATACAAAAGGGATGCACAAAGCATGAAGGTCACCCACTCGCCAAAGCAAGTAGCAGTGCAGTTTTGTATGAAAGAAATTTCATGTCTGCTGACTCAACAGTCTCAAATGAGGTCCACCAAGAGCCCCAAGCACCAACCCTAAATCCCATGAGGGAACACTGGGTCTAAGCACAGGTCTCAGCCTGCGGACTCCCTTTAGGAAGTGCATAGTAAGAGGGTGAGCGCCTGGCGACACACCATCAAAGCCAACATGGCATGCAGATACAGCTGCCAAATAGACTTTAATTGTTGAGAAATAGAGACCCCTATCCAGCCGCTCCTGAAGGAATGTTAAAACATCCACAATAGAACTTTGAAATGGGAGTACATTTCGGTCCTGACATGCAATCTCTACTCTCTCACAAGACGACCCCCCTGGAGAGAAGGTCTGGCCCAAGGTTTAAGTGACCCGGAATATGTGTGGCTCTGAGTGACAGAAAATGAACACTGCACCATAGCAACAGAGAGTGAGACAGTTTTAACAGGGGAAGAGAGCATGTCCCTCCCTGTTTGTTTATGTAGGAAACCATGGTTTTGTTTTCCGTCCCGATCAGAACCTGATGGCCCGTCAGAACCTGATGGCCCGTCAGAACCGGACGAAAATGCCTCAGAGCTAATAGGATAGCTAATAGCTCCAGGTAATTGATGTGGAGCTTGCATTATGCTGGCGTCCACACACCTCTCACTGCTGCGCCCTCGCACAGAGCCCCCCGACCCCTCAGGGATGCGTCTGTGGACACCACCTTGCGAAAAGACACACTCCCTATCGGAGATCCCCGTTGTAGAAAACCGGGTTCTCTCCACGGGAGAAGAGCCGACATGCAAGACGGAGTTATCGTCAGCCTCCTCTGGAGGTGACGCTGCGCGCACAGCCGGTGAGACTGAGTCCAGCGTTGAAACGCTCTCATTTTTAACAGTCCGAGCGGCACTACAGCGATCATAGATGCCATCATGCCTGTCAGCTGTAAAATCGTCCGGAAACACAGTTTGCGTCCCAACTGAAATTGTGAAAGGCAGCGGTGAAACGCAGCCACCCTGCGTTCTGACAGACACGCTCGGCTTGAAACGGAGCATATTTCCAGCCCGAGAAATGATACCTGTTGACTAAGAGTCAGTGAACTTTTCTGTAAATTTACTGAAAAGCCCAGTGTTTGGATGTGCGATAGGGTCAATGACAGCTGAGCCGCTGCTTGCTCTCTGGAGCTCGCGATTAGCACCCAGTCGTCCAGATAGGCTTAGATGCGCACACCTTTCTCCCTTAGAGGAGCCAATGCCGCCTCGACACATTTGGTGAATGTTCGGGGGCGAGTGATAAGCCGAACGGCAGCACCAGGTATTCGTAGGCTATGCCCTCGAATGCAAACCTTAGAAAGTGCCTGTGGTCTGGATGAATCGCTACGTGAAAGTAAGCATCTGTCAGATCGATAGTTGTAAACCAATCTCCCGGTCTGATTTCGCCCAGTAGCTGTCTGAGTGTTGGCATCTTGCACCTGTAAGTTCGTAGGTATTTGTTTAACACTCGCAAGTCAAGGATAGGACGGAGCCCTCCTCCTTTTTTCGGAACAACGAAATAGCGGCTGTACCAACCTTGTTCGTTTCCGAAGCGGGAACAACTCGTATCGCTCTCTTGTTCAACAAGTTGTTTATTTCTTCCCTCAGCACTGCTGTAAACGGTAGCCCATGGCAACGGTTCTCTCTACCCACGGTGAGACTGCGCATGCGCACCACCGAGGGAGACGAACAGTCAGTCGACTGACCTCCAGTACTGTGGGGGAGGGGTTGTCGCCCTCTAGCGTGCCGGCTGGGAACAGCAATACTTTCCCGCCCAGACTTGATTGATTTATGATGTTTTGAGAACAAAACGGAACCTTTATTTGATTCAACGAACGCACATTTGTAACATTCACTCAGTGAACAACAGGCGCCATTACTGGGGCATGTGTGTGAGGGAGGATTGTGCTTGGGAAAACTGTGTTAAGGGAGTGCAGCGCCTCTCGGGACCGGACCCCTGAACAAACATTAAACGCGGCCTCTTCGGCGGCAAAAAATGAAGGGCGGCAGCGTCTCTGCCGGTTTGTGCGGATAACCCTGTTGTTTGGGCCTCGCATCACGCCTGGGGATGATGCTGCTCAAAGCTTCGGTTTGTTTTTTCCTCAGCTCAAACTTAGCCTGAATGTCGTCGAGGGACTGCCCAAACAAACCGCTGGCCGACACAGGCTCGTCGAGATAAACCGCTCTGTCCCTCTCCGGAACGTCGGAGAGAGTCAGCCACAGGTGCCTCTGCGCCACCACCGTGGAAGCCATGCCTCTACCGAGAGAGAGCGCTGCACAGCGGGACACACGGAGGATGTAATCTGTGGCGACCCTAGCTTCATCGAGGAGAGGAGAAAGCGGACTGTCAGGAGGCATACGCGAGCCGAGTTCCGCCAGACACATAGCTTGATATGTCTGAAGCATGGTGACGGAGCTCAGTGCACGAGCCGTATTTGCCTGTGTCCTGTAAATTTTATCCAGCTGTGACGCTGAAAACCTGCAGTGCTTGGATGGGAGCGTGATGGGGCTACCGACACCATGATTCTGGGCCGGGGCCAGATAAACTGCCAGGGACGCCTCCATAGGCGGAGGGTTCACCAATCCAGCTTTTTCAGCTCCATCCAGGTCCAGAAACTGTCCACAACCGGGCACTGTGGCGCGGGTGGACAGCGGCTTGTCCCATGTCGAGGTTAGTTCCGCGACAAAATCCGGGAACATGGGCAAACTGTTCTTAACAGTCGTCGGTTCGGGTGGGAGAAAAAACCCTGAGAACCGCGACGGTTTTTGAGCCGGTGGAGGAGAGGGCCATCCTACTTCCAGTTTCTCAGCTGCACGGCGGTACAGTGAGAGGAAGGATGTGTCGTCCAGATCAACCGGCGCAGCAGCGGCGGCATACTGACCCGAAGACAACGGCTCCTGCTCATCCTCTGAAAAACCTTGCACGTCCAGGCCGATGTCCAGCACGTCATCGTCCTCCTGGTAACAAGCTAGCCCGGATAGCGGCTGGCCAGCGCCCTCGGTCGGGCCCGGCTCAAATCCAGCTGACCCGTAAGCACACTCTACATGGTCTGCCCAGTTTCCAACTGAGCCTTCGACCAGAAAGTCCTCACCACCGGACTCCGGCGAAGCCGGGTCTCTGGACTCGGAGAGGAGGGGATCGTGCATCGCAACAGCGGATTTTCCTAGAATTTTCTCCACAAACTTGACCCGCCTTCCCAGGGTTGAGCTCCGAAGCCGGTGACAGGACTCACACGACTCGGGCTCAGTCAACGCCCTCCTGGCGTGGACAATACCCAGGCAAACTGGACAAGCCTCATGGAGATCCTTCTCGTGAAGGGAGAAGCCGCACCCCCGAGGACAGGGGCGAACAGAAGACTTCGCCTTCGCTTTCATGGGCTCAGCGCTCATAACAAGACGCAGAAGCTGAACGAAATTAGCGCTCCGCGGGTAGCCGTAGGCTAACACCAACAGGGGCAGTTAAGCTAAAAACGATCAGGCAATAGCCACAGACAAGACCAGGCTGAGCTAGCAGCAGCTAGTTAGCCCGACTCGGTGTAGGTGTTCTCAGCGAGGTGAAGAGCGTAAGAACTGAAGGATGGCTGTGGTGCTACACGTATATATGTGCAGGCGGAGCCTCCCAGACGTCACCACAGATCATCTGCCTTAAAGGCGTGAATAAAGGTGTCTTCAGTCAGGCCACGCGAGGGCGTGATATCCCATACTATATGTGTTGTACCGAGTGAATCGACTGAAAGGGAACTGCTAAAACATACATGTATCTATTCAAAGAGAAAGTTCATCTGTTTGTATGCCCATGCTCTCGAAAACAAGGGCTCAAATGGACCTTGTTGAGATGTAACGACAGACATTTCTAACTCAAGTCCTTACTATATGTTTCATAAAATGATACAAGTCTTGAAATTCACCCAAAGATTGTCTTTTTTAATCAAAGTTACTGATTTACTCGGCATGTTCAGAGGATAGCTGTGGAAAAAAAGGAATGAAAAAATTGAAAGACAAACAAATGGTCCAAGCGGTGTGACCTCTGTTTTTCTGCTAACAATCAAGGAAGTCCTTAGAATCCTGGAAGTCCTTGAGAGAAGATAACAGGTCCGACTACCTGATTTTGAGCTTCAGCGTGTGGCCTTGTCTAGTGAGGGGGCTTCACACAAATCCAACACCCACCATTGAAATGACTGATCAATTAAAAACCTTTCGCTGGTAGCCTTTTACAGACAGGAGATAAATAGGCAGTTAGAATAGACTGTAGCCTAAATGTATTTCTATAATCTCTGAATGCCAACTGTTAAAATGATCAATAGCAGCTTGGCGATATTCAGAGTTTTGTCAGTCAGGTGGTCTTTACAACATATTGACTTATCGAGTAAGTAGGGGGCGCTCTTGGGCGTCCTTATAGTAGGTGATTGGCCTCTATGAGAAGGTCAATAAACTCTTTGAAGCCTTATTAGTTATTATAATGCTTTCCAAGAGAGACAATATCTAAAAAGACAGCTTTAAGCAATGATTGCATAAGCTAATTACCACAGGGAGGCCTGACCCTGACAACTGCACCTCCCACACAGAATCTCAATGAGTGGAAGGCCAGATGAAGAAAGGCTGATCTGCCTGTTTTTTCAGAGAATAAGCGACACGTTCAACTCAGTTTACAGGCGGTGTAATTATCATGCAGCTGCACAAGGCTGGAATCACAGTTTCCTTGCAATCTCAGTGTATCTTTGTGATCTCAACCTCTTTCTGCAGTAAGCTTTTTAAAGAAAGTGTTTTGCAAATAACAGATGTTAACACAGTGTGGTTATAAAACCACTTTACTGATCAGGTGTTACCCTACTGACTACAAGCAATTGTTCTATGAAAAAGAACAATTTCTGAACTGTATATGAAGAAAGAGCTCACACAGTTTTATACTATGAAGAGGATTGGTGTTGGGGAAAAAAATGTCTATGTAACTGTTTTGTAGCTGCAAGTAGGGCTGTCCTGATAAGATATTGATATTGGATATCGGTCTGATATCAGCCAATGACAAATATCGGATTATATTGGCCTGCAACTAAAATCTCTGATACCAGCACTCCGATACAAACAGTCCATTTCAGACTCCACTCCGGCACCTCTAGCTAGCATGCAGAGCCCATGTGATCACAACAACAAGGTACAAACAAAGTACCAAGGAGTAGGAGTGATGCCGGCTGTGTGGCAGTATTTTTCATTAAAGTCTGAAAAAGACATTGCAGATGAGTGCAAAACTTGTCATGCAGAAGTTTGTGATCGATATCAGTATCGACCGATACTGAAGGCTACAATATCGGTATCGTATTGGAAGCTGTATCATAGTTTACCCTAGTTGTAAATCTGGATATACATTAAAGAAGGTAAAATATAAACATGGATTTTCAACTTTCTAACGTAACAACAAAAACTGAAAATGTAGCGGCTCTTAAGAGGTGAAGGTAGAGCTGCTGTGTTGATGAGATTGCAAAGGTGGCTGATCCCTATCTACACCCTATGTGGATTATAAATGGCCACATAATGCAATTGTTTCCATGGTGATTCCAGAAAACTCTGTAGTTGTGAAACCAATTTGTAGATCTGCTCTAACTGTGCTGGATGATACAGTCAGCTGACCACAACCGATACGAGGATATTTTAGAAGGAGGAGGGCGGAGCTTATGACACCAGGTGATTCTCAAGACAGTTGAGCTGCTAAGTGTCTCTGCTTTTTCCAGACAATGTTTCTCATTTTGATAAATACCTGTACGCCTTAACAGAGATACTGTGCTCAACTCTACAACAACAGTTCATATTAGAAATGACTCCAGCTTCTTTGTCATAAAGTGATATTTTGGAGCTTTGCTGTTGTTTTCTCAGTTATGCTCGGCTCCAGAGGCTGGTCAGCAGCAGGGAGGAGGTTTATTTCAGAAAGACGACTGGTCTCACTGAAGTCCGACAGCTCCGGTAGTCCATGTGGAACGATGCGATGAGCTAAATTGACTGGTGGCTGGCGTGCATTGACCTGAGCCCAGCAGGTATAGAGGCTGACCACTTGTGTGTGTACTGCATGTGCATCTGTGAGTGCACAGCATCATAGTATCTGTTCTGAGCAATGCAGAGCTCACTCCAGCTGTGAAACTCAAACCATTAAAACCACAGAGAGACTCCCAGAGCAGGCTGATCAATACAGCTCCTCTCTGCTGTCTGCTCATCCCACTCTTTTGCTTTCCTCTCTTTTCTCTGTCCCCTTCCTCCTCTCGTTTCTCTTTTCATCTACATCTCAAACCTGTACGTTCTAACCGCTTTCTTCCTTTTTTTCCAGATATGAAAATACTCTTCAAAAAGCATAACTACAGGACCCTTGGGGTCCCTGAAGTCCTTATTTGGCAATAGGCATGTGTCTGAACCTTTAGGATTTATACTCGCACAGGTGGAACTAACTTCATTAGAATGAATTACATGCTTTCCTTGGCATCACTTTTTTCCTTTGCTCGATGTTGACCTATAGATCTTTAAGTGCATATTGCACTAACCCAAACACTGAATGTTTTTTCCATCAATAAGATTTAAAAAATGAGACTGACTCGTATTTAGAATCAACTTGTTTGAACGCCGACATTTGTCCTCAACAGGATGAATGAAGGTGCCACTTCTCTAAAAGGGGGGTATATCGCTCACAACTGCAAAGCCACAGAAATGAATGATGAATAGACACATTAAATGTCAAAGTGGCTCCACAGTAGACCAAAAGATTCCACAACTGAGGTTTACATTTGAGTTTAAATCTAATATCCATCCATCCATCCAGAGTCCAAGAGGCATCCTTATCAGACATGGAGGAGCAGTGGCTCTACTCTGAGCTCCTTCCAGGTGTCCAAACTTTTATCCCAATCTCTAAGGCTGAGCCTAGCCACTCTTCAGAGGAAACGCATTTCACCTGCTTGTATCCGCTATCTTAATTTCTTGATCACCACCCAGAGCTCATAACTACAGGTGAACGTAGATTGAGTGGTAACTCAGAGGCTTTACCATCTGGCTCAGCTCCCTCTTCACCAGGACAGTGCAACGCTGGCAGTACTGCTGATGCCACACCAATCCACCTGTCCACAAAGACAGCCAGAGAGAGCAGTCCACCCTTTTCTGTCAGAGGACCATGGCCCCAGAGTCTGACGTGCTGACTCTCATCCCGGCCCCTTTGCACTCAACCCCAATTCCTGCTGGAGGTCACTCTGTGAGCCCACCACTGGCAGGGAAAGGTATGGGGGGTTGAACCAATGCCATGTGGCAGACAAGGCAGTAGGCCTGGGCGTGCCAATCCCTGGTGACTTGGAGAAGTTCTCGGGATGTGGACCAATCCAACACTTTGATGTAAAAACTACTTTTTAAAGGCATTACAAATAAGTCTCACTGGCATCACCCGTTGGTTTATTATAGTTCTCTTAATTTACCATATCAGAAATGCTGCCTCAACCTAACTTGAGATCACTGTAGTGAGAGATGAGAAGTGGATTCGAGGCAGACCTTTAGCGTCCATGCTGACAGCTATAATGAGATTGCCTTTTAGTCTGTGAGCTGAACCCTAGTTACACAAAACTTTGAACACTCGTGTCTTCAAAACTAAATAGCTGCCAATACTGTGTACATTCAGACCAAAATGTTTTTTCAAATCAGGCTGTTAATATGTCGATTTTTGCTTGAGCTCTGTTAATGGGTGTATGTAGCTTCTGGTGTTTTTGGAACCAGCCTCAAGTGGACACATGAGCAACTACAGTTTTAAAAACTTTTGCTGTGGCTTCATATATTGAGACTGGAACATAAAAGAAGTCTAATAGGATATATTTGTCATCTGGCAAAGTTGATTCTAACTCAGCTTTCTTCACTTCTCACAAAGTTATAGCGACTATGAGGATACTAATACCCTTTTTTCATTCAAGAAGTTTTTAAAAACTTTTCTAACAGGTTGTGAAAACAGAAAACATGCACTCTGCAGTATTGAAAAGTACTAGTGACAACTCATTAAGCCTACACTGGCCAAGTAATAGATTTTCACCTGTTGCTTTAATTGAAGATCCATCCTGAGGTAAAGCAGTCACTCGCTTTTAGGACTTGCTTTGGTTGCACCACACTGCTTATGAGATAACGTACTGGTATCTGGGCTTTTACAATGAGCCAATTTTCATTTCATGTGGGACAGATCAGCAGATCATGAAGACCCCGTGAGGGGCGTGGGGAGAGAAGAAGCTGGAGATGGTCTGAACACAGCAGGAGATAAAAGAGGAAAAACAAAAACCAAACAGAGAATCAGGAGAGGTAAAGAAAGCGCAGAAGTCTGCCTGTACTCCATTCTGTCCGACCCAGCATCAGAGCCTTGACTCGATTGGAAATCCATTTTATCTGATGACTGGCAGGCAATTGGGGCTCCTAGGTGATAGGCTGAGGCTGTGTGGTTGATAGGCCTGCCCACTCCACTGCTGAGGGATGGAGGGATGGAGATGGAGGGGAATGTGGAGAACACGTACTGCAGATTGTCTGTACAAACGTGGTTCAAATGAGGCAACCGAGATGATAATCACCTTCCACTTCAATCAAATAAACTGAAATTAAAATGGTGACTGTGTTTATCATCAGTTCATCTGTTAATACTTTTTCAATTAGTCTAAAAACCATATATCGATGAAATCCGGTTTGAGGTGATTTGAAGCAAATGTTAGCAGGAAATGATTTTGTTGCACAAGCAGGAAGCATAGTTAAAATATTGTTCAATTTGCCTGAAAGCTGATATATTTTATACATACTTCAGGATCAGGATTTATGGTTTAGCGTAATCAAAATAATATAAATGCAGAATTTAAAAAAAATTGCGCATTACATACTGCGAAGACAATTTTAAAAGCTCTTCAATGAACTTCTGAGAGTTGAGATGAAATGTTTTTTTATTATTTTTTTCTATCCAAATTTCACAGATCTTGGTTCTCGATGATTTTGGTTCTCAACAAGACAGATGTGTCAAAGGTTTCTAAGCGAATGTGGCATAAATTTGTGAAATGGTCTCAGAACTATAGCTCATTGAGTGACAGTACAGCCTTTTTCTGTTACTGCTGGGGGGCGCTACAACTGGGATATTACCATGTTAATGTGTTCAGCCCTGGACCCTTAAATCAGAGAAGTCATGTTTGAGTCCAGTTGGAGAATGCACACCTAAGAAACAAACAACTCCCTGTTTCTTGACGAAACACGCAACAAGGCTTGCCATAGAAATTTCCACCATTTCTTTCCAACTTTTTAAACTTCCTGTTGACGTTTCACCATAACATTAAGAGCTGTTTATGTAAAGTTTCACAATGCCTGATATGAGTACCAACTTGCATGTCTGTAGGTGTAACAGCCTCTGGAGGCTGAATTTTTTGAACTGCGTGCACTACAACACCAATTTGGCCAACTTATATTTAGATCCCATTATTGTATTTATTTCTCCAGGCCTGATTCCTGTGTCCATTTTAGTGAGGTTTTGTGCATGTTTAGACTACAGACTGTATATAAAATGGACACTGTTGGCCTCCTCGCTGGGTGAAGCCACCCTGAGAACAGCACCCTTTGGTGACAGGCTGCAGTATAGGTCATAAATCCTGCCTCCTCCAGCAACCCCTATGGAGTTGTGGACAAACTTTAGAAATAAATTGCACAGAATATAAATTTCTCTCCCCCCTGCTTGCGATGTTGACATGTAGTTATTGTAAGATTAGTTTGTGCTCAAGTCCTCTTTTTTTCTGTGCCGCTCCATTTTCAAAAGTTATAAGGGGGTTCATGTTTTCTATGATTGACACTTGATACAGCCTATGAGCATACGAAGATTGCATAGCTCATCCAGGGAATATGCTGTTTGAGTCTAGCACCATAACAGTGACTTTCCTGCTGAATGCATACAATGCTACTGCGCAAGTGGTGGTTCCAGGAAATTGAGAAAATACCAGATTTGCAGAGAGCAATTCAGCTTCCAATTTGTATAATGACACACGGCGAAGCCAAGTTGTCTATAGTATATACAGTCCATGGTTTAGACACTCAAAATTGAGGAAAAACCGATTACATTTTAATGGGGCTCCCATACCACTTGATCAGGATGGGACTACTATGCCTTGCTTTGCCATTTATGTTAATACCATGGAGTTAAAGTGGTGGAGCAAAGTTTTCCACGCAATATTGTATTATCTAAAAGATTAAAGGTTAAGATGGGAAAAGTATTACATGTAAATTCCCTTGTTCATTCTAATTACTGATTTATACTGGGGGGAAACTGGGGTAGAAGTAGCTCAAAAGCCTCTGTGTGTGGATGATGAAACCTCCTTTTGTAGAGAAGCGAAGATTTGATATTGTTTCAATCTGGTGTCAACAGTGCACATTTTCAGACAGTCTCTATTTCTGAACCTGTAAAGTGATCACTTTCCAAGAGTCACAAGTAGTTTAGAAACAACTGGAGGAGTAGAGATGTCTCAAACCCCGGCTGCTCTCTCACCTCCTGAAAACAGGTCATTCACAGTGTGAAGCGACCGTGGATGTCAGGTAATTGGTTGCACAAAGTTACAGAAATAGACAGGCAACGGCAGATCCAGTCTGGGGATGAGATCTTAGTTGGACTGATGAATGAAAAAACCTCATACCTGAACTGAAGGGTATACTGATGGACAAAACAGAGACTGAGAACAAAGCATAGTGGCTGTAAGGGTTCAGATGTCCACAAGGTATATAAGGAGTTGATCCCAGAGATCTTTCGAGATCTTTTCTCTCTGTAAATTCATCAACAGGTGTTTGTACTTTGTGTTGCAGGAGCAGCTAAACAAATAAGTAGCTGCCCTTGGAGCATTTGCCACGTAAATTATTGTGAATAACTGAAGTATAGCTTTAAAAAAAAGCTTTTTTAAAGTTTGATGTGGAGTGAACTTGTCATCACAGCTCTGGGAGCAGGCAATAACACAATGGTATTTATTTATTTACAAAAAGGCCAGAGAAGAAAAAAAAAATCGATCCCTCTGGGTGTGCGGGTTGAAAATGAGAGAGAGCACAAAGGAGAAGCAAGCCTCAACTCATGAAGAGAAAGAGGGGGTGGGGACACATGGATTGAGTGAGGATGGGACACAAAAGAGAAGCTTCTAAGTAGTGGACTGTTCCGATAATATTGCGACTGCCTCATGGCAACAAAAGCCAGTATAAAACCCACCTACGAGCACTGCTGTGGTCCCCCTCTTATCCCAGCAGGTGGTCTGGGCTCCACAAAAACTCTTGCAAGCGCACGAGGGAGCGAGGGCGATAAAATGCTGACCTGAGTATCACTGTGAAATGTGCCCGAAATAAAGAGAGTGTCGATTGCTTATGCAGCCGTGGTGGCTTTCAACAGAACACAATACAGGGCCGAGGTGGATTATTATCAGGACCCCCATCAGAGAACGCAGAAAGGCAGTGAGAGCAGGGGGTCTCCTGGCGCGAGCCGACAGGCGTGGAGGTGCTCAGAAAGGTCAGGATACAGCGAAGGAGGGTTACAAAAGCTCACAAAAATGCAGTTGTTAGTACCCTGAACTCCACCTCCTCCTTCACGTCTTCATACCCCCTGACTCTCCCCTCAGTTGAAAGCTTTAAGGTGTCCGAGGGCTACGGGCCAGATGGAAGAGGGAATAGAGGCTCCAGATATAGCTTGTTGTGCTGTTCGATCGAACACTGCACTGCAACAAAAGACCAGACAAGAGAAATAATGGAGGGACAGGGGGAGAGTGGAGTGGGGGGGGCTGACAAAATGAGAGGTGACAGAGACACAGAAAGTGATGTCTCTGAAAATCTTTTAAAAATAATGTTGAACAAAGTTATACGTGCCACACCTGGCTGCGCATGTGTATGTGGACTTCCAGAGTCTGATGGAAGGATTTCATGCGCATAATTTAAAAGCTGAGGCAGGGAGAGCAGCAGCATGGACCCCAGAGACAGATGAGAGCATCGGTGACAATACATCTGACTCGAGTAAAACTAGAAACAGCATAAAAAAGAGGAGCTGGAGTGGAGGAGGGTTGCAAATAGAACTGAAATGGAAGCAGTGAGAGAGAGCAGCTTAAAAATAGCACCTATTTATACATTTGCCAACTGAATGTGCACAATCTGTGAGCTGATTGGGCTTGATTCAGAATCAGCTAATTTACTGTGGGTTGGGCTTGACTGTCTGACTTGCCAGGACTAACACTCCTCAATTTCAGTGAACTAAAGCAACCAGGATGCAAAGAGCAGTGTGTAAATAAATGAACAGGAGCAGTAACAATGTCTGAAAGTCTTAAAGACCAATGCACTGAGTCTGCAGTTACCCACATCTTTACTATGTGTCACTGCCACTGCTAAGCAACATACTATATGCTGGATAAATTTAATCTTTTAGTTGATGTGGGAACCTGCCAAACTTAATGAACATGTCTGGGACTGTTACGTCTCAGCATGGAGGAGATTTTTGGTACAATTGAGCAGGGCTGAAGCTGATGGTGTGCTCTAGCTGACTGCCTTAGCCGCCTGAGCTGGCTCGAGAACTTGTTGCTCACTTGAGACCCAGAATTAGTATAACAGTAACTTTCCTGACTTCTGACATGCCTGGTTTGCATCACTTAATACTGCCTGAGCTTCCTGGTGCACCCTCTAGGGGTATCCTTGAGTAAGATGTGTGAGTTTGTGTACAATTACATTAATGTTGTTGGTTGTTTTCGCATATGTGTAAAAAAATAAATAAATAAAATAAAAAATAAAAAAGAACTTTTTTACACTCACATTAATAATCTCAAATATAATTTGAAGTCTCAGATTAAATTTTGGGTCCGAAGAAGTTGCAAGTTAAAGACCCACTCTGATGAAAATTGTGTTTTTCTTGTTGTCTACATGTTCATGTGGCATTTTTCTGACGCGAGAGGACATATCAAGAGAAAACTAAGAGCAAAATTGCATATCTGAGTATTTCTGCATTTAAATCGCTGTGAATCTCTGGCAGACCCAAACGGCAGGTTCAGACACAGTGAGATTTCCTATGTTACAACTCCAGCGTCTCACTATGCAGGCCAGATTCAGAGTAGAGAGGACAATCACTGAGCAAGCATGTGCAGTAGTGGATTGCAATGCTCGTAAGAAAGCCAAAGACATTAGTGTCTGAGAGCTAAATAGCTCCTATGTTACCTGCTTCTTCTACTACACTGGCAACGTTAGGCTGCAAGCTAGCATGAAGAGGAGTGTGCAGAGCAGCACTGTCTCTGCCCACGACTCAGAGGCAAATTGTTAATGATCTATTGAAGCTCTGCAGAAGAAAAGCCCTTGAAAATGACACAGGTAATATGATTTTGGCTAAGAACTTCATAATCACAATTTAAAGACCACTGAGAACATTTGAAATAATAATAGAACATGATTGAAGTGGGACTTAAAAGCCCTGTTTAGATTATGTTGACTGTAGAAGTGAGAAGAAAACTGAAAAAAATAATTGACGGTGAGGGACTCAAACTTTGCAGCACCTACTCACGTCCATTTTAGACCCTGAATCATGCTCAAATATCAAAGAGAGTACAACAGATAAAGTAATAATCTTGTTCCTGGCCTTAGAAACTGCTCTACTGTTAACTATGTCAATTGTCAAGTCCATAAATGCGTCTCCTCTCTGATTGGTACCTGGCATGTGTATTTATCATTTCTGTTGTTGCTAAATTGCTTTCTGGAATAAATATGTCAAATGCATGCAGGGTGCTGATGCCTCCTTCTGGGCCTATTTAGACCTCTGGTTTGTGCATTCACTTTCAAAGTAGTTTTACAAACAACAACAAAAAAAACAGAATAATAGTGTTTTCTTTTTTTTTTTTGCAACAAAAGGCCCAAATGTTCAGATTTTTTTGTAATGATTTTTTTGCGAAGCAGTTTTATTTGAAAGCCCTCTGAGTGAGCTGTTTTTCCAAGAACACAAAGAAGAGGCTTCATTCACGACCAAAATATACAAGCTTGTTTTTTTTTTTGTTACAGGAGGACAGAATCACAAGATTAAAAACTATAACCAACACGGCAAACAACACAACACAGACAAACGACAAAAGAGCGAGACAGAGAGTAGATAATGATGCTCGGTGGTGATTGGTTGTGATCAGCCGTACAACGATCAATGCTTGTTTGAAAGGAGGCAACGCTGATGGTTTATGACAGCGGGAACAACTGCCAACAGTATGAAAATGAAATCAATAAGTCAACTGCAGAGCAGGGAGAGAGGAATGAAGGAAGTGGCGGAGAGAAAGAAGACAAGGGTTTTGAAGAGGGAAAACAAGAGAGGAGAAGAGCGAGTGAAACAAGAGAGACAAAAAAGAGTGGAGGAGACCGAGACAAAGGAGAGAGTGTTACAAACAAACATGGAGCTAGATGAAAGGTGTTGGTTTAGAGAAAGCAGAAAGCAGAGGCAGAAAAAACTAAATTGACGGATGATGGAAGGTTCATTAAAGATAGATAAAAAAAAGAGGCAACAGCAAAAACAAACTGATAAACAATCAGATAAACCAACTGATAACTTTTTCACAACACCCTCAGTGCTGAGTTAGGTCCTGACGTACATGTGTGTGCATGTAACAGTGACACGTTAAACCAATGGACACACAGCCTTAGATTTCCAGAATAACAATTTTTCTTCATCGTAGACAGTTTTTCAGTCAACACCCCTCCTGAGTGTTTTTGTGTACTTTGTTAAAGCCCATTTCCCGTCTATGTTGATGAACCACAAATATTTCTTTCATAAATCATTTTTGCCCAAGGACACAAATTAGAGCTCTTGGAACTGTGACGTTTTTACCTGTGGCGCACACCGGTTCATATGAGTTTTCATGGCCTTGCCCAGGTATGTGTTTGTATTTTCCACTTAAACTTCATCTCTCTAATTTGTCTGTTTTTCAGTGAGTCAGAAACCATGGACAAACTCTTCAGTAGGTGCAACAAACACACAGAAATACACTGGCAAAGGCCAGGATGCTTAAATAATAACTCAATATCCAAGAACACTTTCAGTCGACGACAAAGTGCACATATCCTATCCCAACAAAAAATTTGAGACCTTTTAAAAGCAGCAAAGATTTTTACCACTTTCTGCAGTATTCCCTGAAAAAAGAATGTCCAATGTTGCCTCAGTCCATTTAAAACTGGTTCAGAAGAGTCTGGGTCAATCCTGGCCTATGTTTATCTTTGGTTTCCTTTTTTTGTATAGCGCAGTTTTAGCTCACACTTGTGGATGCGTTGATAATTTAGTCCATGGACAATGTGTTTTAAAAGTGGTTTGAAGCCCGTGCAGTAATTTCCACTCCAGAGTCATGTCTGTTTTTAATGCAGTGCCTCCAGAGGGACCACAGATCATAATCATCCAGTTTTGGCTTCCAGTTTTGTCACTTACAGCAAGATTTTTTTTTTCCAAATTCACTGAAACTTTTAATTGATGATAGGCCAAGTGAAAGAGCTCTCTCAATCTGAGAGGTCTCAACTAACTAAATGACATCAAGGCAGAGCCGTTGAATAAATCTACTAACTTTGTTATTCCATTATCTCGCCCTATGATTGACACTTGATATAGCCAATGGGCGTACAAAGATTGCGTAGCTCACCAGGGAGATACGTTGTTTGAGCCAAGCGTCATCACAGCGACTCATGGCGACTCTCCCGCCAAATGTGTACAATGCTACTGCGCAAGTGGTGGAGTGTGTACAACACTACTGTGTAATGTTGGTTTCAGGAAGTGGAGAAAATCCAGGGAATGCAGAGAGCAATTTGGCTTCAAATTCATATAATGATGGAAGGCGGAGCCAAGTTGTCCATAGTATGTACAGTCTATGGTGTGGCATATTATGGCTTCTCTTAAGATAAATTGCGATGAAACTTCTGAATAGATCAGATATTTTTAAGCTACATTCACCCACAAGATTTCATCAAAACTGGGTCAGTCATTTTCTGTCAAACTGCTGACAAACAAACTTTGTAAAAAACAGTCTCCAAACTTCTAGTTTAAAACTAAGCTATATATCATACCACTGCGTGTGCTTGCAAATCTTAATCAACTTTTGTTCACCACTGTGAGCTGGGGTGGAAGAAAAGTTCAAGCATTCCTCAGATGTTTTTTTTTTTCCTTGTCTGTAGGCAGTCACAGCTAATGAGGCACAAACAGACCTTCAACTACGAGAAGAAGAGAAACAAGAATCTGACAAAAATGTGCTTCAAACAGAAGTCACCTTTTTAAACTATTTCTCTGTAAAAAGAAAAAAAAAACCTTAGAGAACTAACCCTGAAAATTTTGCTTAGATTATTATTATTATTTTTTTTTTTTGGTATGTGTGTCTTATTCTGAGGTTCGTACCTGTTTTCTCGAGTGGGCAGAGAGGTAAAACAGTCAAAGCACGGATCCACAAACAGCATGTCAAAGGATGAAAAGCGCTGTTTGCTCTGTGGCGCATCAGCTTTGGAGTAAAAGTTTTGCACTTTGAAGGAGGATGTGGAAATACTGCATGACTTTAGCCCCAATTAAAGCAACAACCCACACTCATTCAGAAGCTTGCTGTGTAACTCCCATGCCTGATTTATTAATCTGAGACATTTCCCTTTAGAACAAATATAAAAAGTGAGAAAAACTCTGTTCCCTAATTAGCTCTGGTTTAAAGAAGCTCCACCACACTTTGTGATGTTATTCAAGCATAGCAAAGAGTGAAAGTGAAGTTTGACTACTTCCTCATCGCCTTATAATTAAGGATCCTTAAGTGGAATAAAGTGTTAATGTGTGTGGTCAGTAACAGGTCCAGAGAGCAGCTGAAGACCCTCATTCTTCTTCATTAGTGCTGACCACTGAGGGGCCTGCCATCTTTTTCTCTCCCTCTGCATCTTTTCATCCTCTGTCCATCTGCAGCCCTTCCTCCATGACCACTTTTCTCCTCACAGGATCCACACATCCTGCCTTTTTCGCTCTTTCCCTCCAGATCCTCCCTTCTGACAACACATCCCCTCTATCTCTCACCTGCCCATCCGTCTGAGTCTTTCCTCTCTCTCCAGCATCGTTCTTCCTCTTCTGTTAAGCTGCAATCTTTCGTCTACATCTTTTCCTCCTCATTTCTGCGCATCCCCACATTTTATTTTCTCCCTCGCTTTTTCAATTTCTCAGCATCCGCCATCATGTTTTCAGAGCTTCTTCTCCCTCTGACTACTCATATTTTCAGTTGATTTTCCTCCTCTGTTTGTGTCTCATTCATTTTCCTGGTTTGTTTTCTTGAAAAGTCTCTCCAGCTCCGCACCGTCGGTCAGACCTGGGCTCATTTTTCCTTTTCATACAGCCTATCAAGGAAGCCTGTTCCATTATTTGTTTGACTTGCACCAATCCCTTGCTTCTACATGTCAACATTTAATCTTAGCTTTCACTTTAGACCTAATCATTTCTCCTTTCTTGGCTCTCCAGTCATGTTTCAGCTCTCTCCTCCACTTAACTTCTATTTTATTTTGCTTTTTCTATGCCCAGTGTTTATCAAGGTCTTCCCATATACGTCTCGCTATCCTTCACATTTAACACCCTTTCATGACAGCCTGCAGATGTCTGTACATGTACAGCATGTTTTTATTTATTTATTTATTTTTCTGTTCTTCAATGCAAGCTTTTGTCCTCAGCCTTCTCTTTTTATTTTCTTTCAGTTTGTTTATCTACATTGTTATCTGCTGGCTGAGTAGCCGAGCCGCTGTGATCTTTGTACCGGCATGACTCCTGTTCAATCAACAATAAGACTGAAGGTAAAAGGAAAAAGAAATCAATACGAGGTTTTATACTGCTGTGATTCACTGGTTCAGCAAAAGTCAGTGTGCATTCAAATCTACAACAGACTGATTTATTATCAGTGTATCACTGCTGTCGATAGGGTTTTTTCTTTCAGAATGGACTTATCAAAACTTGATGAAACTATTTTCTCTCTCTCTCTGTCTTATCTTCTCGCCGGCTGCCTGCAGGGAATCAAACTTGCACACTAAGCATGCCAAAGAATCAGCACAGAGGCTCCTGCTCAATAAAACTCGGACATTTTTGAATCACAACAGAGTTTCTAAAAATGGGACGCAATCCCTCTGTGAGTCTACAAAAATCGACGGCTACATAAATCAAGAGCAGCACTGTCCTGCTTAAACGTGCCGTCCAACATTTCTCCCTCGTCACAAGTAACTGATATATGTTTCTGAAAGGCAAGAGCGATACTTAGACTTACTGTGATTTTTTTCAGGACTTTCACTCAAATACTTTCACACGAGGGGGAAAACTAGAGGACGAGCCTGACAGAAACATCAGGTAGTGCCAAGACAGAAATTTTGTTCTGTAAAACAAATTAATAACCAAAGCTACTGAAACTTTCAGAATAAAGAAATCAGACCTGTGTAAATTAATCCTTTCAAATACTCACTTTGCAATATATCAGAAATACACAATACATAGAATAATCATACTGCGCTCAGTTCAATGCAGAATGTAAATGTAAGTTCAAGAGTCACATTTGATATTTATGCCCTCAGTTTTTAAGTAATTGTTTCTTGTCATTAATTTTTGAATTTTTAAATGACATTAGTTAATGCGAGTTTTATTCCAGTATGATCCTCTCCCTCCCTCCTCCTCTCTATGTTATTGTGTGTGTGTGTGTGTGTGTGTGTGTGTGTGTGTCCGCTCAAAACCTTTGATATTTTAAAGTGTACACCAAAGAACCATTTTTAATGTAAACTGGATCTGAAAATCCTAGACAGCCGAGCTGCAGACCTCCTCCGTGAGGATTCACCACCACTGAGCAGACTGAAAGTTGATTTGAAGCCTTTCAAAATAAAGATAATATAAGTTAAGATGTTCCCTCAATAGTCCCATGGGAGGAAATTTCAAATTTACAGCGGCATAGTACAGATACAGAGAGAGAAAATAAAAGAATAAACAACATGAGAGTTAAAAAAGATAAAAGTAAATATACATTTTTCTTTTGTCGGAAGATGATTTGAAGCCTTTCAAATTAAAAGTGATTAAACTGGGACGTATGTTTTTTTTTTGTCTTGTGTGAATATATTTTATTTCTTGGGGCTTTATTTTATGTATAAAATCTTAATATGATTTTTTTTGTATATTTATGTGTTCAACAAAGAGAAAATACAAATCCGGATGACCACTTCATACAAACTGGAGTGTGTGAGAAAAAACGTTACTTCGGGTCCTCACAGTGGAGGTCTGCAGCCAGACCCCTCTCGAAAAAATTTCTTTAGGCAAGTCAAACCACCTTTCAAGTGAAGAGTGATTAATGGTTTATTATACTTCATGCATTGGTTAGCCTTTACTTGACGGTAGATCACACATCTATCCACTCCTAAATAAAAAAGTCAACTATGTTGACCTCTCTAGAGTTGACATTTTAATATCAGGTAATACAGGGTCTTACTTTGAGTTAAACTTAAGGGAAATAGGAGGCTGACAGCAGCCTACGCCCTCGCACTGATTTCAGGTATGAAAAATGATGATTGAAATATCTTCAATCTGGCGGTCTTGTTTGCTTTGGATATCATGAAAAGGCTTCAATATGAATTTCAGTCTTTTTCATAAACATAAAAAAAAAAAAAAACTCCTCATAGTAGCTTTAAATCATCTATGTACGTCATCTCTCATACATGTTACTGTCTACTTTAACTGTGCTCATGGGCCCTGGATTGGCTGACCCCCTGTCGTCTGCCCATTAGACAAACTCTGTAAAAACCCAGCACTTAATCATCTGTAAACTGTCCACTGATGGACAGCAGAAAGGACCTTAGTCCAGGCTCCAGCTCACTGGCTTAAATGTCACGACTGCCAGCAACTCAAGAGACCAAAGTCCCAAATTATAGACTAACCACTAAAGTAAAAAGTGTAAATTAATACCCTTCATGCAGGAGAAGGACTGTCAATCTTGATGCACAGGGTAATTTTGGAGGGTCTTACAGTATGACATCTGACATCTCATCAGCAAGTCCTCCCACTAATACTGCCTCCGTAGGCTGACAGGGGCTGAGGAGTTCAACAGCTTGAATAGCTGACAAAAGCATGTAAATGGCATGATTTTAGACACTTAGATTCAAAAATGACCAGAAAACAGAGGATACAGGTGCAGCTCTATATGGTGGAGGACTGTCTTTATGAATAAAGGGAGGAAAATGCTCAGGTACACAGGAGCAGGGATGTCTCTAAATCTCCGTCAATCACTCTGCTGCTTCTCAGCACTTTTCACTTCACTTTTGCTCCCCTCTCAGATTCTACCTCCTTCTTCACTCTCAGTCTGTTTCACTCTTCTGCTCCCTCTCTCTACTCTGACGGACAGACTTTCACTTCAGGAGTAACTCCCCTGGTATTAGACCTAAAGCCCGTTCTGCCTGTACTCCACAGTGAGACTGTGGATATATACGTCTGTGTGCGTGTGTGTGCGCCTCAGTGGTTGGCCTTGCTGGAGGGGAAAATAACAGCATTTAAAGTTTCAGAGGTCTCAACTAGCAGCTGGACAGATCCTGACCTTGCTGTTCCTCTGCATACATCGCTGATCTGACGTGCTGCTGCTGCTGCACCAACGTCTTTCTGGAGTATTTCTAAGAGTTCCCTCTTTACTCCCATTTTATCTTTCACCTGCTTGTTTTGCTCTCCACTCTGGTATTTTCACTCTTACACTGGTCAGTCTTGCACATCTTTGCCCAGATATTTCAAATCTGTTTCCACTTTCAGGACGGCCTTTTCCTGTCCTCCCTCCATCACCAGCAGAGCCTCAAACATTGATCCGAATCAAAGCCAGGCTCTCTCTGAGATTGGTGCTAAATGACTCTAAAATCCTGCCAGGCATGGAGACACTGCGCATGTGTGTGTTTGCATCTGAGCGTGCAGATAAATGACTGGAAAATCCCACTGAGTGTCCGGGCAGTGTGTGTGTGTGTGTCACACGTAGCTGTGCCCACATCGGGCTGAGCCTCCCAGAGGATAATGACTGGAGGATGTCTGTTCTGTCTCTGCAGGCTCTGTGGGATCCTCTCCTCATTTGCCACCAAACACACACGCGTATGCACACGCACACATATGAATGTGTTGGTGTGACCAGCAGGAAGACGTCTGTGATATGCTGGCCTGTGCACCGACCCGCTGTGACACTGATCAAAACACATCACAGTCGCTTCTGTGAAACTGGGAAGACAAAGCACGAACTGGACTGCAAACAGTCCCACTGAAGTCTCCTCTGTCTCACACTTCTGGAACTTAGGGATGAAAAGTTGTCATCTTTTTGATCCCCTCTTCAGGTGCTTCTTCAGATCACTTCATTCATATCCCTTATTAACTAGAAAAGTAAAAGTCTCTCTTACAGAAGTCTTTGATTTTAAAATGTAAGTATATTCACAAGGATAAACTGAGCTTATGAATGAAATATAGAAGGAAAGTAAACAAATATTCCTCAGACTCAAAGCACTTCTCCACAGATGCAGTCATTAAAAATGCATCAAAAAGGGGAGGCGTAAAAGACAGTTGGCAAACATTGAACACACACAGAAGAACTATTACAATGTCAATATTTCCCTACAGTTTGTTGAACCCAAACATTTAGGTTTTCAATGATTAAAATTAAGAAGAAGAATGTTATGGTGCTCCTCTTTTATAACCCAACACTGAAAAAAGGTCTTTGTGCAAAGCTTTAAAAGTCATTAAGATTTCAGACTTGCACGCTTAACAGTTTCCAGAACACGATGTGGAAATGGGGACAGCATGGTGACAACAAAAAGCTCTTTCTTTCTGTGTGTGTGTGTGTGTGTGTTGTAAAAAAAATGCTCTCTTGGTGGCTCCTTTCACAGTCCAACAGCATGGTTTCTGGGTTGTGGTTCTGACTGTGAGTGTATCCAGATTCTTGTCCACTTTGTTTGCAGTTTGATGGACTGTTAACCTGTCCAGGGTTTGCAACATGTCTTACCCAGTGGCAGGTGGGATAGGGATAGGTCCATCCCCCCAAAGACCCTGAATGGAATAGGGAGTACTGAAAATGGATGAATGAATGGATATTTTGCTATTATTAGCCAAAATTAAAGAACAGGTTTTTGTGCTTATGTTAGTTCGCATTAAGTAGATTAAATTAAAAAGTCTTAAGTGCAGAATAGATGACACTAGCTTCAGAGGTAAGGCCTTGTTTTCTCCTGCAGAAGCTTATGAAAGTTTCCTGTAGGTATCTGGATAGTTCCCAAACTGCTGTACAGGCAAATCAGGATCAACTGTTTTCTGTCACTACATCCTCCTGTTATGTAACGGCTCTGATGATTGATACACAGAAAAACAACTCAGTATGTGGCTCATGGTCTTGGCAGCTTATAAGGGGAATCTATTTCTCTTATGTAGTAAGTTGGGAAGTTTATAAGAAGCATGTGACACTGCTACCTTCGGCATACTGGCTAAGATGATCTGAATAAAAGATTATTGGACAGGCTCCTTTTGTATCATAACTTTATCACTTTAAGACAACTTCTACAATTTCATGTTGATTTTGTTTTAATGTTATCAGCAAGTGTAGAAAACGAATCATAAAATCAGTTTTGGGGCAGTGAGATATTTTGATCTCTGTAGATAGTTGTAGGTCCAAAAAAAATCGTATTTCTCTGTTATTATTGTGGGAATTTAGATTCAATCAGTCAACTATCTAAAGGAGAGAAAGTTGAAGAAAAAGTCAAAATTGGGAAAAGTTGGTCTAACATAACATAACGTTCCTGTTGCCTACAAACAACCAGATCAAAATACTGCCTAACTACACTGCACTACTAGATGCTGTCTGTCATCTGCGCTGGCTCTTTTGCAGTATGGCTGTCTATGTTGCACTAGTGACCCTAGTGGCAGGTAGCTGTAGCAGCTTATACACACTAAGCCACATTTCAGGCCGACAATAATAGAAAGGTAACACTTCAGATCGGGGAACTATTGATGTGTTACTTGTAAACATGTACAAAACCCAATTCCATTTAAGTTGGGAAATTGTGATAAACGTAAATAAAAAAAGAATGCAATGATTTGCAAACCCTTTTCAACTTATATTCAATTGAATACACTACAAAGACAAGATATTTAATGTTCAAACTCATAATTTTTTTTTTTTTTTATTGGCAAATGATAAGTAACTCAGAATTTCATGGCTGCAACACGTGCCAAAGTAGTTGGGACAGGGGCATGTTCACCACTGTGTTACATCACCTTTCTTTTTAACAACACTCAATAAATGTTTGGGAACTGAGGAGACTAATTGCTGAAGCTTTGAAGGTGGAATTCTTTCCCATTCTTGCTTGATGTACAGCTTCAGTTGTTCAACAGTCCAGGGTCTCCATCGTATTTTACACTTCATAATGCGCCACACATTTTCAATGGGAGACAGGTCTAGACTGCAGGAAGGCCAGTCGAGTACCCGCACTCTTTTACTATGAAGCCACGCTGTTGTAACACGTGCAGAATGTGGCTTGGCATTGTCTTGCTGAAATAAGCAGGAAGGGCGTCCATGAAAAAGATGTTGCTTGGACGGCAGCATATGTTGCTCCAAAACCTGTATGTACCTTTCAGCATTAATGTTGCCTTCACAGATGTGTAAGTTACCCATGCCTTGGGCACTAATGCACCCCATACCATCACAGATGCTGGCTTTTTAACTTTGCGTCGATAACAGTCCGGATGGTTCTTTTCCCCTTTGGCCCGGAGGACACGACGTCCACTATTTCCAAAAACAATTTGAAATGTGGACTCGTCAGTCCACAGAACACTTTTCCACTTTGCATCAGTTCATCTTAGATGAGCTCAGGCCAAGAGAAGCTGGCAGCATTTCTGATATTGTTGATAAATGGATTTCGCTTTGCATAGTAGAATTTTAACTTGCACCTACAGCTGTAGCGACGAACTGTATTTACTGACAGTGGTTCTCTGAAGTGTTCCTGAGCCCATATGGTGATATCCTTTACACATTGATGTCAGTTTTTGATACAGTGCTGCCTGAGGGATCGAAGGTCACGGGCATTCAATGTTGGTTTCTGGCCGTGCCGCTTACGTGCAGTGATTTCTCCAGATTCTCTGAACCTTTTGATGATATTATGGACCGTAGGTGTCGAAATCCCCAAATTCCTTGCAATTGTACTTTGAGAAACATTATTCTTTAACTGTTCGACTATTTGCTCACGCAGTTGTTCACAAAGTTCGCACTTAGCCTGCTCACCTGTGGGATGTTCCAAATACGTGTTTGATGAGCATCCCTCAAATTTCTCAGTATTTTTTGCCTCCTTTCCCAGCTTCTTTGTCATGTGTTAATTTTTATTTGCAAAAAAAAATAAAGTGTATGAGTTTGAACATTAAATATCTTGTCTTTATAGTGTATTTATATGAATATGGGTTGAAAATGATTTGCAAATCATTGTATTCTGTTTTTATTTACGTTTATCACAATTTCCCAACTTCAATGGAATTGGGTTTTGTATATAAGCAGCATTTTAGCTTTTAATTATTTATTTTAAAGCACAAATTAGCACTATATTCTACACGCCCGTACTCTACGACTGTTAAGTCATTTACTACAGATTTATCACCAACATTCTCAAATTATCGACTTTGCATTACAATTATTAAAGGAATAAATGCTTTTAACAATGAATTAAAGGTAACTCAAGAGCTTTTACGTGTTCTTTATCTTAATAATATTGATAGATACTTCAACCAACTGTTAATTCTGGTGCTGATTGGTAAGGGTTACAGTGTTTAATCATTCTTTAAGAAATCTTGATATATGTAAGTTTCTGCCCAGATGAGTGGATGCTGAAGACACAGATGATTATCGTAGATGAAGTTTGCAGTTATGATTAGTTTTCACTGTAAGGCATCAGCTAAATACAATGCTGAATCTGGATCAAATTACACAGTATCTACTCCACAAGAGAAAAAAAAGAGAGCTATCAGTGATGAGCAAACTAACAGTGACAGCTTTTAAAGACACCAAATGGAGGAAGAACTTTGTAAACTTTCAAATATACAGGGTGAAAGTCAGGGAGACGCCTCAGGGGCTAATCAAGAGGCGAGACCTTGATGTGTAAGTTAAAGCAGACTGAAATGTGGCAAGCTACTTAAACACACGCACACATACACACGCACACACACTCACACACGCGCGCGGCTCCCACAATGTGTATGATCTGCCGTGCTCTTTTAAAGACAGTCTTCAAAGAGTCTTCACTTCACTCCTCGTTATCTCACACCAGCTAATATGAGGATGAAACTTTCACACACACACGCACACACATGCAATGCCAGGCCTATCAAGACCCCATAAGCATAGGAATACAAGAACAAAAACATACACGGAGTTGGCTGTGTGTATATTTTATGCCTTTGTGCCTTCGTGGGTTTATATACAACAGATACAAAGTTCCTGATGCTTTTGAACACACACAGGCAGCCACACACACTAGACTCACACACACACTAGAGGACTACAAGCGCAGAGGAATAGAGTTACAGCGCACTGATTATCACATGCTGTATTACTGTATGCCAGGGGAAGCCTCAGTGCCCCTGAGCAATGCAGAGGAGATGTGAGCAGAGAGCAGCATCAGGCGGAGTGATACGTTGTTGGGGTTCATGATGAGCACCTGCACCTTCAAATGTCTCCACTGTGCAAACTTTGGAAGGGCAAGCTTCCAGTATCCTGTGCTCAAGCCTCCCCCTCCTCCTCACTTATTCTCTCTCTCACTTTTCTGTGAATTTATAACTGAAAAACCTCTGCAGAGATGCACACGCTTCAGCAGAGGAACTTGTCTCTGCTTTTGAATAATACAGTCGTGGAGCCGATTCAGGAATGTGGAATTAAAAAAAAAAAAAAGCTAAGAAAAAAGTGCAAAGGGGAGGTTTGACTGAGTGCATACTGAAGTGGTGGTTTTCCACTGGTTTCAACTTAGAATAAAATACAAAAAAGTGACAAAGAGAAAAAAGTAAGATCTTACATCTTATAAAAAACAGGTTTACTCTGACTCACCTGCTCAGAGACATAAACAGTCCCTGTGACTTCAGAGTGACACTTTAATGTGGCAACTTCTCTGTGGAAAAGTTCTGCTTTTATGTAAAAAAAAAAAAAAAGAAGCAATATAAAAATTTCATTTTTTTCTCCTTGACTTTTCAACAACTCATTTTATTACTAGTGCCTTTGTTTTTCTTATTTTATTATCTAACATAAAACTGGAAACAAAGGAATAGGAAAGTAATAAAATGATGAATATAAAAATAATAGATATACAATGATGGTAAAAAAAAATAGTTGATTAAAAAAAAACATTGTATTAATTTTTTACAACCCACTCCTTATCTCTACTCCTTCTCACTTCATTTCCACACCACCTTGTCAAAAATCAAAACATCTTGAGATTTCATTCTCTTCTACCTATGGTCTGTTTTCACAGCAGTGGCGCTGCATAAAGAGGAAGCTTGATGTTAATTCCTTTGGTGTCAAAACAAGAAGGATTACAGCTAGTGCAACCAGCTGCACTCAGAAAACAATGGCACAACTTGACAGGATGGAGGAGAGTTCCAACAGTAGTCAGAGCATTTACAGAAGGGACAGAGTTATGTTCAGCTTATCATGTCTACTACAGCCAGGAGCTGGAGGGGTAACCATCGACGTAGTCAGTTCAGATCTCTGGTATGATGATAACTATTTTTTTTTTTAATTATTATTATGCTACAAACATAAAAAATCAGTTTGGTCAATGCTGCACTTAAAACGACGGGTAAAAAGGCAAAGATATCTTTCATTTATTTCTAATACAATGCTGAAAAGCATTGATACAGTATACAGTGAGGCTGTCAACCAATATTCTATATTCAAATATATATTTGAATATTTAAAAAAACGGGATTCAAATGTGAAAATTAATATCAAAGAGCAGGAAAAAACTGAGTGGGAAAAAAAAACCAGTGGTATCTTTGTGAGTGAGTGCACTATGATGACAGGTCAGGGACAAGTCACAGGTGATGTACTGGCAGTGAGACTCAACAAAAACCATCCATGGCTCATGCAGAGAGAGATGGAGGGATGTTTTCAGAGCCAAACTTGGAGAGAGTGGTCTGGACGCCAACGAACTTTAGAAGCTCCATTTGTAAATTCTTCGGATTTTGGGCAGACACGGTAAATGGAAAAAAAAGGGAGCGAGATAAAGATATGTGCAAGCTGTGTAAGCTAGATATTTGAATATGTTCGAACCTATGTGTTATTTTTAGAGCAAATATTCCAACGTAATTTTGGAACAATTTTGACAGCCCATATACAGATCTGTGATTTTCGATTTTTATACCCTAATATACTCCCCAAACACCCAGGTGCCTTTTCTCAGAACCTTCTTCTGCCACTTTTCAATTTAAGGACTCCATTAAAGCATGCATAATTGTATTTTTCTCGTTTCTGCCCTGACAGCCAAAGTCTGCTCTGAATGTTTTTGTCTCCTCGCACCGTCTTGTTACATTTACAAGTCAAACAGCAATCTGTTGCTTAAAACTTCTCATTAAGCTGCACAGCTCAACTCTCAAAGGTAAAGTAAACTATGGCTTACATAAACAGCATTACAAGCAGTGTGTCTTCTTCTCTGCTTTGATGACGGACTGAAAGCATGAGTTTGCAGTCTTAATAAATGCAAATTTTGGATGCAAATGAGCAGGAAAGAAGCTTTAAACTGGCCTTGAGATTACATAATCCTGTTTGCAGCGTACGCTGCAAGATTTCAGCTCTGAACTCTCCTTGAATTAGCGTTGCAGACGTTATGCACATGGTTGACTGGAAGAGCCTGGAAACCCAACAGCTCAACGATCTTCCTCAGTTTTGAAGAGTATTTTATATTTGTCAGAGGATGAAACAGATGAATATCAGTGTATCTGAAGTGTGCTGCAGTGCAAGGCTAGACACAGGGACTATCAAACATGATATTAATGCTGTCTGGGGAGAAACCTTGTTAAACAGCCTGCTTTCACATGCCACCCTGTTCTTCCTTCTTTTGTTGCCTACACTCAATGATTTTGTGCCAATAATGACTTAAAATAAGAAGCATAATGGTGAAGGTTGCATTGACAAGCTGAACTTCAAATGAAGATCTGTTTCAAAGAGGCCTGAAGAGTGTTTGCCTTTGAAAAGGTGTCACTTTCAGTGGTGGTTGGAAAACAACTTTGGTCGTGCTGGAGAACTTGGATTTCACACTTTTACATCAGACAATCACTGTGAAAGCTGCTTCTAATGACAAGATTTCTCTTTGTCTAAAGACCTTAAGTGACAGCACTCAAAGTCCTATCAATCTGACTCCTTTTTTGTTCCTAACTACACCAGAATAATCGAGAGAACAGGAGAAAAAAATGAATTTCTTTCTTTTACATCATACAGAGTGCTGCTTTAAAAATAACAGCACATCTCTCCGTGGAAAACTTCAAACGCCATCACTCAAAACAGAGTGTAAGGTCTTTGAGGGGCCATGTGAAGTACAAGATGATGTTATCATTTATACCATTATTGTTATTATCATTAACAAAGATTTACAGAATGAGATCTGAGAAATCATTTCTAATCCCAAAGGTCAAATCACAGAGCAGAATATATTTTTTTTCCTGTTGTGGACTCTTTAACTCTTCAGATCTTTCCCTTGATTTTCAACTTCCCATTATTCCCAGACTCAAAGAACAATCTCTCACCTTCTTTGCAGCATCGATACACTTCATATACTCTTTGGCCAGGTCTGAACACTTTAGGGTCTGATCTCTGTTGGCTCGGTAACAGGATAAAATCTGAGCCTGGACGCCAGCACACACAGGCAGGGTGTTGCGATGCCTGAAAAAGAGAGAAGGACACACAGGAAGATGCAACAATTAGTGGAGTGAACAGATATGCAGTCAGTCAGTCTCATTTTTTCACCATCACTCAAAGAAACATTTCTAAAATGTGCTTCAGAAGAACCAGATAATTCAAACACAAAGATCCTGATTACACCGCAGACTTTTCTTTTGCAAATATAAGTGAAGTTTGGGGATTTCTCAGGGTTTGATTCAAATTTTTTTAGAGAGAGGAGGTTTCATTTTGATCAAAGAAGACTTTTTGATTTAGATTCTGAAGTTTATATGGAGAGACGGACTCAGAAAGCATGGAGAAGCAAGATTTATCCTAATATCCAAAGACCAAATTCATGTTGACACATTTTAGTTGGGCCCTTTTCAAGGTGCAAAAATTGCATTTAGCATCTTATCACTGGGTCACTCTGCAACTCCCAACCCAACTAAACACTGTCAAAAAATCACCACAACATATCCATGTTTCTAAATGCATGAAAAATTATTAAACATAATAATTGGGGGAAAGCTCTTGTTTTAGTCTACGGTATAGTTCATTAGTGCAGGACGATTAATCAAATTTTAATCATGATTTCGATTTTGGATTCTTATGATCATAAAAACATTATAATTGAAGAAAGATGATTAATGCGCCGCACGGTGCAGCGTGTATGTTAGCTCCTGTGCTTGAAAAACACTTGAATGCACCCCTGTTCTGTGCAGCTGCAGCAAGTGTGCGACATGTGTGGATCATTAAAACGAGGCGCGATTAAAAACATGGCAGGAAGGCCGTTTTTGGTTGAGAAGTAAGATAAGACAACTTCAGAAGTGATTTCAATATCAGTCAAAATAACCATGATAACTATTTTTGCCATAATTGTCCAGCCCTTTGGTATATGCATGTGGTCCTGACATGACATTGTCTAAGTTGTGGATTGCTGGTCGAGTTCAGTTCTTGCAGCGAACAAAGAAGTGAAAGACAGATTATTTTTTCAAAAAGTATCAGATATTTGTGGTCTGACAAAACGAGGCAAGACAAACCAAAGAAGAATTAATACCCTCACTCCCACCAACCTGTTCAAAAAGCTGTGGCGTGCAAAGAATGTGCTTCAATGCAAATCATGCAATTAGTGCTAAATCGCATTTAATTGAGTGGGCAGGATCGTTCTGATCAAATACAGCAGAAAAGTGAGCTTTGAGAGATTGAATCAGCCGTGCTTAATTTGATATGTGGGCTGTATTATAATTGGTCTTTGCCTGTCTATCTGTGTGATTGTTAACTATGACAGGCCTGCTGCCTGGGTGCCTCTCTGTAATAGATTCTGACTGATTGAAGCAGAGACAAGCCTGTTACGTTCGCCCACGCAGGTAGGAAAAGGCACATGCACAAATGTACACACCCCCACACATACATACTTTGTAGTAGACTGTAAACAGTGTTCACACACGCGCACGGTTCTCCTCCACACTGTGCTGCGTACACGCTTTCTCAGCGAGAAGCGTTTAACACCAGGTTTAATTGAAAGCCGAATTAAAGGCTCTTTTTGGCTTTGATTCGCGGAGGAGAGCTGACCTCAGCGTTTCAATTACAGCGTATCAACATCCGCACATGCACACAGATGCCATTCATCATCAGCAGCAGTATCATGGAGTTTATCTGCGTAGGGGTGACGGAGGTTAAAGAGGAAAAACGAACGGAGACGGAGAGAAAAACATATAAAGGAAACATGAGAGATAAAAAGATGAAGGAGAAGGAACGAAGCATCCATTGGTGTTGTATCACAGGAACATTTCAAGAAGATGACAGCCAATCAGATTAACCCCCCCCACACACACACACACACACACACACACACACACACCACCTCCAGTGGTTTATCTTGCCTCTTTAATCTGTCTACTTTTTGTCTCTGTCTTCTCTCAAACTCAGTCTCCTTTCTCACTTCTCCCCTCGCTCTCCCCCTCTTTCTTTTCTCTCATCACATTAACAACACAGAGAGGACGACACCAAGGCGCGCCATCTTTATCTCACTCTCCGTTTGAGGCTGCCGAAGATAAGGAACTCTCCTTTAATTTGAAATAAATGGCCTTCATCAGGGAAGCCGAAGCCTCCTGATAGCGCTGCGTGGTTTATTAAAGGCGCTTGAAGCAGAAAATTGGCTCAGCCGCAGCAAAAGCTCAAGCTCTGTCCACATGCTACGACAAATTGAAGGTGAGGTTTTAAATCAACAATATTAACTGAGCCGCTTACAAAATAAATAAATAAAAATAGAGCGAGTGAGAGGGAGGGGAGCTCTCGCGTTTTTAAGCTGGAAAGAGGTAAAGCAGTGTCCCTGACAGCCTGTTGAGCCATGTACAGGGATGCTGTTTGTTTTCAATGTGAGCGTGGCGCCGTGAAAACATTCCCAGTCATTTTTGGGAGAGTTTTCCACGCATCCATGAGCGGTAAATATGACAAAACATAAACAGTCAGATTAGTTGCTTAATTAATGGTGCTGCCCATTATTTTTAATCTCCGTCGGCGAAGGCGGAGGCGTACTGCACACAGAGGCCTCAGACTTGCGGAGCACGCAGACCAGCTTACCGAGACAAAGAGCGGGAGAGGAATGAAAGGAAAGAAATTGGAAAATGGAAAAGACACAAAACACACCGCTGACTACAAAAGCCTCTGGCAAAGCTACAGGACTGATAAGGAAGATGCTTTTATCGCCTCTAAACCACGCTTCTGTCTGAGTTAGACTGATGTTTTTTTGTGTTTTCCTTAATAGCCTTGGCTATACATATGAAACATTGTTTGTCCTGCATGCCATTTTATTTCCATCTTGTCAACTACAAAGTGTTGCTATCTGTTCTGTGTTTCAGGCAGCTAATTAGAAAATCTTGTTAACATCTTGCAGAAAGCGCCAGTGGGGAAAAAATGAGGAGAATCCATTAATGTGACTGACTTAAGGGCTACAATACAGTTTCAGTGAAAGTCTGCAACGTCTGGCTGGTGTGCCAACACAGGCGTGTGTTGTGTCATATGTTCGATAGTTTGTCCTCTACTTTTTTTTTATTACTATTATAAAAGCCTGGCTTTGGTTGTCTTTGTTATTGCCATTTTTTAAGTCATATTCATACTAATTCAATAGTAATGCCATTTAAATTAAATGTCAAGCCAGAGCAAGAGTGACGTGAACCTGCTGTCTTTAATGGGGAACTGAAGGAGACCGGTTGATACAAAAAAAACAAAAAAAAAACAAAAACATCCTCATGCAGACATTGCCAGACTCTGGCCACCTACAGAAAGGGAATGTAAGTAATACGGGAAGGAAGCATTCACAGCCTCACTTCCCCATAACTACTGAAGAGGATTATGGCCACTGGAAATAAAAAAAAAAACAACAAAGAAAAAAAAGGACCAATATAATTTTTAAAAATAGTTATTCTGAATTTAAAGTCAAAATTCAGAGAAAAAGTTAGAATTAAAGTCTGAATTCTGAGTTTAATCTCAGAATTCAGATTTTTTTTCTAGAATAATAATTAAAAATATATATATATGAGCTTTTTTTTTTTTTGTTTGTTTGTTTTTGTTTTTTTCCAGTGGCCCTATTCCTCTTCCGTACATAACAGTGCACACAAATGCCTGTTATATCTAATGGCTGGCACTGATTTTAAAAATAAATCAGGATTAATCAAAATGAAAAATGGTCATAGGTCAAACTATCAATCCTGTCCTCTAACTCTGATATTTGGTGAATTATGTGCTCAGTGTCTTCCACAATATCTTTTTAAAGCTTTTCTCTTAACATCATTCCAAATAATAGAAATGCAGATATCTAGGATTTCTTGCAGTTCTTCAATCATTTTCATAAAGCACATAGGTTCCGTAGTCAATATGTCCGAGACACAGAGAAAAAGAAGTGTGCATGAGTCTCTTTCACCCTAAAAAACCTCAATGCTCTGCAGGGTGAGGATGAAAGAGTGGAAGAGAGGAAAACAGGTCCATCCTTATCTGTTGAGGTTGGAAATGACATTTGACGTGTCAGGGAGTCCGAGTTACTGAACGCTCTGCTTCGACATTACCAGTTTGATTAATACTGGTGCAGAGGAGAAGTAAAGAGAGGCAGGGAGAGGATAACAAGTGAGAAAAAGGGCAGGAGAGGTGAAGAGGAAAACAGCCAGAGAGACAGAGTTGCCTCTTATCTCTTGCTTGTAGCTAGTATGCACCTGTACCCTGACAGCTTTTCAATTGACTGAGGGCACACATCCACTTCTCCCCTATCTTGTATCTCCACACTCCTTCACTTTTCCATCTCTCCATCCCTATCACAAATACAAGCAGGAAGAGAGTCTCCTCCATGTGCTGGTACTTCACTTCGGCTCTTGTAAACAGTGACACAGAGGTGAAGCTCTTTCGCTCAACGTCTCTCACACTAACCACGTCTTTGTGAATGCTGTACTGCTGAACTATATTCCTTTTCAGTTTTACAGCTTCAATAAACACACACTCTCGGCAGTTGCTAAAAACCCTTTCAAATACAGACTCACAGGTGTTTTTGGGCTCTTGATGAAAGGAGAAGGGTGGAGGTAGGGCTGCACGATTAATCGATTTTAAATCATAGACGGATTATTTGATTATGATGATGTTAAAAAATTTTTCCTCTTTATCATGTCTCGTGCCTCCAGGCCACCGTAGGCACACCAGTTCCCATACAAACCAGTGTAAACAAACATGATGTTTGCAAAAGAAGGCGATAATTTTGCGGCTAAATAGGGCAAGAGTAAATCAGTCATGTGGAATTGGTACGGTTTCGCAGTTTCGCATGAAGAGCAAACCACTCCCCACTACAAAGTCTGTCTGAAGGCATGACAACCCGTCCACACGGAAACAAATTCAGGAGTAAATGCTAAAGTTTCTGTCACATCGGGGTTTCATTCACACGGAAACAGAGTTTCGGGTGACCGTAAATGGTACTTTTTGAAAAAGGGTCAGATTGCATAAATCCGTCAATGAGAGTGGATGACTATCTGCAGCTCTCTTGAAAAGATCATATGACACTCTTAACTCCTTTACGGCGCCTGCATGTGTTCAGCCAAAACAACCTTTATATGCATGCTCTGTACTCTTCTTCTGTCTTTTGTGCATTTCCTCGACAGCGTTACAGCGCCACTTACTGGCCTGGCATATGCACTACATTGTTTTTAGTGGTTTTGTTTTGAGAGATGATAGAAAAACGTTTTAATTTTGAAGTTAAGTTTGGTGAAGTTGTCACTGAATAAAAAATCAAAATTGGAAATCGAGTGTTCAGAGAAAAAAAAACAGGTTTTTGCTTTTGGACAAAATCGTGCAGCCCTAGGTGGAGGTGAAGAATACTGGTAAAAAAAAAAGGGGGGGGGGGCAGATAGGTGCTGGACAGGAAGAGGACTGGCAGTGCAACTTAACTGCTGAAATATTTCATGTGAAAATGCAGACTATCAGTGAAGTGCAGAGACACGACAAACCCTGTGCTTCACTCTGTTGAGGATTTGGGCAGCTGTGATCAACGGTTAACTAGCTGGTGACAGCTGAACGGTATTTTTGCTCACGATGCCTCACCTTTTCCAGAAACAAGACATGCAGCTGTGTTGTATTTGCCGGTGCTGTGCCGCTGATATCATATTGGCTCCAGTTGTAACAATATTTAATTTGGTAATTGGCCTTGTCAGTAATGCATGCATAAACACAGCGAACACATGGTAATTAGCTCACAAGCAAGGCAGCTGTAAGTAAAAACAGGGTGTAGAGCTATTTGGAGGTGACAGGAACAAACTGCACCACTTGGATCAAATTCACTGTGTGGCCTCATCGACATACCAATCCAAATCTGCTCTATTTCTGCTCTCCTCTACCACAGAGCTGAACGTTTAGTGTCATGAAATGTATAAAAAGGAAAAGTAGGGTCCATATTCAGTGAACCACACCGAGTAAAAACAAGTGCTGCATCTTGGTCTGCGTTTGAAACTTTTGGCTCTGAGCTTGTCAGTGTTCCCGACTTCTTCACTGAGTGATATCCGTAGGCTGGTACACAGACTGGGAGGATCTGACAAAGGCCAGCTATTAAGGCTAGATGTACCACTACAACAACAGACAGTTTGCCTTGTTAAAAAGCCTCGGATTCTGACCTGAGCAGAAAAGACACAGGTTTCTGCCTTGTCTGTCTTGTCTCGCTATCATTCTTTCTCTTTCAGCTGTGAAGGCGAGGCTGTCTCCCTCGCTCCCTACATAAAACGCACCTGGACTCAAAAGAAAACGGCCTCTATTTTCTTGTCTTTTTCACTTTATCTCTGATTCCATACCCACATACGGCCTGTTTAGTTACCAATGTGTGTGTCTTATCTCATATTCAGAGTTGGAAAGTTTTATAATGGCCTAGAAGTGAAGGCGACTGTTGAGATTCACCTTCTGTTTTGGGGGGAAGTTGACTGCTCTTGTGACACCACACCAGTCACTGAGCCGAGAAGCTGTGCTGAACTATTAGCAAAAGTCTGGCTCTACTTTGTTGCAGAGTTACACATTTATGTGGATCACAAGGCAGTCTATCAGTTTTTCAGCTGCTGGAGTCCCACTCAGGTACAGGGAACAACAAACAGCTGTGGATGGGACTGCAGAATATCAATATGAGATGGGACTTTTATAGTAAGAGGGGGCAGTCCTCTGAGAAACAGGGTCAAATGGACTCATCAGTTTTGTTTACCTTTTTTTCTTCCTTACAAAATTTTGAAATTTAAAGTTTAAAATATTGACAGTGAAATAATACTGGAATTCTCTTTTTTGTTTATATGCCTCTCACTTTAACAGGGTTGAGTTACAACAGAAGCCAGCAGAGGCCTGATTATTGGATGTGTTTTGCCAGATTATCCTTGGGTGTGAGCTGTTTTAAGAGTGATTTGTCCTCTTTCAGATCTGTGCAAAAAACAGACGGAGCGTCTTCAAAATTAAATTGAAAATATAAACATTGAATATTAATAGTGCAACCAGAAATACACTTTGCACTTTGTCCATTGCCAGGTGGAACAAAGATAAATATGCGAAACATAAACTGAAATGGGAGTTAGAAATACTAAACCTACTTGTTGATACATGGTAGCAACATGAGTGAATGACAACGGGGGTAATGAAGAGAGATTACTACAGCAGAGGATATACCAGGAAGCTACACAGCTAGTAAACATTAGCTCCTACAGTCCGCCATGTTTGTTTACTCTGATTAGGTGTGATTTGATGTGCTATCCAGTTTTGATGATCTTTTCAAGCTGCAGAGTCTTAATGAGTGTGGTGTGCTATGTTTCTCGCGTTGTTGCATAGGAACAAAGCGGTTAAATCTGTCATCATTTGTTGTCATGTCCGAGGTCCCTGATGTTTTAAAAAATCTTTTCGTGAGTGCTGGGATTCAAAATTAACCTGACTATCACATAAAAATATGTATGTTTTTCATTTATTTACTTTGTTTATTTTAGATTAATTATGAGAGTAAAAATAATCACAGTTTTTAGTCAGGTAAATGTCATTTTTAAATGTGGTTTGGGTGCAGCTGTCCTGCCTCAGAGCAAGTAGAAAAGACTGGATGAACTCGGCCTGGTCAGGTGTGACTCTGAAAGGATAAACATTTTTAACTGTCATACCCTGACATTCAGAGACACCACGAGTGGTCTGTTTTTGGACTTTTATACCTTCAACTTTGCACCAAAGAATGAAATGTGTTTCAGTTCAGTCTGGTAGCCAATTATTTGTTGTTGTGTTTGATGATTGTAAGCTATGGTGAAGCGGATCAGCCAGGTCTCTGCAGGGTTGGACATCCCAGCTGTGCAGTATAAACCTGTTCTCTCTACAGGATAGTTGACAGTTAAGAGAATGTGTTCAACATGTCAGGTTAGTTAACTTCTTTCTCACTGAACATTTTTCCTCCAAGTTTTGTGCAGTTTTTTGTTTATCTGATATTTAACTTCATGCACTTTTCGTTGTGTGTGAAGCATAACGATGGGAAAGCAAAATAATGTGACATTCCTTCCAAAAATATGGAACAGCTTTGAGATATCTGGTGGTTATTGAACTTTAGGATTTGGAAACGAATATTGTTCCTGCAAATTTGAAGTTAGTACGGATAAAGTGATGCAAGAGAGTGATAGAAAAGTTAGGGAGGTTGTTTTTTCTGATTTTCTTTGGGGTTGGACGGTTCTGAGAGCTACAGGTTGTTGTCAGCCTGGCTTCTTTCATTTTCCTCCTTCATTCTTATGCACATGTGCACACACATTAAAGTGAACGCTCTCTGCTTCTGTCAAACTTCAGAGTGCTGGCAGCAAAAGTCTCTGTTTTGCTCGAAGGATTAAACTGTGGATTACTGCAGAACACACACACACACACAGACACAGACACAGACACACACTCACATACTTTTACAGAATGACACAGACGGTGGAGCCAGGGGGTGGATTCAAGTCACCCACATCATATTTTACAGTAGCTTTGTTCTACAGCTCTGCACCCAGAGAAGCTTCACTCCAACAGTTCATAACACAAAACCAAAGTCTGTCTGAAGTTTCTGACTGATTACTCGACAGTTTTAACACATAGAAATGTAAAAACATGGCTCTGTTTTCTGGTCTTTTTAAGGCTAACTCTGTTTTAAATAATGACATTGTAAAGCTGGAGCACAAAGTTGATGTGCATGTAAGACATTTGAAAATCGATAAAAAACATTGTTTACTCTAGTTCAATGAGAACCTTTACTGTCTGTTATTTACCTGCCAAAATCCTATTTCAGTTTTTTTCATCATGAATTGTCTTCTCTATCTTAAATCGGGACTTTTGTGCTCGTGAAATGCTGCCATCTTTTTCTGTAGTTACTTTGAAAAAAAAAAAAAAAAAAAAAAAAAACACCTTGCAGCTGTGCTTGTAGTCAAACTGTTGATTGTGGCTGTACTTTTTCTGAGAAATACTCTTACTTTTAAAGCCGACTCCACTTTTTAAGAAAAATTGTATTCTTTTTGACGGTACATTTATGATTTTTTTTCTTGTAATTTTCCCACTTTGATCTCAGAGAATGTTTTAGTTTATTTCTGGTTCATATACGTGTTTAAAATCCAAAATTTCAAGTTACTTTGTGTTAGAATTTAAGTTGAATTAAATTCATATATACAGAATGTCTTTCAGCATATAAACTAATGTGTAAACCTTTTTTCACAATCGAGGTATGACTTATTCACGATGAGTTACAACAATAATGGTCATCAACGATCACAGTGAAAACTGCTTTTGCCATTAACACACTACTGGTCCATTTTTGAAACACTCCATTTATAAAGCACACTCAGATAGCAGACACACACACATTTATCCTCACACTTTAATCCACTCATTTAAGTCACAGTGCTTAGTTACCCAAGGTCAGGGTCAGACCAGATTACAGAATGAATGAGAGTCTAATCTACTCCTTAACAGCTGTAAAAGCAGCATATAATTGATTGTTCAGGTAATACCATACAGGAAAAGTAGATCACTTTACCCTCTACGATTAAAGAAAACCATTCTTTATAAAGCCCCCCCCACACACACACACACACACATATACACACACACACACAAACATACACACACATACATACATCAGTACTCTAACCATGTTCAGAGGATTAACAGTATTACCCTCGGGTACAGTCACCTCTTTTTTTAGCAAAGATCAAAATCAGGTAGTATTGCTTTAAATCTGACTGTAATGGGCTGTTTGTAATGCTAAACTGCTGATAACAGCATTCAATTAGATTACATGTGAACTACAAAGCTGGGCTGTGTGGAGCGGCGAAAACAATGTAGAGATTTGTGTGAATTTGTAGAAACTATTCTATCTTCCAGTCCCTACAGAAGATGTTTCATTGGTCTCCAACTTAGTATCTTTGTCTTTTTTTCTGCTCTAAAAATGGGCGCCTTAATCCAGACTCTTGGACTTTTGGAGACAGCCTCAAGTGGACACTAAAGGAACTACAGCTCCTGCATTGGTTTTGATTTTTAAGACTAGAGGTTGCCTCTCTGGGTCAAAATGCAGAAGGAGCTAGGACATTAAAGAACTGCACATTGACACTGAAATTGTCAAAGCAGGTATCTGATCAAATAAAATGGAAATCCTTTTTTTATGGATTTAAAAAAATAGGTTGTTCATCCAAATGTGAATGTTTGCAAAATAAGCTGCACACAAAACATTTGCTTTGTTCTGTTATGTGGTGAACTTAAAACAATGACCATCATGAGCAGTCATCAAGAGTGCAACCTACAAACCTCTGTCCAATATCCACTCTACTATCCACTATCATACTGTTAATATAGCCTCTCAATGCTAAAGTCTCTTTTTAACTGAGTTTGATAACTACAAGCAACACTTTAAATGACTTAAGTTGGCTTATCTGTCTACATTACAATGCATGTACAAAGTCTGTTATTGGATAGGCAAAGAAAAACCCATCTGAAATAAGAGCAGCAGATTAAATAAACAGAAGTTGGTACGTGAACAGTAAACAGTTCATCAGTTCCTGTATCATAACAATTTCTTATCTTGTACATGCACAAGTTTACACTATTATCAATGTGTTTTCTTTTCACTCAAAACCCTTTCTGAAACATTATTGTCCATAAAAAGTTTGTTTTTAATAAAGACTGGTTGAACTCTGACATTTGTAAGTGACTTTACTGATACCAACTTAAACCTTCACCTTTGCTTCGAAACGAGTTTGGCTAACCTGGAGACGTGTTAAATTTGTTTGGTCTTTTGCATGCTTTTTTTTGCTGCTGTACTTCCTGTACACATCTAGTACATGTCTTAGTAAAGATCTAAGAGCCTGACAAAGAAGATTGTAATAAAACAATTCCAACTATAGTTTGCAATCATGCCAACATAAGAAAAACTACTGAAAACTTTAACAGCAAAAAGCTGGCACAAAGCTAGACTCTGGTCAGGAATAAGGACATACTAACACACAACAAACACCTATGTTGTGTGTTTTGCCCTAACCCATATAAGCTTGCATTAATTGCTTGTTTCTCCTCTGAGTTACACACATAAACCCGGTATAGCAGCAGGTCGAGGTTTGGTTTCTAATGTTGATTTCAGTAGGAGGTTTTGCAGACAGCAGTGGCCATAATTAGCTACCTTTTTCCTTAGCTGGGGCTCATTACAAGTCTAGAGTGAGAAACAAGGATAGTGAAACAGTATTGTTAAATTGAGCTTAATTAAAGCAGCCAATTAAAACACTTATCACATTAGTCAGGTGTGCTCCAGAGAACATTTGCATTTAACTGGTTAAAAATGAGGAAAAGAGCAGATCACTATCTGTCGTTGCTTATTAGTCTGCTGTGTGTGTGTGTGTGTGTGTGTGTGTGTGTGTGTGTGTGTGTGTGTGTGTGTGTGTGTGTGTGTGTGTGTGTGTGTGTGTGTGTGCGCAAATATACGTGTGAGGCAGCAGTGGGTGTCCAGGGCCCAAGGGAATAATATCTTCTCACTTTTAGAACAGTGAATTAGTTAGCCTATGTGTTACTCTGTTTGTGTGTATGTGTTGCATTTGAGTGTATGTATTGTATGTGCGTGTCTTACCCCACGTTTACTTCAGCCTCGGAGGCAGCTTGGTGGAATTGCTCCTTGCTCTGTTCATATTTTTCCAAATTCTAAAGACAGACAGGAAAAAAAAACACATCATGTTAGAGTTTTTCTCCCAGTTCATCATGAGTGTCTGAGAGTTTGATCTTTATAATCTTGTATGATCGAGAGTGAGCGTAAACAGGGGACAGCTCTTTTGTTACTACAGTCACATTGAGACTTTTTGGGCCACAAATACAACAGTAAAAAGAGGTCTATGCAGCTTCTGACTACTACCTGTGACGCCAGTAACTCCAATAAGTCCACTTTTTTCAGTAACGAGTAATCTAACGCGTTGCTATTTCCAAACCAGTGATTAGATTTAAAATACCTGTCCAAGTCACAGTGTACTTTACTTTTTACATGTGCACACACTTAAAGCAGCCGAGACAGAACAAACATAAACAACAATGGTGGGAGGAGAGAGATGCGCGTTCTCAAGCTGGAAATACAGCCAGACTTTGTGTTAGCTAAAGATAACAATAAAAAAAATAGATTTTGTAAGTCAGTAAAGATGTCTTTATTTATATCTTATAAAAATAAATTGTTAATGTTTGTCAGCCAAGACAGACTATCCAAAAAAAACAACAAAAAAAAACAAACAAACAAAAAAAACGTATTTTTTTGACATCCGTGTTAAAATGACACTTCCAATAAAGTGAGTGTTGGAAAGAAAATGGTTGTCATTTATAAGTTGAGGCTGCTGAATGTAACTTAAAAAGTAACTTATTATCTAACTTAGTTACTTTTAAAATCAAGTAATCACTTAAGTAACCAAGTTACTTTTTAAAGGAGTAATCCGTAATCAAATTACTGTTTAAAAGTAACTGTTCCAACTACCCATACCAACAGTGTCTGTGTTGCACGTACGCACGCTGTCATTTACTTATGAATCAGCTTGGGCGTATTGGTACTAAGCGAGGTTTATGGATTACATAGGGCACCTTTCTCTCTTCAGCTCCTGACAGCAGCATAAACCTTTCATGATTAAACATGCAAACATAACTTTGCTTTTTTCATGTTGCAGTACTTCAACAGAGCTGTGAGAATTGCTGTGGACCGCACAAAATAACCACACAAAGGTTGGCTAAGCCTGACATGAGTAACAAAGAGCTTTCTTGCAATGGAGGAAGCGCATCCAGCATGATGAAGGATTTACCTCAGCACGTTGCATTCAATGTGCTGGAATTATGTGTATTTTCATTGTGGAAAAAAAATCCATATGAACTTTTTGGGGTGTCTTATTGTCCCAGCAATAAAGGCAGGATAATATTTGTTCCTCAAGGAGTCAATATTTTTGTTCTCTCCTAGGACACTGGAACAATCTTGAAATAGTAGGCAGCCTTTCCAAGAAAACATTTAACCACTGGGGAAGGTAGCGATTTAGAAAGTGCTCTTGTGGATCATAAAACATGGTGGGAACAAGATGCTCCAAATACCATTTAGGAGATACCAAAAGCAAACTGAAATTGTCAAAGTATAGAAAAGTGTTGACCAAATGTAAGGAAAAACAAATATGGAATTACTTATGTTGTGATTGTAATGGATGATATTCAGGAACACAGTCATTACTGAAGCACTGAGTCAAACATTTTAAATAACATCAATAATGAACCTGAAGAAAAGTAAAGGATTGTGGGAACTGTGCTTGTTTGCCAAGAGTTAGATGGAAATAGTCTTAAATGCTCATGTCTGTGTCCGTAACAAAAACATACAGCCAGCGCCTTCCTTCCTTGGAATAAAGACTGGAAACTGGGGGGAAAGTAGGTTTGACCAAAGTTAGTGCCAAAGCCCATTTAAAGGTAAACTACTGTTTTCATCCTCCATTTTTAGAAAACTGAACTGGAACTAGCTGTCAAGTGAGTTCCTGGAGTGCTAGCAGATGAATCACTGCTTCTTATGACAGCGAATCAAACTTTCACTTCCTGGAAACTGTATTAATTCATAATGCTATTACTTCAACAGAGACTCTGTCATACACTGTGAAAGTAAAAACAACAAAATAGCATTAAATCCATCACCCCTCTGTTTCTCCTAATGTGTGTCTTTTAGTTTAGTTCTTAAAAATCCTCCCATATGACCACCAATGTCTTTGCCAATCTGTTTGTCTTCCTTTTCAATATTTTCACATCCCCTTTTCTCCTTTTCTTGAAATTTGTGCCTCCTTGACTTCTTTGAGGAACAAATTTCTCTGAGTCAATAACAGCTCTGTACTTTCTCAGTCTTAACCCAAACCTTCAGCATAAAAGAGAAGTTTTCAAGTTATTCAATCAAAGGACAACTTTGAGCTTCCTGCCTCTTCAAGCAAAGCTGGAGCGCAGTCGTCATGAGTTGTGTTACTCATATCTTTTTTTTTTTTTTTTTAAGAAATCGTGATATTGCAGCTTGCCCGGTGAGCACCAAACTCCAAGCAAGCAGGCAGTGGTATTATGATAAAACAAGCAGCTAATCCACAACAACTGCAGCCTTTCCTTTCGCTGATCCTCCTTAGGCCTTCCAGCACTCGGCATCTCCCCCCAAATATTTAAGCAGCAAACTGTACCAGCTGGGGAGGGAGGGATGACAGGGAAGGGAAAGACGAAAAAAAGCAAAGAGGGAGGTAGGAGGAAAATCAAGAAAAAGAGGCAGCAGAAGGCACAGCAGTGAGAGTTGAGAGGATAGAGAAGAAGGATTGAGGGAGAAGAGAGTGTGATAAGTGAGCGTACGCGTATATGTAAGTAGGCAAGATACAAAAGGAGTTCTGCCCGTGACAGATGTACTCTATAGCTCACTCTGGGGTGTTAAATTTGAATGTAATTGAGGAAAGAATGGGTTTTACAACACAAAGCAACATACGTCTGAAATAACATTTACATAAAGCAAAACGTTCCTTTGTGGGACAATGAGACGAGAGTGGAGTGAGTGAAGCTGCTGTGAAACGTGCAGCCACAACAATGTTTCCGGTCAATTGAGGTTAAATATCATTCCAAACGGCTGCCAAATACAGCCATTATGTTAAACGCCAAAACCAACAGTGGAACAAAATATACTTTGCAATTGTGGAGTTGATAATAAACACAGTTGGCTAACAATGTGAATAAACGTAGACAGATGGGACTTAAAGCCCTTACATTTCTTCCAACTTGGGCCAAAAATAGTCCAAATTTTGTTAGCGCATATGAGGAAAGAGCTGCGTTCAGTGAAGGAAGTTTTAACCCTGGACTGTATTTGTACATAATATGTGGTTTAAATGATTCAAAAGTTTTTAAACTGTTCCAGATGATTGTATTCTGTTTTAACTCTGTCATGTCATGGCTGTATTTGGCTGCTGTTTTGAAAGATATTTAACGTGCCCTTTATGTTATTATTATGTTTATGTTATTATGATGTTTAAAGTCACAGGGACACCTTGACAGAAGCGATGCATGGTATACTGAAATAAAAGTACTTTTTCTTTGCTTTTTATCATAAACAGTATGTTATTAGAATTTCCTGACATGCAGTACTTTATGCAGCAATTTGAACTACTTTTTAGGTCAAGTGGTTCAAAGTGGCTCTGATGTAGGTGATTGAGAAAGACACCTTTTCTGGAATGAGAGGATTAAATATCACAACATGCATCTCAACAAGGCAGCAGCATCACCTAAAATGGCATTTCATACTGATAATGACTTGTGTCTGTCTGTTTGTCTATGTCCGTCTCTTTGTACAGCGTGAGCCTTCTCTTCTACTGAGAGGGAAAAGCAATGCCCCTGCCCAAACATGTCCACTACCTATGACGACTAGGGCTACACGATTAATCGATTTTCAATCATAATTGGATTATTTGATTATGACGATATTAAAAAAATTGAAATCGTCAAATCAATTTTCCTCTCTATCAAGTCTTGCATCTCTAGGCCACCGTAGGCTCCACCTTCCTGCGGGAGCGTTCCCCAGATTCAACACACACCAGAATAAACAAACATAGCATTTCAAATGAAGGCGATAATTTCGTGGCCAAATAGGGCAAGAGCAAGTCAGTTGTGTGGAATTGTAACGGCTTTGCAGTTTCGGATGAAGAGCAAACCACTCCCTGCTGCAAAGTCTGTCTGAAGGCGGTATTAACCCATCCACACGGAAATGGAAACGAATTCTGTGTTTTTTGTCGTATCGGCACTGACTGTAAACGGTACTTTTTGAAAAATGAGTCAGAGAGTGCATAAATCCGTAAATGAGTACAATGTCATCTCTGTGTTGATGCCTATCTGCATCTCTCTTGAAACAATTATGTTACACACAATGTAACTCTTATATGTCGCCTGTGCACTGCCAAAACAAACTTTATACGCATGCTCCGTACTCTCACTCTGTCTTTGGTGCATTTCCTCAGCTGTGTTACAGTGCCACTTACTGGCTTGGTATATGCACTACATCATTTTCAGTGGTTTCTTTTTTAGAGATGATAGAAAAACTTATTTCAGTGAAGTTTGGTGAAGTTGTCACTGAATAAAAAATTGAAATCAAAAATTGTGTTTTCTGAGATAAAAAAATGTGATCAAAGAAGAAGGGTGGAGGTAGGGCTGTACGATTAATCGATTTTAAATTGGTACAGCTTTGCAGTTTCATATGACGAGCAAACCACTCCCCGCTGCACAGTCTGTCCAAAGGCGGTATCAACCCGTCCACACAGAAACGAGTGCATAAATCTGTAAACAACAACCATTTCATCTCTGTGTGGATGACTATCTGCATCTTGTGAAACGATTACGTGGCACACAGCTCTTAGTGTGTTCCGCTAAAAAGCCTTTATATGCATGCTCTGTTTTCTTCTTCTGTCTTTTGTGCATTTCCTTGATGGCACTACAGCGCCACTTACTGGCTTGGCATATGCACTACATTGTTTTTAATGTTTTCGTTGCGAGAGATGATAGAAAAACTTATTATTAAAGTGAAGCTCGGTAAAGTTGTCACTGAATAAAAAATCGAAATCAGAAATCTAGTTTTTGGAGAGAAAAAATCTGGATTTTAGTTTTGGCCAAAATTGGGTAAGATATTTTCCTCACCCTGAGCTGGTGAATAGAACCTGCTGTTGAAATCTCTTGTGGGAGTACTTTGCCTAAAAAGCCAACTCCAGTGGAAAACCCACTGATTATTGAAACCTGTGTGCAAAAGATGCTACAAAACAGCAGAGATAAACACCCAGACCTCTCCAAGAACTACAAAACACAGCAGGTTAGCATAAACGCTAGCAGGATAGACCACTAATAGAATGCTGATGAGCTGTTGAATTGAACTACACTTGATATGTGTTATCTGTTGTGTGCTTTAATCAGGCCACCAGCTCAACAGATAACAGAAAAAGAGCATGGGGCAGATTTAAGCGACATTGCACTCCTCCAAGCTGCCATTTACAAAAACATTCATTTTACCTCTGCATCAATTGGTGACTTTGGTTTTGCTGTGAATTTCACCACTATAATACTTTTGCATTTCTTGCATCAGTGTTGCCCATGTTGCTCTATTTAATTTCTTCTTGGTATGAGTATGCTTACATGATTTATGCTTCTTTTTAGCCCAGGATTGCCCACACACTCCAGGATCAGTTCCAGGATGTACATTTTAAGTCTCAATCTTGCACAGGAACATGAAACCCCAGAAACATGCAATCAAAGAGCTTTTCAATGAAACCGTCTTTTGGATTACACAAAGGAACAAAGGAATAAGGGTGGCATCACCAGTTACCATGGTGATATCAGTGAATTAGGCGTGTTTGCTGGGTTTCTTATCCAGCACTGTCATCTGCAGTGAATTACTTTATTACTTTTCACACCAAAGCTTCTGTCACCATTATCCCTTGCCCTTTATTACTACACTCACATCTTTTTCCTCTTGACAGTGAGCTTCCTCATATCCATACACAATGTCTGTGAGTTTATCTGCAGATATTTTCTAACATTTATCCTCTTCTGCAGTCCTCTATTATCCTCTGCAGTAACCAAAACTCATTCCAACTAAGCAAGGGATGATGTTTGGCAAGCAGATGATTGCAGAAATTAGAATTCTAACAGGGTGAGCAAAACCTCTCACATTTGTGACGTTTAGCAGGGTGATTGTTTACTGACTCTCAAGACCAGCCTGTGACAGAAACTTGCCACAGTGTCAACAGGGTAAGGTGAAATTGAACTCCTTCCAACAGATTGATTTCAGGTTGACTTGTAGGTGTAACTGAATCAGCAACAAGTACGACTTGCAGGTTAAAGATGAGGATTTCATGCCTCTCACACTCTTCAGTTGACCAGCTTTAGTGCTGAAAAGGTTGTTTCAGTCAGACTTCCACACTGCACAATACTGAAACACGAGCACTTGCCAAGGCCAAAAATGTCTTTTTTTATATTAGACATCACACACAAAGGTCCACAGGTGGGTGGAAAAAAATCCAGACACACACATACAAACACATCTAAACCCATACACACACACGCACCCACACACATACACACGCCCTTTGATCCAAATGAAAAAGGTGCAGTCTTTTAACCCACATACACTCCTACTCCATCTGACCTTTAAGTCTGACCTAACACTGTCGGCTACATCCACTGAAAAACACAGAAGAGTTTTCTCTGGTGTAACACCATTGACCCCGTCTTTATGTGTATATACACAATATGTATGTGAGCTGAAAGGGACAGCTCTAAGTGTCACATCCTATGCACCTTCGTATTTACATATGTCTGTCCTCCTCAAGTGTTTCTCCTTTCTGCATACCTTCTATTTTTCTCCTGTACTGAAGCTACTAAAGGGTCACAGTAGTCACTAATGGACTAATGAATACTGACATAAGATGTCACCAAACAATACAACACAAATTTACATGTTGATATACACACACTAATTTCAATACTTGAATATCCTACTTAACATTCAGACTTGATAGTAGTATCACTTGTCTATGTCTTGGGTATTTCCAATAAGCTCACATTAACTGTCACTGTTTCATCAGACAGAAGTCTGTAACACACAGAGAAAGAGTCAACTCTCAATTCACTTCTCTCTCTATAGTGACTCTCCTTCAATCAATCAATCAGTTTTCTAAAAGATTAGCTCAAGGTTCCTTTGATTTGGTTTTAAGTTACTGAAATTTTAAAGACATGTAAAGATGGACAGATGTCATTTTAAGTTTCAGCAAACATTAGCCCAATTGCTTAAGAATTAATGTGATATGAACCATTGTCAGTTGCCCTTTTTCATCAGTTGTGTTGCATCAGTTTAAGCACATCTAACTAATGATAGAAAGAAATGTTGGCAGTGTGGGAATAATATACTGTCTCTGAGAGAGATCAGAGACATGCAAGTTCAAGTGACATTTATGAAGAGCAGTTTTATGAAGACAATTTAACCCCATAAATATACCCTCACAGAATGGTTGAGTTAATTATACTAAACTGGTTGGAAGACAGTGGCTGAGACCTCCTTGCAGTTTAAAGTCAACATAAAGTCAACAAGTGGTTATATGCCAGTTTCACTCAGCACAGACTTAATAAATCTTGATTTCATTTTTCTCTGTCAAAATAGTGTCAAACTTTGCAGAGCTCCAAGATGCCATCTGTGATCTGTGACTGTTCACATCCAGGTAATAAAGCATGTTAGGACTGTGGCTGTATCCACAAACCAAAGCTACAGCCCCAGCTCGTGGTGGGTGGCTGCGCTGGAGCTTCGACACAACATGTGACTGGCAGTTCATGCTTTCACTAATAAAAACATTAATAATTAGTGAAACCAACTGGCAATTCTGATGCTGACGGTGACAGTTTTAATACTCTACATGTACATCTCCAGTTTTTGATGGATCATATTTTCTTGCAAAGATCGGAAATTTCGCACCTTCAGAGACTGTGAGCAAGTTTAGTTTTGTGACTTTTTTATGTCCCTGATGACAAAGCATTGTGTCTTATCTCATTGCTGATCTTGTCTTGTTCTTATGCAAAAAATCGTCCCGTTGCCTTTGATCCGTCTCTGCATCGCTCACTGTTAGTGAAAAATGTAAATATAGGTTGTTTCAGCAGTATACTGCTAATATATTCGTCTGACACTTACATGGAGGCAGTGGGAAAAGGAATTTAAGAAGTCTATTGAAAAACTGTCTATTTTCTCCCTGATGGTCTGTTTGCTTTTTGGGGTCATCTCGAGGCATCAGAATTAATTGAAGACTGTTTCATAACTGTTAAAAATCTCAACAGCAGCATTAAATTAAATGTAGCCAGTTGATTTTGTTTACAACTCTTTAGGAAAGTACACAAGCACTTTTCTTGGACAAGCAAAATAATGAGGCAACCCTAATGTAAGCTGCAATCCTGCAGTGTTAAGTAATGATACGAAACTCATATCTTCATCTCCAGATGGGCGCAGCCTCTGTGGAAAAGCTGCTAACAAGCTAAACTAATAAGCAGACTTGAAGCTCTCTCTGCAGCATATTGAGCAGATAGCTTTTCACAGGATGAAAGTGTTAAACTTTGACTCGAGCTGCACAGGGCCCTCAGAGTATTGCATGAAAAAGTGCAAGACAGCAAAAAAGTGGGAGTTTTAACAAAGTATTTAAAAACTTGAGAGGGCGCCAACATGTCATGAATACTGATACAGCACTGTTAATCTGTGTGTATGCAAATTTTTACCTGTGGTGTGTGCAGTATGTGTGTTTTCTTTCATGCCATCATAAACAAAGTCCTCTGCCAGTCTGTTTGGCCACAAAAAAAAAAGAAACTGCCAGTGGCAATACTTGGAGAAAAGCGTTTTTGAGTGTAGTGTGCAGTTTTTTGTTTTTTTTTTCTTTTTTGGTGCACTACGTGGAGGCCCCTGCTGACAGCGTGTCAAGCAACCTGTCAGACTTGGAGGAGGATTATTATCTCCTTTTGTACGCTCTATTTCCTCTATCTTCAAACTATCCTCTACAATGAAAGGAGTGTTTGTGTAAGAGTGAGAGACCAGTCAGTGAGAGGGAGCAAGAGTAGAAGACAAAAGGGGAAATAAAACAATATTAACATGTGTATTTGGAAGTCCGGAGTGCTCTTGCCCACATCAACTACATTTCTGATATCTACCTGGACTACCACTCTTCAGTTTGGTGTTATTCCTGCACCCATCAGTAGATTTATGACTGCAAGGGGTTGTACTCTGAAGTGAGCTAGAGAAAAGAAATCTGTGAGACACTGACACTGATGCTAGCTTGAAGATGCATCAAAAATCCATGATTACAAACACTGAAATAAAGTCGGACGCTAGTTTTTGCTTGTAAGGACTAGTTTTAAACAAAGACTTCAAGTTTCAGAAGTAGAAAATTCCACAGCACTATATAACATGATATAACATAGTACAATATGATACTATACCATACCGTACTATACGATAGGATATGGTAGGATACTATGTGATACAATACTACACAGTAAGACACGATATGGTGATATAATTCAATATAATACAAGATTCTGATTGCTTCTATAATTGACAAATAAAGCTTATTTGAAATGAATGACAGGGTACAGAACGGTGTAACACAACACAATACAATACTAATGATACTAAACAATGTATCTCTGCAGTGCAAACAACACGATGTGATACGATGGATACATATTTTGATAATCATTATTTTCGTTTTTACTATTCTTATCATTATATCATTCTTCTTCTTGCAAACTGTGATGTGTCTCCCTCTGTGCACAGTTAAGAATCTTTGAGGTGCTGTTCCTCAATCCTTCTTGAATTTTATCATCTCACATAACATTATGACCACATGTCTAATATCGTGCAGACGCTCTCTGACCTAAAGACACGTGAACTAGACTGGACTCTGAAGATATGCTCCTGGATTGGATGCTGTCAGTCTAACTCATTCTAAAGTTGACTCCTTAAGATGAACTGCGAGGACCAAATCTTCATTTAATGCCCGCTGACAGGTGCACTGTACTAACATAATAATTTATATTTATTTCACCGATCAGTGGTCATAACTGCATGGCTGATCATGTATGTCTCTGGTAAAAACTTTTCATGAAATGATATAAAACAAAAAAGGTTACAATGGGGATTAAATGCATTACAGATGGGCTACTGTATTGTCAAAATTAAAGAAGCTTGCAGTTTGTGTCTGTCCTTCTAGATTTCACTCAATATTTAATACTCTCTCAATATTAACAGCAAAATCAGAAAGCAGACAGAGAAACTGCGAGCTAATATGAAGATTATATGTGCCAGGAATCGTGTGGAAAGACAGAGAAAATCTGAGAAATTCCTTGGAGTAACAACTGGTTCGCACTGAAGCTTTGCAGACCTACATCCCTCTAAATTCGATCATATTTCTCTATATCACCAAAAAGATATTTTTACTCAGAGAAGACTGGTGAACAATAAGTACCATCCAGATTGTTTTCCAGGTGTTGGACTGTCACTTTAATTGGAAACTGCTCTTTTAATTGCACATATCATATTTTCACAGATTTTGCTTTTCTTTACATCTCAATCCAGGACGTATGTTAATGCAAAGGGCGACACAACATTAGCATAAGCCTCGCTCAGTTTGACTTGACTCATCTTGGATCAGCTCAGCTGTGCAGTGTGAAAAAAGTAAACCTCAAGCAGTGAGAACATTTTGAGCAGTCAAACAGACTAAACCCAAGGCATTAGGAGGCTTCTGGTGCAGTCTGCAAACACACTGATCCTGCAGATAGACGCAGGAATCACTCATTTACATATACAGTACACCTGAATATACAGTACACACTCATCTCTCTCTCTTACTCTCTCTCTCTCCCTCTCTCTCCTTCTGTCTCTGTCACAGAGGCTCATACATACCAACACATGAAGGTCTTTCTACAAACATTCAAAGCTCAACTGCAAACACAGCTTGCGCCTCCCATGTGTCAGCCTGCCAGTCTTCTGCTCCCTCTGTAAACCCAACCAGTTATTAATGAAACCAACACAAATAGCCAGCATCTGACACCAAGACCTGAGTGTGTGTATGTGTACGCTTGTATTTTAGATGTGTGCCCAACTGTTCATTTAGGTTAGAAAGGTTTTAAGCTCACTGCATGCTAATTTCAACCCTCTTTGTTTCGTTCTTTGTATGTCATTTAAAGTAGAAAGCCACAGGATCTTGAGAGAGAAGGAACAAATACAGACCCAATCTTCAACCCTCAGCAAAAGAGCCTCAAAGAATCATGAATAAATTCACTCTGGAAGGATCAACAAACCCACTCTTCATTAAACTGAACGCACTGAATGGTGAGGACATGTCAGCTTCAAAACTATTCAAATCAAGTTAAAAAGTATCCTCTGTTTTCTTTTTCAACAAAGGAAAATGAACACTATAGAAGAGGAATGCGTATGTTCAGAAAAACATCATTTCAGACCAGTGTGGAATTTCAGCTTCACAATGACAGGGGCTTAATGTTTGACACGATGAAAAACTGAAAATGGAAAACAAGGTCCAAAAAACCTTCAATACCATTCAACAGCAGGGATAAGAATTGAAATATGTGGACAATATTATACAACATAGTATGATTAAGCACGATCGAGCATACTATATTATATACACTCACCGGCCACTTTATTAGGTACACCATGCTAGTAACGGGTTGGACCCCCTTTTGCCTTCAGAACTGCCTCAATTCTTCGTGGCATAGATTCAACAAGGTGCTGGAAGCATTCCTCAGAGAGCTTGGTCCATATTGACATGATGGCATCACACAGTTGCCGCAGATTTGTCGGCTGCACATCCATGATGCGAATCTCCCGTTCCACCACATCCCAAAGATGCTCTATTGGATTGAGATCTGGTGACTGTGGAGGCCATTTGAGTGCAGTGAACTCATTGTCATGTTCAAGAAACCAGTCTGAGATGATTCCAGCTTTATGACATGGCGCATTATCCTGCTGAAAGTAGCCATCAGAAGTTGGGTACATTGTGGTCATAAAGGGATGGACATGGTCAGCAACAATACTCAGGTAGGCTGTGGCGTTGCAACGATGCTCAATTGGTACCAAGGGGCCCAAAGAGTGCCAAGAAAATATTCCCCACACCATGACACCACCACCACCAGCCTGAACCGTTGATACAAGGCAGAATGGATCCATGCTTTCATGTTGTTGACGCCAAATTCTGACCCTACCATCCGAAAGTCGCAGCAGAAATCGAGACTCATCAGACCAGGCAACGTTTTTCCAATATTCTATTGTCCAGTTTCGATGAGCTTGTGCAAATTGTAGCCTCAGTTTCCTGTTCTTAGCTGAAAGGAGTGGCACTCGGTGTGGTCTTCTGCTGCTGTAGCCCATCTGCCTCAAAGTTCGACGTACTGTGCGTTCAGAGATGCTCTTCTGCCTACCTTGGTTGTAACGGGTGGTTATTTGAGTCACTGTTGCCTTTCTATCAGCTCGAACCAGTCTGGCCATTCTCCTCTGACCTCTGGCATCAACAAGGCATTTCCGCCCACAGAACTGCCGTTCACTGGATATTTTTTCTTTTTCGGACCATTCTCTGTAAACCCTAGAGATGGTTGTGCGTGAAAATCCCAGTAGATCAGCAGTTTCTGAAATACTCAGACCAGCCCTTCTGGCACCAACAACCATGCCACGTTCAAAGTCACTCAAATCACCTTTCTTCCCCATACTGATGCTCGGTTTGAACTGCAGGAGATTGTCTTGACCATGTCTACATGCCTAAATGCACTAAGTTGCCGCCATGTGATTGGCTGATTAGAAATTAAGTGTTAACGAGCAGTTGGACAGGTGTACCTAATAAAGTGGCCGGTGAGTGTACATGCAAACGGAAAGATACCAAACGATTTGATTCAATTGGATACGATATGAAACGATACGATACGATATGATATGATACAATACGAACCGATACGATATGACACGGGATTGATTGCCCCTGATAATAATTACATCCTGATTAAGTGGTTGTACAATAACTGATTATTAATCAAAGAATGACACACCATGTTATTACTTGACTGTCTTGCTCATTACTCAGGTGTGCTAAGCACTTGATTCTGATTGGTCCAAACCCCCCTAACAACACTGATTAAATTTAAATTGTTGAATGGATTAAAGAATAGCCCTAGTTTTCAGGCGTTAATGGTGTCCATATAGAGAGTAAATGCTGTTATGCAACATGCTTTGTATGCCCATACATAGTATTCCTTTTTGTCAGCATGTTCAAAACAAAGAGAAAGAAAACGAAGGGAGTAAGGTGAAAGAAAGTGAGAAAAGAGGGAAAAAGGAAGCCCATTTTCTTGTCTCCTCTTTCACAGGACAGGATTGGACATGCTATGACTAAAAAGCTTAACCAAACAGAAAAAAGGCTTATTGCTCGAGTCAGTGGCCACCAAGAACTCTATCCTCTTATTGCAGGCACTGAACACAACCTCTACGAACCCTGCACACATGCACACATCCATACTATATTGTTTTCTTTTACCTTCTAAACCAAATATCTAAGACTTTTATCAGTAATATCCCAACAACTTTGATAAGTAGTCAACTATCTTCCAGGATGACAAAGATAAATTAGTTAAGGGAAATTGAGTGAATAAAGTTTTCCCTCAGCTTCAAACACATGAACCACATGGGGAAACTGTAACACTCTATAGTGATGGTATTCCCATTTACAGCTGCCTCATGAGAGTTGAATTCCCTTTGTAGGATTTTCTTGAATTAGCCATAGTAAACAGAACAAAGCTCTTAGATTTTACACATTATGTCCTATAAAGGTCTTTCAATCTGAGCACTAGAGGAGAACTACCCCAAGAGAACCTGTGTAAAGGTCCTTCTTGTGTGGCTGTCTAGTGAAGCTGAGACTTAACTCGAGCCCAGCAGCTCCCACACCTTTTCTGCCTGGTAAATGTCAGACAGATGAAAGAGACAGAAAGGGCTTATGAGGGCTCTCTAGAGACTCAGGAGCTGGTTTAAATCTGTGTTCCCCTCTAAATCACATTTATAGACACACTCCGTGCAGAGCTCCTCCAACAAGTTTTGTTTTTGTTTGTTTTTGTGCACTGAAATTGCTATACTGTAACTGCTGTGGCTATTAGAGCGTTATTAGTTTACTGATGCACACTAGGTCTGTGACATATCAAGAGGAATCGAAAGCATCGAGTACCCAAAGTTTTCATTTTTCTTTACAGACCTGGTCTGGTTCTCAACAGGTGTGGCCTAAAGACCCACCCTCACCCTTTATGACAAGCTGTGACCCAAATCGAGGAAATTTTCAACTTGCAAGTCAGGAAACTGTACCCTTTTACAATCAATCGGCTGCATTTGAAATAAAATGAAAAAGTGAATCATAAGGACACTGTGTTTCAAGAGTGCATCAATACTGAACAGCCCTTTGTTACTCATATTGAATAAGTAGAACTATTGATCATGAGGCTGTTACAATATGCATTATTGTAGCTAGCTTCAGCCCTTTTTAACATAGTACTCAGAGATGCTTTCTTGTACAAACATGAAATGAAAAAACTCCAGCTATTAAGATAAGTTTCAAAATCACTTCAATCTATGTAGCTTTGGCTGAGTACCCAATCACTAAATATATTTAAAAAACACTGAACCTTAAAAATAAGGCTGACATAAAAACAGAGCATTTCAGTCAGTCATTTTTGACAGCATCTGTTTGTTTTCAAACTCAAAAAGTCCAATACTGAGAAATATTTCAAAAGACTCAAGTTATGTAGCTTTAGCTGAGAATACTCACTCAGTGGATCTATAACAACCAATACTGCACTATGGAGGTTTCTGCGCTTCTTTGTCCTTGATGTAAGTAAACCCATATCTCATGTAGTCAGCATCATATTTTCAAACTTTCTGCTCTTCTTCTATGCTGTAAAGTTGTAAGTGTGAATCAGCATAACTTGGTATTATCGCCACCTGCATTTCCGGAGTGTGAAAAGACAACAGTCCCCTGCATGAACAATGCCCTTCAAAATAAAAGCACAGGATTTAATTGCTTTCCTTTTTTCACCCAGGTACATGCCTGTGACATACTGAAAAAGGGTCCATGACCCATCAGAATGGGATTAACTTGAATTAATTAGAATTGAATAAGGATGAAGAATCAGTGTAACTGAGTTGAACTGAACTGGTTTGAATGGAACTGGACTAAAATGAACTGAATTCAATTGAACTGAATTAAACTAAACTGATCTGAACTGAACTGAATCACTCAGATTTGAACCAGGTTTCACTGTGGAACAGTTTTACAGTGAACCAACTCCACTGGATTCAGACAACTTTTCCATTCATGTTGAACAATTTGCATACTGACAGTTAACAGAAACATTGATGTCTATTCTCTTTTTGTTGTCACACAGCCATGGTAGACTGAGTGGGTTTGCACATATCATCTGCACATTTGGAAAACTGAAATGTCTCTGTGCCTGCAGTTCTGTGATTGTGAAATAGTGTGGCTGTTTTTTGGGGGTGGGGGGGCTTTAGAAAAATCTGTGTGCTTATGCATCTCATTTTGTGTGTGCTGTATGTGCAACTTTGTGGAAGTCTGAGGGTGCCTCTAATGAATACTGTGTGTGCATGTATGTATGTATGTGTGTGTGTGTGTGTGTGTGTGTGTGTGTGTGTGTGTGTGTGTGTGTGTGTGTGTGTGTGTGTGTGTGTGTGTGTGTCTGTGTCTGTGTCTGTGTGAATGCTGTACCCTCTTCTCCAGTAGTGCCAGCTGCTCCTTGTAGAAAGCATCCAGCGCTTTCAGCTGTGAATCTTTCTTCTGTAGCTTCTGAGCCTGAAAGAGTGCACACACAGAAACACACACAGACGAGGGGATTAAAGAGTGGTTTTGCTGTTTTTTCTTACTTCATTTTTAGAGATTGGTAAAGTTACTTATTCTGACTTTGTTTTATGTTTTTAATTATGAGAATAAGATTATTTACTAAATTACTGTGATCATATTCTGTTATAAAACTACAGTATGATGAAGAACAACAGTGAGTCAATGATCTCCCTTAGGCCATTGAATTTGTTTAGAAGTGTATTGACCCCTTTGACTTCTTCCCATCAATATTACCCTGACAATAATGCAGCATGCAGTGGGGGGTGGGGGTGGGGCATTTATTAAAGAATAAATAAAAAGAGACAGTAAAAATGGATTTCAGGCACTCTGCACATACAGTAGAACATATATCCCCACAAGCAGTACAGACATGCATAACAATGAGGAGAGCATAAAGCACATATCAGTGTCAGAAAATGGTTGGTAAACAGAATTTGAATGAAAATACCACAATGTAAACATGTGCTTAGCAGATATCAATGAGCAGTAAAACCAAATTTTAACAAATCAACCCTCAGACATCTCAAAAGGCTGTGTGCCCCAAGCAATCACAGTATCACAGACAGCCAGAACAGATCAAAAGGACATATAAATATATACATATAAATATATATATAAATCAACAACAGCAATATTGATGTTTTTGCTTGAATTATGGCATATGTTTCACAATGATCTTAACCTACAAGCCAAGATCCAGTCAAATACTGGAAAACATGGTGGTGTTTTAGAGTTATCATTTCCTGGAAACTCTTTAAAAAATCTAAGCCTCTCCAGCATTTTCAGGCATCTAGAAATTATTCATACAAAGAAGAAGTTTGAGGATTTCTTTTTGATTAAGTTACTGGTTAGAATCCCATTTTTGCCAACACTGAAGAAGACGGCTATGGCTCTCTGGCGTAATGGCTCATATTTCAGCCAGACGTCTGATCCCAGCTCCTTGGGGTGGGACAATAAATCCCAAATTGCTCCCAAGTGGCGAAGCCAGTAGTGTGTACAGTAAATGAGTGTGACTGGGATTAGTTCATACTGATGGGCACTTTACATAGCATCTTCTGCCATCACTGTGTGAATGTGTGTGAAAGGGTGTTTTTGGCATGTAGGGTTGAAGTGCTTTGAGCTTTTGGAAGAATACAAAGCACTATTTACAGACCATTTACCTCTGTGTTCTTCTATCACCCTGCTGTTTAACTTGGATTTTCCCTGAGTATCAGAAATCCATGTCTATTCCCAGGAAACATTATAACAAACTGCTTCATTGCAGCAAGGTCCCAGCTAAGGTTGTCTTTGCTTTGCTTGGAAAAGGAAACCTGTATTTGGTTTCAATTGAACATTAACATTAAAAATCACAGATACAACCGGAAAAGAGGCAAACATTTGCCTACGCATACAGAAAATTTTACAGTTGACTTCTTAGGAAGGGCTAATATTTATGCTGGTGCCTGTTCCTACATTACATTTGCCCGCCAACAATACGATGTCAAGTACAGTACAGGTTGAGATTGGTGTTATAGTTATACATAGCGACCCCAACTGGGGATTACAAGCCTGTAGCTATGACAACTACATTTTCATTCAACTGCAAGTTCCTATGAAGGGGTTGCTGGTAAAACTGTAACACTAGAAGTCTTACCCTCATCATTATAAACTTTGATCCAGTAGAGCAATAAGAAATCTTAACCTTGTGCCAGCAAAATATTTAAGATAAATCAATAAATGGTAGATTTTAATAATAATTTAATAATAAATTTTAATAATAGGATTCAGGACAAGAGTACTGAAGTCCTGATTAAGCAGCTGAAAGGCAAATAATCCCATGATCCAAATAAAGGTCCTTACACACCGGGGTCGACGCAAATATAGGACGCAAAATTGCGAAATATTTAGAGGCGAATTGTGACGAGCCTGACTATGCACATCAAGCCCGATGCAATTTTGCGATTTTCTGGGGGGGAAAAGACGCATCCCGGGGAAAACTTTTCCCGGGAAAAGTCGTGCCTCCTTCGCCTCTGATTGGCTAGAAAAGCTGGAAACGTCATCACACGCTCAAGCCAAACGGTCAGCGCTTATAGCCAATCAGAGGCGAAGGAGGGCGGGACCTTCTCTTACCATCCTACAGCGTCAGGGTGGAACCGTTCAACTTCAAGTGATGGTGAATTGGTACTCCTTTTGCTTTCTCAAAAGAAACGTAGCACATGGGTGCACTCAATATTACAAAAAAGAAGAGAACTTGGTGAGTTTCACTGCTTGATTCAGGAACTGAAACTACCACAGTCGCTTCAGAACCTATTTTCAGATGTCCGTTGGACAATTTGAAGTTCTGCTAAAACAATTAGCTCCAAGTTTGAAGAGGCAGGGGACTAGACACTAGACACTAGTGTTGAGATGCTTTCTGTCATGATAGGATGTACTGAGTCGGGGCCAGTACCAGATAAACACATGAAACTATGGTAACAACTGTTAGCTTATGTTAGCACAGATGAAAGTTAAACAAAGACGTTTAGCAAACTGTTAAAGCACACAAACCACAAATTGTGTTTCAGGTTGTTATCTTTGTAATGTTTGTGTCTTTCATCAAAAAGCACTCTGTTCTCCAACATGTTAACAATCAGCTGGTCGGCCATGTTGGATATACCGGTGAATCAGACGTTGCAACAACACCCAATCTGATTGGTCAGAAGTCACACAGTATGCGTAACTTTAGAGAAATTGACCATGATCCGAAAAGATAAATGCCGCAATATCGCAGTACGCAAAAATGTCTCTGATGTGAACGCTTGTATTGACAGGATACCGGTTTGAAAAAAAATACTGACGTCCAAAATAATCACACGGTAAAAACGGTCCCGGTGTGTAAGGACCTTAAGACACATGCACCGATTTGTACTTTTGCAGCGTTGGCTCGCTAGCATGATGTAAAAATAAACAGCAGCATAAACATAAAAAAACCTGAAGTAGTCATCTGTAAATGATCATTAAGATTGAGAAAACATTTCTCTTTCCTGTCAGATCTGTGATTTTTAAACTTAAAATTTAACCTGAACTGATAATGATCCTTGGTTTTTGATGTTAGCCAATAAGTAATCAAATGTGTATTTCTCTCTTGATCACCTGTGTATCAAGTCTGTGTGGCTGCTCCTTAACCAGAGATAACTATATAACTATCTGATGCCACACTCAGAGTAGGGCATCACATAAACATGGCCACTATGGTAGCAGATTCAACATATAGATGGTCGGAGCAGGTCACCCAATATTGCAATATTGACAGCACCAGCTTAGACTAGGGTTGCCAACTCCCTTAAAAAATGCAGGACACCTCACTGGCAGGTCCGGCCAACCTGACTGCCTTCACCCTTTCCAGCATGATGAATGTTTGACGCTTTTTTTGTGTGTGTGTGAAACAGTTTAAGTTGATGTGTCCCTTTTCAGCTCAATACAGGACACATACTTTTGTTTCTAAATACGGAATAATTCTGTTTTATTCTGTTTTTCAAGGAACGGTTGGCAACCCTAGCTTAGACAATGAAGAGTCATCCACAGATCATCTGTAAACCACGATATAAACATCCTGAGACTGTTAAAACACCACTGAAAAAACAAGATAACAAAAAAAGGACAAAGCATATAAACGAGATTTCACACGCATGCACACATCCCATGTCAGTGACAGGTATTTTTGACCATGCAAACAAGTAAGTTAAAGTGCAAAAAGTAAAAAGACGCTGCATAGCATGAAAAAGAAAGAAACCACAAACAGCAGGCAACAACCCTCAAATTACACTTCTTTGAAAATCTTCACTTTCCACTCGCGTCCTTCTCTATTCAACCACCCATCGATCCATCTACCTCCATCCTTTCACTGCGCCTGTGTCTGTGCTGGTACAGAAAATTATAACACACACCATCTCGCTGTGGATCGCACTCTTTTCTGAAGTAGTTACGAAGCACTGAAGGTGACAAATACACACACACACTCACACAAGCATGCACATGCCCAGGTGCGTGACAGCGTGCTGGCAGGAAGGCTCTTACATTCACATGCAAACACACTTCAATGGATGAATGACGGAGAAAATAAAAACAGCATCTGTGAGGGAATTACAGGGAGTGTAAAAAGGAGGAAGATGAGAGGAAAGGAAAAATGGTCAGAGGAGAGTAAATTGGTCACACGCAGAGACAGAATCATGCTGGGATAATAGAGATTAAATCTAATCTTCAGCTGTAATTTATTTTATTTCATTTTTGTATTTTTGTACAATTGCTTCATCTGAGCATATTATTGTTTTTCATCAAACTTGGCCAAGAGAAAAGTGGTTCTATTGTCGTAAAAAAGCACACAAAACAAAATTTAAACTTATTTAAAACTCCAAACTGCTTTCAAACTTTCTCTTGATTTCCAGTGGATTAACCTTAGAACCACTGACCAATCTTTTAACTGTGAGATCCCTTTATGGACCCTCAGTGAGAGTGAAATAAAACAAGAATGGAGTGAGGTGGAAGGTATGGACACAGTGACGGAGGTTGAGGAGCTTACCATGGCTTCTACCTCATCTGCAGACTGCAGAGGTTCAGTAAAAGATGTGCAAAGGAGAAAAAGCAGAGGATCTGTGATCAGAAAAAGGAGGATGCACAGTGATGTCGACTTGCAACCTTTTCAGCTTTTCTGACCTTTTTTCTAGCCGACCAAATCAATAAGAGAGCTCCAAGTTGTAAAATTAGTTATGTTTGAATGTTTGTTTTGTATTTGTAAAGCCAGCAAAGAACAAATGTCCAGAGGGAGTACATGGAAATTATGTTTATTCAATTTATTTTCTATTAATTTCTTCGACCAAGAACCTTGCTGCAGGAAAAAAAAAACTTGCATAATCAAGATTTTTGGCCAAGTTTTTAAAACTGCAGAAATCATCGTTTAAAAACTCTTTTCTCCATGTGTCCTAAAACTTTCAAGTTTCCACATAAAACTGGGCCTTATTTGGGTTTCAAATGAGCGCCGGTATCACAAAATGTACACACAAGAACAAATCTCAAACTTGTGCTAAGCTCAGAGAAACTCAACCTACCTTACAGCCATTTATTCTGCCCAGTTTTTCATGTCCTTCATTTTTACGAACTAATTTTACATGTTGAGACCCTCAGCTTCATGGTAGGGTGAATGGCAGGGGAAGCCAAACACTGTGCATTAAATTTGTTCATCAGACATTTGAAGGCTTTCTTGAGTCATTATCTAAAGTAAAACACAGCAGACAGAAGTTAGAAACAGGAGTCTTCCCAACGTCTTACTGTACTATGATGTCAAAACTGCAGCTACCAGAAGGTTCAGTCTGGTGTTTGATAAACTGATATTCAGATTAGTGATGACAGGATACATATTATCACTACGATAGCTGCACTGTCACAACACTCAATACTAAAATGATACTTGAAACTGATATTGATTTATTTTGGTGCATTACCTGAAACATGACTGGTCACACTTTGGAACTCACGACACAAAAAACTTACTGAGTATAATACACTTTGAGAGGATATTTCAGGCCAAATACTCAACTTTATTGACATATTTATTCATATTGTTGCAATTATTGAGTCAAATTTTCTGTATTTTTGCAAAGCCAAAAAAGTTCAGAGGGTTTTCTTCATTAACAGCTGGCTAATCACACCAAAAGTTGTGCACCTATTGCTCTGCTTTGAACCAAAGTCTCAATCTCAAAGCGTTTTTTGCTCGTAGTTTTAAAGTGCAAACACAACCATAAAGGGTTTGCCGCTTCATCAATGCGACGATGCATCGCGATGCTTCACATGACGATGTGGCATCACTAAATTAATGACGATGCTTAAAATAAATAAACAAATGACTAATAACATCAATGCTTTGCTGCATGACCGGAACAAAAAAAAAAACATAACCGGAACCTTAACACACTGCCCAGACTGTTTAGTGAATGGGACCAAAACAAACAGAGCAGGTTAGTTTCTTTGCAAAATGGCAACAGCTTCAGCAGCCTCCAAAGAGCGACAGATTCTCTCGCCACCAGGGTTGCCTGCAACCATGTGGAAGTACTTTGGATTTCGTGAGAGCGCAAACAAGACCACTGACAAGACCTATGGGATTTGAAAGATTTGCAAAGCAAAAATAAAGTACCTCAGCAACCCCACAAACATGAGGCAGCACCTTGTATGCTTTCATCCCAAAACAGAGAGGACTCCTCCGGTTGTGCCCGCCACACAGAGGACCATCCTGGAGACTGTCTCCAAACTTCCCGCTTGAAGTTATGTAGGTCAAAGTGCAAATGTTTACATAACAGTCATTCAGTCGCAAAATAAAATATTTTGTGCCTTCAAAAAATACAAGTCAAATGTTCAAAAAACCTTATTTACTTATTAAGTGTAGTTTTAGAGGAACTGAGTTAATTGATAGGCTATTTATTTAAAAATGTAGCCACAGATAAAAACAAAATCTATTTTGTATGGAAAAAAGCTTAAAAAATGGAAATAATCGAAGAATCGTGACATCAATAATCAAATCAAAAATCTATATAATCGAAGAATTGAAGCTCCAATGATCGAAATCAAATCAAATTGTGAGGTACCCTTGTTTGAGCAACCCTACCATGCAGACAGCTCTCAGTTTGTGTCTAATTGTAGAGATGTACAATCAGCATCTCCACTCTACAGTACAGAGCTCGTATTGGTCCTGGGTAATGAACTGGATGGAGAAGTGACACCTCTTACTACTATATACTTTGTCAAGAGTTACCTCTTTAAAGGGCAGCATTTTCAAAGATGTGGTACCAAATTTACAGTTCAAACCAAAGTCAGTAGGGGCTACAATTTCATTTAATATCACATATCAGGTCCAACTGCCAACCTGTGTTAATGTTCATGGGGTTCAAATGTTAACAGACTTACTCTGTATAATACCCATGTGTTTCTCTATCAAGAGTTCTTAAACAAAAATCCCTGGTTCTACCAAGAAGGAAGGCACTGGCTGAAAATATTATGTATCCAGTCATTATCTTATCACTGTTGAAACATCCATCATGCAAAGACCATTCATCACTTGCATCGCCGCTGAAATACTTACACTGTTGCCTCAGGGTGTTTTTCAAGAAACTGTCATCTTAGCAAACTCTGACAAAAGCTCACATTATAAAAAAATAATCAACATCAGAAAAAGTTTGACTTAAAGTTATTTGGACACCAGATGGGTCTGCTGTCAGATTATTACAGTCAACAAACAGAGTTTGTTTATTCTTTGCAGAGAAAATCTGAGATTGACAGCCTGCCAGACACTTTTGAACCAATCTAATGTTTAAAATCTTACACATCTGGTGCACACAGCAAATTAACGCCAATCAAGCAGTCGCTTTTGTCCCAGGTCTGACTAATAGCTCAACAGCGCTGAAAGCAGCGCCAGTACAAAAAGGTGAAGAGACTCTACACACATTCACACAGAGAAAGAGGAAGATTCATCATAATTATCAGGGCTGCTGAACGCCAAATCAAATCAGAGCTGATCGTCTGTGTTTCATAAACAGACCTTAACTGAAGAGAGACAAAGAGCGAGCGACTCATGATGGGAGAGATACTTCCACTGCCAGGTGAAAGCCGCAGCTGCCACATGTTAATGCAGGTGAAAAAGAGCGGCTGAAAGTGTTCATGTGTTAATTTTACATGTTAAAAGAGAATCAGTTTGGCGGGGATTAAGCAGAGACAGAATGGATTTAATTAAAAAGCACAGCTCTCCTCCCTATCTGTGTGCTGGTCCTGTTTTAATTTGCAGTCAGAGAAGAAACTGCAAGTGAATCAGATGACTCCTCTGGTGTCCCTCTAGGGGCCTGAGAGTCTATGGTAGATAACAGGCAGCCAGGCGTGACTTCAGACACACAGACACACACACACACACACAAAAAGTCACAGACAAATACAGAGGCTGACTGAAGCTTACATGCTCATATTTGTGACTCTCTTTTGGGAATACAAGCCATTGTCTTTTAATATCCCTCATTTATTTAACCGTCTTTGTCTCTACTGATGTGTGTCAATGAATATCCGTAGTTTTTCTGTGTTTTATCACTCAGAGCGACTCTAAGAAGATCTTATTTTCCGCCCTTATTGCTGACCACTGTGGACAAACTTCTTATGTCCTTGCTAACATGCGGAAATGTCGTTTTGTTTTTCTTCCTAGTAGGGCTGCATGACTTTGGCCAAAAAATTAAATCCTGAATTTTTTTCTCTGAAAACTCGATTTTCGATTTTTTTTCATTGATAACTTCACCAAACTTCACTTTAATAAATGTTTCTTTAACCTTTAAAAAGAAACCACTGAAAACACTGTAGTGCATATGCCAAGCCAGTAAGTGGGGCTGTAACGCTGCCGAGGAAATACACAAAAGACAGAATAAGAGTACAGAGCATGCGTGTAAAGGTTATTTAGGCAGGACACACGCAGGCGCCATAAAAGAGTTACGCTGTGTCACATAATCATTTTGAGAGATGCAGATGGGCATCCACACAGAGACGAAATGGTAGTCATTTACAGATTTATGTAAATCTTGTACCCGTTTTCAGAAAGTATCATTTACAGTCAGCCGAAAAGCCATTTCTGTGTAGATGACGCAACAAAAAACTTTTGCGTTTACCTGTTTGGACGAGTTGATACCGCCTTCACGCAGACTTTACAGCAAGGAGTGGTTTACTCTTCCTACAAAACTGCAAAGCCGTACCAATTCCACACAAATGATTTATCCACAAAATTATTGCGTCCTGTGGCAAACACCATGTTTGTTTACACTAGTGTGTGTGGGAATTGGGGAGCGCTCCCCCGGGAAGGGGAAGCCTATGGTGGCCTGGAGGCATGAGACAGAATAGAGAGGAAAATCAATTTAACGATTTTTTTAACGTCAAAATCAAAAAATCTGATCAGGGTTTAAAATCAATTAAACGTGCAGCCCTACTTCCTGGATACATTTGTATTTTTAGCAAGATTAGGAAAGGGACAAAATATTCTCAACTGTTATTAGTTCTATTTTGCTCTACTTCCTAACATCCAAGCACCTCATTGTGGTCACATGTGGAGTAAAATATGGTACAGAGCACTAAAACCAAGCAACAGTTAAAGCATTAAGCCTGTACGTGGTATAAGTGCAAAAATGTTCTCAAGAAACGGTGCACTAGGCAGTGGAAACCAAACCGAAACACCTCGACCATAAATGGAAAATCATCTTTAACTGTGAGCTACTTTTATTGTCGCATTCCTATATTGCTGCCATACAGGTACTGTCATGCTGGTGCTAAATGTCAATATCTTCATCAAAAACTTTGCCATTTCAACTCAAAGTATCACCACCACCACCTGTGTCCTTTAGCAAAACTTGACACAAAAGATGGTAACGTAATATTATGATTTCATTTTTTAAGTTGTTTGAAAGTTATTAAAATCAAGGCAATGATAGGAGGTAAAAACTTGTCAGAGTGAGAAGAAGAGAGAATGAGAAAATGCAAGAGACAAGAGGCCAAACACATCACAAATGTTAAGAAAAATACTTTCAATTATTAACAAGGTGCATAATTGAATACGGCAGCTGCTAGCCATGAGCCAAACTGGAGATTAGCTTACAAATGTATTATCGTACGTCACCCCTGCTGCAGGCAGCTTCTGCATATAAATCAATTCAGTTCACAGCTCGAGGTGTGAAGCATCTATTTAGAAGCTAGACACACACACACAGAAAAATGTGTAAGAGTGTGAGACAGGGAGCAAGTGGGAGTAAAGGAGGTGAAAGATAAGCAGGAAGGATAGGAAAGGAAGAGTGCGGTTTAAAAGTTAACTAGACAAAAAGTTACAATAAAACTAACACAAAGAAAAAACAAAGCTGGAACGAAAGAGAACCAAAATAGGAAAAGAAGACACACTTGTTCCAAAATACAACAAAGGCTGATTTGATCTTTGACCACATAAATATAGTCACCATACTCTGCTCAGCACTGACTCAATGCAGCTAATAGCAATGCTGCAAAAGAGTGCAGTTACTACAGTTATGGTGTCAAAAGGTCAAAACAGTAATCAGGAGTCTTCATTACAGAATTGACCTCATAAATAGACGGAGAATCACATATATTTAAAGAGAGAAACGAGAGGATTACACAAACACAGTCCGTCTATAAGCCTATGAGGGTATTTCATTTTGTGCTTATTACTTTCCATATACTTAATGTCACATGATATAATCATCTGAACCCTTTGATGTTTACTGTGTCATCATTCTCTCTCAGATGATGACATTTAACAGAGATGATCAGGTGAACTGGTAGAGAGTAAAATCAGCCTATGGTTTACAAAAGCAGACCTTGGTATTTGGCCATGGTTTAGAGAAAGGGAGCAAAAATCTACAGATTTTATTTTGACATAAATATCTTGAACAAAGTTAGCTGCCATCAATTTTAATTGTTGATAAGTAGTTGTTTGCAGGATTGTGTCTGTTTTCCATGCTGTGAGAAATAGAGTTGTCACTTTTTGTCTAAAATGCAAACCTTTATTGGAACTCTTGGATTGGAACACACTGGTGAATTCGCGAAGCGACGCAAAAAAGTGACGCAAAAATGCAAAATATAACAAAATTTGCATAAAAATACGCCACGAGAGAACAGAGGAGGACAGAGAAGAGGGAGAAACAACCTCAAGTGGTGATGACATGGTCATGGTTGTAAGCCTAGTAAATACCAAAAGGAAAATAATCAAAGTGTCTGGGTACATCCATTACTGAGCTTGATACAGGAGATGGGGGAGCTCCACACAACAATCCAGGAGCTCAAATTGTATCCCGAGAAATTCCTACAATACATTAGAATGTCCCTCGCACAATTTCAAGAACTGCTCCATCAGCCGACTCCGCATTTGCAGAAGAAAAGGACAAATTACAGAGAGCCAATTGATCCAGAGCAACAGCTTGCCACGTCTGAGGTAACATTTATACTGGGCTATAAATTTATATAACAGTTGGCCTCTGAATGTTCACAAAATTCGCTACAGGGGCAAAAAAATTGTACACTTTCCTTCTGCAAAAGTTCGTAGGGGGTGTAGAAGCTTGCATTGACTTTATCAGGTTGTGTAAAAAGCAAATTATTCGCTTCCCAAATTCGCTTCACGAATTTGCCGATGTGTAACAACCTTTACTGTTCAAAAGTTCATATTACGACTGTAATGTTATGATAATACAGACAGCCTGACATAGCTTGCCGTTTGATCGGGCAGGGGGCGCTATCATTGTAACCTGGCCAATCCATGCCCTCTTGATCTCAGTAAACTAGTACAGAAAGTTCCTCAATAAAAGTAGAAGAAATGGACAAGTTACGAAGCACCAAGCAGTGTGGAAGTAATTTAGTGCAACAGCAACATGTGTCCAACCCTGTATGATTTCCTTTTTGAAGGCAGCACACTTGCTGAAGGCGAGCCTCAAAAAGGCTATAGTTGATTGGACTGCGAAATTCAAACATATCCTCACATTAACATGTCATAGTTAATATTCATTCAAAGTCTACTTTTTGAAAAACTGACAGCTCCACCGAGCAAACACTGCATCATTTTCTGGAGCTGACCTGCTGAGGAGTGACTCATTTCTTAGTCCTTGACAAAGTCCTCATGTTCGCAGGTACTTATTGAAACACAGCTGTCTGTGATTTCTTGCAAAGGGAGTTTTAGGTCACTGAAAACTTTGCATCCTTGTAAAAAATGTGCATGCAAAACAGCGACTGGGAAATAACAGGTCAAAAAACTGCAAAATGGAACCAAACAGAGCAAAACTGAGAATTTCAGAAAGAGAAAAACTACCTGCCAAACGTGCATTTCCAACCTTTCTTATCATGGCAGCCCTCAGTAATGCATGGGCGCTTGAAGAGAAGGCATGTCAGACGTCTATCCTTTAAACATCCACTCTGATATCCGGCCTAACGGTCCATAGTTAGAGCCACGCTGTGTGGTTTTTCACATTTACATTTTCAGTACCTCATCTTCAAACCTTTCCACCTTCTCAACTCTTTTTCTTTCCTGTCTTACCTCTTACCCATGAAGAAAACCTGGACCATTCTTCACATTAAAACCAAACCATCAGTTTCTCAAAGACACTTACCTCTTTATTCTATTCCATGATCAAATAAAAAGTTGTTTATGTATTTTAAGTCTCAACTCAATTTTGTAGTAACTGTGGTGACCTTTTTTTGTATAGAGAAATAGATCCCACTCTTCAGGCTACATATAAAGTACAGCTTTTCAAAACACAGATGACTCACTCTGTATTTCCACTTGTGATTTCGATGATGAGAAAGGAGCCTGTACAACAACTTGCAATAATCCAGCGGCATTTGAGCCAATCCTTGTTTCTTTTTTTGGCAGTCCTCTGCCCACAGGTCACACTGCCAGTTGTGTCTTAAGGTGGACTAAGCGAAGCAAACTGAGCTGTTAGTGTTGGTCTGCCTCCAGGAGAACTATGGTGTGGTTCATTAGAGACGAAACCCAAACTCACTCCAGGATTCTGTAGTAAAGATTAATTATACATGTGGAAATTCAAAAGTTAAACACATTCTCTAATGTCTCCAATCTTTAACTGGTGGGACACGCTCTGTGCTCCCTCTGTTTCCAGAGTCCTGTCATCAATAGCAGAGGGAGTGCAGAGCTGGAGGCTCAGCTAATGATCAACCTCTTTGTGATCTCTCTGATGGTCCGCTCACCAAATGGGAAACATACAACCTTTGATCAAAGTTGAGTGCAGAGTGACCCGCAGTCCAGACAGACTAAAAAAAATAAAAATAAAAAAAACCCTCTGGTTTGATTTTATTCATTTTGTCTAGACAGCACTGATGACACACAATGACAGTTCATCAAAGCATCTAACAAATGAATTAACAGTATACACTATGGGCCATAGTCCAAACATGGAAGCATTACAACAACAAGATACAACTGCATATATAAGTCCTAATATGCATCTATTCTTCTGATTTTTCCTTTGCTCTTGGAAAGTTTCACAGACAAAAAGAGAGCTAAATGGAATAAAGTCCATGAAAAAAAAGGGTGTTGGCTGACTTTGTGTAAGAGGAGGTCCTTTGTAGGACTGCCCAGTATTATTGATGAAATACCCCTATAGGGAGATATTTGACTAAGATCATTATCTGTTTAAAATATGATGCACAAATTACATGTGCATGATTACAACATGTTGGCTGTACAAAAGTTACATTTACTGAGTATCTATATTTGATAAGGAACATATGTATCATTAATACTAGGGGAAGATGTAATCTTGTTTATGTGTGTTCCTGAAACAAACAGGCTGTCACAACAAGACATCAGGACATCCGGATGAAGACTCTTTGAAGGCAAAATGTGTTGACATCCCTGTTTAAATAAAGGATTTTTTTTTGCATCAGAGTGCCTTGGATTTTCAGTTTTGACTGCCGTCTCCATTATGGACTTTAATGGCAAGTTACTTGGCAGGTCATTGCTCTCATTTTTTGAAAAAAAAAAAAAAAAAATCATCCATTTCCCGAAGAGCAACCTATCTTGACGATACAGTATTGAACACTTTGACTCTATGTAGCACTTCCTCTCCCTTTTTTTTTTGAGAAAGAACAAAACAAAAACAAAGACTGACACTAAAAAAAGACACTGAAAAAAGATGGGACATGAGGTAGAAATCTGAACATATCCCAATGAAATATGGTATCTTTTATGCCTCTGTTCCAACATTTTTCAATGCCAATACTTGTTTCAATGTCGATTCAACTTTTATTACAATGCTAGATTCTGTTTTCTATGCCAATTTTGAATGTCAGTAATCTGGTTTCCATAGTTCGGCACCATAGAGATGTGCTCAACTGTTGCATTAATTGCAGGATAGAATAAAATATAAAGACTACCTTCCAAGCTGTGGAGCCCACCAGTTAAACATGCGATACGACCAAAAACTTGCCACAGCTTCAACAGACATCAGTGAACTAGGCAGGCCCTTTTCTGAAATCCACTAAATCAGCCACCACCACAACAAGTGATTTTTTTCTGAATAAACGCAGTTACATATTGAGCTAAAAAGAAAGACATATTGGTCAAGATGTATTATAGACATTAAAAATCTTCACTTGTCAGACTGAGTTAAAGCAGAAGATCATTTTTTAGAGTGCTACAGCTCTGCTCTTCAGCAGTCATACTGCACTGCAGGTTTGGAGGCTAAGCTGTAGGGACAACAGATGGCGTCTGTCTCGGCTGTTAGTCAGTGTGTTTGCCGGGTAGACGCCATAGTGATATCAGCCGTGGAGGGCCAACTCCCTGATCCAGTGCAGAAGGAACACATGAAGTGCGCATCTGAGGGCAGTGCCCCAATGTTAACAGTCCAATGGATCATCAACACAACACATGGGCATGGTGCACTCGTGTTTGGGCTTGTGAATGTGCCGGGGACAGACACGTATAAATATACACTCACGCATCTCACTCTTCCCCCTGTGGGCAGTGTGTGTGCTGTGTTGCCATCTGATAGCAGCAGCAGTCTGTTCTCCCGTTCCCTGGTTCTCCCCCTCTCTTTATTTACTCCGCTGCGTTTATTTAACACATAGCTCCCAGCGAGGCAATAAATTAGCACTCAATAATAATCTGACTGATAATTACAGGCGGGCCGCTATAAGCAGTGGAAGGAGTTGAAATATGGGCCACTAGCGCCTCTCCTCCTCTTTGCCCTTCTTCTCCATTTGTAGTTAACTCTTTTTCACTCTGACTGCTCCTTTTGTCATGTAATACTCCCATTTTTACATGGGGTCAAGCACATTAGCAAATCTACAAAAAAAAGGAGTTCATTTCAATTGGAACCACTCCTAATGATCATAATGTTTGTGCATCTGCTTGACCAAACACAGTACCATGCACAACATCATTTGTGTTTTTTACATTTTGTGGTATTTTAAAAGGAACTTTTGCACCCTATTAAAGCTCAACAAAAGTTAAACTCATTACTCTTGCTCATCCAGCATGTATCAGATCTCCTGAGTGGTCAGAGTGCATGTTAATGCCTTTTTCTACTGTAGTGTAATGGACTTGTATTACCACTACCAGAGCCATCTTGTCTTCAGATCTTGCCCGTATGCCCATCTGTTTGCATTATCTCCTTTAAATCAGAATTTAGTTTAACTGATTAACTTGTGATTTGATATTCAAATGATTTTAAAGAGGAAGTGTTGTGCTATTTTGTTCATTTTCAGGCCTGAAACCGTCCCTCTGATACCTCTGTAGTAGCTTTGTGTGATTTAGAGCACAGCACACCTTTACTTTTTCTTTCTAATTGACTTGCTCTCCAGATGCCTCCTCCACTGTTGCCCTGCTACGAAGTCATCCATGAGCCATATTTTTTGGACTGACTCGCAAAGTTTGGGACCCCCAGCAAAAATGGACATATCTGTTTGGTAAGCATAATGTTTATTTTACACTCTTCCGGAGAATGGCCAATTGGTGACATCACAGATTGAGTACATCTTGTGTCCACCCTTGGATAACTCCAACACCTGTTCACCACATAATTTAAAACTTTGCTCATAGCCTATTAAGCATTGTCATCCAAAATTTTGACTCAACATTTGTTTTTAACATATAAAAAAAGCAACAAATAGGATGAAAACACTGTCCATCCAGTGTGCTTGGGTAAACCTTTGCTATGTGTGAGAATGAGGAAGCGTGTAACCTGGGATTTGATGGATTCATTTGTTAAGTTTCTTTGTTATTTATTTTGCTGCTGACAGCATATGTTTAAATGTACTGCAGTGTATTATATAAGGCCCAAATGAAAAACTACCCTATCTGCTTGTTTGTTTGTTTGTTTTTTCCAGCACTTGCTAATACTCTGTATTTCACAGGTAACTTGATATTCCATGTTCACTGTCTTAGGTGAGGCAGTAACCCACTGTTTTCCTGACGTGAATTTTAAGTAAAGACACAAAAAATAGGTTTAAATTACTTCATCTCAGCCAGCCTCAAATCTGCTTATCTTTATTGTAGTGTCCCTGTCCTCTTCTCTGCTAATGGTTCTCATGACCAAGGCATAAATTGGTGTTTTAGTTTGAGGGCCAGTTGTAAAGGACAGGCAGATTATCATTTTTCAATAAGAATTAGATACTCAGAAAACCAATCAGGAGGTTAATACATGGACCTTCCACTTCAAATGTTGAGAATATTGATTGTACAATGAAAAACTGAGCATCCCAAGTCGAGTGGGGAACACAGGAACACTGTCCTGAAGTCCTTTCAATCATTTAACTACAGTTTAAATACATAAGTTAGCATAATGACACACAATTACTTTTTAACTGCTTCAGGGAGCTACAGTATCTCTCTCTCTCATATGAAAATCTGTCAATTACTGACCCCTGTAACTGAGCCAGAGACTACGATTTATTCCTCACATTGTCACTTAGAATGGAGATAAATGCAATGACTCTGATGACTATTCTTTCTTTACTAGGCCCTGATGTTTTAAAAGTGCCAAGATTTTCCCATCTGCCCACATGCTCACATGTTGGATACCTCGCCCAGCTATCTCCCATCAAGGTGAGGGATGCCTGCTTTTGAGCACAGAGCCAGCTAATAGCTTTACATGCAGAACCATGTCACGTCCTGCAGATTACAATTACTGATACAACTGCAGGCTTATCTGTGCTTCACCTGCTCCCTCCCTCGCCTCTTTCCCTCCATTTACCTCAATGCCACTTCTGCCATCTCCCCATCTCACAGCCCACAGCCTCATTTCCTGACATTCCCACTCCTTCTTCTTCCATTTCCAGAGCCACTTACACAAAGATATCTTGGACAAGGTGGTTGTGCAAGTCCAGTTATAAATTTGCTGGCGGTTCAACCTTACGCAAGTTGGCCATACCAAAGATTTGACTTATTTTGAGACTTAAAATGGAACCATGTTTGCTCTAACTTTGCTGCACTGAATTATGTAATGATGGCAAACATGACTGATTCCTTGATGTTTAACAAGCAGTGTAACAATCATAGAGCTCTCTCAAGGATATTTCCTCAGCCCTGATTGAACCAGAAGTAGTTCCTGGGCAGCCATGCTGAGGAGCATCCTAAAGCTATTACTGTTGCTTAGAGGAGAGAGGAACAAGGAGAGCGGAGGGAAAGCTGGGGGTGATACACCAGGACATTATTAAATGATCGCAGTGCAGGTAACATTCAGAGAAAAAATACTGTGTTGATTCCATCAAACTTATTAAAGTACGTTTGCAGATACAAACAGCAGTTTGGGCTGATGGAGAGCTGATCCAGCAGCATCATAAACTGATGTCACTTTATATGACACTCTGAAAAAAGACTGATTCTGCTAAAAACATATTTTCCCTTTTTTCTCTGCCATGTTTCATTTATTTGCACCAGTCGATGGATCTCTGGTTTGAGGTACTAAAACTTACTGGATTCTCAGCTTCTGTGGTTTTTAGTTTGGAAGAATAAATAGAACCCAACCGAATTCCACTGCCACTTATAGTGCATTATAGTTGTACTTGGAAGTCAGGATTTCCGAGCTCTGAGTCGAAACTTTCAACTGAAATGACCCCCGAGGTCAGATTTCCGACGATCCACACAACCCCAGAGTCGACATTTAAAGATGGCGGCGCTGGTTGTAAACAGTAAGTAGAAGCTCCTGTGAAAGAAAAAATAGGCTCACTCCTGCACCTTTGTGTTTCCTCTTCATCCACCATGTTTGCAGGTTGCCGAAGGACTGCATATTTGTCCAGAAGTTGTTCATATTTGGACAAGGCAAGTGCAAGAATAAGTTTCGTAGCCACTGGCTACTTTTTTCCGACTGAAAAACTGAAACCCTGATAACTCGGGTGTGATGTCATTTCCAGCTCTGACTTCCAAGGTAAATGGAATGCACCATTATTACTACTTTAGAAAATACTTAAAAATCAACACCTAAAGGATGATAATAGACATTTAAATAATCTAAATAGAAGTCACTCCACACCATAATCAAAGCTCATCTGTGTCTAACTTGTCCCTTGTCCTCTTTCCCTTTCATCCCTTCACTTCCTCACGTCTTTTCTTAAACATTTCCTTCCCTTTACTGTTTTCAGTCTTCATTTCTCCTTCTTTTCCTCTTTAAACAAGCTCGCCGACAAACTGTGTCTGTGTTCTTACGTCTGTTAATTTAACCAGAGGTGTGTTTTGTATTCATGTAGTAATCTCTGCAAGGCTTGAAGGATGTAAAGCCTTTGAAATTCAAAAACCTAAACCTGTTCGCTACGCAAAGCAACTCATTTAACCTGCTTTTCACTCCTCTAAATGGCATAATAGCTGTGTGTAACCATATGTCGGACTACATAAGCAGTCAGAGGAGTACATGATACAACATCAAGCTCCTCACCAGCTCATATGTACGGTTATAATGAAGCGTGTCCCCATCTGCCTCAGTCTGCCACTCTTATGTGCGTGTGTGCAAGAACACAGCTGCTTCTCTTAACCAAAGTCTGAATGAGTTTTTCTGAGTGTGTAAGACACAACACGGTCGCTCCATCAGTGGAGAATCTGCGGCTGATTACAAGGGTTTAGGTAGAAACAAGAGAGGCAGGTTGGTCCAATCAGAGACAACATCTGGCTCATCTTTTAGGGCTGCTTAACAAACACAGAGACAGAGAGGAGAGGGATCCCGGCACAATATCACTCTGAAGTGGTGGTGCTGCTGCCTCTTAACAGCATCTGGGAATGAATTTAGTGTGACATTTGGCCCTGTGGTATGTTGTAAAGTTGTAGCGGTGTTGCTTAGGGACCTGAGATGTTTAAGGTGTACTGCACTTGTGCTTATGTTATGTATTTTATTGGCAATGGCAACAAAACAGCAAGAATTTCTCACTTTTAACTACCATATCATATACGATTACATTTTCAATACTCATCAGGTTGGATATATAAAAAATATATGTATACTTTCAAACAAATGCTGTGCCTTATTTTTAGTCCACATACTACACTTCAACCCTGACAGACCCACAGGGCAGGGATGCATAAGAACCCATAAATGTTTAAACACACACACCGTAAAGTTGCAGAAAAGATCTCAAGGTTTAAGAAACTTTATAACCATCTATAAACCTGCCTTCGACCAAAAACGGCTTCTGCAGCAACACACTGTGCTAAATTGCATCATGTATCAGAATAAAAACAGGAAAATAATAACAGAAAATAATAACATGACCCATGTGGTGCCAGAGCCATATCGTCAGGATTACTCAATGCAGAGTCAAAGCTTAATACCTAACATAAAAAGCCAAAGCAAATTAAAAATGTAAAAATAGTCTGGTGTTTTCAGGCAGAAACTTTCCTAACTTTGGGGGCTTGACCCAAACTCCAGGAGAGGAAACCTCCCACCGAATCGTTAACTGGTGTCAGCGACCGTTCTTCCATCCACACTGAACATTTCGCACATACAACTTTTGCTTGTGATGCTCATTATTTTTGAATAGTTTACATTTAATGAGATGGTTGTGTCGTTCGGCAGGCTGTGATACAAACTGCCCTTTGATGAGAGCCAACACATCTCTGATCCTTGATCGTCCATGTCAAGGCTTCGAAACCTTTCTTGCTCCAATCCTTTTTTACATGACTTTTGGTCAACTGTCATGTCAAATGATAGCTGAAGAATGACTGAGAAATTTGTGACTGCCTCCTTCATTGCTACATGAGTATTAATACCAAACTAAAAAGAGAAGAAAGCATGAAAACAAAAGGTGAATAAAAAAATGTAAAAAAGGGGAACAGTGTTGTAGGAACATAATTGGTGAGCTCTTTCAGAAGGGTAGAGCCAACCACGAATGGTGGTGGGATATTTTTGGTATTTGCTCGACTTTTTCAGGTGTCCCTTTAAGTCCCCCAAACTTTACAGGAGTGTAGTCTGAACTCAAAACAACTCCCCACTGAAATATAAAACCACTGAAATTAGGGGTGGGAATCACCAGTGGCCACACGATGTGATATTATTGCGATTTTTAACATTTTGCAATAGGGTGAGTATTGAGATATAATATAATAATATAATATAATATAATTGCAATTTTTGTAATTTAACTAATTTAGCATTTGTCTTTCCTTTATGTTTGTCTTATTTACACTGTATTTTATTTTCATGTAACACATCTTGTAAACCTGATATATATTTGTTGCACTAACTTTCTCCTGCTCTATGATGTCACCTCTGCCAACCTCACTGGACTCACTGTTGATTTTATTTTTCCATTATCATAGACTTGAATTCATATTAACAATTAATTTGAAAAAATCTATACTTGGTAAATGAGACGATACGATATATCACCAGCAAAAATAACGCAATACTATGCTGAATCAATTTTTTCTCCCACCCCTGACTGAAATATAGTTTCAAGAAAGTTTTGAGTCCCTTTAAGACAAAGTTTTAACATCTCTGCTAGAGGGGCTTCATGGAACATGTGAAAGTTGAGAAACCCTTTATCCATAAACTTACATAATTACATGATAAAGAGTACCTCAATAAGTTTAAAATAGATTGTCTAATTTACGCAGTGGAAAAATTAAGTAATGATGCTTTACTCCTAAATCAAAAGTCTTATTGTGTATTATTATTACATTATTACTTATGTCGAGCTTTAAGTGAAATATCTCTGTTATTGTCATCACTGACCAATACCACAGGGTAAAAAACCTGCTCATGATTACTGACAGAGAGAAATGCCATGGATACTATAACAACCCAAAGGAACCAAACACATACTCTGGCAGTATTTCACTCAAGCAAACGAGGTGTTCAGTATTTCCAGTGCATCTTTGATTTCTGAGATAGGGTACATTGAGACTTCAAAAATGAGGTTCAATCATAGACGCACTCCAGTTTGTATCATTCATGATCTGAACTGGTTAAAAACGTGTCTGCACAGAGAGCTGTTTTCTATTCTTTAGTCTTTGCACGTCTGATGGGAAGGATCTGCCTCGAGTCTAATAAACCTGGCTGTCCACACAGGCTGCAACCTTGTGTTTTACTTGTGTTACATCTGCAGCTGATAGGCAGGTGACCCTCTCTCAAAAGTATGTCTGAACGCATTTTCTGTAACAAAGGGTAAGTAAAACACAACAACAACAGAATCCTCCTCATTTAGTCTCAGGACAACTTTTGATTTGTGTTTACCTCTGCATTCAAATAGCATCTTCTTCTTTTTAATCTCCCTCTTCTCTGCCTCATCTCTTTCTATTTTGACTCACACAAATGTGGAGAAACCAAAAAAGTATTAACACACATAAAGGAATGGACAGTCCACGCTATTAATTTGATTTAGGCTTATTTCTGTGGAAAGATTGAGTGATATATCAACGTATAGTTTATGAGAAGGTCAACATGTGACACTGTCCTTGAAAACGACCACAAATTGAACACATTACAATCAAACGCTCTCTGTCACTGTGCCGCTGTGCTGCCAATCATGAAGCAATAAGAACAACAGCACAGATAAAAGGTCATAGTGCGAGCACAGATTACTTTGATTAGATTAACCTCCACAATAACATTTGTGACCGGCTTTCCAATGAGAGAATTTCACACCTCAAATTTAACTTAATAACACGCATAATGGGCCGAGAGACACAGTCACAGAGGGAATGAAAGAGAAAGACAGCGAGAGGGGGGAAAAAAAAGAAAAGAAAAAGATGAATTCACCTTTAAGAGACATGGGATAGGCTTTTGTTGCCATCTAGTGTCACTTAGAGGAACAGGCTGCTCCAGCTTTTCAAACAGGTGTGTCATGAATAAACATAGATAAAAACTTATGAGTTTTACTCAAATTGGACCTTTTCCTGAACCTCTGCATTTGCAAATTAACACCTAACCTCAGTCTTTAACCCTGGAAAGTCTGCAAACCCATGCTTTCAGCACCTGTCAAACTGCAATCCCCCCTGAGGTTTACATGACTCAAGTTTCAGTACCCTGGAGAGTGCCCAGAGTTTGTAAGCCTGTAAATTGTGCTTTTTGTGGAGGCTCAGCCATTTAGAGCATACCTGGTCCTTAAAGCTGAAACTCAACAGCTGACACTTTTGTGCAGATATTTCACAAAAGAAAGGAAGCTGACAGAAACAACTGGGCTTTACTTCTACTGTGATCATGCTGCCACATAAAACTGGAGAAGCCACTTAGACTGGAGATCCTAAATCTAATCCTAATATAATCTTCATGACAACCTCAGAGTTATTTATCTTATCAAAAGACGTCCCTTTAGATTGAGAGGATACATTATGCAAAAAGAGGGCTCTTTTGTGTTAAGGTGTGTAAAGGTATCTTTAAGTTTATTAGCTCTCATGCTCAAAACTTCACAGTTTGGATCAGGTCTTTGAGAGCAGAATACTCAGGTTCAACAGGTTTGGGTGTGCTAAAAATAACTTTAGACCCACTGTTCACTACCTGCCTGAAACTATAGAGCAAACAGATGCAATCCCATCCCACCAGTGCTTTAATACTGATGAGCACTCACTGAGGAAACTCATCCCACTGGTAAGGTAAATTTGGTAGCCTACTGCATGGCCCCTAATGTCTCCCACAGTCTAATAGATGGGTCAGGGGTTGGCAGGAGAAACCAGCACATCACTGGAGGTATCAAGTGGACACCTCTCTTCAGCAGGGATATTTGTAAATGAATGCTAAACCCTTGAGAGCTACATTAAATGATTAGATGGGGCCACATGGACACCAGATTCAGAGGCTATGATACCTCCCATAGTCAGAGAACTTTAGAGCAATGAACGGATGAATGATACGATGAAAAGGCCTCCTCACCGCTCTTTTAAAACATGTTTTTACATATTTCAGTGCTGTTTCCATTTCTAGTTCTCATGTCTGAAAACATTTGGAGTTAACTATTTAAGAGTCAAAGAAGGTTTGGTTAATGTCTCAAGCTTTTTAAATGTCTCCAAAGTTTAAGTCAGGTTTTGGGTGCAGAAAATTGACCTCTTTGTTCTAACTACATCATTTCAAAGTGTTTAAACCACAGACTGTATAAAGAAGGAATCCTGTCCGCCTCTTCACTGGGTGAAGCCACTGTGTGAAAAGCACCCTCTGGTGACGGGCTGCAGTATAGGTCATAAATCCCACCTCCTCCAGCAATCTCTATGGAGTTGTGGACAAACTTTAGAAATTTATTACACAGAACATACATTTTTCTCCCCCCTGCTTGCAATGTTGACATGTAGTTACTGTAAGATTGGTTTGTGCTCAAGTCCTCTTTTTTCTGTACAGCTCCATTTTTAAAAGTTATTAGGGGGTTCATGTTTTCTTTGATTGACACTTGATACAGCCTATGGGCCTAGGAAGATTGTGTATCTCACCTGGGGGATACACTGTTTGATACTAGTGTCATCACAATGACCCTCCCACTAAATGTGTACAATGTAACTGTGCAAGTGGTGGTTCCAGGAAGTTGAGAAAATCCCGGAAATATCGAATGTATTTCCGAATCAAATTTGTATACTGACAGAAGGCGGAGCCAAGTTGTCCATAGTATATACAATCTATGGTTTACACCCAAACACGTGCGACTAGACTTATAGAATGTGTTGACAATTTACAGGCTTATATTTCCCTTGTACCATTACATCCTGGTTGAGATGCTAAATGGTTTACTTGTGTGTTACAGGCGTTTTCAAAGAATAAGAAAAGCGTGGATGGCATTTTGAATTAGCTGAATCCCCACAAAAGGAAGTTAAAGGGCAACTAATAAAATAGACGTTCTAATTGTTCTGCAAGAGCAGAGGGAGGGAGACAAATTTACCATATGCTAATTTGACTTATAACCTTTTTTTGCTTTCAACAGGAACCAAAAGGCCATTAATACATTATAAAAAGAGAAAATCCCTTTTAGCCCTTTAGTTCAACTTCCTTTCATTCCATTCTCCCGTTCCCCACACTCATTCTGAAATTAATCTGCAGAAGATTTGCTATTAACAAAGACTATTCACAGAGCGCCATACAGTGGGTGAGGGCCTCTGGCTCCAAGATGAAGAAAGAGCCAGAGGAAAAGTGGGATCAGGCGGTTCACTGAGAAGAGGACAAAAGACAGGATGAAATGAGTGAGCGAGTGAAAGGAAGAGGGGAGAAAAACACTACTAAATAGCAGATGCTGCTCATCATTGTCTGGCTCCCTGACAAGTGACTCAGAGCTGCGCCCACGCATGCAGGACAGGAAGCACTTAGTCACCTGTCTCCCTCCTGCTCACACCTTTGTGCCACTCTCAAGGCTGAACTCATGGGTCTGTCTGCTCCTCGGAGATTCTTTACAAAGTGAATGATCTCAAATTCATGCTGAAAATGCTCGGCTTCATTCCTACATCTCCAACTCCTCCTCAACACTGAAAAAAAAATCTTAGTCACTGAGCAGAATGATTGATTTCCTCACATTTCTTTAATCTTTCTAATAGAAAGACTTTCATACCTAGGTACAGCTAAATGTTGCAGAGTTTTAAAGAAGAGTTTCTGCTTCAAATCTAATCTTTTCTGAGATTAATGGACCTGTTAAGGTAGTCTATAGAAGACAAATTAAACACTGGCCAGTTTTAGATCAGTGATGCTGTCATTTAGGACGAGAAAAATGGTTAATTATCACTGCAGTCACACTCACAAGACTGCCTGCAGTGTCTGCAAACAGTATCTGGATTGTTTTTGAAGCAGCCTGTCAAGTGTCAGCCAGAGTGGGTTATTGCAATGTGCCATCAACTGGCCCAAAGGATCGAGAAGGACCTGGCTGCAGACACAGTGGGAGGGTGGACCTCTGCTTGGAGCTCAGAATTTAAAAAAGACCTCAGCGATTTCTCAAACTGTTTCACAAAATTAATGAAAAATACTTTTGTGTTCAATATTAGAATTGCTTCTATTTGCTGTGCATTGAAAACAGTCACTTCATTGTTCTAGGCATTGTGGGACTCTTGGCATCCTGGGACTTTTCTCCCTCATCAAGTCATAACCATGCATTTAAAGCAATTGGCTGATACCATAAAACCAATACTAAAGTTACTGTGTTGGTTTTAACAAATAGACTTTTCAATCAAAGACTTCACCAAGGTGGCATCTCTTGGCTACCTGTGATGTGCCACAAGACAGACCGTATGGCCTGCACTTTAGCTACACAATTTAGATACCCTGTTTGGGTTGATTGAAAAAGCAAGTTAGGATATCAAACTCTAAAAGTACATTTACTGTTTACTGTTAAAGACCTGATGAAGAACAACTTTCACTTGTGCGATGACTTGGGCTAGGTGAAAAACCGAAAATTTACAGATACCAAAATTTACGAAAATAACTGACATTATTTTGCCCATGCCAATATACTCAGTATCAAAAAAATAAATGAATAAAAGTTGGTTTTGGATGTGTGTAGGTAGGCTATGGTCTCATTTCCCTTTAAGAAACTGTCCTATGTCTGCGACGTGACTCCAGCCCATCCAGTCCGTAACAAAGAGGGAAAAACAGGTGAGAAGATGGAGGACAGTTCAAAAGTTGTAGCGGCTGGAGAGGCGGCTGAAGTTGACAAAGTTAATGTGGGAGGGGTTGAGCAGCTTGTGGAGTAGTTATTGTCCATTTGTCGTTATTGAGGTGAACTGCTCAATATATCGTGATATTGATTTGAGGCCATATCCCCCAGCCCTAGCGATGACATTATTTTCCTATTTCATTATGAAGCTTTGACAATATCACTCTTCTGTTTTCCATCTATCTGTTTGTTGATGAATTGGCCATCCTTTCTTTCCAGTCTCCCTCATTTATCATGGTTGACATTTTGTGTTACCCTCTAAAGATACACTTCATTAATCCCCAGAGGGAAAGTCATTTTTAAGATATACTTTATTCATATGATTCGTTTCACCTCATCACCCTTCTTTTCTTTTCTTTCTAAGTTCTCCTAAATGTGCCAAATGTTAGTCCTTTTCTACCCTCATTTCAAATTTTCCCCCTGCTTTTCTTATTCCCCCTTTCATAAATGATCGGAGAAGTTGAATTAGCAACAGTCACTCCTTCTCCTCCTCCTCCACCTCCTCATGATCTTCCTGGAAATGTTTCATCACTTGTGAACATCCCCCCCCCCGGTTCATTCCCTCCCCCTCAGCTCAATTCTGCAGGAAATGCGTATCATCTGCTCTTTCACTGCCATTCATCCTCGGCTCCTCTTCGTTCTTCATACTAACCCTTTCACAAAATGTTTAGTCACTTTTTCCCCCTCACATCCTTCTTGCTTCATCAGCTGTCGCTCCTTATTCTTCATCTTCACATATATTTAGTCTGCTTCATTTTTCCTCCGAGCAAAAATTACATCACTGCAAATGAATCCTGAAATTGTATTGAATTAACAGGCTGTCTCAAGCTGATGAGCCGTACAAGTTCCCATCAGAGCAGATATCTCATGTTAGTCTTTACACATGTTGGAAGTGACAGCAAAGTTACACAACTACCAAAAGGATTAACAAAAACTTGAACTGCCTAAATAAAAGCCCCATGAGAGCCACTATGAGAGCCACCATTCACATTGAGATAAAGCCCACGTGTCACTTCCCTGTCATTAAATTTATACTGCAATATGTCTCCCCACAATTATCTCGAGACACAGTGGTCTGTAGATATTGATATGTGGCAATGCATATGGTTTCCTAACTTTTATGTCTACCTTGTTAAAAGCCAGGGGCTTCATAATGAATAGCCTGATGGTATAATAGAAGCTTTGATGCTTAGATGTACTTCAAACAGATTTTTTTCTAGTAAAATTAAAGTTGCTTAGTCACCAACTCAATATGTTTTTTTGTTTGTTTTTTACCAATTAAATCTTGCAACCACTTTTCTATGTATACTCCCAAAATTTAACAAGTGAAACCTCATTATTTGTTTTAGAGCAACTGTGTGAGTGCACTCCATTGCTATAATGTAACCTTTCCCATTTCTCTTTAAAGTGCCTGTGAGGGACTTTTGATCTGTGACAATTTTGGCGCCCACTGTGAACAAAGCAGCCCTCTACGCGTTCAAAGAGTCATCTTACAAAAAAAATTCATTCTGTTGACTTTTTGACTGTGAAATGTACCAGGTATCGTAAGCAGGACTGTTTCTTCAGCTGCTCTGTTGACACCATAGACTGTATATAGAATGGACGCTGTCTGCCTCCTCGCTGGGTGAAGCCACTCCGAGAACAGCACCCTCTGTTGATGGGCTGCAGTATAGGTCATAAATCCTGCCTCCACCAGCAAAGCTTATGGAGCTGTGGACAAATTTTATAAATTTATGACACAGAACATAAATTTTTCTCCCCCCTGCTGGTGATGTTGACATGTAGTTACAGTAAGACTGGTTTGTGCTCAAGTCCTCTTTTTTCTGTGAAGCTCCGTTTTTAAAAGTTATTAGGGGGTTCATGTTTTCTTTAATTGACACCTGATACAGCCTATTGGCATTCAGGGATTGTGTAGCTCACCGGGGGGATACGCTGTTTGAGCTGAGCGTCATCACAGCGACTCTCGGCAACTCTCCTGTCGAATGCGCACAACTCTACTGCGCAGCGCTGGTTTCAGGAAATGAAAAAAAATCCCTGTATTACCGAGAGCTTTTTGGCTTCAAATCCATATACAAGCGGGAGGCGAAACCAAGTTGTCCATAGTATATACAGTCTATGGTTGACACCTATCCCCTCACACTGATTTTAAGGTGTTAAAATTAGAGGTCAGAAGTTTTGGCACAACTTCACCAACTTCCATGGTGCTTGGAGAGAAAAGGTCTTGGAGAGATCAAAAGAGCTCCAATAACACTTGTAGTTCAGGCGACAACTTTATTAGACTGACACGTTTCAGCTTGTGGCCTTCATCAGGGTCATCGAAAATGCATTACAAACAACTACTGCATTTCTGATGAACACATGAAGGCCACAAGCTGAAACGCGTCAGTCTAATAAAGTTGTTTCCTGAATTACAAGTGTTGCTGGAGCTCTTTTGATCTCTCCAAGGTGTTAAAAATAAGACATCAATATGAATTCAATTTGTCTATTTTAAAGATGTTTAAAAAAGTACCTTTAAAACATTCACTCATAAGGTTACATTAAGTTTATAATGTGGGTTTTTAAAGCAGAATGAACATTCGGTGGCTGCCTCCCTCAAATTCTTGTTAAAGAAAGAATCCATCTTTCATCCGCCCTTTTCATGCTACCAATTAAAGGTGTATTATTTACACCCATAGAACTTTGCACCTTCAATGTGAATGTCATAGAGGTGTGATGGCGGACCAACTTAACACCAGCTTCAGAGGCATTAATACCTCTGATTAACCTCATGTGCCTAGAATGTGAATTCAAACACTGTAACTCCAATATCACAGTCACAGAATTGATATGTTACTCCAAAAGTGTGCCGGTGGCAGAGCTGCATTATGGCTCAGCTGCAGATTTGTAAGGTGAAAAGGGATGGTGGCCTGATTCCAGCTGTTTCTCCAAACTGCAAAGACCCATTTGCTTCGCTCAAGCTTTTTAGTTCTGCAAAAAGAGAGCTGCAACTTCTTGTTTATATGTTGAGTCTGTTGCACAGCAGCTTTTTCCCTTTTTCAAATTTTTTTTTGCAGCTTTGTAACTTAATGCTGACACTGCATCTTAGCATGAGCTCTCTGCCACTGTGTCTACCATGATGTTATGCGAATAACCGCTGTGAAAGTTGTCAACCAAATATGATGCATAATCACGTGCCATAACCTGGTGGTATTTGTTAGTGTGATTGAGTTTTAAAACTATCAAGTTCTCAGCAGATAGGAAAATGTGTCACTCTACATGCTCGACTGCACAGTGATTTTGCAGGAGTTGATAGGTGATTATGTTTTTGATTTCATGACACGGAGGAAAAATCTCATTTGACAACAGAATACGAGCAATCTGCTGCTCTACATGTGTACGTATGTATATGAATTCATCGCACATGCAACAGTAATTACAAGGAGACTACAGCATCAGGAGGTCCGGTCCCGCTCGACCGGTCATTCTGCTCACAACGTCCCTCCAGCGGCTTTCTATTAGTGGTGGGAGTGTGTTGGAGTGGAGATAAGACGAGAACTACAGCATGTCTCGACACGGGGGAGGCAGGTGGAGGAAGGGGCGGAGGAATCACGTGAAACAGGCGCCGGCTCGAGTGTAAAACAAGCTCTCCCCTTTCCACGATTAAGCCTGTGGGCCCGCAGTACTCCTATCTCCAGCTTCAGGAAACTCTCAGGGTGCAATTTACGGCTTGCACTGCACTGATAATACTGTCTCCAGGGCAGGAGGGAGAGAGTGATGGGCTGGGATAGAAAAGAAAGAGGGAGAGACAGAGAGAGATAGAGGGTGGGGGGTTGGCGAGGAGACAGGAAGGAGGGAGAGGGAAAATGCAAAGAGAGGTGGAGATAGAAAGAGAACAGGGATGTAATAGGTGAAAGGAGGAGGAGAATAAGAAGTGAGAGGAGGAGGCAGAGGGAGTATAAGCATGGAAATTACAAATACAATCCCGAGACCCAATTTGTGCCGGTGCAAATGCTCCAACACGTGATTACACCAGAGAAAACCTGACCAGACTGAATCATGACGTGACCGTCCACAAACTTATCTCAAGAGGGACACTCAATTATTAATCCGCTTTCACACTTTTATCACAGCGTGTAAAACTTCAGTCAAAAGTGCTGTAATGACAGCTGAACAAAACTCAACATTAGACACAGATGACAACAGCCCCACCAACAGGTCACCTGTGGATGTTACAGGAGGAAGACGATTCCTCAAATCAAATGAAGTGAAAACTTTTTTAAATGATTTTGCAGAGGTGCTTGTTCACCTAATCATGGTCAAGCTGCTCCTCACTAATGGTGAAAATGCAAAACACAGTGATTTCATCTGCCAATGCATTGTGAACAAATAAAGAAACAAGAACCCATGAATAAGTTTCGAGTGCTTACAACAAACGTTGCCTCATATACGAGGAAAACCATATCATTAAATTCTGTATCAACTTGTAATAAAGTTTTCAAACAAGATGGCCAAATATTACACAGCAGCAAATAAGAGTGTGCAATCAGCCTGTAATCTAAAGGCTTTTTCATACATGCAGTCCTTGAATTTGTCGAGGAAGGGTGTATGTGAAAAGTCAAACACTTAAGCCTGTTTGATCTGGCTTTGTGTAGATTTCAACTGCCACAAAAAATTATATGTTTATATGTAAAAAATTGCAAGTGTTTGAGAGAAATATTTACTATAAGCAAGCAGGGTTGAGTAATGACGTCCACATTGAGTTTCTCTGCATTATACTCCTTACTGATCTTACCTCAAATGCCAGTGTATCCTTTTTCTACTGTTGTTTTTATACAGCACAAACATTCTAATAGAAGTAGGGATATGAACCCAAAAAATAGACACTATCACATACCATACCTACTCTACTGCTGGACCTGCACAATTAAGCCCCACCCCCTTCATCTGAAAGGACCATGATAATCCTTCACTGTTGAAGATATGGCAGGAAAGGGAGGACCAAAAATTGACTCAGAATAGGACTTAACATGTAAAAGGGGTCCATGTGTGCCTGGTGTTTTGCAACAAGAATCCAAATTTTTATGAGACCAACAAAGAGGCCCATTTAAAGTGATGGTGTCTATTTCAGACCAGACGCCTGAAGACACAAGGTCTGTGTAACAGGGGGATGAGAAAGGAGCACAGACAGAAACAAGTGAGCTTTCAGTTTGGGGGGAAAAAAAATTAATCATGTGTTAAGTGTGTGCGTGTGTGTGTGTACCAGTTGTTTGGTCCTCTCTGTTTCCTGGCGTTTGTTGTGTCGTTCCCGGCTCAGGGCTTTGATCATGTCCTCCTTCGCCGCGTCACTATCTTTTTGTGACGCCCTCGCCAAATCCTCCTTCAGCTTTGTTTGCTGGCGTTCAAACCTGAAACACGTAAACACACACTTCCATCATCAGTTTCTGCTTTCCAAGTCTGCAGTGAGAGTGCTTTTTCCATATCTTTCCAGAAGAGGGCAGCATATACCAGACTTTATGAGACGTCAAGTCTATTTGGTAGAATAATGAGTTGAATTTGAGCAAAGTGCACTCACAGTGAGGACAAACATGATCTTTTTAAGGCTTTAATTTGATCTCCAGCAGTTAAAAAGATGGTTTACAAGGTGTAATTTACTCTTTATCGAACTTTTGAATGTTTTAAATTTCAGTTTGTAACTAATTTGACCAACTTTCTACATTTTCAGTGCAGTTAGTTTTCTGTGTGTTCCTGTGTGTATTAAGGACATCTATAAAAAATGACCGATACTAGTAAACACAGTGCAATGTAAACCTAACTGAGGTGGCACTTGTTTCACTACAAGCTTATGGGTTAAATTTAGCTCTGATCTTTTGCTCAACCTCCATCGAAGACATAGTCATCTATGCACAGTCTATTTACATCATTGTCGAACCCCAGGACACCTGACCCTAACACTGACTTGGCCCGATATGGCTCTGTTTGTACAAGCCTAGTTCTTACACTAGGTTAGATCTGTACAAAATGTTGATATAAACAGATTTTGACACCTTATTTTCATTGAAAATAAGCCCGAGGACAATATATAAAATGCTGAACCTTGAAATTTCAATGTTTTGTGAAAACTTTGATGCCAACAACGTGTCAAAAAAAAGTTGGAATGGGCACAACAAAACCTGTAGGGATGTCTGGCAGGTAATTAAGATAGACATCATCACTCTGTTGTAGAAGTCACCGTATGGGCTCAAAATCACCTCCAGAAACTTTTGGCTGTGAACTTGGACTGGGCGATTTGGAAGAAAAAAAAAGATCACAATATATTTTGTCAAATCATCTGATCTTGATTATTATCATGATTTTATTTTTTTTTTTATTGTTTTTTTTAAACTGCCAGTTTTAAAGCATCTGTACTAAAAACTAAAACTAGAGTTTGGTTCAATATTTTACTATCATACATTGTAAATAACAAAGCAAATCAAATAGGATAAAAATAAAAAAAATATAAAACCATTTTAACTCAACAGTACAATAAATGTAGATAAATACTAAATAATACAGTAAACTAGTTTACAGCCCTGAGTGTTTTTGCAGGTATGCAAGACCCAAAATAAATAAATCGCCCCCTCAGGGATAATGAAGATGCCTTAAAATGTAAACATTAGATGATGTAAACGTAGATGATATGATTGATTGCTGCTTTGGTCTGGTGGCTGCACCGCTAGTTGTAGCTCAGCTGCTAATGCTACTTGTGCTGTCAGCAGTGGCAGGCTGTACTTCTTCAAATGATGAAATGGATCTGTTGTGTTGCCGGTTTTTGAGGGCACCGACATACCCTTTCACATCGGCTTAATTGTTCAACGCCACTTTGGAGATACCCCAACCACCGCCACGAAACCAACATTAAATAACTTTTCTTCTCAATAATGTCGTCTTCAGAGGATGACTCAAAGTCATGGCAGACATCCATTTTGCTGCCCTCAGTTCCACATTTAGCTCCACGTTTGGTCATTCTGTTTACTTTCCAGCAACTTACAGAAGTGAGCAGGAAAAGCTGGACTCTGATTGGCCTTTGTGACGCACATTTCCGCCATGTTTGTTCGATTAAACATGCTCACAGCTGATCACCGTGATCGAGCTGAAATTTATGACAATCATTAATTACAATCATATAATCGCCCAGTCCTACAGTGAACACAGTTGTAAATCCCGGATGTTTAGGTATGACAGGGACAACCAAGCTTGCTATCAGTACACTTGTGTTTTGGGGGATGCATTAGTGCCCATGGCATGAGTAGCTTACACATCCGGGATGGCACCGTTAACGCTGAAAAAAAAAAAATATATATATACAGGTTCTGAAGCACCCGATGCTGCCATCTAGACAATGACTTTCTCAGAAAAGACCTAGCACATTTTAACAAAATAATGCTAAACCAAATTTTACACATATAACAGCATATAATATTTTACACAGCCTCCGAACTCTTATGGAATTGGGGTCGCACTCTGTAACCTCAGTTTAGAGGGTAATGATCTCTGAGAAAAGTGTGAAACATGTTGCCAAGAGGTGGATTATAAAATTCCCAAATTTGTTTCAACCTACTTTTTCTGTTCTTCTTTAGCATAGGAGGTTGGTTTGCTGTTGCTGGTGGGGTTGGTGGTGGACTGGGGCTTGGGCTGGGCTCGGTTCTGGGAGTTCGCCTGGGGCCGAGGGTTTGAGGGACCTGACAGAGACAATAAATATTATTGGCTTGTGTTCTGTTGGAGAAAAAGATCCACAGTGATGAAATCGCAGGTGAAAATTAGGAAACCCCAAAATAGATTTTGCAATTAACTTTGTTATCCAGGAACTTTTGCTAATCGGTAAAGCTTGGTGAGAGAGCAACACTGTATGGTGTGAGATACCCGTTTCTTTCTGGCTGTTGGAGCTTGTTGGAGGTTTGCGCTCTGGAGCAATGTTGGCCACTCCTTTCATCCTCTGGAGAACATCTTCTGAGAGCTAACCGGAGAGATAAAGTGCAAACAAAACAGACAATTTAGTCTTGACAAGCACAAAAACAAAGAACTGAGACTTCAGGGTAAACCTTTAAGGTTTGGGTGCTTTTAAGTTTCTACAAAGTTAATGACATTTTATTGGAGTACAAAGCATCATGCACATCATTTGGCACCTCTGTTTAAATCAATTATTCCTTTATCTTCTCTAAGGTTAAACACATTAAACTGAAAACTTTGCCTGAAATCAGGGTCAGCCCATCTCCTCTGACTGTGTGTGTAAGTGTGTGTGTGTGTTCAGGGGAAATTGTTAAATATAGCTTCCAGAAAAACCCAAAGCAGACCGGCACTCTCTCTGACTCACTGTTTCTATGACTCACAACATTTGAATGTGCAGGCAGAGTATGAAAATAAGAATATCCATAAGTCTCTACACTTATATGCGTGTTACAGACATTTCATTATCACTACGATGCATTCAAGTGCCACAACTACAAACTTTTCTATATTGCTATTGCACAGGTTTATCTCCTTTATTCTTTCAGGGCCTTTATACTGTCAGACTCAGCTAGTTTACACCAAACACCATGGATCACCGTTTGGGTGTGGTCAGGAGTGAGCTCTTCCTGGAATCACCCTCAAACAGGCTGGTGAAATAAAGGTGCATTGACACAATTTCTCCCATCTCTACAGCACAGTAAGAACATACTGAAGCCTCTCTCTGCCCTTAAAAGATAAAAATACGACTAAAACTAAACATTAAAAAGTCCTCTGAGTAGATTAAAACTACAAAACAGAATCTAAATGACTCTTAGCTTTTGATCGTGAATTGCTGTGGTAATATTTTCAACTCCAAGGCGAATTTTCAACTTATCCTGTCTTTTTTACTTGCAGATTTCACTTACTCTCTTCACAGTCAATGTTTGAATTTTTTTTATTCATTTAGAGTAAATTTGCTCCTCAGCTGAATAAACCCAAAACAAAACCTGTGCTGCTAGATGCTATGAAAAACATAGCTTTATTATATATGGTAATGCTGTTGCATAGAACTCTATTATCCAATCCATGCTCTAAAGAGAACCTAATGGTGGATGTTAGGATGATGTTAAAGGATTAAAGGCTGTGCACATGAATTATGCAGTAGTAAAGGTTTCTCAGCCTGTCAAGTATTTTGAGGTTTTTATTTATTGTCAATCAACAAAGTGCATCTGTTCATCAGTTTGATGCTTAGAGTGCATAGAGGTGGGAATATTTGGCATAATTGCTTGTGTCAAGTTCATTTACGATAACATAATATTCATTTTTGTATAATAAGTCACCTCAGGTAACTTTAAGTTGTGTTAAGTATTGTGTAGAAAATATAAAAAGGAATATCAATAACAGATCCCCCCTTGCTCACCCCTCTTGGCAGTGATGGTGGTCTTTAAGGACAGGAGGTTCCTGTGACACATAATAAGTATAAACTCTATTTGACAAGTTTTTACAATCAAAATCATCAACCAGAACTTCTTTTGTGCACAACAACCACTGTCTTCCTCTTCACTGACTACTGTCCATCCTGTGTTACTGCATGTTACTGCAATACCTTGGACCCTGTGCAAAGGGACCAGTTCCTTCCCTGATCTAAAAGGCTAATTTTAAGTTCACAAACACAAACTGATTTGTGTATTTAGGGGATTACTCACTTATTCAGGTGTACCTTTAAATATTATATTCTATTTCTATACAGTCTGTTCTGCTGAATGCTGCTGAATAACAAACACTGTTCCTTTAACCTATTCACTCTCCTGCACATAATCCTATTGTTTTACTGCCCCCACCTGCACACAGGTTTTCATGTGAGGACATGAATTCTCATCCTTCACCAAGGGAGTTGCTGTTAGAAGAACAATTCTCCAGTAAACTGTATTTTCTCTATTACTACATACTGCACAAGGGCATCAAAATATTCCCGTTTTTATTCATGGTGCAGCTACAGTGCGTGCATTCCTGGCGCCCCTATATCATAACTTTAGAAATGAATTGAAGCCTGGATCTAACAGACATTTTGTTTAGCTATACTCTTGTATTCCTTAGTTATATATCCACAGCTTTCAATGGGCAAAAATCCAAAATCTACAGCAACACGTGAAGTCAGCAGTGTCATTAGGACAACAGATAGCCAAACCCCATTTAGTATTTGGTCAATTTAGTGTCACCCCGGCTGTAACAAACATCTTTGTAGCTAGAGCCACAAAGGATACTGTTGAGACATGAAAGAAAAAAATGTCCCAAATTTAACAACCGATCACTATGATACTTTTCATCGTACTGCTTGCTTCCATTGACGATTCATTCGCCTTATTGACAGCTAGCTAGACGCGTTATCTACATCACTGACAAGCGTTGTGGGTGAATTGCAAAAAAAAATGCCTTTCATTTAAGATAATATATACGCCGAATTACACATGGCATCAAAGAGTATTCATTACGATGCAAGTTATCCTTCAGAAATGTGAATTCACTGATATCCACGACACATACACATCTATCGCTTTATATGAATGGAGTCTGGCGCATCCAAAAAAGGGGTTGTTTCAGGTCTCATCTCGACCTGCCCCAGCCCCTGCATCCCTTTACATCTTCCCCCTGTCAGCAGCCTTCTCACACATTGTACGTTTAGCAATAATTTCCTTTCAAAAGACACTGGCAACTTCATTAAATGTGCACCAACATGCTAACAGCTAGCTTAGCCTGGCGATGGGCGTAACATAAAAGTAATGTTAGCTTATCAAACGCTAGCTAAATTAGCTTTACCTTGACTCCGCGGAGGATTCGGACTCTTTCCTCATCATCAACACCAAAAGACACTTTTCTGGTCGTACTCTCTCCAGCACCCATACCTCCCGTTTTGTCAGTGACAGCTTTTTAATTGTCTTCAGTGAAATAATGCTTCTCTTCTAGAATAATGTGACTGTCCTGCCCGATGACAGATAAGTGACAGATGGGATACTGGTTGCCAGACTCTTCGTAAACCATTCCCCTCTTGTATGTATTACCCAATAGCTTAATAACTTGATGAGATAGAGTTAGGGCCAAAGCATATTACACATAATACAACTACTCTCCGTGTTTTGCACTAAAGCATCCATTAAAAATTGCAGTCGTTGAAACACTGATAATTACCCATTTACAGCCAAGCCTGGCAACCCCGTGTCATAACCTCAAGCGCACTTGATTGACTTTCCAGACACAATACATCCCATTTGTACCTTACATAATATCATCCATAAATAAAACAATGGAAACAGGAGACTGTCTTTTTCAAAAACTCTGACATTATCCCCAGAGTTCATTTGTCTCTGCATCACTACACCAGTTCGGTCTGAAACAATGACAAAGAAGTAGGGGACAGTTTCAAAGTGCATAATCTGTCACATATGGTGTTTATTTAATTTTACAAAGGATAACATTGTTACAAATTTTAAAAAAAAGAAAAAACACACAGGAGAGCATGTCAAACATTTTATAAGTTCCAATATGTTGTCCATGTATTGTGTGTTTATTTGTCATTTTGATTACTCTAGCATATTTAGTGACGTCTAGTGATCTCACATGAACAGCACTTTTCAGGAGTTTCAGTTTGATAGCTTTCTCTGTTTCATACAGTTCCCAATTGTGTTTGAACTATTGTTCCTTGCGAAATTAAAGCATAACACAACATGCTGATTTCACTTGAAGACATCACTTTGACCTAAGCCTTTAGCAAAGTTGACTGGCCTGCGGTCAGTTGCAGCCGATTTAGCAAGTATTTGACTTCTTTGTTTTGATTTTATTCACAGGTCTGTTATTATTAGCACTTTTCAAAGTTGATTTCATTTGGCATAATATACTTATTTCTTTGACTTATTAACTGAACCATAAAAGAGTGTTGTTGTTTTTTTGTTGTTTTTTTTTTTAGTAAAACTTGCAAAAAAAAATTCTTTAGTGAAGAGTAGAGAGGAGCCATTCATAAGTGCAACAGTGTATTTTTTCCCATAACAGTAGCATCAGTAAGATGGCTTAACTATGGCGTGCTGAAAAGAAACAAAAAAGACATGCAGTAAAAAAATATTGAGTCAATTTTGGGCCTTAATTATCATGATAAATATATTCACTTATTATAATTAACAGTAAATAACTCAAAAAAGAAAGTCATCCCTCCACTACAATTACAGCTTCATAAATTGTTTAAACATAATTTTAAACAAGTAGTCACTTTTTGACTACATCTTCTTTTGAAAGAGAGTCATAAATATGATAAATACAGATAATATTATAAAGAGACCCATTTCATTTCATAGAAAGCAGAAAAAGTTCTTTGCATAAATTGATGCATACAGTGACATTGGTTCACATCCCACTTTGCAGTGTGATCCAAGACTCTGCTGTGCTGGAATGGATACTGAATGCTGGGAAAACCGGCTCTTTGAACACAGCTCTGAAGGTATGAAGGTGCTCCCTGCGCCCTTTGGTACTGTGAAATATTAGAGTCCCTCCCTCATAGTCCAGTGCCACTTCTATCTTCAGTGGCTGTTTGGTCACATCTCCCAGAGCCACGTTACAGGAGGACTGGCACACCGTCAGCTTTCCGTTTTTCCACTGCAGTCGCCAGGACACAGAGTTGTGTCCCAGGCGACTGTGGTCACCACGTCGAGGGATGCTTTTATAGCACACACCCAGGGACCACTGGGTCTTTGGGCTGACTTCTACCTCCCACAAATGCTCTCCCCCAGAGAACCCCTGGCTGCACAGGACCTGGGGTGCAGTTGTGAACCGCTCTGGGTGCTCTGCGTACAGCTGCTTGGTGGGGCTGTACTTGACTGTGCGCAGATCATTGGAGATGATCAGACTTGGGTGGGCAGTGAAGATGTTGAAGGTGAGGTCCAGGGGGTTTAGGAGGGTATGGAGGGATTCCAGTAGACAAATCATGTCGGAGCGGAAGTCTTGAGTTTTAAGGCCTGCCTGGAGACGCTTGGTGTTGAGAGGGGCCTTTGAGGGGATCTTTGAAGGAAAGGGAGTGGTGACCGCTTCTCTCAGCTTGTGATCATTCAGCATGAACCTGGGAGAGAGGAAGAATTCACACAGATGAAATCATATGACTTACAAAGCTACCATGTGCTCTGCTACATGATGTAACATCATATGTCTCTACTTAAGGAGGCTGCATGAATGTGCACACATATCTGTAGTGAGAGACCTGGAAAAAACTCAGTGTGTGGGCCTATTTGCTCAAACGGTTTGGTATTTAAAAAGTGTACAGGTCTGAAGCTGCAGAGACAAAGACCTGCATTCTTTCCAACAGTCAGCAGGGGGCGATACAACAGCTGGCAGGGGCAATGTTCTTGTAACAAAAAAGTCCCTTTATTACAAGAGGATATGAAAACAACCTTGCCTCCCAACCCTGTTGAAATCACACTAGGATCTTGATCATTAATACATCCTCTTAAAGTGGTGTATACAGTTGTACCATTTACTTTTAAAGAGGCAATGAGGCAGAGTGATCTTTGGATAAAGTTGTTGCCATGGCAACCAGTTGACCAGGTTAGCAATGTAGCAATGACTCCCCCTCTGTTTGAGTGTGCTTTGAAACACTGAGATGGCAATGGCAAAATATTTTGAATTATAATCTTCATATGTTGATTGATCAGATGGGTGATTTTACAGAGGCTGGTGCTAAATCCTTGGTAAGGTGATTGAACCTGATCGAGTCCCTGTGTCAGCCTACAAGCAGCGGACAGGATATAAATTAATGACTATGTCCACCTCTGCCACACTTATTGATGTAGATATGCCCCCTTACAGTCTGTTACTATAAGGCTATCTGGTTTAATGCAACAGATGAATTAGCAAGAAGCTGACTGGTTGTATGAAGGCTACAACAATTAAAACATAGACAACTCTGCAGTTTTTTGTACATATGAAATGACAGCTCGTGTTTTTTTATCACCTCCCTTCTTCTTCTGTTATGTTTTTGTTCTCTACCCAGCTTTCTATTACATATTTATGCTATTTGACTTTAGGGTCAAAGACCAGTTTGAGTCCAATTAGGGCCTATATATGAAGAAGAAAATCAATCCTCAACTTTTTTATCTAGTTTTGTTATTCTGACAACAAGAAGGTATGATTACATTTATTTTGTAAGTCCAGTTTTAAAGGGATAGTAGACATAAAAGTTGAAAATAATGATTGAACACATTTATACTTATTAGTTGTAAAAGTAGTGTGGTGTTGTACCTGTGTATAAATACGCAGGTGTCTGTCTCATTGAGAAGTTTTGTGGCACTTAGCTGGGTCTCCATGAGCAGCTGCCTTTGGATCTCAAGAGCACCCAGTCCTTGCTGCCAGCTGTTCCTGCGCTGTCCTCTCTCCTCCTCCAACAGCACATGCAGGCGCTCCCTGTACCTGAGCACAACATAGCTTTGGTTAGAAGAGCTAGTTTTTTATGCACTTACAAAGTTATTAGGTAAGAAAACTCTAACTTTAAGTCAAAGTTATAGTGATATAAAGAAAACAGATCAGTTTACACCTGTGACATGTTTAATGATTTCCAGACTGACTGACAACATGCTGGAGAGATGTGATGATATAAACTGTTCAAAATTCCTCCTGCATTGTCCTTGCTCAGTGTTCATGATAATATTGGTTTGACTCTGGGGGAATAATCTGAATATAATGAAGCATGACGCACATGCTGTCATCAACTTCAGTAAACGTGAAAACAGATCAAACAAACTATTCTAGGGGGAAAGTACTTATGACTTATGTCTGATGTGACTGTGCAAGTTTAAAGTGTTGCCACTCTGTTGATAAAGACATAACACTGGAGGTATTTCTAATCTGGTTAGTTTCACCCAAGAGGCTTTGTTCGTTGTTTAGGAGGTTATAAACAAAGTAAAAATGATAAATACATGCTAACTGAGCATGTGTGTGTTTGGTCACCCTTACATAAGTCACTTCTCCAGTCAGGCCACCTCAGCAAAAACAGTCATGTCATGCCCCTGATCAGATTTTGATGTCAGATATCTAGAAAACTAGAACAATTCCTGTAACCACAACTTTACTCTTTGTGTAGTGCTAATAAGTCAATGTTAACGTGTAAAAATTGTCAAATATGAAGGCAAACATGTTTTAGGCAAGTATGTCCACAGTATCCCCAGCATGCTGTTCATGTAAAGTACCACTGTGCTCAGATTACAACCTCACATTGCTGCAGTGATGGAAGAAAAGTAGGTCTTAGTTTAGTTTGCATGTACTGGAAACAGTCTTAACAATTCTGAATAATAAGAGCTGTTATTGCGCAGCATTTTATGATCTGAGAAATGAGTTAAAGGGTGTTCTTACAGTCTGTGACGTCTGAATTGCAACTTTGACACAAAACATACTGGTGTTAAAAATGTCGATAAACTGGATTTGTTACATGAAATAATGGGAACAATGGGTTTAGGCATCTTTGTCTACAAAAGTCACTCCCTGGTCAAGCGTTTCAAGTCCGGCAGAGAAACTTTAATTACTGTAAGTGACTTAACATCATGTATCATCATTTAACTTGAAAAACTAGGGAGGACTTTCCCACTCAGAAAAACCTGATCAGGTTGAACCATCTTTACAAAAAGCATTTTCTTTGGAATTACATAGTGGTTTATGGTAAATTGACTTACTGTAAGGAAATCCTATTCTTTTCTTATGTAATTAGAGATAATTAAATCCACACTCTTCAAAGTATCATTAAGTACTGCTTTACATAATTATAAATCATCTGTATTCTCGTATTACAGGACAGATTATTATGTAAGTTTGTTCCCAAGCTTTATTGCAGTTAAGTCTCATGACTGTATAGCCTACTGTGGTATTATTGTACATGACTAAAATTTAAGTCAGTAAAGGTATTTCCCTTCACTATGCTCTTTAAGCAACAGAAACATTGTTTTCTACACAAAAGCAATAGAAACATCAGCAGCAAATAAAAGTTAAGCTTAAAAAGACACTGTTACAAAACAATTAAATGGGTTAAAAGGGGAACAAATCTGCTCATCTTCTTCACCAGGACAGTGAAGGTAAACTTTGATCAGATTGTATTTGAACCAAACAAACAAAAGTCATCATGAGATTAAAATCAAGGCAACCCTTAAACAGTGCGTCTTCACTTTGTACGATAAAGCTCAGCCCAGAAGTTATGACGTAACGGCAAAGAAAACAGTTCAGACAGAGCTCTTATATCAGATAACCAGACTGTGCGCTCCCATGTCTGACACAGCTCATAGCACGACTCTGATATGTAAGAATGTTTTTGGACTTTGCATCCTTTAATTGAGTAGTGAATCTTGCTTTTCAAGGCACTATCAATACAGATGGAAGCACAGTATTACCTGTCCACCAGAGCAGCAATACTGTCCATCAAATTGACAGCACTGTAGACCAGTTTGTCCCCAACAGCCTCAGAGGCTCCTTGCTCCTCTGCTGTCTTTAGTAGGAGACTTTCTGTCAACTGCAGCCGGCTGGAAATCACCTGCAAAGACACATTTAATTAGTGTGACATGAGTGTCTTTACAAGTCAGCAGAAAATCTGGACTGACTGGATGTTCTTTTGTTCTAAAGGTGGAGAAGGCTCTAAGTGCACGTGTAATTTTAGTATTTTCATCTGTCACATGGAGCTAGAACTTTTTGAGCCAGTTATAATGATTCTTCATGACATATTGTCTGTCAAAGACTTCAGTATTGTTATTCACCTGTTCTCAAGCATGATGTCACGTTACTTTTCATGTTTCCCGGGGGCGCAACATGACGCCTTATTATCATAGTTGAACAAACTGCACCCTCAAAAGTGCTCTGTTTGCTGGTAATTATCCTCACCTGTCTCTAAATTCTGGACTTTCAAGTGTCATTGAAAAGTACTTGAATGTAATAGTTTTAAAAAGAAAAGAAAAGAAAAGTTGGATTCAAACCCAGGGATACAATCTCCTGTCACTTGTATATTGTGCTGATGCAGCCACAGCTTGTGTTAGGGCAGCTGGGCTGGTGCAGTCCTCAGACTGAAACCAATCAGACAGTTAACATGCCATTCTCAGCTGCTGTCTCTTCAAGACCCTCAGCATTCTGGAAGCCTCTTCCACTGTTGCCAGCTACAAAGCTGTCATCCTGATATTAACCAGTGTTTGAGTTTTGTCCACATGTTTTGGACCCTGAAAAGAGACCCAATAGCTTTTCCCACCTTCAGCATACAATTAAAGGCCAAAATATTTGCTGGCTCACAATACATTTTTACTTATTGTTGACATTTTAACGCAACTACATGCACACTTGCTTATTCCTAGATTCATAGCTTTTCTCCTCATGCAGTATGAAGACTATCTTTGTGATAAAAGTCTGATACCTTGCAACGGCTCTCCAGCGCTCGTCTCATCTCCTCTTCGGCTACACTGAAGGTTAGAACATCATGGCTCTGATGAAAGCCCTCTATGAAACATGTGGCACACAGCAAGGCCATATCAGTGGAACAAAAGTACTCAAATGGTCGCCGATGGAGTGAACAGCCCTTCATTCCCTGCCCATCCACAAGCCCCACCACAGTGTGGCCCCTGAATGACTCCTTCTCCTGGTGTCTCTGGAGGTGCCTGGTGCACAGCGACACCTCACACTTCAGACAGGTCTTCACAGCTGGTGACAGCTCATCGATGCAATGGTCACAGGAAATCCCTGTCCTCACCAGCTCAGTCTCAGGCTGCTTATATATGTTTGGAGCTGAGGCCATGTATCCCTCAATGATGCTGCTGAGTTTGAAGTTCTTCTGAAGGGTATCACCTTGAAATTCCTCACGACATTCTGGACATCTCGGCAGTGTATTGTCTGTCTTGCTAGCCGTGTCTGCAGTCTTGCAAATACATGCTCGACAGTAGTTGTGGCCACAGGGAAGAACCACTGGTTCAGAGTAGAGCTGGAGGCAGATGGGGCAGCTCAGCTCGTAGGCTAACTGCTCGTCTGGCTTACAAGAAGACATGAGAGCTGATGAGGTTTGTAGATCTTTTCTTGTTGGTTGATTCTCTTCTCTTCAGTCTTTTAGTCAGAATCTCCTATCCATCCTACTTGACTTCCAACTTCCCTCTCTTGTTTCCTCTTCACTCTGTCTTCTCATGAATGCAGAGACTACAGGTGAGTCTGCAATGATAACAGGTGTGTGTGCAGAATGCTGAGCCAACAAGGAAGTCAGCAGTTTTAAACTACTTACAGGAGGTGCATCTACTGATGTGTGCTGGCAACATTCCTGTCTGAGAGGCCCTGTTGTCCTTTCTACCGGGAATTCATACCGGCGTACGGGCTGCTGTTGACAGCAAAAATACAGAACACGTGACACGAGGACTCATTTTGGAAAATTAGAGAAGGCTAAATGTCAGCAGGGGCCTGTCTTTTCTGAAAAACGAAGACAACAAAACCATAAGAGCTTTTCTAATTTTCATCACATTTTTGTGGTTTCATATGGAAGCTGTGGAAGCACATTTTTACGAGATAAAAAAGTGAGAGACTTGACCTGAATCAAATTAATATTTTGAATGTTTTGTCATAGATATGAATAAAATGTCAAAGTTATTAGAAAGAACCTTATAACTGAAAGAAGTGAAAATCATATGGCAAGTTAGAGTTATAAAGCATAAGGTCAAAATAATGGGAGTGTAAGTTATTATTATGGAAAAAGTTAAAACCAAAACCAAACCAAACCAAAAACCAAAATAACTAAATGGTGATTCACAGGTATGATGTAACATGTCATAATTACGGGATAGTAATTCAATTATGTTAGTAAGGACTGAGATGAAGAGTCATAAGTTAGTCACAATTATAAGAAGTCAAGCTCACAAGCTAGTAAGTCATGACAATGAGATAGTAAGTCAAATAACAAGAGAAAGAAAAAATCATTACTGTGAAAGTTAGCAACAAATGAGAGATAAAAAGATAAACTCCGAAAATAATGTAAATCAATTAAGAAAAAAGGCCAGAATTACGATCAACAAGGCATATTTTTGCAATAGTATATCATAATAATAAGATTAAGTCAAAATGATCAGTTAGTCACAGGAGACAGTGAGTCATAACTATGAGATAAAAAGTCAAAATTTGTGTTAATGAGACATTTATGAGATAAAAAGTCTAAACTCTGAGATGTTCATTACTTAGAACTAAATTATTTTGTTTGACAATTAGCCTTTTTTTCAATCATTATTATTTATTTTTTCAATAAAGGCCAAGTTTTCCCCTTTATTATTTAGTGCCAAAAACTGTCCTTCATAGTTTTAGTGATAGTTTTTAGAACAAACTCCACAAAGACCTGGAGCAGAAGACATAAGCACTGCCACCATGGCCCCTGTGATGAGTGTTTGTGTTGTTTCCGTGTCATAAATCTAAATGTAGTGTGGGGTCATGCTTAAATGGAAGGATGCCCATATGTTTCTAGTTGGAACAATGTAGGGTTTTTTTAACCTGGCGATTTTTTTTTTTTTTTGACATACCGTCTTAACAGTTACTTACTCTGCCCTTAACCTGACCTTAAGCTTCAACTTTAATTTTTATTTATGAAATATTGTATATCTTGTTTGTTTATATTTAATAAGGTGCCCTAAATTTTCTTGAAAGTTTTATCTAACAGTAACAGGTTGAACAATAAATGGAAGAACCTGGTGTTGAACACACACTAGGATCACATGTTCTGGCACAGTCTGTTGACTGTCAACATGTCCACGTCCCTTGGTGTTGCTATGTTTTATGTTTTCATATAGTATCTGGGTATCAATAACTTTTTTTGTGAGAAATCAAGGTCAACAAACAAGAAGTCAGGAGTTAAAAAAGCATTTGAGGTTTCTGTGTGAGCGGGAAAGTGTCACTAAAATTAGAAATCCACTAGTTTGAAGGTGGACTGTTTTCAAAATATCAGATAGCTGAAGGTCATTGTCAGACAAAAACACGCAGGACTCCCAAACAGTCAAGTTTAGGTCCTTGTAGAGGGACAACGATTACATTACATTACATGGCATGTACCGGCCATAGGATGAACTACAAAGTGTGTGTGTGTGTGTGTGTGTGTGTGTGTGTGTGTGTGTGTGTGTGTGTGTGTGTGTGTGTGTGTGTGTGTGTATGTTGGACTTAAATCTGAGCTCTTCAATATCACAAAGGTAACTTACACTGCACACCTAACCTAACCGGCTAGAGAGAAGATTATATTTACAATACAGGTTACAGAGCCTATCCATATCACGGGAATCTAATCGTGTCAAGCCCCTGTTTTTATCCGGTTTGTTTTTGGTAATACTAACGCTGCTCACAAGACTTCACGCTGCAGATCATTCACATGCAAAAAGAATAATGGGGGCATAACAGCAACAGACTATCATGGACTATGTAAAAATTCGGACACACTGCTGGCTTGTTATTAAATAGAGCAGAGTGGAAAAAGACAAGGTAATGCAAATTTATCACAAATCATATTCAAACCATTATCTTTCAAGTGATTTTAAGTTTGTAATCACAAAAAAAGTCTGATTATAGTGCAATTTTAACAACATTGATATAAACGATATGAAGGTTCGACCTGTAACTCCAGACTTAAGCATGCAGTCACTTTATTTTGTCCAGAAGATTCAAATGATGTCCTCAAACCCCTCCTTATTGGGGACAGTGCGCCATAAAGAAAATCTTAATGAACGGAAAACCTGATTGGAGACCCTTTTACTCTAATCTGGTTTGGGTGTCATCAGGGAGCTTACACAAAAGGTGGTGGTGTAAAACTTGCAATAGATACTTAAATGTAAATCAGTTTTATTTGCACACTGGCTGTACATATAGCAAAGCAAGTAGGCTAGTGTGCACGTGCATAAATAGTCTTCTAGTATCTTTAAGCTGACTGGATCAAGTTACGACAAGTGAGGCATCAGGTGTCATCTCTGGCCCCACCTTGTGTACACCATGGGTCATTTCAACTAAAGAAAAATGAAAGAAAGAGCAACAGCCTTATATTACATTTTAACTGGATTGTGATATTTTTGACCAAATCCTATACAGGCTAACAGCTGCAGCATCTAAGTATTGATTTATTTACTGTGACTAATTTAGGGTGACCACATTTTGATTTCCAAAAACCAGGACACTCGGAGATACTCAAATGATTTTCGAGGTTTACTCAAAGATGCCTTATCATTTCAATACATTTAAAGTAAGCCTCCTCTTTCTGGAAAGAAAGTTGTTATATTGCCAATTACCCTCTATAACCAAAGACACAAATTCAGATAGGCTTCTCAGAGATTACTCAACATGTTTCATTACGACATGTTTCAAAAATAACAAATGATATAATAATAGAAATAATGTCTCTCCTATAAATAGAAAAACAACTAATAACTAAAACAAATTCCTCTGCTATTTTAGCAATCCAAATAACAAGAGTTGCTCTCACAAACTCACAAAAACTAACCAACAAAAAATATCTATCTCTTTAGTTTTCTTCTTCATCCTAGAGGCCCAATTTCGTGGCCCAATAAAAAAAACAGGATGTTTTATCCAAATATATAGAATAACCAGGACGGCCAGGACAGGACATAAAAACAGGACATGTCCTGGGAAAACAGGACGTTTGGTCACTGTAAATTTAGGAATTGACACAATGGGGGCAAAAAAGCTTCAGACATGGTAAATAGGATTTAAATGAAGGACGATTTTATAGTCAGAAGAGGAGACATATTTTAAAAAGAGAAAATATTCCCATCACTTTCATTGATAAAATGTTCTTACAGTAGCACCAAAAATGATCTATTGGGGTTATTGCGGGGTAACTGTAAAATTTGTCATCTTTAAAGTACATTGTTTCCACTTTTGAAATACTTCGAAGTGTTTTTTAGACAATTCACTTATCAAGCACAGGGTGGCACTAACATCCAGCACTACGGTTTGGTAGAGGACACTGAAAACACTGAAAACTGTCCTCTTACATTACCTTCAACATCGCAAAACTCATTTACACACTTAACGTGCAGAAAAGGTCAAAATTATCAGCATAATAAGAATCATCACATATTTTCTTGTAATCCTTTAAGAGAGTGCAAAGTAAACATATTATTTTGTTCTTTCTTGTGGAATTGAATGCTCAGTTTTGTGCAACAAGACCTTGACAAACCAAATGCTGAAATTTTATTATACAAATAATTTGTAAATCATGCAACAGCAATGACAGATGCACAGTTTCTACGCAAAATCAAAATCAGAAAATAGTTTAAACTGAAATGAAGATTTTTTTCACTGAAATAAGGTAGTCCAGTTTGTTAAAAAGTGTTGAGGATCATACAAACATGATGGGAACTTGTACTTGAGGTTTAGTGCTGGATGCGCAGACGTTTGTCTAATCCAATCAAAGCCTTGAATCAGAGAGTAGCTCTGTGAAGTGAGACTGGATGGAAGTTTTAGAAAAAGATCAACTAAAACTCCTCAGATGGAGGGCAATGAAAGCTGTGATACGGGAAATGAGTTTCATTTTTACAAAACTACAAACAAAACTGACTTGGTTGATCACCTGACATCCTCTAACTGACTTGTTTGTAATGTGTGTCCTCACTATTTGTGTGTCTGCTTGAATGCACACCATATTGTAAACCCCTGAATGTCCAAGCATGCGTGTGTGCCGTGTGTGTGTGTGTGTGTATACATAAGCTCCACATGTGATAACATTCTCCCATTTCTTCTGGTGGAAATATTTATGCTAAGTCCTCATTTGAGCATGCAGTTCAAACAGAGTGGGTCCGGTGTTCTTTCCTCTTTTTCCAGACTCAGCCGGCCTCTGGGGGGCCTTCCCACACAACACCAAGCATTGTGAGCGCAGCTAGCCCCTCCTCGCTCCCCTGCCCCGGTATATGTGTGTTTATGTCAGAGCCTGATATCCATTTTCAGTCACCACTCCTGTAGCTCAGAGGTATTTATTTTTAGCTAGAAGAAACACTTTCAAAAGAGCTGTGATATGTAAATAACTGTGATCCATCACAGGTGTACCGTCGCCCACAGAGAGGACGCACTTTCTGATGCTGTTTGAAGAGAAAAAGATGAAAAGAAATCAGTGGTCCGTGCACAGGAGTATTTATGGAAACTCATTGAAACAACAGCTCAAAGCATTGTCAGAGAGCAGGATGTTACTTTAACTGAAGCTTTCTGTTGTAAATATTTCTAGTTATTTAAATCCAGACTGATTGTGTTGATATTAAAGTGATCATTGTGTGATTGCGTGCCTGATTTTGCCTTTTTAAGATTAAGATTGTTACTTGCTGAGTCTCTTAAAAAGATTCCTCAAATAAGTAAAACTGCAAATATCTGTTTATAATGGATCAAATTAATAATTACCAGCAGACTGGGAATCTTTTTTTGACTTAAATCAAAGAAACGAAATGATGTTTGCGATCACAATGAGGTTATGGTTGTTTTGTTGCTTGCAAACAAATTGTCCATGTTTTACCTTCAGAACAGTATGACAAGTGCAGAATTATACTCTGCTTCTGCAAAGTGGCCAAAGAATCACTGAGCGTAGCTTTAGACGAGTTATTTAAAGCATCAACATAGTTGGGATGAAAGAAAATGAAATAAGGTTGTATTAAACAATCACTAAGGTGTAAGTTAAATGTGGAGCTGATTAACCGTTCAGCTCTGGTAGTTGGTATAAAAATTGTGGTCAGCTAGCCAGAGCCAGAGCTTGTCAACAGGCAAGGCAGGCAGTTGTTTTTTTTTTTTTTCTGTTTTCATTGTGCACTTTGAGATTTGTTTTCAAATGTAAAATGCGTTACAAATAAAATCTATTATTATTATTATTATTATTTGGGGCCCCAGGTCACTAGGGGGCCCCCAAGGGCTGACAAACCTTACTCCACTAAAATGTCCTGAAATATTCCAACCCCATTAAACAACTAGGGGTCTAATTGCAATGACATGTTAGACCGATCCCCCCTGAAGGGACCCCATGTCATCCCTGTCACACTTCTACGTGACCTATGTCCATCTTTACTGAAGTGTGTCAATCAAAGTAACGTCAAAATCAGCCGTTAAGTGGAGAAAGAAATAAAGAGAAAGAAATACAGCAGTAAGTGGAGCAGATAGCTAAGTGTGGCAAACACTTTAACTTGCATTAGATGTAAGGTCGACTGTTAATTGTTTGGTGGTTAGATAGCTATGTTAGCAGAGCGGGAGACGTCCGACCCAGTTCGTTGACTCGCTGTTACTGTGTGATGACACACTCACGCTGTCTTGCAAGGTTAGCCAACAGAGAGATAGTGTGCTTGTTAGGTAAAACACTGAAAAAAAAAGTAACTAGAACACCAATAAGGATGTGATTTTGGATGGAAAAAACAGCTAATCCAGACAACAGCTTTCACTGTTGATGAAACACGTTTAATGAAAGTTGTGTCTTAACTAGCCTAACTCTTACACTACTGATGCTTTGAAATTTAGACCTAAATTTAGACAGTGCGCTTTCTGCATGAAATTAATGTAGTTATAATGATAGTTCCTTTTTAAAAGTTTCTGTTTATGACCTCTTTTGTTGGTTTCAGATATTTTATATATTTTACGCATGTCAGAGAGGGGCCCCTTGAGAATTTTTGCTTGCGGCCCGAGCACACTCTAGAATCGGCGCTGTGGCTAGCATGACTCTCAAGGCCAAATCAACAATCAACAGCGCTCAACAAAATCCACTGACTTAAAAACTTTTTTTTATTTTTTATTTTTTTCCAAAGGGGTTTTTTGTCCAGCTTGTTTAATCAGAGGACTTTGTCCTTTCCATTACAGGAACCTAGACTAGACCCCACAATAGGCTCAAAGAGCTCAAACTACTTTTGTAGACATCGATATATAAATAGTAAACATACTACTTCAAGTTTTGTTGTGGCAACACAACACAAACTGCCATGGAGAGCAGAAGGTGTATGCTCCAGACTACAGAAAGCGTATCATCTGTGGTCAGACAATAAAGGTTTCTCTACTGTCTGAGGACGATGTAATCTTTGGGTTGACTCAGTATAAAAGCTTTGAGAGTAGTAACGGTGCTGATACAAAAACAGAACACAAAACACCAACAAAAGTGTGGCTGTGAGCCATGCTGGAGGCTCACACACAGAAGTTTGGAAAGCAGAGTCCATGTTGGATCTAGACTGAGGTTTGTTCTAGATGTAGCTCAGCCCCTCCTCTCTGATCCACAGGACTCATTCTTTCCTTAATGCTGTGATTAGACCTCAGGGCTGCAGCGCTGACTGAGTGCCAACGTCTCCTCCCTTCAGGTTTATCCTCACAAACCACAGCCAAGTCCCAGGCAGGGAAACAAAAAATACTGTCTTTGCTGTTTCACAAACAAGAGGGACTTTCTTTTGATGAAGTTCTTCTAGGTATTTTTTTTAACAATTGTTCATCTTTAATCTGGGTCATCATGCAGTAAAATCTATATTTCTTTTATGATGTCTGAACATGGTGAAGCCAAGTTTGGAGTCCCTCTTGCAGCAGGCGAGTGTTCAAACAGCCAATTTACATAACGTTTTTCATAAAGGCTAAGACTTCCTTTTTCCTTCACTAGTTGTTGTTTGCAACCTTCCTACCATCACATGCAAGAACACAGTCAGAGTTGTTTATACGATGAACACAACTGGATTTTCCTCTGTATTCACATGGCATAAAAAGGCAGGAGCTCCATCACAGCCAACGTGCTTTACAACTACAACTCGGGCAACCTCATGACACTGGCAAAGACAGGGGCATGTCCACTGTTGTGGTGCATCATCTCTTCTTTTGACAATATGCTTAAAGTTTCTGAGAACCAGAGTATCAGTTTCCAGGGTTTTAAAAGTGAAGTGTTTCCCCAGTCTGGCCTGGTGTAGGAGTTCAGTTACTCAAGGGTTTGGGGTCTTTTGCTATACTTTTGCATTTTATAAAGCGGTGAACTTGTAGTGTCCATGATTTCCAAAAAGAATGTCAAACTTCGGGACGGTTTCCCACTCTGCCTCAGCCGATCTTTAGAAGTCTCAGGAGTATCTAGATAGTATTTGTAGCTGTTTTCCTTCTTTCATGGTACAATTTTAACTCCTTCCTGACAAACTGTATTCACCATGTTTTGGGAGTGATTTTGAGCTCATGCATTGATTTTTGCTTCAGAGTGGTGGTTGTTTTTAATTCAGTGCTATTTGAAGCACCAAAGATTATGACCAACCAGTCTTGGTTTTCATCCTTGTCCCCTTTAGTACAGAGATTAACCCAGATACTTTAAGTCTTTTGATAATATTATGAACCACAGATAATGAAATCCTGAAATTTTATGTAACTTTACGCCAGGGAACTCCGACATTGTTGAACTATTTGCTCACGCAGTCTCTCACAGAGTGGTGAACCTCCTCCTATCTTAACTTCTAAGAGACTCATCCTGCCAATGAAGCCCTTTTTAATCCCAATCATGTTGCTAATCTGTTGCAAATTAACCTCATTAGTAAAGGAATGTTCCTCCAGTTTTATGACAGAGTTACATATTTTGGGTGTTTTGTTGTTTCTGTCCTCATTTTTTGGGAGATGTTGTTCATATCAAATTTTAAATGAGCATAAACTCCCATTTAAAAAACACAGTGTCCTAATATTTTTGGACTGGGTATTATATCGCCTTTGCTCTTCAGGAGGACTGTTGTTATTGTAGTATTGTCAGCATCTAATGCTGACAGATCTGGCACTAAAGCAACTTTAAGTGCAAACTAACAAACATAAATTAAAGAATGAACTAATGGCTTCCTTTTCCATGTGATTTGCCTATAATATCACGCATGAAAAGAGGATCACATATCACCATTCAACCACCATGTGGCAGAAAAATGAAGATGAACGTTGTCCAACTTATAAACTAGAAACAAAAACATTTGTATGGAGCTTCTTTTACAGTTTTCCTTCTTTCTTTCTCTGAACTATAATGAAGGCAGCTGAGGTTGGCTCTGTGAGGGGAGGCAGAGGGGGGACAGAGAGCCAAGCACTGAGAGGGGGGATGGTAGCGCCTCGCTTTGAAGGGAATCTGGAACCTATAAACTTGGGCAACTTCGATGACAAGAAGCAGACGTCACAACGTTTCAGTGTGGTTGGCTGTACGGCGCACCTTTGTCTCCGCCTCGTCTCTTTGATCGGACCAATCGCTCAAGATTCACTCTTCCTGTTGTTTTAAGCTCAGCTGTCCCAAAAAAAGTTCTCCAGACCAATCAGCGAGTCGAATGGGTGGGCAGCTGAAAGTTTCATGGTTCCCTCCCTTTAAGAAGTCAGATTCAGGTTGCTGTTGTCTCACAGACAGCTATGGGAGAAGGACGTGAGAGCAGGACGGACTCCTGATGCATGGTACACTCCCAGAGAGCGCCAAGAGATCATTTACAGCTTCTCTCGTGTGGATGAAGAGTCGTAGTAGCGGTGCTGATACATCACCCACGTTGGTTTGGCATGTTCAGATGTGACAAAGAGTCAATCTGATTGCTGCTCAAGAAGAGGAAGAAGACCAAACTGAAACAGAAGAAGAAACTCCAGGGGAGGAACAGGCCAGAGGTAAAGTGAAGCAGAAGAGGAGAGGAGGCAGACTGACGGAGAAGAAAAGAGCGGGAGGTATCCTGAGGAGTACGAAGGTGTCAAATAGTGGATAGTAGAAAAACGTGGCCAAGCATGAGAGAGGAGGAGCCCTCCAATGATGACCACCCTGAGGGAGGGGTGGTTTCCAATGAAGAGAACATGGTAAAACCACCCTCCAATGCCTGTCCTGTTGTTGTTCCAACTCCAGGGATCAATGGACGTAAACGACAGACCGGCTTACACACTGATGATCACGTAACTACAATAACTCCAACTGTAGCAGCAGACAGCAAGGACAAGCCAGGGGACAACATCCACATCTACACCCAAAGTGGACCCAAACGAATCAAGAAGAGTCCCCAACATCAGTCACCTTCCTCAGGACAGTCCTTGTCTCCTGTTCCTGGTCCAAGTCCTGGAAGCCTCTCGGCAAATGAAGACCCACACGGCCAGCGAGTGATCGCCAATATTCGGGAGCGCCAGCGGACACAGTCTCTCAACGAAGCCTTTGCCTCGTTACGTAAAATAATCCCAACATTACCCTCTGACAAACTGAGCAAGATCCAGACCCTAAAGTTGGCATCACGCTACATTGACTTTCTGTACCAGGTTCTGCAGAGTGATGAGATGGACTCCAAGCTGGCTGGATGTAACTACCTGGCCCACGAGAGGCTCAGCTACGCCTTCTCTGTGTGGAGGATGGAGGGGGCCTGGTCGAGCATGTCTGCTGGACACTAGACTGACCTTGAAGTAAGGGTTGTCTTTAAGAGAGTCCCTCATGACCTGAAAACAATTGGGCTTGATTCAGAAAGTTGGGGCGATGTTTGAACTGTGTCACTCATGATAGAAATTAATGTTTTGATGTATATCATCTCTGTACGTCAGAAATGATGGAAAGACAATCTTATACTTGACAAAAGAGAGACTGTGACTGATCAACCACTTCGATCTAGAGGAAATTGTGCTTTTGGGGGCTGTGACACTACAAATCAATCGGCTTTTTCTTTTCATAAGCACCTTTACCACTCATGAGTGCAGATGGTAGGGTTTAAGACAGATACTGAAACAGGAAAAATGTGATTCCCACTGTACCATTTCTGTCCCAGTGGGGGAAAATGACAGGATGCCACTTCTTTTGGAGCCTCTCAGGTCCTGAGGCTTCATCTCTAGGTTTATCTGTACCATCATCCTTCATTTCATCACCATCAGGTTCACCACTATCTCTACTTCTTTGCATCATTCATGCTTCAAGCTGAATTCCAGTTTTTGTTTCTTCCTTGACAAGCAAGTTTGTACTTTTTCTGTTGAACGAGCCATGACTTGAAAATATAGATTTGAGAGACTGGAAGAACTGGAAAGGGTTAGATTTTATGTTTCAGTAGAGGCTGGACCTTTGACTTTTCCATCACCCCTCTACTCCTACTTTTCCAAGACCCTGACATATTTTGAATCCCTGACCACCTCTGAACTCGAGCAACAGTGGAAAAAGCAGCAGCGGGCAGCAGTCATCCTGACTTATGTTTCTCCACTTTATACCCAAACCAAGCCCCTTTGTTTCTTCTGGGGCCAAAAAAACTCTCCTCCTCTAGAAATTCTTTCCTCTCTTTCTGGCCCAAATTTGCTGGCCTTGCACGAAACCGTGATGCAGCTTCAGCGAGCTGAGGAGGAGGCGTAATGAAAACAAACGGTCTCGAAAAGCCATGAATCATGAGTGTCACCATCAAAGGAGAGGCTGATGTGGCTCCCTGCTGGGCTCCCATAAACCACTGGAAGTGATGGAGGAGGTGAGAGCTGATTTATACACACACACACACACACTGATGCATACACACATGCATAGGTGTAGCCATGTGCATGCCCCCAAAACCCCACACACCTCCCCCACTTCTTGTGTTTGAAACAAAACCTGAGAGCCGTTTTCTTTGAACGCCTACATTCATGATCATGTACATGAACCAAAAGTTAGTTTTGTATCACTTTACAGCTGATTTTTATCCTATATGGAAACCTAATGCAGACAAAAGGAATTTTTTCTACAAAGTCTGCTTTGGCCTAAATAGATCTAGGTTAATGTTGTTCATGTTCAATACCTATGCATGAGAAAAAACACTTTTTACTTCATTTCCAATAATCACGAAGCTCAGCAGCTTTTCATTACAACATCCCATGGAGGTAAATTTCCAGCTCTCAAGAAGACTCACTGTGCAACACATTTTTGGAGTCCCACAGCCACCAAAGTGTGGTCTCAGGAAGCTAACCTTCACGGACATGTTTGAAGACACTTGACATTTAGGAATTCATCTTCAGGCCAAAGAAGAAGACAGTTTCTGCACATTTGGCAGATTGAAATAAAACCGGCTGGTATCTTGTTTCAGGGAGATTTACTTTGAGTACACGCAAATTTTATGCAGTACAACTACAGAGACAATCTGATCACAGTTAACACTTGTTAAATGTTTATCTTGCCCCAGTAAATGACTCAGCCCTCCCAGGAAACTGGGAGGATGATTTAAGCTGCATCATTAAAATAATCAACCAAAAGAATGAATAACCATGTAGTTTGACAACTTATGCACCATTTTCACAACCTTCAAGCAATAATAGTATTTTTCCAGTTTATAGATGTTAAGATTCACTGCTTTGTTTAAAGTTGAAGGTAAAAGGTCTTTAAACTATTTGAGTCAATAACAGTTGGATAAACTATTTGAGTTCCTTTATACAAAAAGTGAATTATCAGCAGCTGAATATTTAAATTTTTTCCAACTCAGTATCAGAGTTGAAACCTACAGAAAACACCACCTCCTCTGTCAAAATGTGAACCAGTGAAACGCTGATCCTGTGAAAACAGGGACTTTAGAGCCTCCTTTTCACACGCTTGTATGTTCCTACTACAATAGTCTGTATGCCATGCTCTGTTGAAGTACACATTGACTTCACTGCAACATCATATCACCAACTACTGGCCTGACATGCAAACTCCAGTGTTGTCAGCTGCTTTTACAGATCCACTCCCAACTCTTCTTCAAAATAAATTAACAAAACACAACAACCCTTACAGTAATCATAAATACAGAGAGCATGACTGGACTGAAAAGGGATGACTGTTAGACCAGGTGGTCTGTTGTGAAGATTTTCTTTCCTCAGGTGTTTGAACAGTTCACTTAAAGCTCCTGTGGGGAGTTTTAAGACATAGACAAAATGGACTGAGATTCACATTTATGTCTTTTCATGACATCCAAGAGCGCTGGCAAAAAGACTGGCAATTTGTATAATATCAATTTTGACAACTAAAATTGGTGCAAGGGGGTGGGTGTCAACTGAGCTGAAACAGCCCTCCTTTTTTATCATTTCCATTTTGATTTTTAAGAAGTCTCAATCATCCACAGGAGGAGCCAAAGTTAACATCAACAGAACCCCCTTAAATAATATAAATTTTTTTGAGAGTGTTGAATCAAAATGACCAACAAGAATGTTCTTATTTGCATTTTTATTGATTAATGTTCTGTAGAGTTTACCAATTACAGAGCCAATTCAACCCCTAAACTCTGGGTAATGTTTATGCAAGTACTCATGTAAATCAATAAAAATTAAGCATGTCTATTCACAGTGATTAAATCAAATGAAAATCATCTAAATTTAATGCTGAATATTTTACTGAATGATGTGTCTATTGCTAACTCTTCAAACGACTACATGTGGATGCTACAGTAACGTGTCTGTTTTTGTCGTTCCAGCTGCTGAATGAAGGGACTGGGATCTGCCTCACACTACTCTGTTTTCTTGATCACATGGACTTGAATAAAACAGATTTTTTTTTCACTGACCTCACCTGTGGAGACATATATTTAAGAATATTATAAAATGATCAGGACTGACATGGGGAAAGACCATTTTCTCTGAACCATAAAAACCAACCAGGAGCTGAAGAACTTGACATCTAGGTCAAGTCAGAGCTGTATTTCTGTTTCTTTTTGTGTGTGTCATTGCCTGATTGTTAAAACTTCAGTGTCATGCAGAGATCAGTGTGTTTGTGTTTTACAGTTTAGAGAAGGGGGTTTGGGTTTTTAATAGCAGGATTAGTTGAAGTATTTACAGAGTTCTGCTCAGCAGAAACGGCTCACTGATGTGGCAGAACTCTATGTGCTGATCGAAACATTAGAAAGACGATCATTTGTACGAAAAATAAAACTGTCCTCAAACTACCCCTGATGTTCTTGTTGTTTTGGGAAAAACTGGACGGTAAAGAGAGCACAGATTTACACGCTCACCACACCCTCTTTGTCTCCTGCCTCTCTTGTTAAACTGTCTCCCTTGTTTTCCCCTCACTTCCTCCTTCCTCCAGTCTTTCTTTAATGAGGTCTGTGTGCCTCTGCCTGGTCAGTCAGGAACACTTAATTCCTCCAGAAAAGAACACGTTAATGTGCAATTAAGGCCTGTGGGAATATTTATAGTGCTGTTTTGGTCCTAGTTGTAGTTTGATGGTTCTAGTTCCTCTTCAGAGGTCTGCAGGTTTACGGTTGTATAGCCTGAACTAAATCATAAAAGACTCCACAGAAGGGGGAGGAAAACTCATAAACAGATCGACATTAAAGGGCTAGAAACATACGGCATTTTTTTACATGGCTGTCCCAGACTGTATCTGACAGAAGTTTGAGCTAAAAAAAGAAACCTGACACGTGCATCATTGTTGTAAGTATTCCTTGAATATATTGACTACTATACAGTGTGTAATGTTTTATTAGTTCTGTCCTTTTCCCCTTCCTTTTGTGCAAAACTGGAGCATAAAAACATGCAAAACATCAACCAAAGCTCAACTCACCAAAGCATGCAGGCATTTCCAATTCCTCTGATTAGACCTCTGTGCAAATTGAAGACTTCTGTTTTAATAGAAATCACTTCAAGTCACCTATAGCGGCATGGTTTAGACATGCAAATTGATGATTTGTCACAAATAACGGTGCAGCAGAGATGACAACAGAATGATGCTGGATGTCAATCACACCCACAGAGTTAGCAGGGGAAGGCTAATTAAAGACTGAGAGAAAAGGCCTGTGTGGATGACTCATGATCATGTTTGGCTTTCTAACAATTACATCAAAATTGTCCCAGACATCACTGAATTCAAACATATGAGCTTCGTATCAGGCTAAGTGACTCCTAATGCTCAATGTTATGATGGCAAATCATTTCCTGATGTGGTAAATGTAATACAATCAAACTATGATTCAAGAGTTTGTACACGTCTTTGCCTGCAAACTTCTGTTCCCTTGCAATTTTTTTCTGGGGTGGCACTGGCAAAGCAGTCTACGTGTGAGCCCTGTATGCCTCAAGCAGTTTATCTGTTTTGTTTCCATCCACTATCTACCCACAGAGAAAATAAATCTTTAAAAAAAAGAAGTGAAATTTAATTAGACAGACAAAAGGACAGTTTCAACTGTGCCTGAGCCCATGAACCAGAGCAGCCACTGCCATATCTGTAGTGTGTTTATCTATGGTTTCCTTTTAACATAGTACAAATCTGACTATCATTTTAGGAAACAATGACTGTCTTTTTTTTTTTAAATAAATGCTTAATGGAAGTGGTTTTGAGCCGATGCAGTGATAAACACTACAGAGACCTGGACTTTTCATATCCTGGCATTTTTCTCAGCTCTTGCTCATCAACTCTAGGGTGACCATTTGTCCTCTTTTACCCAGACATGTCCGCTTTTTTGGGGGCTGTCCGGCCTATCTGGGGGCGTTTATAAAATCCTCCAAGTGTCCGGGTTTTTGTATGGAAATTTTGAGTTTGTGTAGCATGGACTAACTAAGTTAGAAGTACGTAAAAGACACTCAACCCGACCCGAAAAACCCTCAAAATTTGGTGCGATTTCACCCCACATAGCAGTGTCCTATTTTGGGGATTCAGAATAAGGTCACCCTAATCAACTCCTTTAATTTAAGACCATTAAACAACATTTTCAGTGTGTTGTTGTCCAATTTTTGGCCAACAAGTTTAAATGCACTCTTTTTTGTGTCAACAGTGGATAGTTGTTTTTTTTTTTTTTGCATTATTTTTAGAGTCTAAATATTTGCAAAACTTGTTCACAATTTGCTTAGTTTTTGAAAAATTGGGGTTGTTACTGAGACAGCTGTTGTAAAAACCCGCTATCGTGTATTAATGCTGTCACAAAATGCATGACAAAGCTTGACTTGTACTGGAAATTATTACTTTTTTTAATCAAGAGGAAAAGACAAAAATACAAAGTACAAAATAGACAATCTTTCTATACATACAAATGGTAGGAAATGTGTAGGAAAAATAACACATGTAGGTAAATAATAAAGAAAAGCATGAAACCAAGATTTCAATGTCATGTTTACAGATACAGAGTTACTGTAAGTCCAGTTAGTTTTGATATACCAATACACAAACATACTAAATGCATCAAGGCACATGTGTGTGTCGTGTGTATTTTGGTCATTGAGTCTCTATTTACAGTGTCTTTAAGGAGAAAAGGTACAAATGACATCATTAATAAAGGGAATTAAGAGGTGAGGCGTTACTGGCCTCGGTAAGACGAACAATAAAACAGCTACTGGGAGTATAATACAGGAGAGGCCATTTACAGTATACGACAGACAAACACGTACAAATGCACGCACAAAACACATGGCAGAAATATGCACATGTGTAGTTATGCAAATGCCAAACTCATTCATACACACTGAAGACATGTCAGACTGCGTTTACTTCATAGACACCTGCAGGACACACCTTGTAACAAAGACACAGCACACTGTTTCAATGCTGTCGCCTCCTCTTTAAGAACACTATTTATGACACGAAACACTAAATGAATAACACACTTTTAAGTTTGCACCAATCACAGAATAGCACTCTGTCTCTAGATGATGCCAAACAGGGATGAGGCAGTATGCAAACTTCGGCTGTTGGGTTGTACTGCCTACCTGCTGTCTGATATGAGCTCTAAGGCCTTCTGGTGGGCAGATGATGCCCAGAGTCCGATGAAAGGAAACTAAACCCAATACAAAGCTTACAATACTTCCTCAGTCAGTCAGATTTACAGGATGTTTAGAGTTTACAAAAGCTGCATTTAGGCTCAAACATCACATCAAATCTGCACTGAATCTTGTCTGATAAGAGTTGAGATCTTGATTTAAAGCAAAACAATCTCAAACAAAAATGTTAAAATAAAAATCTGGTTTTCATTGGATGTTTCTAAAGTTTCTAAAGTCTGAGTGCTCTTCAGGAGCATTAACACCAAAAATATTCACAAAAAAAAAACCAGCACCATTTTTCACTTTGGATAAAAACTTTGTTTTATATTTTTCTCTCTTCTCTGCAGCTTTAATCCTATATTACTTTTGTTATCAGAGCCTTTGCGATTACTGCAAAATGTGCATTAAAAATTGGACTCTGGTAAGTTATATTTCACCAAAAAATTACCCCCAGAATAAGAAACATGACCTTGTTATTGTTTTCTTTTGATTGTATAACCTTTCTCATTAAAACTTCAATACACAGTTTTATTATTATAGTCAGTATCAGCCTATTAGGGTTGGTGTAAAATTTACGCTTCTGCACACATGACAGGCCAAAAAGTCGACCCCTTGATGCCAATCCTCCTTTGCAAACTGTGTCAAAAATCAAGGCTGCTTAAAAAGTTAGGAAAAGTTTAATGGAGCATGTTTTCTTAAGGTTACAGTTTTTTTTTTCTTCTTTTACCTGGTGGGTTTATACATTTTGAAAAGTAAACTATCTGCATTAAAAACATTTAACTACAGAGAAGACTTGATGGTATTGGTAGTCAGACTGAAGAAGTATCTGCTTATATTTCTGCAATCGGCCTAAATAGTCAGAAAATATCAGCATACTGTGCATCACCAAAGTCCAGTAATCTTCATCTGCTTAGAAGACATACTGCCACGTTTATTAAGACTTTGTCTGCACTGACTGTAACATGACAGGTGGAAAGTGTGACCTTCACCTCCAAACAAAATACTATACACGAGTTTCCATAATTAGACTGTGATAAAGCCTGGAAGTCTTAATTAGATAATAAAGAAAACATTCAAACCAGACCAGGTCTTTGTACTCAAACAGTATACAAAAGTCTGCATATAAGACGTTCACCAGAATCCACAGGTTCTTTAGAGTCGAGTCACTGTGGGAGCAGTGTTCACACTGGTCCCTGGTGTCGCCTCTGGACAGTCTCAGAGGTGTGCGGGCTGTTTTAAGGCATTTGTCTTTGGGTGCTGTCGTTAAGTGCATTTACATTATTGCTACTATAGAACAATACAATGGTCCTCAGTGGTGCTGCTGCGGCGGAATGAACACTCCTTTAGTCTCAACTATAAACAAGAATATACAGTAATCAATACTAGTGGTACATCATGAGTTCATCATTGCTTTATACATGTGTCTGTGTCTGTGTGAGAGAGTATATGTGTGTTTAAGACACTGAACAGCACAGAAAAATAATCCTGCTTTCAAACTGTTGCCTACAGATTAATTTCATAGGAAAAACAACTCTACAGTATCTCTGCCTTTGAGCTGAGTCAGAGACTTTATAAGACATCTCAGATGAAGAGTGGGAAAAATAAAACATCCAAAACTATTAAATAACCTACAGTTATTTTTTTTTTTTCCCAGAGCTTTGGAATCTCTCAGAGTTCACATTATGGAATGAACAGTGCAATAAAACAACCAGGACATCAGCCCTTTCTTTGTTTCAGCAAAACCACACTTTGTCCATTTTGTGTCTTCATTTCTCGTCCGGCCCAGAAGTTCTTTCTTAGTGGTTAAACTGTGAGAAAATCTCTTTTACATTTCTAACGACTGTCCGCTTCTTCTTCTTTTTATTTCTTGTATCTTGTTCATCAGGTGTATTGGATATGCTTTCACCTGATGTTCAAAGTTCGTCTTTGTGTGCCATTTGGCATCCCATTTGGTCTGCATTTCGTTTGCAGAAGAAGCAGAAGAGGAAGAACTTTATAATCCAAAGTTTCCTCCTTCTGAACCTGATGTTGGTTCTTACGTTAAGGCAAAAGTTTAAGGCAACAGAACAGCTGCTGGTACATAGTGCTTCAAGGATTTCTGTCTGTAGCTCTAGGGTTTGGTACTCGTTGTTTTCACAATCCACTGTCAGTCAGGAAAAAAATGAACAGTCTGTAAAAAAAAAACATCCTGTGTTGCTCTTTGGTGAGGTTACTGAAGGTTTCCCAGTTGCAGGTTGTGCTGCTGGTGTCAGCTGAGTGGTCACCAGCGCTGAGGTGCTCATACTGCAGGTCTGTCGAGGTTCAGCATTGTGTGTTGGATGTGGTGTGAATAAGGCAGGTGGGAGGGGCTCAGTGGTATCACAAAAACATCCCCTTTGTGGTCGTGAAGACATCGCAGCAGATCTGAAGCTACAGGTGGGACTAAAATCCTGATGTGTGAGGTGAGTGGTCGATTTGGTTCTACATGGAGTCGCTGTCGTGCTCCATTGGCTCGTCGGGAAGGCTGGAGGAAAAAAGACGACAGTGTGATCAGAGAGTCATGTTGAAATAAAGCATGAGAGGTTGATTTTTGTGTTTCGTTTCTGCTCATTTTTTACCTCTTATTGGACAGCACTCCAACTGACAGCGAGGCCAAAGCGTTGACAGCATCTGTCTCCTCACAGTCTCTCCTCTGAGCAGCAAGGTACGACAGACCCACTGACCCACTGCAGGCCTTAACACTCTGCCAGTACTGACCTGAAAGACCCATGCACTACATGTTAACATAGAGACACCACACTGATGTGCTGGCTGATTTCAGTGTGATCACATCTATGGTTACGCAAAGGTTTAAAACAGTAATCTGAATAAAGTAAAAAGAGTCAAAGCTGCTCACTCTGTATCTGTATGACGGTCTGCAGGGAGCGGACTGCATTAGCGTTGGGCTTCTGCAGGAGGACTTCTTCTGCCAGAGGGTCCTACATGACAAAGAGACATAAAAACAATCACATTAACTTGATTATTTTGAGCTCTTTATCTTGCATAATTATAATCCCTTTAAAAAAAAAAAACAAGATGCTGTGTAAAATGTTGATTGGATTAAAATATGACATGTCAATCCCACAACAGAAGAGAACTTTCAATCATTCTTAATCAGGGAATTCAGATGCTTCTTCGGTGTGATTGCATTTTAAAAAGAAAAAAAAGGATTTAAAGGATTTCAAGAGTTGATACTTCATTTTCCAGCAATGCTTTACCTGTATGCCTAGGAGCGCACTGACACAGGCCTCTGAGGCGTCACAGATCGCTGTGAGGTCGTGACCTCCTTCAAGAGCCAAAACCAGACGACCTCCAGCCAGAGACATCAGCTGACGGGTCAGGAAGCCAAAACCTGAGGCACAGAAAACACACACATACAAAAACACACAGAATAGTTAACAAGTAGTGTGAATTAAGAAGAGGGCAATAAATTCAGTTTAGTAAATTAACGTCAATCATGAGACCTCTTCCTGTAAAATGCTCCAAAAGAGTTCATATTTCCTGAAAACTAACAGATATTTTTACCTTGTGGATCCTCCCACTGAAACTATGAGCTACTAATTATCATAATTATGGTCACATCAGTGATGAAGCGATGAAGGGCAGAGGGTACGTCTCCTTCTCTTTGCTCTATGATGGACAGGAGCTGTAATAAACTATTAATACCTCTGAATACCCACAGAACCAAAAATTAGAGTTCTTATTGGCATCATCTGGCTCAAACTGAGCCTGGGAGGCAGAGGCTGTGCACTCTGTGGTGGAGGACAGTGCTTACATTTGGCGGAGACCTTGTACCCTCCCAGAGGAGCAGGGTTTCCTTCAGCTGCATCGAACCCGGCCGACACCAGAACGACGTCTGGAGAGAACTCCTGAGCGATGGGCATCACCACAGACCTGCAAACACACATGCAGGATACTGTTACTTAAAGGGAACTGTGAATGGAGATGTGTTTTTTGTTGCAAATCGGCTGGATGCCCCAAGAGAATAAAACTAAATTGTATGCACGCATTAATAACTGTGTTTTAACATGTTTCCCTCTGACAGATGGATGTACTCACTTTGCTCTCAATGCATCCATCTATCAGTACAACTTCCTTTTATACTGAATCCACAGATTTAAATGCATGCTAATTATTCTGCCCTTTTCTCGGATTATTTAAGCCTTAATTATACGTTTCCAGAGAAAGCTAGTCTCTTCTTTCCAATCATATAAAAAGAAATGGTGGAATAACAAAGAATGCAGTCATTATGTTTTTCCACGTCGAAATGATATCCTCTGAAACTGCCCTTGGAGATATAAAAACAACAATAGGGCAGTGATTCTGCAGCCGCACTGCAGCAAGTTCAACACAGAGCTCTGTTCAACAGCGCAGAAATGCTGAATGATTCAACTTGGAACAGCTCTCAAAAAGCAATGTTTACAATTGAAACTGTAATCAAAGTTTAGTTCACATCAGGTTAGTGACGTCTCTACCAAAACATCTGTGAAAAAAAGCTGCTGCTTATATTTAACGACTCGACAGGTGTTTAAGAAGGAACATGAAATCACTGTTGGCATTAAAAGTGTGTTTGCATTAAACTGGAGAGACAATTACAAAAGGAACGAAGGAAATACACATGTTCAGAGTCAAATCACAGCCTGGCTCTGTACTGAGAAGCGAGTTAAGAGCACAGAGAATATCTCTTCCTGAAAACTTCGTCCAACATACTCCCACAAAAAGTGATTATAAGACAAAGGTTAGAAACTCTACCGGTCAGCCCAGAGTTTTTTTTTTTTCCCTGTATGACCAAACACAAACTAAACAAGACTTCTGAGGACTGATCAGCTATTTTGCAAGCTTGATACTGACTAGTCAAAAAATGTACGTAAAATGCGATGTTGGGTAAAAGCAACAAAAGGTCAAATAATGCTTATTAGATCCCCTCTCTTCTCTGATAATACAGAAGTATCTCATAAAATCAACATAATACAAGGATGTAACCCCATGGTCTACGGGACAGTTTTCACATTGCTTTAAGTGGGAAAATTTATGTGCTGGTACTCTCATTATTCACTTTTTTGCATCTGTGTTATGCAGCTAGTGTCAGTAAATCTTTTATATCACATCCAGGTTATAACAGCCACCAAAAGATAGTGCTGATTTTCAGAAAATGCATTTGATAAAAAATCCGCTTCTGCCAGATGAAAAACCTCTGCATCTCTGCACCACTATGTTCAAATCCAGTTTTCCAGATATAACTGTATAGCTTTGGTTTGTGGTGCAAAGAACTCATCTGCCTTCGCTGAAAGACTCGCGTGCACACAGTAGAGACAGAGATGGATAAGAGAGGACAGTGGCTGACGTTATTCTGCAACCAAAGCAGTTGAATGATTATCCTGCAAGGCCCACAATAGGACAGGAGAACCACATAGAGCATCATGGGTAATGTATTAAGAAACTGTGATATGCAGAGGATTGAACAGATATAGTCAGCTGGTATGAAGTCACAGTTTTTGTGGTCTCGCAGTCTTAGTGCACACGGTCCTGACAGTGAATAGATCTGGGGCGCAAAGCATTCTGGAATTCTTGGCATCCCTGACAAACTTTAAAGCGCTGCTATTTATCAACTCTTCATCCTCATCATGTCAAAATCATTAGTTTGGGGCCACTATAAAGTACGCAGAAAGCTGCGTCAAACAAGAAGTGACGTGGCAGAAGTTGGCCCTTCAGTTTCGCCGTGGACTGCAGCTTTAATACATTTCACTCCCTACTTTCGACTCTGTTTCCTGGTCTATCCTCAGTCCTGTAAGCTCAATTATATATCTAAAAAAATGATTATAATATTTGGTTTTTGTATGAAGACATTTCCAAACAGCCCATGGTCAATTCAAATCAAACTAGGCAGTCTCTGGGAGGAGACACGCATCAATCAAGTCTCTGAAAGTTATAAAAATGATGAGTGAAGCCTGGTTTAGTCGATCCCACACTTAGCAGCTCAGACTGCGCTGACAAACGACTATTGTTACTTTGTTTAAAAAAAAAAAAGCTGCAGAGCCTCCAGTAAGACAAAGTCGCATTGTTGTGTCAGCTCTTGCGTCTGCTCTGAGTTGTTTGTGGACTTCAAACAAAGGAAGATTTTTTTTAATGCTGTTGTTGTGAGGAAGAGAGAGATGCGCTGTCCCAAGGCGGAGAGAGAAAGACGGAGACAGAGGCTCAGCTTTGCATCCCGATGATGATGATGTCGGCCGAGTTCAAAGTCGGCGTGAGCCAGTCTGTTTCGCATTAGAGGCTTGTCACTCTCCTCACGTCATTGACAACACAGAGAAAAGAGGAAAAACAGTCCATCTGGGATCCATTTACCTTCATTATTCTGCCTGGGGACTGTGGAGACCCCCCTCCCTCCCTCACCCCGGTTCATGCACACACATATTCAGAAACACACACACACACATCCAAGCACATACTGCTGTCATGACTGCATGCAGATGGACAACATGAGCTCATAGACAAAGATGAGGACACACAGAGATAAAACACACATTCTCGCCTAAGCACACACGCACACAAACACACACACAAACACACACTCTTCATAAGAAATAATCTCCCTGTGTCACCCTGTCAAGTTATGATTAATAGTTTGATTTCGATCAGCTTTATCATCCTCACGTGGATATACATCAGAGTGTGCACACGTCTAACCGCAAAACCAAGACCCACCTCCCCTGTAGACCCATTAAAGCGACCCGCTCCCCCCTGAGAGAGAAACTACAGACAAACTAATGGAAAGATGGAGGAGAGGAGGGGAGGAGGGGGAGCCTATTAAAGATCAATCAGTGGAGGAGGAGGAGAAGGGAAGTGTGAGTGTGTGTGTGTGTGGTGATGAGGGTAGGGGTGATGGAAAAAGACGGGTGGGGGGTGCGACTGAAGGATAAGGTGAAAATGCACCAAAGCTCCCTCTCTGAAGTTGTAGCGCTCACAAACTTCAACCCGTTAAGTTTATTCCATTAAAAAAACCCGTACAGACTCTTTTTCTTACATGCACCATTTGACTTTAGCAGGTTTATTAATTACAGGGGGGCTCGGTGTGTGAGTGTGGGCAGATTTTAACGACATGAATAGAAAAATGTTCCTATAAAAAAGTTATGAGGGACAGAAAATAAATCATGTCGACAAAAAGCTGATCACTGAATAAGCAGTGGTGGTTGGCCAATATCAGTCTAACAGCGGCCAATGCTGATGAGAGAGCAGGTCAGCTGATGGTAAAACTAACAAATGAGAAAACTTCATTGACACTTTTAATGAGCCTTTTTATCAGCCTATCTCCAATAATTACGGACTCAAATGAGCACTGTCCTTTTTAAAACAGCTTATAATATGATAGGCTATCTGATAAATTCAAAGTACGTGTTTTTATTTATTTCTCATTGGCTATTTCTTCACTGAGGCTAACTGATAGATAATATTGGGCTAATATAGTCCAATAAGACATGCTGGTGTTGATGTTTTTCAATATGCACTGATCAGAAATCATGAGAGACCTGTGCAGCAGAGGCTGCCTCCACTTACCTATGCACAATTCTCTTGACTATGTCTGCTGCACATTTCAGCAGAGTATCACAGCTCAGCAGACTGGAGTCGCCATAGAAATGTTTGATTGTATTTCACAAATTACCCTTTTTTTTCTTAGCAATATTTTTTACCAGCTTTTTGAGTTCCTCCAAAAATTCAGGCTGTCTAAAAAATGGTGTAAAACCCACAAAGCAAAGGCTAACAACAGCTGCTGTTGAAAAAAAGTTACAAATTGGATAGACAGTTTGAGGGAGGACAAAGAGAAAACTGAGGTTTAGGAGCCAAGGATGAGCAATTGAAAGTCAATGAGCAGCTCCAGTCATTATGGCTGCAAACCAGTGACTAATCCAGAAATCTGGGTGTAGTCAAGGACTCAGACCTGAATTTCAAAAACCACTTAAAGATAATTACAAAGACTGGCTAACACTTCATGAAGAATTTATCCAGATTAAAAGGGATCATGTCTCTGCAGGACCTGGAAAATCTTGTTCATGCATTTATCTTCTGTTGACTTGATTTCTGCAGAAGAGTCTCCCTAAAAACTCTGACAACTGACTCTGACACTGCTTCTGTGGCCAGTCAATGCTGACATTACATGTGCATGGATTCGCCCTGTCTGCCAGACACCGTGCAATCACATCATCAATTTAATCATCCGTAAACTTGCTTAAAAGTTGAAAAGTAACCAACGAGTGCATTAAATTTGGTTTTGTCTGGGAAAACATGATCTGTATGTCAGCTTACTGCACTGGTGGAAATATGTGGCTCTCTAGCATACAGTTTGAGTTAGAGAAAATCACATTGACTTAAAATTAGTCGCTCAATCTGACAAACTTTTGATGTGGCGGGCTGTCACCATCGGGGGCTGCAGGCAGATTAAAACAAAAGGAGTTCTACTCTGAACCTCGATTAGGTCCAGATCTTAAAACTAAGCTGAATGATTGTAATACAGAGTCAAAACGTTTGATCAGTTGTATTTTATCCACTAAACTAAAGGAGGCACAGTCCTCTCAACTTTCCCCTAGATCTGATGACTTTGAAGACTGGTAACTCAATTTTGTTAGTGAATAATTTTCAGAACATTTTCTGTTATTAGTATGAAAAAACAAAAGTATGTATCATGATATCAAGCTGTGGGGGGAATGAACCCCAGTCTTTCAATGCTCTACTTGGAGAACACAAACTCCCTAAAGTCCCAAGCTTTAGGGAGGTCTCCCAGCATGAAAACTAAACCCTGAAGCCACCATTAGCTCAAACACTGCAGCAAATCTTTTTCTTTTCAGTTTTGATGTGAAGTGAAAAACAAGGGGGATCGTTTTTTAACCCAAATAACAAACAGATGGATCAGCAAACTTCAAAAGTTACTTAATCTAAAGCTGATTTAAAAGCTTTTCAAGAGATTACATCAGTATTGAAAAATGTTCAAATCAAGATCCAGAATCTCGGTGTAAATCTTATTTATCTGGAGCAATCGCTGTACATTAAATCCACTATTTGAGAGTATTTTCCCTATAGCTAGGAGAACATTAGATATTTTAGATTGTTAAATGCTTTTTGAACTCTCACAGAGGTGCTATCCAATACAACTCCAAATGTTCAGCTTGTTTGACTAATCCCATTCCCCAAAAAGGTGGGGTGTTGTGTAAAATGTGGATAGAGAAGGACATTTTGAGGGGTTGCAAATCAGTCAGTAAAAAGTTGGGACAGAGCCTATTTGAGGGAAGTGGAAAATTGTCCTGTGGTACGAGGAAACACAACATTCGATGACACAACAGTAAGCATGTCCCTGTCTCAACTTCTCTGGTATATGTTTTGGCATCTGATATGTTGTCATAAAACTATTTTCAATTAAATGCAGAGCCGTGCATTTTAAATGGGGTCACAGCTCTTTGAGAATCGGGGTTGTGCATTTCAGAAGTTGGCTTAATCTGACATGTCTCTCGCATGTCATTTCACAAGGACTGTTCAACCTCACAAACACTCGGTGAAAATCCCCCCCTACTTGCTTGGAAAATCTGTCTCTGCTCCACGTGAAGGTCAGAGGTTGGGGTCACGGTACAAAGCGGTGGTGCTGGAGCTGCACAGGAATCACTGCTTTGCTCAAGAACACCTCAGAAAAAAGGGGAAGCCTCCTCTTGCCACACAGCAACATCCATTTGAAATCAAAAACTCCTCAAATCCCACATTGATCCTGGATACAGCTTGGGGGGCTAGTTGTAACAAGAGCTAAACAAAACAAGGAAAATCCCTGATTGAGTCTTATTTCAGTAGTTTAAGGATTATGGGCCACCCACGTGATTGGTATACGTGGTCTTGAACTCTTGTGTTTGTGCTCGTACTGTATATAAACATAGAAACGTGTGTCCGTAAGCCAACATGCCCCCACCTCCCTCTGATTCCTGAGATTTTGCCACTGTGCCCCTTTTCCTGTAACTGTGCGGTTGCTACAGTTTCCTCGGGTTTGATGCCCCAGACAACCAAAGAGCCCACACAACTGAGACTTAACTGGTGCCACACACCCACCGATGACAATTATCCAACCCACAGGCAGGAAGTGACAGTCCCCAATCTGTCAAACACAAGACCTGTAGACTATTTACTGTAAAGCCGCTGAAGTTATTGGAAACAGGGCACACCACACACATGCTCTCCAAATGACGAGGATTAATAATTAGGCCGGAAGGACGTCAGAGGTGATGTAAAGCTGATCAGAGGCTGGATTTGAAGCATCTTTGTTGTGGCTCAGTGTGAAGGAAATGAAATAAATGGACTGATTACAGCTTCAATAAAAATCTTCATCCTGATCAGCAGGAACTGAAACTAAAATTGTGTCATTTTTTTGGGGTCTTTTGACTAATCTACCAGATCATGAAAACATATGAGCATGAATGAATGATGAATTTTCAGATCTCAACATGCACTGTCAAAACTTTAGAGCACGTCGTAAAAGAGAAAATTTACTTTGATGCAGAGTTTATTTGCTCAACAAAATTTTAACCCCAGACCCCCAGTTGCATAAAAAGTATATCTATTTTTTTTTCCGGACACTTTTAATGAGACTAAACTTTTAGTAGAAGAGGTTTAATTCACGGCCTAGAAATGGTGCCTCAGTGTTGCAGCTCATCGCTCATAATGCGACAGTGCCCTGCTGCACCAACTCAGCACAAGTTCTGTCTTGAATTAGGAGTTAAGTCCACACTAAACCATGGATTGAATTAGTTTGGTACTTAAGTTACACCTTTGTTTGGTTATACCACAGAGATTCATGATGGAGATCTAACTGAAAAGCTTTTCTCTTATTGGACTGTTTGTCGAGTGTAAATTTTCATGTTCGACTGTCTTCAAACAGGCTAACTGCGGAAATTAAAAGCTGGTAAATCCCCTTACTCGACTTTAAAGCAATCTAAAGCTATGTCAAGTACCACAAAGCATTATGATAAGGTGGTAATTAATCTACTGTGAAATCCCCAACAAGAAAATAATTTCGTACAGCAGATCCAAGTGAATATATCAATAATCCACTTATATATTTAAGTTTTCCACCCTATGTGAATGGGTAAATAAAAAGAATGATTTCTTTTCAGGAATCAAAAAGACAACTTTTTGAATCACATCTTAATAACCATGCTGTAATCGAAATCCTGCACCGGGTTCAAAAAATTTAACCTTGGACTCCTTTTTTCCATTTTAAACAGGGAGCTTGACAAGCATTAAAATTGAAAATATGTCCATGTAACTAAAGACCCAAACTGCCTTTAGATATTCTCATGAGTGTGAAATTCATGGAAATTTAACATTGCAGAGATCATATGTCAAAGAAAAAGAGCAATAATTGGGGATTTTTTTGTGCAACATAAAAAGTTTAAATTTTTTTCCCCACTGACTTGGACTCCATAAGAGGCAGTAAAAAAGCTGTTCTCCAGCCCTGTTTTAATTTAAATACTCAGTCAATCATCCCTCCTCAAATCATATCTTTAACACAGTTTTTAACTTTGAAACATGCTGTGTTGTTTAAGCAGAAGTCTTACCTGAATGCAGCAATGTACTCAGCATCTCCCATGGGTGGGTCCAGACCCCCTGTCCATGCCACATTGATATTGAAGCCCTCCCCTGCACCAGAACCGACCTACATGACAAAAATATTCATGCATGTTTCAATAAAGGTTATTTTTTTTATGTCATCAACTTCATGTTTAAACTGTGAGTCAAAATGAGCACTGAGTGTCACAAACCTCAGCTGGTGAGCCACTGCCAGGGAAGAAGTTACCGTCGTCATAGCGATGAAGTGAGATGTAGAGAACGCTGGGATCACTGTAGAATACTTCCTGGGTGCCGTTACCATGGTGAACATCCTGGAAAGAAGAGAGGAGAAACACTTTAAAATTGACGATAAAAGGAAAAAGTGACATTGGAAATACTCATGGACTGATGATTGTGTTGAAGTAATTCTAATCTGCTGTGAGGAGCTGCTGTTTGGTAGATTTGGCTTATCAGCATAAAGCTTAACCATCTTACCCAGTCAACGATGAGGATTTTGCTGACGCTGAGCTTGTGCTGAAGCTGTTTGGCAGCGATGGCCACAGAGTTGAAGTAACAGAAACCCCTGTTAGACACAGACAAACAGAATATAACAAATATTTAAAGACGAGTCTGAAGACAGTAAAGGCTTAAACTGAGAAAATGGTAAATAAACATATTTTTTAAGTCTTTAAGCTGAACAGAAATTTGCAAGCATGCATGAGTGACCTGAGGCAGGACTGTCAAAATTCAAGTCAGTATTCATGATGCATCCTGCTGTGCCTGATTAGAGCATGCATTACTGTTTATGTCAGAAATGCAGCACATGATTGTGATCAGAATAAAGGACAAAAACATGAGTCATCCAAGCACCAACAAAAGGGGAAGAAACTGTCCTGCACAAGAATGACTTGATTAAAAACTTCCACAATAAAAGCTGCTGACAGCACAGCCACAGTAGGAAACTTGCTACGGTCAAGCTGTGCATGAGAACAACAGACGCACACACACACACACTTACATTGGATTGGCTGGGTCTGCATGATGTCCTGGTGGTCTGACCACAGCAAAGCCGTTCTGTGTGGAATAAAAGACAAAATTTCATTAATTTTTAACAACACTGTGATGTTCTGGTTCCCAGCAAGAGGGTGAAAACTACCTTTTGAAAACACCCCCCTTCTGCCAAACAGCCCGGAGTGACTTTTGTAAAAGTTATTGACAAGTCTACAAAACAAATAAGCTTGAGGCCTCCATTTGACATCCCCTAAACACAGGTTGAAGCCTTTTCATTGGTTTCTCACCTTTAGCTCTCTTTTGGCCACTCTAAAAGCCAGCTCAACAACGCTGCCTGCTGCCATTCGAGATGCTGTAGAAGTGTGCGACTCATTCCAGGTGGTGTCATTATCAACCTGCCGATGGACAAACAAACAAATGAATTAATGTGAAAAAAAAAGAGAAAAGAAAAAAAAAACACAGTTTCTGTTGTCTGCAGCCTGACTACGTTTGAAGTGTCCCTGGGACAATGAGATCAAAACAGGAATTCTCCCTGCAGCATTACACACAATATGTCCAGATTTGATTCAAGAGTGAAAACAGCCTCACATTTTGAGGCCAGATCCATATTTCTGATTATTTTTCTTTCCATTCTGTGTTTTTTCTTCCCTTTGTTTGTTCACAAAGTGGCATTACTGTCCATCTGGCTTGGACAATGAAATCATTGGCATTTCTTTCATCCTCAGTCATGGACATGTTGTTCTTATTAGTCTGACTTGTCATGGTCCGACACGGACTGTCAGGCAAACGTTTGCCAACTCTCTTTTCTTTTTTAATATCCTGTCTTTTCTCTCATTTTCTCTTTTAAGAGTTTGTAGCTTTTCTTTGAAATAAGATCATATTCTAACCGACCATTGTGTTGTAGTGTATAGCTTTCCTTGCGGGCTTACAGAGGATAACAGTAGGTTCAAAAATAGAGCTTTGTGTGTGTTAATGTGTGCTTCTCTTACCCCTACACCCCCACATGGCAACATCACAAACATCCTTTGAGAGAGGATTCCTGAGGAAACAAACAAGAAAAACTGTGTCATTCAATAAAAGTTCTGTTTGTCTGCCCTTAATTATAATAATTACATGCCACGTCAGCCAACGCTGACATTGCATCCTTCACTATAGACTCTTCATGTCATCAGAAAACCATTTGTAGGGACAACGTAGCACCAGCACATGTTCTTTATTTCTTTCAGTGAAACTCAAAGACAAAATTTGGCGCACATCTTAACTCTTCTGCATCAAAACATTAAATTTGGATTTGATGCTGTCACTGAGGAGAATTGTTCATCAAGAGCACCCGTTGAGTTTAATGCTGCAAAAAGCATGTTATATTCACAATTACATCACTTAACATCATTTTAAGGTTACATTTTTGCATGGCATGAAAGTTTGAGAAGGGAGTTTATTTCAGAAACAGTTGGTTTTATGTTTGATGAAATCATATTTGTATCAAACACAAATGTAAAAACACAACAAATGGCTTTGTTGCATAATCTAAAAACTTGCTTGATCCTGCCTGTTTCTGACAGGTTGCCTTGAAATCTGAGGTGAAGCTTACCTGCCAGTTTGCGGTTATCCAGTTTGAGTCTGTTGAGTGGGTTGGTGCCGTAGAGTAAGACATGGCGCTCTGTGTGGACAGACTGCAGCTCCTCCAGAGTGGCTTTACGACCACGAATACTCTGTGCCAGCAGGACATATTTCATTAAGCTTCTCACATAAAAGACATTCAGGCAATAGAAAGAGACGTCCATACTGTATTCACATTAAATAATGAATTAAGATGCATATAGAAAGGGAGCAATATGTAGTTAAAACCAGAGAAATAAAAAGGGAGAGTCTGATCCAGCTGACTCACATGAGTCTGCAAACAGAACTTTTATATGTTTCAGGCCACTCATAAAATCAGATTTTTGAAGGTTAATGTGTGAAATATGTTCATCCCACCTCACACTGTCCTCTCAGGCCTCTCTCCTGTAGCCGAGACCAAATGCTCTGTATCCTCCCAGCGTGCTCTGGGTGGCTGCTGTTGTCTCCACATGTACACTGGTGCTTCAGCATCTGAGAGTCATACACCAAGCCTGCATACACATATAGCAATTTCATTATTATTTATTTATTTATTTTTGTTACCGATAAGCATTTGAACAGAAAAGTCATGTTTTTTGTCTAAAAATGATGTTGCTTTTTGGGAGGATTTTTAATTTAGAGATGCTACAGATCAACAGCTGCAGGTGCTCCAATGCAATGCATCTTAGTACAAGCAGGCAGTGCTGGCACAGCTCTGTGGACAGAAATCCTCCTCTTTCTCTATCAGGGTACTTACACATAAGTCTTTTTCTGCTTTAACTGACTTTGTTAGCTTCAGTACAGAGTCTTAACTACAAATAATGTACATTCTAAATTCCATTATGAAAGAAATGTTTAAGTCTAACCCACCAGTGGTGAAGCGTGGTTTGCTGCCAGTGTCCTGCGTGGTCAGGCTCAGAGGTTTCTCAGGCAGGGTGAGAGAGGTGGAGGCTGGGGAGGATTGCGTGCGTGACAGGGGACGATGGACACCCAACCCACCGCCGACTCCACCGACACGAAGCATGGGTACTGCCAGGGTCTCCATTTGTCGATGCAGATGCTGCAGCTGCTTCTGCTGCTCCCATAGCAAAGACTGGAGAAAGAGTGCAGGTGGTGAGGCAGAAAGTCATGAGAGAAGACATGGAAAAGTGTGATGCAAAAATGAAGAAGGCATAGACTCTTGTTTTGAACCACGCAGCATATCTGCACTAATCACATTCACTTACATCCCTGCACACATGGTATGCAGCTAAAACCAGGACTGAAACGAAGTGCCATGAGTCAAACTTCTGTTTCTTCAGGAGCACTATGTTCACTTAAAGTAAGAGGCTTTCAATGTACAAGATCTGCAAGTATTGTTTTTGCTTTGTCTTCTTTAAAAAATCCTGTTTTCTGCTCCCTAAAAATGGATCTGTATCACTATAGTTGTTGGTACTTCTTGTTCCTTCCAGTACCGCCCCCTGTGACTATGTGGTTCATCTGATAGGTGATAAACACAATTTCTAAAGGAGTAATAGCTCATCTTACAGTTCACGCACCCTGTCATCATATGTTGGAATAACCACTTGGGATGTAATAAGTAGCTTTTAAACCACAAGGCTTTGCAATGCATGAAAAAAGCAAGTAAGAGTTATGCTGCCATCTGCAGGAATATTGGAGGAACAGGCGTTTGGGCACTTTACACAGTATTTTGGGTTCTTGTTAGGCTGTTGTGTTTTCCTACCTGGTTAAGTATGAGTGCATGTTGCAGATTTATTTGCTCCTCATGGCTCTTGGATGCTGTTGGCCCCGCCTCCCTCAGTGACTCTGCCCTTGCTCTGCTCTGATAGGTTGGCTCTGTGGGCGACGACCCGCCACCGTCTTCTGAGTCCATGTCCTCTGAGGGGATCTGATGCAGTCTGGGCTTCTCGCTGGACTTGGACATCAGCTGTACATGCACACATGTTCAGAACAAGATTTTTTTTAAATGACAAATGAATATATAAACATTTAAGTTGTGAGCACAACAAAATAAAGGTGCAAGAAAACAAAATCATATCCTCCCTAGTCTCTTTTTGTTTTACTCATTTTCTCCATTCTTTATTTTGTAGATATAGATCTCTTTGGATGCCTTAAAAACACATTTATCCCTGTGAGAATGAAGACTGAGTGATTTAGGGACTGCCGTCTTTACCTTGCCCAAGTGAGTTTGCTGCTTGAGCCTCTCCAATAGTTGTGTGCTGTGTTGCTGTTGGAGGAGGTGTGTGTGAAGGGCCCCTGGGCTCTGTGGGAGGGGCTCTGAGCGTGTTCGGCTCAGGGGCTTGTGGTGCTGAGGGCCTCCGGGGGTCATGTGGTCTATCTGAGGGGCAAACTGGAGTGGGACGGAGTCTAGGCTTGGAACTGGTCAGGGACAAGAGCAGAGCAGAAAGAGAGTAAGTGACCAATTATTGGAAATGTATTGAAGCAGAAAAAATTAACTTGCTTATCTGTCAGGGAAATTTAAAAATGTGCTATAAAAATAACCACTAGATGGTGCTCTAATATTCTGAATTTTTAAAAATTTGATTAAGTTGCTGTTTGAGTTCATTTGTGTCCATTTTGCAGCTTTTAAGATGCAAATACTTGCAGCCTTGTGTAGTTTTTCATCTGCATAAAGTCTGAGTTCAGTATCTGAACTTCAGTATCCTTAATTCTGGAGCCTTTGAACCTATGTGTGTGCAAACTGAGTGTGTAAATGCACATTAATGTCAGTCAGTGTGTCTCACCTGTGAGCAGGGGAGAGTGCACCAGTCCAGAGGGCTCCAGGATGATCACAGGCAGGTGAGGGTTCAGCTGCCCCGGCTGATCCTTCCTGCTCAGAGGGAGGAAGACCGGCGAACCTGCAGCTGCAACCATGGGCACCCGACCCACCTTCAGAGAGGAGAGCTCACCTTCAGCCTGCACACACACACATGCAGAAAAACAGCTTTTTAGATAAGAAAAAAGATGAAGCTGTTTTTCAATCTCAGCTAAAGATAAACAAATACAGATTGTTGACAGTAATCAATAAGTTTTATTCATCCAGTGTAAAAAATAAACCCTCTTCTTTTAGTCTCTCTCTGCTCTTTGATTTTAAGCCCACACAACATTTTGTTGCTGTATGTCATCCCTGAGCTCTGTAATGAGTCATCCAAGAAGGGTTATCTTTCAGTTTTGTTTGCTGATCATTTATATTTGCTCTCTGTTGTGTCTCTGTTGGTATTTGTTCTCTCCTCTTTTCTACCTACCAAATCCTTGCAGTTGAAACTTTTAAATCGTCACTTAAATCAAATCTCTTTGCTAGTTGAGTGTGACAATGCCTGAGATTTTTAATTTGCTTTAATTTATTGTGTTATTGTATTACCTATTTTGTTTTTAGTGTATCTTAACCCTTATTTATCTTTGATAGTGTCTACTTATGCTTGTGCAGCTCTTTGGTTCAGTGGTGGTTGTTTTTTGAGAGTGCTATTTAAATAAATAAATAAGATTTTCAAGTCATTAGAATTATTAATGCAGTGTAAACTATTCTAATCTTTTACACCCTTTTTTTATACTGATTTTCATGTCAGTTTCAGTCTAAACTAAATGACAGTACAGATTTATTTCAGGCCACTGGATTGTTTTAAGTCTGTTTTTTGATTTTTCTTGGAGAGAAGAGGCTTTTAGGAAATATAAAAAAGTACCCAACTTTTTGGAAATGTTTTGAACATGCTGTAATTTTTGGATAAAATATGAAGTGGAAAAAAGGGCTGCTTTGACAGAAATGTGTTTCAGTAGAGTGTTTACCCTGGCGTTGGCTGGTAGTCCCAGTGTGATGGTGGGCAAAGTTGAGGGACTCTGGATGGTGAAGTTTGCCAGAGTGCCGTCTCGGAGCAACAGCTTCTGGGCCTGAAAATGCAAGAAATAAAATTTATTTAACCAAAATACTAGACTTTTTCCAAATCTGAAGTGAAATTTGTTCACAACACTTTGATATACACGCCTATAATCGTCTGTTGCCAGTAAGAGACGAGAAGAGGGACCAAATGTCAGAGTTTGCCAGATGTAAATCCAGAGTGACCGAAGCCTTTGTAGTTTAATTAAACCTGAGCTTGTGTTTGGCTCTGATCAGTGTTGTCAGTGAGGGAATCATGAGTCAGACACCTGCAGCAGGTGTGACAGAGGTCAGCTTTATGTGATTAAATGAATTATGCATAGACAGCTGAGCAACACTGCTCCTGTGTCATTGCTTAAAACATGTCATTACTCAGCGTCTCCCCACGGCTCATGAACATGAAACAACACTTTTTATTTTGATTTTTTTTAACACTGTGAAGCAAAAGGGCTCATTTTAAATACTAAATGACAACACATGTACTTTTATCTTCAGTATTTTTAATATTTCCCCTTCTATTTCTTTACAAATGCAACTTCCCTCTGTTTTTCTATAATAAGAAGTAGCTTCAGCTTCTTGTTTATGCACTTATTTGTGTAGTTTGTTAATGGAAGCTTTACTTTATGCACAATCCAAAAGAACTAAAAAGTGTAATAAACTCATGTGTTTGTGTCTGAGCGTGTTTTCCTTACCTCATGCGAAAGACCGCCTGCAGAGGGCAGCATCCCATTCTCGTTGGGCAGACTGTCATTGGGTGAACTACAGCCGGAGACCGGAGTGCTGCTGCTGCTGGGGGACGAGTCTGATAAGAGAAGGGACATATGTTACTTTAGAAAATGTGGTTTAAATCTTATCAAACAACAAAAAAGAAAACCCAAATTTAAACACAAGCACTGCATTGCCTGTCTTGTTTATTTTAATTGTGCAGAAGTGTGCAGTTACCCAGTGTGTCAGGTACTCTGTGTTTGACAGTAGGCGGGGCGCTCTCTTTGCGGGTCAGGGGGCTCTTTCTGGTGTTCAGGTGTTTCTTCAGCTTGTGTTTCACCTTCAGATTGGGCTCAGACGCTAAAAAATAAGGATCAACATGAGAAATCTAAGTAATGTGTTTGCAAATGGCCGCTACATTTTAATTACACTAGCATATACTGATACTGCCAAAAGTATAAGTCTCAACTAATTGACTAAACACATTAATTTAGGCCTTTGACAGCCACCAACACCGGATCTTTGGAGATTCTTTTGAACAATTGATTTTTTCATTTCTTTGGGAGTAGGAATTTAAGGAACTTTTAAAACCGTTCATCAAACAAAGAAGAGAGTGACTGATATACACAAAAAGTTTATTATTAGGTTTTGAAGATCAAAAATTCAATAAATGGGTGATCATATTGATCAGGCATTACAGTTGGAGGGGTAAGCAAGGAAGCGTTCCAGTCTGAAATCTAGCAGCCAGATATCCCTGACAATATTTCCATTTCCACACACTGTACCTTTAAATTTGTCTCTGTTTTCCCCTCTTTTTTCCATCAGTAAGAAGTTAAAACATTAAGCAGATGTTTTACCTGCCCTGCGTAGCGGCGTCCCCTCTGAGCCTTCAGAAGATGACGGCTGTGATGGAGATGTGACAAGAGGCTGGGAGGATAAACTCGGGTCTGGGCCCAGATTTCTGCACAACACAAGACACAAAAATGAGAAATTGTTACTGATGAATTGTCTCACATCATGGTTAAATGTTAAAGTTTAGATATTGCACTAAACACAGGTTAAAAGTTGGTGTATTTCGTGTCACCTGTATGCTACAGGAGCCGTAGCCAGAGAGTTGGAGTTCGTTCTTTCCAGTGCTGCTTGTTTCTGCTTCTTGAGAATCACCTCCTGGAGTTTCTGTTTTACCAGAGAACTGGCTACTGCGCCTGTCAATTAATAACCAAAAGCAACCGATTAAAGGATGGACAGACTCACAAACTGCTTCATTATTAAAGGAGGGTCCAGGTAAGAGTGAGCACCACAGGTATAATCAGTGACTTAAGTTTTGGTGAAAGAAATATCAGACAGAATCAGTCAAGAGCTTCAGGAAACACACATGCAGTATATCATTAGTATGTGCGTGACAGGTTAAGGTCACGGGTTTGTCTGGGAGTGTCTCCACTGCCATAGCTGTAAGCGTCTGTGTTTGTCTGCATGTGTGTGCAAATGTGTGCACAGAGAGGTGACAAGAGGTGCTGGGAGTGATCGAGTCAATATTGACCCGGTGACTTTATGTGCACAGTCCTGAGGCTATATTTAACCCTGCTGTTGTAGCTCCACTTGTTGGGTTATATATAGCAAAAGGAAACAGCTTTGAAGGAGGAGTCATGCTGTTTGATATCAAGGAAAAACATCTTTCACAGGGACTTTCCTCTCACCACGCAAATTGACATTATTTTTTAATGATTTGTTGAGGGGACAGGAAGCAGGAGAGAGGAAGTGAGGAATGACAATCATGTTTGAAGATTGACAAAACTCAGGAAGAAGTGACTCTATCAAGTGAAAACCAAAGCCTGCGGTCATGGGTCAGTGTAGTTAAAGATTAGTGTGTTTGTTTATTTGTGCATGTGACTGTACTCACTCTGTTGACTCTTTTCTTTGTGTTTTAGCTGCTGCAGCTCCTGTTTCTCGTGGTGCTCCTGCTCCCGCCTCCTCTGCTCCATGTTAAACTAAAAGCAACACAACACAATCGTTTTATAGCAACATGATGCACATTCATCATCATATTGAAAAAGCTTCATTTCTCTTACCCGGATGTGCTGGTGTAACTGTTGTTGGGAGAAGGAGGTTCGGGGCTGAGAGGAGAATGGAGTGAGGAGTAAAGGTGGGTGCAGCGGGGTGAGGAGCGCCGTGTCTGAACAAGGGCGCATCCCCCGCTCTCCCATCCTGAGGTCCATGGGAAACAAAGCCGTGTTCAACAACGGCACCGCCACCGAGGAATCTGGGAAAAGAGAAGGAAGAGGCAAAGAAGAGAGGCGTCAATTCACATCTTCAATTAAAACAGTCAATTTTGCAATTACTTTGTATGACATAAGTCAAAAAACTCTGAGTATAGACTGTTTAAACCAGAGCAAAACAGATCAGGATTGGTGGGAAACCCAAAAGAAAGGACACCAGAATCAGTTTCATGTATCAGATCGTTCGCACTTCTTCTCAAACAGTCTTGGAGGCTGGACAAAAATCACTTAAAAATACTACCAGAGGATCCATTCACGAAAATCCAGAGTCAGATAAGTGATGGTAGACTTCTGTTCAAATGGAAATTAAAGCTACAAAGTAAAGTTTACACAAGACAAGACAGCGGTCTGTGTAAACCATTATTTAATCTCTGTTATAACAACCCTGAATCGAAGCTAAAGAGTCAGTCAAGGTGAACAAACATTTGCTTTAGACTTTCTAGGCTGGCAGCTCCTTTTGTCACTCTGACAAATAAAACATTTAACAAGGAAAATTATTATGAAACCATCACATGAAACTTGGCTAATGTGTCTAATAGCGACTCGCTGTGCGGTGATACTCAGTATAATCACCACCTTCTCTGAACGCTTTCCTCTTCCACAGGTTGTTGCAATTACCATGCATTTCCATTGACAGTTTCTTGTATCACTGAAGATAAATCACTATAATCCAAACTATACAAAAACAGCTTTGGTGTGCCCAATCATTTTCTTCATGTTCCTGTTCACAGGCTCTGGGATGCATATGCTGTACTGGAAATGGACATTTAAAGGGCTACGCCAAAAAGTTTACCACAGATATTCACAATAAGACAGCTGTATTTGTTATTATTCCTACCAAGCAGGCTCGTAAAAAAATAAGGTGTGTCAAAACCTCAGTTCACCCAGTTAGATTTTCACAGCGCCCTACATCACCGTGAGAAACATGTTTGGATTAAAGGTACAACATGTCCAAATGAGGACACGTACAAATGCACAACAATTCAAAAAGTACATAAAACCAGACATAGACTATAAAACTTTAGAAAGACCACATATGACAATAAAGAATGAAGCTGTATGTCCATACTTCAGACCAACTAGTAATAGTCGGAGTCTAAGTGCATCGGGTGTTCAAAGTGGTCCACTTAAGTGTTCAAGTGCTTTAGTGCTAAAATTACCTGTCTGTTTTGTGCTTCTGTAGAAACATGAAGGTGTACTATAGTGGCCTCTACAGAAGGAGACCTGCTCCTTTGTATGGATAGAAAGGCCCATTTTAGATTTATAAAAACAAACCTTTTTTACATCCAGGTGACTGTCCACTCATTTCAACATATGTAAAAATAACTCATTTAATTTTGACTTTGACATTTTTTCTGCTAAATGCAGCTATATTTTAAACACTGCACCTTTAAACATAACAGTTGCCAGTTATCAGGTAGTAGTCCATCAAGCAGGTGGGAAACACGTCTGTAAAGTGGTGAATATCTTTAAGTACGTTTGGTGCCAAGGATCATTAAGTCTTCGAAAAATACAGCTTTTCTTCTAGACAACAGAGAGGAAAAAAGGAATTTTACAGTATATCGATTTAATAATTCTGTTTTTGTACACATACCAGGTAAAGATAAAACAATTTCAAAGCAGTTTTTCAGCTGTATGTCTGTCTCTTTAGGCTAGTAATGAAATGCATTTCTGTTTTCTCTCACTCTTTGTCTGTTTTCTGTCTGTCTGTCTGTCTGTCTGTCTGTCTGTGTGTGTATCTGAGTTTTAAAACAGAAACACACACACTCACATAAATTTCCATGCTTTTTGCATGCTGTTGGGGTTATTTGCATTGCATGGTTGAGTCAATGGGAAAGATTGCCTCATCCAGCGCTAAAAACAGGATCCAGGAAGGGAACAGCTTGGGAAAGGCTGGGGGTGGTTTCTGACTGTGACACACACACACACGCACACACACACACATACACACATGCATTTGCACAAAAAGCATCCCACCACAGAAACACAGCTGTAAACAAATCAAGACATCTGCACAATGTACATCAGCGCACTCACCTGCAAATACATTTATTCAAAAGGTAACACAACTCAACACACACACACACACACACACACACACACACACACACACACACACACACACAAACCGTCACATGCGTGCACGCAGTCACCTGCTGCACACTCACACACAGCTGCACACACAAAACAGGCCGGAGCAAACACCGATTGCACAAACCTGCCTTTACTCTTAAAACCACAACTTAGAAATTTACACAGAGCCAGCGCTGAAATAATTTGGGGTGACATCACCTGAGTGCTGCTGCTCATATGTCAGACTGCAGTGTGTGAGGTAAATGTCAATCATACAGGGGTTAGGCCCGGTGCCAAAAACAGCACAGGATTGAGGTGAAAGGGTAAAACAAGACTGATATGTTACTTGTGTTGTCTCTAAAAGTATAGGATGTGAATGTGTGCTGAAGAACTCACAAACACACACAACAAGCCTGAGTAACATTCCAGTTTTGGTTAAAGTGACATAGCAGTGAGTTGGTGTGTGCGTGTTTGTCTGTGAAGTGTCAGTCTCCATATTAGGAGCTACGAATGCAGAGACAGACTGAATGCCGACAATAGCTGGGATAACACAAATCCCTAGACAAATACACTCACAAACACACACACTTACACACACAGAGCTATGCACATACAGTCACGGTAATGACACTGAAGTGTAACAAAGCCATTATTCTGAGGAAACGTGCTTATACAAGGAAACAAAGGCTGCTACAGTTCACACACAGTCAGAGTCGGGAACACCGCCGTCTCTCCCTCCCTTGGGTTATAAATAGCAAAACACACACCGCTCCAACATTTACCTACACAGGGCTTTTTGTTTCAACAAGGAAAACCACACACACACATGCACTCACACTTGTGGAGCAAGCCCATGATGTCAGCTCCAGTTTCCAGTTGTTGGTAACGTACAAGTACAGCACAAAAAAAAACTTATGAGGTTAGAATACAAACCAAAGATAAATGAGGATATGAGCTGTTTTAATTATAGTTCGCTGACAGTGGTGCGGTTTAACCTCTTCATCACACTATAATTAAATTCATTAACACTCTGCAATATTAGAAAAAGGATCCTGTACTGTAAAACGCTGCAGAGCTTGCTTCTATATTGACAAAGATACAGCATAAGACTCAATCAATTTGTCATGAAAACTTGAATTTGATATCATTAGTTCAGGATGTGATCAAACCAACAGCATTAAGGGGAATCTATTAATTTAAATCCTCAACCTTCTCAAAGTCTTTGAAGAAATCACATTATTAATAGACACATACTAGAAACGCTACAAAGCTGCCCAAACAGATGCATCAACAGAGGTGACAGGTACGCTCTTCAAGTCATCAACAGAGGAGACATGATTGAAGATTTTCCTGTCTTTATAAGTATAATTAAGTTAATTAAACCACTCCTCTCCTTCATAGTGTGTATCAGTACTGCAAGGATAAATCATGTCTTAGTGCTTCAACGCTCATTCGTGAAAAAAAGCTCCACTTAATGGCTCTTATCATCATGCTACAACAACACAGTACTATCTAGATGTAGACAAGCACAGATAGGCCTGTCACGATAACAAATTTTGCTGGACGATAATTGTGCTACAAATTATCGCCGATAAACGATATTATTGACACCATTTTTTAAATTATAGATAATGATATTATATGGCATAATAATGGGAGTACACCATGTCAAAAGTGATAAACTTTAATTTCCACACGAGAACAACACTGGTTGTTTTCGTTGAGTAAAATATTTCCCTTTTCTCCCACGACGAAATCGTAACCTTGACGAGCTAAACATAAGTCGGAGATGACTAAAATGTGACGAGACGAAAGTGCGTTTACGTTGATGGGACGAGACGAAAATGACGAACAGAGTTGCAAAACTCAGTCAGTTAAACGCTAAACATATAGGAGCAGCTTCAGTCCGCTCTGACAGCTCTCATCAGCCTGCTGTGCTCCTCCAACACACAGACACACACGCGCGCGCGCGCGCACACACACACGTGGAGTTTTGTAGTTGACGAAAACAAAACTGGATTAAAGCCGAAATATTCCAACACTTGGGCTGTTGCGTTCGGTTTAGACACCAAAGCTGTCGTGTTCATTCTGTTAGCTTGCTTTTCACTCTCGACGCTCACTTGAAGCACTGTATCCAAAAGTCTGTGTCTGTGTGCCTGTGCGCGCGCCAGCCCCCTCGTGACAAAGACACTGAATGACTGACAGGAGGGTTCACTAACTCCGTTCATTCCGCTATAGAGCCAACGCCCCCAGGTGCCGAGAACAATGCGCAGAGTGAGACCTCTTCTCTCATCCAGCGTGTTTGGTAGCGAGAGAGGAGGAAAACAAACGCACGTCAATTATCGCGGCTGGCAAAGTTATCGACCTCGTTTTTATTTATCGAGCGATAAGGCGATTTATTGATTATCGCGACAGGCCTAAGCACAGATATCTCATAGTATGACCTGGTTTGTAGGGATTTCAATCTAGATAATGGAGACAAAGTTGTTGGTTTATTGAATGTATAACCACTTGTAATGGGGTTATCAAACTGACAGCTGGACCTGGTTAACACCGGTGGCGCTTGCCATGCCAATGGCGGCCTCACTTGGCCAACCGATTAAACATCGTTTGACTCTTTGATCCCATTTTTATTCATGTAAGATAAATTGTGCGTCATGTTCTCAGTGTTCTCTTTCCTCTGTTGGTTAGTTGGAGTTTAAAATAGCAAGTACAGATCCCTGATCGATCCTGTCTTGATTTTCTTTTCTCAGTTGACAATCAGAGGGGCTTGGTTGCTTCCACTAGCTGGTTGTTGAGAGTTACGATATCCCCCTGCCCATGCTCTAATGTAATGCAGCTGTAATCAAACCTAGGACACTTCGAATGGTTATGGCCCACCAGTAAGACATCGAGCTCTTTACTTGCACTTGTCTTCTGTTATTGCTAGAAGGCTAAGATTCTGTACACACGCTTGAACATCAGTTGAACTGTGATTTTCTTATTTATAGCACGTCATTTTTCCATTATAAAACTGAATTTTGTTGTCACACATCCCAGGATTATCTCTACCTTCCAGGCCTCGCGTAAATCCCCCATTAACACGGTCAAGTCCTCGTGTCCCGTGAGCTGAGGTCCATCTCTGCTTTTTAAGTTTACTATAAAACTACTGCTTCTCAAAGGGGAGATTCATTGACGGCACATTTAGATAAAGAACAGTAAGTAAACACATGCTTTATCAGATCTTGAGTTTCACAAATAACTGTATAACCCTGAGGCAGCACATAAAAACTAAGCCCTTAAGTTTGGGGAAAATCTCCATGACCGCTTGGCCTTCCTGCTGCCCGCCAAGCAGACACATGATTTCTTTTATAATAGCTAAATCACTGATAATAACACAGTACCCAGTTAGCAAACATGACTTTAAGTATAGAAACCGTGTCGTGGTTTAGTCCCTGGACTTCTGTAACCACATTCCATCTTTCCACAGCCTTTCTCTCAAAGGTCTCTCTGTAATATGAAGCTCTAATGTTTTTAGATTTCTAAAAACGCGGTATGATGTTACAGCTCGTTACATCTCCATGTTGTACTCATGGAGGAAAAACACATTGTGACCCTGTGGTTCTGATTCGTGTTGACTTTTCTCTAGAATAGAAAAAAAAAGGGGTTTCTGTACAGGCAGAGCTGGAGAGGCATGTGCAAGAATAACACACGAAGCATGCACACACATGTAGACACATACATTTAACTCTGATGTGAGAGCAAGGCAGGATATAATACGTTTGTCGTCAGAAAGCTACAATTGTCAGAAGATGACTTTTATCCCTTTAAACATTTCAAACCTGAGTGTTATACCACTTGTGGATTTTTGGGATGGAAAAATTTGGACACAACTCCCTTCCTATACAAGCATTTCTGTTAGTTTTCTTCAATTTCCAGCTAAATTATATATCCACGAAAAAAGGATCAGCACATAATGATCCAAGCATGTACAGGAGTTTTGCATGATGCAATAAACAATATGCTTGTTACATTGAGGGGTTAAAATATTGACCATCTTTGACTCTTTCACCAAACAAATTGCACAGAACTTGTTTTCTCTGCTGTATTTCTGACAAACTGCTGCAGGAGCCATACAGCTGGGTGTATAATGCACTTTAAATACCTTTACTGTCATCGACAAAGTGAGATGCTTCCTTATCACTCGTGCAACCAAAGCAGCTGCTTTGCTGCAGAGAAAGCTACATGTACAGTGAGGCCAACCAGTCTAGTGGCATCACTTTTAAATGCTTTTTTGCATCATTAGGTCATAACCATGCCAGACAACAGTGGTACACTTTAGGTGAATAAACCTTGTGAAGTGCTTCAAAATTTTTAAATCAGCAGATGAGGGTCGGGGCAAGTCTTGATGAATCTGTTGCAGAGTGTGAGACCATCTGTATGTCTCTACTTTCACAGCCACCATGGGCCGTTCTTTACTGCTGTACAGGGAGCTGGCAGGGTGGCGTTTCAGATGGTACTTAAAAGGAGCTACACAGGGGCCCAAAGCGGAGGGTATGGTCCTCACTGCAGCAGTCGCCAGTTCATTTCCTAGAAACTCACTAAGTGAAACGCTGCAGCATGTCTTCCCTCACTCTTGACACCCCCCTTATCCTGTCCCTCTTCAGCTGTCCTCATTATTAAAGGCAAAAAAAAAAAATATAATATATAGAAATATAGAGCTACACATATGCATTGAGACTGCACATTGCTGAACGCAATGCTGTCTTCACAGAGGGACACAGTTTGGACGTCAAAAACTCTAGTGTGACTTGCATTGTCGATTTTACGGTCATCTTGAACCGTAACACTTTGATTATCAACGCAGTGCTTTTCCATCTGGTGTCATCAAATACAAAAGAACTTCAGTGTGAAGGTTCAGGAACTCTCTGACACAAAGAGATTTTATTTCTAGCCAGCTTTAATGATGGCACCCATTAACTATGTACAGCACGGTGATCTTCTTTTGAAACAATGCTCAGTGAAACCAAAACTGACTTTGTTCTTGTGTGGGCGTGTGAAGGTGTTTATGAGTACATGTCAGAGTGTCATTATAAAAATCACCAACGTTGCAGTAAGACACTCTTTGTCTGGTTATAAGGACCGTTGGCAATGAGCTTATTTATCTGACAAATTAGGGGGACCGGACAAGTGCTCTGAATGCAGAAAAACATTGTTTTAGGTATAAAAGTCTTTGATTCTAAGCATAGAGTTTGTGTAGAGGTCAATTACTGTAATAATATGGATTCAAATGCAGCTTAGTTTCCTGCAAGGTTATATCATTCTGGACGGTATCCTTATGCAGAACCTCCTATGTTGCACCTGTGCTTTATGTTGGTTACAGTGCATGTAATGTAAACTGCTTTGGCGACAGCATGCATTGTTCCAGCCAATAAAGTTATTTGAAATGAGACTAATTGTCTGTCCCACGGCCTGGCATTTAGCTAATCCTTTCCTCCTGATTCCTCCCCTTTCTGTTCTTTCACTCTGAACTGGTGTTCTGCTCAGCCAGGACTGGTTTTACAGGTAAGACAAGGATACACAAAGGTCTCTCTCTTTCAGCTTTCCTTTTTTCCCTCACTTCAATCTCGCTCCTCCAAAAGAGTGGACATGCGTTTATACTGTAAAGTTAAAGAAAATTGAAAAAATGATGCAAAAGAGCCAAAAAACTGCTACACAAGAGTGTTAAAATGTAAGAGGAGGGGTTTTTCTTGAGTACTGAGAAGTCCTGCTGCACACTGAAGGCAACGATAGCCACCGTAGCTCCACTTGTGACACTCAGTTTGAACAAAGTCAACAACTGAGTGAGCAGACGCCGCCACTTTGTCTTGTCACACATCCAAATATAGCTGCAACGCCTTCTTCTGTTTTGACTGTACTGCGTATGTGTGAGTGTGTCTAAATCACACTGCAGTTTCAAAGGCCACAGCTACTTTCAGTAGATAACGATGTCATTACCTCAGGGTGTCTGTGAGGCCGCGAGGACAGAAAAAGACTTGGATGCAAATTAAGGTGCTTTAAAGAGAGGGGGGAGACTCCGAAAAGAAAAGGGGGGCTAGAAGGCAAAGCAGATGAAAGCAGACGAGGAAAAGAGAGAGACGTGAATATGGAGTGAGTAAAGGAGGGAACATGTCAGAGCTGAAGGAGTGACAGGACGACCTGACACAGCTGGTAAAAGTCAAATATCTCCTCATGAACCCACTCCCTTCCTTCCTTTTACTCAAGCCTGAAAATGCATCCTCCTGTGTTATGATAAAATCAACATGTGTGTGCAAGCATGCCGAGATTAACTTCACTTGTCTTCTCCTTATCTCTCTCCGTACAAGCCCACAACAAAAAGATGCATGCGTGATTTGTTTCCTTGTAATTCCAATTCACTTAAGAGAGAATCTAAGTGTCTGTGCAGACATGCGTGAGTTTTCATTCCAGAGAAATGCTGGTTCAGGTTCATCGCATGTCTTTCAAACTGTTTGCCGAAGAACAGACTAGTTTCTACTTCATCAAACAAACAAACACGAGGTTAAAGCTGTAGGGGTCAAGTCACTCTCTTCGTTCATATGTCGGCAAATACTGATATTTGCTTGGACCTAAAAGCATCTAGTGTAAACAGAAGTAATGTTTATGAGTGCTGCAGACAGAGGGAGAGCCGAGGAGAGAGACCAAAGTGTCACCTGATCCCTGATCACCCTAATCCTAATTCCCATTTCTTAATTCAATAGTTATCCTGCTAACAGCCATGCTGATATTGGGGGTTTCTCTCAAACCTAGAAAGGCTGATGGTTTCCAGAGCACCAAAACAAGGACTCTCATAACAGAAACTCGACAATTATATTCAATGTTCCCAGATGTGAGTGGTTTTCTGTGACAGAAAGACATTTGATGGATGATCCAAACGTCATAAGAGCAGCAGGACACCCAATTTAAGAACTTAAACTTGCATTTAGTCATTTTTAATTGTTTTGCTTGAGCGGTTGTTTATCCAAACTAGGATTTCCCAACATGATTAACTTTTTTTTGCTTGACTGATTGGCCGTAAAACTTTGATTTCTGACCTTGGACACTGAGTTTGCGGCTGAATGCTATTGAAAGACACTCCAAAAGAAGCTCGTAAAGTTAACTGGTACCAAATTTAAGATACAGTTCCATATTATGAGGATCTTACTACCCTTCACTTCCTTCTTTACTAAAACAAACCCTGAACTTTGTGCTGAAAGTGCATTTTTAATCTTCCTCTAAACTGTTGGCTAAAATACTGCCTCCATTTTCATATACACAGAGGTATTTGTGTCCAGACAACAGAGTCTGCTCATTGCTTAAAGCGTGACTATTCTTGTTTTTTATTGAGATCAAATTTGCAAAAAAATATCTGAAGTCTTTTTAAAGATCTAAACTGATACGAAAACATGTGAAGCATTTCCTACAGAGAAAAACCTGAGTGCTGGTTAACGCATCCAAAATAAGCAGACCCAGACTAAGTGAGTGACCCCTGATCCAAGAGTGCATGCTCTATTTTTTCACATTTAAACTTGTGAGTGTGTGTGTGCATAAGTGCATGAGGGACAATGAGTGTATTTGGCTCCTGTGTGTGTTTGTGTGTGTGGCAGTAACAGAGGAAGGTTGATGTATAATGCAGCGAGGGTCCAGTTTCCTAAGTCCTGACTAAGTTTCCATAAACATCCAGGGCTGCTGTCTGTAAGGTCAGCAAGCTCACACACATGCACATGCACACATGCACACACTCTCTCTCTCTCACACACACACAGGCTGTTGAAACAAGTGTAGTGTTGTCAGCAGCAGAAAGCTAAAGAACAACGAGAGACACAGGAGGATTAATAGAAACTCTCTCTCTCTGTATTTTTCTTTTACTCTCTTTCTCTTTCTCTTGCCCTCTCCATTTAAACTTCACGCCGCAGAGGTAAGTCTCAACCATCTGAGTTTCACACACAAACACACACACACACACACACCACAGCAGGCTCCCGGTGCGCTGCGAGAGCTACAAAGTTTGACAGAGCAGGTTCCCACTCCTTTTCTCCAGATATAAATGTGCACATGAACACGAAAATGGCAGAAACTAAAAATAAAGTAAACAATAAATAAAGTCAAAAAACACATACCCGTGTTTGCGTTGTGTTGAAAACCCCAGCAGCACTTCTGCCTCAGCCAGCTCACAGCAGGATCTATAATTAGACAGAGAGCTCCACTCCCCTCCAGTCATCTTTTACAGCCGGCCACATCCTCTTTTCTTTAACTCCTTCTCTTTCTTCTCCTCCCTCCCTCTCTCTCTCTCTTTATCTCTCTATCTCTGTTTGTTGATGCTGGCCGACACTAAGCTGTTGATTTCATCATTTCATTCACACAGAGGTGGTGCCAAGCCTGCGAGCAAATGAGGGGTTTTTTTTTGGTGGAGAATATGCAGATTAAGGACTAAAAGAGGTCCTTAAAGGGTCCTGAAACTTCACAGGAAGTTAAATAAAGGCAAACTAAGTGTGTCTTATTCTTCTTAACACTAAAAACCATGGAGATTGGGTTGAAATGCTCCAATAAAGTGCAAATAAACATGTCTTGTCACCATTTCTTGACATGAAAAAAAGCATTTACACTTCTTGGCTCCCTGTTGCACAATAAAAACATTTCAGCTCCACTTACACAACAACTTTTCTGACTCTTACTGATGATCGTCAGCTTTTTCCTCTGCTGGACCTTTACAATCCATCCCATAAACAACAGGGATTGTAACCATGGTAACGAGGGCAGCACGGCCGGCAGGAAGTTGAGTCTATAAAAACACAACAATGAAAGAAGCAGGGTGGCTTCCTGTTTAAGAGCTGAGTTTAGACTCCCATTTCCTCCCCTCCTCCTCCCCCTGCTGCTGCTGTGACGCTGCTGCCGCAGTGCCCTTGAGCCCTGAGGCAGTCAAGTGTCCCCCTGGACTGTGAAACCAAAACAAGTGAGGCTCCCTGTCCCCTTGTCCCAACACAACCACTCCCACATCAGGGTTTTTCTTCCCCTCTAATATCACGGCTGGTGTGCAAATCTGAGAGCTTGACATCCATTAACAACCCAGATTAATGACTAACAGCGGCCCTGAAGGCACCACACTAATGTACTGAACACACAACCACTCACAAACACACCCATGACAGGGACATGGAAAACTACTACATAAGCTATTGACAGGCCGGTTAAACTCTCTTTCATCCACTGCAGTTGTTTTTGAGCCTGAATGGACCTGACTCATTCATGTTTAACTGAAGTTAGCTGCAAGATTAATGATCGCTTTGATAAACTTAAATTAACTTCAGGCGTCGTGTTGTTGGGTTGGACAAAACAAACACTTTTATCTTATTATGAGGACTGGAAACAGGTCAAAGAGCCTCCTTAACATAACACAAAGTTCAGTTATTAAACAAGCAATGAGTGAGGACCAGTGGGAGAGACAGCAAAAATCATACATCTCAGAAAGTTGAGAGTTAGCATGAAAACAGAAATTATTTCCCCCATAAAAGTGGCTCCACTTTCACCAGAATAAGAGAATAAAATCTAAATGGTATGAGTTTCCCTGCGGCATCTTTATAATGTTGTTACTTAATAAGTACCATTTGCCCTATTTGTCCTCAAGATGCAAGTGTCAAACATGCATATAAATGTGCATACTTGCGAACTATACTGCAGATAGATTACAAAACGCGCACAACTAAGTTTAAGAATGCAAAGATAAAAGTACAAATTGAAAAACTTTGATGACAGATTAAAAAGACAGTTTCAGGTGCAACTTTTTGACTAAACTAAGCAAGTCTGTCCTGAAGAATCTTCTAAAGGTCCTTACACACCGGGCGAGAATTCGCCAGGCGAATTGTTCGCCTTTTTTTAAAACAGCTTAAAGTCAATGCAAGCTTCCACACCGGCGGCGATTTTTCCGCGGGGCGAAAAGCCGCTTTTATTTTTTCGCTCCTGTGTCGAATTTTTCGGATATTCGCAGGCGAATATCTGGACCTGCTAGACCTCTGGCCAATCAAAAGTCATGTTGTTGATGACGTCACAGACCCATACGGCTGGAGGAGAGGGAGAAGTTTGAGATTATGAATACGCAGAGAAAGGCAGCTGAGGTGCATCCAAAACTCTTTCTAATTACTAATGAAGTAGTTTCCTCACAAGATGACACTCTCTTGTCTTCCACCTCGCATCTCCTCTCCTCCGTGCCGCAAAACGACTTTATTAATTCGCTTTGCAAAAAATATACGCATATTTGCTTCGCGGCCGGTGTGTATAGGCGAAAGCGATTTTTCAGTGAATATTCGCAATTTTCGTCTCGCTTTTTCGCTTCGCTCCGCAAATTCGCTGGTGTGTAAGGACCTTAAGACTTGAAGGTCCTAAAAGCTGCACTTTGCTATCTTTGAAGATGTTAAGCAGGACAGACTGGGTAGAGATAGAATATAATCTAAATAAGTTTAAATAAGTTTATAATCACATAACTATGGTTTTTAAACTTAAAATAGGCCACCTAGGCTGCCATCTTGTACCACCCTGTTTCTGCTGCAGAAAGGACATAGTTGATGCATGTTTTTGTATTTGGTGAGTGTTTATCCAAAATGCACCAACTGCTAAAGGATCATATTGTCAACCATTACAGGAGCTTTTTGTCCTCAAAGGCCACCATTGCCCCCTTAATGATAGGGTTAGCAAAGGTGTTTCTATCTAGAACCAGTCTGCAGACTGTTGCTAAATACTTTTATGTCTTCACTCAGTACCTTATAAAATTATTCTTGATTAAAGAAACTTAACCAGTAAATTGTTTTTACCTCACTTCAAGATATTTTAAAATAATTTATTAAAAGTAATTCAGGTCTTATTTTTTTATCATAACATACTGAAACAACTTTTTTTTCACTTTTCAGAGAAAAGTGCTTATATTGAGTTCAAAAAACTTTTTAAAACTGAAATAAGTCAAAAACATTTGCTTGTTTTTTTCCAGTGTAAATGGGTCAATCCTCTACAAAAATCCAGACATCCATTTTTTTCCTTTAGACAAAACAATACTGAAATGTTTCTTCAGCTACCAATCTTATGCATGAGACAGATTTAAGAGAGGACTGATTTTATCATCTAACTCTCAAAGAAACTAAACAGAATACATAGTTCCCAAACTGTCTGAGATCCCCAAAAGATAAGTACAGACAAAGTCTTCCTTCAGAGTTTGCCGATAAGTCCCTAAAAGCCTTTAAAAGTGACTCTTTTTAACAGCATGGGTCATTTCGGCAGATTGTTACCCTTTTTTTCCTTTTACTGCCGGATAAACATAGCAGTGTTTTTATGGAGATTCCTGCCAATCAAAGTGGTTGTAGTAATTTGACAAGTTTTCTTTTCCTATAATCTGTTTGGTCAAATTTGATGACATGAACCACAAAGTCGGAGCTTGTTAAAATATCCACTTTTCTCTTTCCTCTGAGTCATAATCTACTTTTTTTCTGGGGAGTGTAAAACTCACCACTTCATGCTAACCAAAGTGATTTCTCAGGAAAGAGAAAAAAATGATATTAAAAGGTCAACTTAGTATCACTGAGTGTTACCACACTGCTGTTTAAGAATCCAGTGGGAAACTAAATATATTTAACAGTTTAAAGGGGATTATTATGTAAATTTTGAAGAGTCAGGATGTGAGGGAGACTCACTTAGAAAAAAAAAATCTACAAAGTTGCTAAATCAGCCTTGTGCAACACAGGATCTCTATGAATAGTCATCTACTGGCAGTTAGGATCACATGCTCTGTACTGTAGGAGCTCAACTAAACCTGAGAATGTCAAACTGGACACCAAAACTTGGTGTTTTAGTTCATTATTTATGAAATGTACCTACAGAAAACTCAAAAAGTATGAGCTTATTAAAACTGTCAGTTGAGTACTGAAGATGAATAAATGTGGTGTCAGGACCTGAGTTCAGATTATCATGTAGTGATTGGATCTGTGTTTGGGCAAGAGTGCAGTGATAAGAATGATGGCACAGAGGTTATGATTCAGTAGACTACAATTTGTGTTATGAGCATGGTGGTTTGTTAACACCCTTATTATTTTCCCTTTGTAAAGACTCAGTTTTTATGCTTTTGAAGAATAGATCTGAGCTTCCTCAACTTTTTTTGTTTACATCAGATTTAAACAGACAGAACTGGTGATTCAAGTAAATTAAGGCACCTTTATCTTGCTACAATAGGTAACAATCAAGATATTGCCATAAAACTGTGTACTATTACTTACAAACCAATAATTTATATATTAATAAAATGTCACAAAAACAATCAAATCATGACTAAAGAAAATAAGTACTTTTTCCCCCTTCCACTAAAACTCAGACTCACCATCCTCCACTAAAGCTCTATTCCCTCCTGTCTTTAAGTTCAAATTCATTTTAATCTGTTTTTATTAAATAAAAACAAACCATTTAATTTCTCCTTGGCTCTCTTCCTCTCTCTCATTCCTTTTCTTATAACTTACAACTTATCTCTCCTTTTCTATCTGTTTTACTCCCCACTTCATCCTGAGGAATCCACAGCTGTCACTCCCATTCAAAACTTCTCGTCTCTCCCAGCAGCTGGCCTAACCGAGGTTTGTGTGTGTGTGTGTGTCTCTGTGCGCGAGTGTGTTTGTGTGTGTAGGACTGCCTGCCTACAACTGTCGCCAAACTATTTTCTATATTTATGGTGTTGCTCTGTTGGTGCATACTTGAGTGTTCAAGTGTAAATGGTTGTGTGTGGCTGTCGACAGGTTCAAGAGTGCAAGTGTGTATGTGTTTGTGTTTTTGTGTGTGTGCCTGTGTGTGTTTGTGTTTTTGTGTGTGTGTGTGAGTCCGGGTGTGTGTTTGGGTCACAGGGACAGTTAGATGAGGACAACCCTCTTAAGTTGGAACATTTTGAAGGTGTTCACATATATAGGAGGTGAAGTGAGGACGAGTAATTCATCCACATGTTTCTGGTAGATCTCTGGCTTCAGGCCTTTCAGAGAGTTTTCTCTCAGGGAGGGATGATTTGATTCCTCCTCATGCTCAGATACTCTCAAACATAATACTGTAAAGAAGTTCAGATAAAGTCCTGCTAAATTTTGTTAGCCCAGCAACATAAAAGTAAATTACCATGGTGTAACAACCTCAAAGTCAGCAGGGTCCCTTTGTTTTCCTCACTGTCAATTACAGCACTCAGCAACAACAGCTCATCTGTCCTCAAAGTGGACTCCTCTGTCTTTTTGATGTCATCTAACAGTCATCTATTTTCCTGGTTACCTGGGTGACTAGTCCCGCCTCATTAGTGTATAACCGGAGCAGCAACACCAGCGCCTCCTGAGCAAAGCAAGCTCAGATGCTTTATCAATGACACCCAGAGCAGCTTAACGTACACTAAACAAACTCTGAGCGTACTGAAGAAGATGCTGGGTGCAGCATTTTGTCTCCGTGTCTCATCCTTAGAAACAGCTTTGAAAAAAACGGAATATTCCATGCATATTTGTTAATCTGAGACAAATAGTTATGCCCTGAAAGTTTCATTGCCTTCGAGAACTTGAGGGTCCTTTTAAATTTCTAGCATCAGGGACGTATACAGTCCTCGAGGCCCACTGTCCTGCATGTTTTGGATGTTCCACTGCTCCAACACACCTTATTCAAATCATTAGCTCGTTATTAAGCCATTACAGAGCTTGATAACGAGCTGATTATTTGAATCAGGTGTGTTGGAGCATCCAAAAGGTGTGTTGGAGCATCCAAAACATGCAGGACAGTGGGCCTCGAGGACTGGACTTGAGAACCACTGCACTAGTGGATCCTCATTGTGGCTCTCTAAAAAGCCTCCCAGATCCTTGTCCTCTTCTGACACATTTAACAAATTGAGGTCAGCAGAGGAGAGGGAATACACAAATGAATGAAATGACAAGCAGTCATGGATTTATCTTCATGACTGCATGACAGAGGGAGGTCTTTGTAAAGGAGCTGTTAGAACTTCAGTGGGCCCATAATCCATATATAAAACATCTGTTTAACATAGTCAATCATGACTGACTGTTATTTATCAATAAATCCGCAACTTTACAATTTGCCTCCTTTTCATCCTCCCAAAGATTTCAGAGAGACGTGCAGCTCATAAAAGAAAACATACACTAATACAGCGTTTGCATAACTCACACACGGAAACATTACATAAACATTCCAGGTGTATCTGTCATTCTTCACTCAGACTCGCTGTTGCAATTCCCCTGAAGATGGAAACTGGAGGACAATTCATTCATTACACTCACACACACACACACACCCTACACACTCACACCCACACAAACTGATAAATGTGCATGCCTGCGTGTTAGAGAAGAGACACCAGGTGTGCTGTCCGGTTTGACTGATGACAGTAAATCCTCCGTCTGCTGCACAGAGAACAAAAGCACAGCTAAGAGATCCACTCAGGAGCCTATTGACATTCTTATCTCTGTTTCCTGTCAATAACAGTGTCTGCTGTTTGCTGCCTGACACAGCACACCGGCACATTCACCACTCCAGGGGTTTTTCTACAGGGTAACATTTACTTTGAGGATTCAAAGAAATTCTCATTTGTTTCCACTTATTTTTGACTGATGGGTAAGACAGTATCTAAACTTGTTCTGCATCCTGTTAGTACCTGTGCATTGTGATTCAGATGAAGTGGAAGTCATGAGAGCGCAACATATAGGATCTGTCCGAAACCTGTTACTTAACTCATCTTGAAGCATTCCTTTCTGTCACGCCCAGAATCAGCTGCTGATCTATGTTTTTTACTGCTTCCTTCGGGGTGAATTCATTTTGTCACAGTGCTGTCCTCCACAGCGGGGTCAGAGGTCATGTCCAGTTATAAAAAGACATCCTAAAACTGGAGGGCAAGTGGGATTCTGCCAGTGAACTCTGTGACAATTGAAACACCGATTATGAAGTCTGTTTCTGAGACAACATGTAAATACGCCACTTATCAAACTATATTGTCCCGCAGCTAATAATCAGTGTTGTCGGACAAAAACACAACAAAGCTGACAGTAAAGGTCACTTTAAAAACAAACATTTCTAAATGTATAGATAGCTGACATGTTTAAGTGGTTACAGTCTTATGAAAAGAAGGCAAAGGGAAAAAGCCAAGAGATTTATTTTGAATAGCTAGAGGGAATTAAGGCTAAGAAAGATTATAATCTGGGTATGGGGTGTTAAAAATCCTGATGCCTCAACACTTACCAGACCTCATACGACCCCAAGTCAGTTCAACAAAACAATATATCAACATAGTTATTAAGACTGAAGTGGTCCTATATAACTGAAGTTTTTCTTTCCTGTGTTGGCCTCAAACGTGCCGAAGTGGTTGCACTCTTTGAGGATCTAAAGGCTCACTTTGTTGCATCCTCGCAGGACTTGTTGTTTCGTATCTTATCATTTCTCTGAGTGGGTAACCCATCAGGAATGTAGAGTCTGATTAAACAACTCGCAAAATGTTTGTAAGACAAAAACCTTGAGGAAATGCTCTTTGGTGAAGCGATGTTTATTCAAGCGTCTGCATGTACAGCCGCTTAACACCTACTGTGCAGCTTTCCAGTGCAAAAAATCCTCATCCAGCACTTGTTTGCATCCAAAAAGAGTTTCATTCTTACAGAGCGCAAAACAAAATATTTGATAATCCTTTGCACTTTGCAGTCCAGGCTCTCTGTCTCTCATCACTCTCCCTCTCAAATAAACACTCACTCCTGCTCTCCTTCACATCAAACACATTCTCCAAATTTCCAACAACTGATAGAGCCGCTCAACACAGCAGCTCACTCAAAGGGATCCCCCTCTTTATCTTTTATAGCACTTATCAAACGCACTCACACAGATACCTTTATCATCACAACCCACAATACGCTCACACTTCACACTCACAGTTACTCACATAGAAACACAACACCAGATCAGAAACACAGACGAATGCTAACTTGTCACAACTGTTGCTCACGCATCCATCATTTAATCTCTGCTCACTCTGCTTTTCATCACTGATGGTACTGAAACGTTCAAGTGATTCAGCTCTGCAAACAGTGAGTCATGAAAACAGCGGTGACTTGGTGACTGATACGCTGATAAACTGTGGTAGTGAGGGAGAGATTGGCAGAGCTACCAAAAAAAAAACCTACAATCTGCTGCAAAAGCTCCTCTGCAGATAAGGAGGAGGGGAGATATCTGCTTATCTCACAGAAACCTCAGTTTACCCCGCAGGCACAAGACTGTGTGATTTCACCCGGCAAAATTAGACACCAACTATAGTTGGTTCATTTGAATATGTTTTCTGTTTGACACAGAAAAGAGGTACTCGGGATATTTTTAACAATGGATGAGGGACAGCTATTTGAGCTTCATCGTGTCTTCTCAAAAGTTAAATAAGGGCATTCATTCACAGACAAACTGCAGATCAACTGAATGAGGCAAGATTAGGACTAAAACTCTGACTAAAAATAAAAAGAATATCTTCATTTGTTGTTTGTGATACTCTAAAAAATGACTTCCTCACCAAAGTGGCGGTGTGAAATGGCTGTTTAAAGATTTTTTTTTTTCTTTTTTCATGCAATAGAAAACTAGGTATTATTTCTGACAAATTTACATTGGGAAATGTGCAGCCTAAAAAATGGTGGTTGCACATCAGCTTTTGATGCCAGCCCTTAGAAATCCCTAGTTTGCATAACTGTTTGATCCAAAATAATGAAAGAACACGAGCTAGAGCAATGCACACACAAATCTTGCCAAAAACTGTAAGGATGTTTAGGGACACAAAGCGTTTGAGGTTCCCCGATTTTTTCCAATCCCAGGGGCCCAAGTGTAAATGAGGGCAACAACATTTTACAATGGTTATAAATAAACCTACGGTTCAAAAGACCTAGAGCTAGGCCTGTCGCGATAATCAATAAATCGCCTTATCGCTCGATAAATAAAAACGAGGTCGATAACTTTGCCAGCCTCGATAATTGACGTGCGTTTGTTTTCCTCCTCTCTCGCTACCAAACACGCTGGATGAGAGAAGAGGTCTCACTCTGCGCATTGTTCTCGGCACCTGGGGGCGTTGGCTCTATAGCGGAATGAACGGAGTTAGTGAACCCTCCTGTCAGTCATTCAGTGTCTTTGTCACGAGGGGGCTGGCGCGCACAGGCACACAGACACAGACTTTTTGGTTACAGTGCTTCAAGTGAGCGTCGAGAGTGAAAAGCAAGCTAACAGAATGAACACGACAGCTTTGGTGTCTAAACCGAACGCAACAGCCCAAGTGTGGGAATATTTCGGCTTTAATCCAGTTTTGTTTTCGTCAACCACAAAACTCCACGTGTGTGTGTGTGTGCGCGCGCGCGCGTGTGTGTCTGTGTGTTGGAGGAGCACAGCAGGCTGATGAGAGCTGTCAGAGCGGACTGAAGCTGCTCCTATATGTTTAGCGTTTAACTGACTGAGTTTTGCAACTCTGTTCGTCATTTTCGTCTCGTCCCATCAACGTAAACGCACTTTCGTCTCGTCACATTTTAGTCATCTTCGACTTATGTTTAGCTCGTCAACGTTACGTCTTCGTCGTGGGAGAAAAGGGAAATATTTTAGTCAACAAAAACAACCAGTGTTGTTCTCGTGTGGAAATTAAAGTTTATCACTTTTGACATGGTGTACTCGCATTATTGCCATCTAATATCATTATCTATAATTTAAAAAATGGTGTCAATAATATCGTTTATCGGCGATAATTTGTAGCGCAATTATCGTCCAGCAAAATTTGTTATCGTGACAGGCCTACCTAGAGCTCTGCTTGTATACTGGAGGATGAGGAAACAGACACATGGTTGAAAGGCGAACCAGCAACCACTGTGATGAGTTCATAAACCTCTATGGCAACTGTCCTCTTTTTATTTCTTTTTCTATTTATGACTGAATATCAATAATTCTATTAATTTTCCTTTTTCTTGACTGATACATTTTTAGCTTGGGTTGTGTTCATCTAGAAGTATGAAACATTTAAAGACAGTCTAAAAGTTTAACCTCTAAATGACCCAAAACTGTGGTGCAGACACTGGTGGAGCACTGCAGAGTTCAGAAGTTGAACCTGATTTAATGATGAAATGCTGAGCCACATGACAGGTTCACATGGAGATTATTTATAGTCAGCATAACAAATCTGGAACTGGCTGACAGCCAGGGGATTTAACAGGGAAAAGGTTTGTTTAAAACAATCTCAATAAACTGAGTTGTTTCCGTTAAACAGGATACTTTATGTACATATCAACAGAAGCAGATAAATAAAGGTTAGACAACTGGTATGCACAGACTTAAATGTATGTCTAAATAAAGAGGAAACTTCTGACTCTCTGTCTTTTGCTTCTCTTTTAATTCTTGATTTTTTATCTCTTTTCTTCTCTTGGTAAAATTTAATGTGTTCCAGGAAAGTGGCTTCATGAATATGCACAGTCACACTCGGCTGTCTGCACGGACAACAAAGGAAGAAGACATTAACATTCCTGCACATGCTCTGCACTCTGGTCAGGAAGGAAAGCGTACACACACACACACACACACACACACACACACACACACACACACACACACACACACACACACACACACACACACACACACACACACACACTCACAAACACACAAATATGGATATACACACACAGACTTAAAATCCAGACAATAACACAGTGTCAAACAAACTTACAAATGCTGACGCACACACACATACAAGGATGTCTGAAATACACACGCAAACTAAACATCATGAAAGAACTTTTAAAATTGTTGTGCTGTTGTGAAAAACAAGAATCATTGAATTTACTGAGTAAAAAAAAAGCAGAGAAACTTCCCTTTGACTATTTTCCTTCACAGTTTACTGCTCAGCATCCTCAACTTCTACCCAACCCTTCTCACCCCTGCTCTCTGCACCGTCTTTGTGCACAGAGGCGTCTGAACCCATCTACACGCTCACATATACAAAACACCCAGACATGCACACGCCCACAGACATACACAGACATACACATTAAATAAACATGCATTGTGTCTCTCCCCCCTCCTACACTTCCACAAGTTGTTCAAATGAGTCTGAATCTGTAGACGACGTCACTGGAGAGCATTCACCTCTTACACACTTAGACAAACACACACATGGTCAGACGTAAAGCCAAGAGTCCACCCAGATGGGAGGGGATCCTCTTACATCGGCACTAACTACAGGCTACCTGATCCAGGGTCAGTGTCGGTCCCCTCTGTGATGTGGAGTGAATGTGAGCTGCCCATTACTCTCCACTGAGCTTTAGGTCAGACAAGATCGAAGTACAGAGAGGAGTCTGGTTTAGAAAACATGTGATCAGGGCCAGACTGATTTATTGAGTCAGTATTGGCCTTATATCGGATATCAGATAGCAGACTGTCACATCATCTATGTGCAAGATGATGGCTTTTCCTCACAGAGCCAAACAGGACAAAGAATCCTGGTGCAGACTAGAGAGGGTTTTGGTCCCAATGCCTCAAGAAAATCAAACTTTGTAACTCGGCAATAAAGATCTAAATATTACCTATCCTTTGATTTGGTTTGATTTCAGAGCCTTACTTTTGCCTGTTTTTCAGTAAGTGAACAATATAAGACATCTACTAAAAGTACTGTAAAATTTAGTGTATAATGGAAATCGATAAGATTTTATTTATACACCAAATAGTTCCTGAAAATACACCGAAAAGCTCCTGGATGTTGCTGAAATACACAAAGTTTATTGTCCTGAAAGCTGCTGGTCTCACAAAGTGAATGGATTTTTAAGCTTTGAGACATGTCAACCATGAGCAGAAATTGTAAATTTTCACAAAATGCCTCCTAAAACTTATCATACACAGGAAATGTTCGGTATTTGTGGTCTCAGTATTCCTCTCCGTAAGTGCTGTGGTTTTTAATCAGCTCTCAGTAAGAATAAATGTTCAAGAGTAAAAATCACTCGTTCATATCCTGGACTGAGTCCTCTAGTCTGCAGCAGCGAGTTGAACTCAAGGGTGAGAAAGACTATTTCTCCCAACAAATACCACAGGAATAAATCCTTAAGACAATAAATCCATCGAAATCCATAAATTTCAACAGGATTAAGTGTGTACTTGTGCATGCTTGTGTGTATAAAAGCGGGAGGGTGAGAGAGTTGTCCCGAGGGGTGTGCAGACTGCGGCTGGGCCAGCTGACCGCAGCAAGGAGCCTTTAGCTCAAAGGTTAATACAACATGAATTGATTTGACACAGTAATAAAACGTTAAGGACAATGTTACCCCGGGCTGCACCGCTGCTTACACCTACATCCAGCCCCTCTGAACATATCTAATATTAATGTGACGGAGAAGGAGAACAAAACCACACATGCCTGCAGAATCACCAGACATAAAAAGGTAACACAAAGGCACACACACACTGCCATGGGGCCCCTTGGAGGGTATTATATAACATTACCCCGACATATCAAGTGATTTCACGCACCTAGAGTCCGGACAATAAAGCCATTTGTTCAGCAGGTCAAAAATAACTGCCTCATACGTTGCCGTCTACTATTACCTCCATTTATACCACAAACTGCTGTCTACAGCTCTGTTGAAGGGCCTCAGGAGCTCACACTGACCATACTGTATATCTGTTCAGTTTAATGTGGTTGTTGATCAGCACAACAAGTTAATCAGTTCTCAGAGCAGCTGCTGGATTTAATGACTTACTTGATACTGTTTTGGAGCGAGGACACTTCACAACAACAGAGCAGAATTCAGTGATGGATAAATAGTGTAGTAGCTGCAGCAGAGTATTGTTTAGTGATACATTACCTCTATTCTCAATGAGCCTCAAACCCGTTGATTAAAAGTTAAAGGGAGGTCAAGTTACTCAACGAAAACAGGAGTAAGGTAGATTAGAGGAAGAAAGCAGAGCATTAAAGCACAGCTGAGCCTAAACAAGAGCCCATTCACTCCCTCTGATTGTTGTTTTGAATGCTACGACAAAAGAAAAACACCTAAATATGTGTGTGTGCTTTAGTTTGTATTTGTTATGTTTCTTTTATTCCCTTAATGTGTGACTGTATGAGGAAACACAAGTTTCAAAGTTTGAAAAGTATAATCCTCATTTTATCTATTTACAGCTCAGATATTCAAATAAAGATTTAAAAGTTGGGTTTTCCATAAAAAAAGACACTAAATGTAAAGCTCAATGTATTCATTAATATGGGTGTATCAGATTAAGGTTTATTGAAATGATTTATACCAGAGCAAATACAGTGCAGAATTTTCCTAACTTAATAAAATAACCAAATATGCCCCCATATCCTTAAATATATGGACTCAGTATTTGGCTAGAGTAATGCTATATCTGTCTTAACATTACTTTTCATTGTTTAAGCATGAAAATACTGAGCTGGTACCAGGAATGTGACCCTTATGCCTTCAAAACACATCAGTCATACCAGAAAACTCCTTATTCTGATCGTATCAAAGTGGTCCCGTTCAAGGAATCTAACACCCTGCGGATATGAAATTTTACAACGCTGTGGTTAGACAGTCTCCAGGATGGGTTTCACCATATATTAAACATACTTTAAAGCATCTCTGGATTCTGAGGTCTTGTGAATTTTGTGGTATTTAAAGTTTCAAATTTTTTTTTTCTCAGCCTTGAATAGAAATAACCAATAATATGAGTATCTGTACAATGTAACAGCCTCTGTGCTCTATCACGGCTGTTTATGATCCAAATGATCACCAAATGTATTTCAATCATATCTTTGTATGAAGTGGTACTTTATTATTTGTGTATTTCTCCTCCATCATTCCCCCTGTAATCATTTAAATTCACTCTGAATTGAAAATTGAATATTTCTCCGCTGACCGAACCAGGAAGAGGGCTGGTGCTCTCCACTGTTCCTTGAAGTATCTCTCTACTCCGTTTTGCTAAGTTGCATTTATTTAGTTATATTCATACAGGCTTATTTAAAGTCAGAACTTCTGTACAGTACAAAAAGAAAGAAGAAGAAAGTTGTCTAGAAATTTATTATTCCATGCAGATTAAAGTAAAATGTTAACTTGTAATGTGTACTATGGGTTGTTTTTTAATGAGTAGATGAAAAAGACAAATACATTGTATCATGCATGGTATTTATGTCAGAGGCAATATTAAACAACATTGTTTTATACCTCATAACAGAACACTATTTGGAAACTGCTTTAGATTTGATTTTCTGTCATTTAGAAAGAGTAAATGTGTTTTATAGAGTAATGATAAAGGTGATATTGGCCTTATGAGGGCAGATATTAGGGCTATGATATCAAAATTCCATTAATCAACCCAAATTAATTAGCTGTCTATTTTTCTTCCATATACATTTCAAAGATGGCTTTAGGTGAGTATTTTTGTTTATTTTTCACCAGCAACCACCTGATGAAGACTTTGGGGTTAAGAAGGTTTGAATTAACAATCTTTGAAGGCTTTGAGTAAGAAAAGGAAGACTTTATTAAGACCCCTTTGTGTTGCGCTTACAACCATATTAGTTTATTAGATATTATATAGTTTTGTGAGCTGGGATAAAACTTGTGATTTACACTGCGAGTCATTTCTTATACTTTCTTTGAATGTGTGAGTGTCCAGAGTAAAAAGTGGGATGTATTTAGGTCTTTTAGCAGGTCTTGTTGGTTTAAAGGGTTGTTACAAGTCTACAGGCTTTTAAAATAGCAGTAACACACATCTGGTGCTAACATGGACTGCAAGGAAGTCCCGACAGTTTCTCAAAAACAGTTGTAGTTATGATCAGATGTATGGTTTGTGTGTGTGAGAGAGTGTTAGGTAAATGGTACAGAGTGAGAGATTAGAGAAGAAAACAAAAGGAGAGACAGAGCCAGTGTCAGTTGCCCTGTGAGGACGACACACATGTAACCAGACGCTACAGCAGCGGCCATGACCTCACTGTGTTTTTCCACACACACACACACACACACACACACACACACACACACACACACACACACACACACACACACACACACACACACACACACACACACACACACACACACACACACACACACACACACACACACAAAGAGCATGTAGCAGTTCCTGGGTTTGCATACAGTCTGCGGAGCCTGGCACAGAGAAGCAGCATCCATTCACAGAGTCATGCATTGTAATCCTACACAGTGTGATCACACAGGCATGCTTCACAGTGCAGGGTGCTAATCTAAACTAAAAAGGCAGGACACAAAGAAACAGCCGGCTGGCTTGTTTCTGATGGGTGGAGCAGCGGATCAAATGAGTTTTGATCTCAGGTTAAAGGAGAAACGTTGGACTGTTTCCCATGTGAGTCAGCAACCATCAAGTTGGGTTCAGCTGACGTTTCCTGAGTATAACAGTGGTGGGAAGCTGTATGGAGAGGAATTTAGTCACTGATGTCATGGTGGAAAATATCACTGTTTAGATATAGAAAAGGAAGTCCGAACACGCCTCTTATCACCCAATATTTAGTCAGTAGGTTCCTTTCTATTATAAGCAGAACAAGATAAGTGCTCACATGCAGTAGTGAGTAATAAAGATGCAATGATTTATCAGGAATTAACCATTTGGGGTGCAGTAATGTCTCTCAGCTGTTGAATTGCATCCCTTGTACAGACAGTACTGCCTCAAAGTAAAGACCTGGGGTCAAATCGGATCTGCAGCTCTTTGCCACACATTAGTCCCCACTCTCGCTTCCCAGTTTCCTACTCTATTCACCGCACTGTACTTTAAAGCTCCTGTCATGCATTAAAAAAAATCATTATCTTTTTAAAGGGCAAATTTCTAACTTTGGCTTCTCTTGCGTCATTATGGCACTGAATAATGACTTTAGCGGTTTTTAACTCTTGTAGGAAAAAAGAAGTGATTATTTGACATCATCATAACGGATATCCCCTCTGGGATAAATAAAGTTCTTCTTATCTTATCATATAACTTGAGGCTCACAGAAACTTTGATGAGTTGTTTCTTTACACTTTAACTATATAGTCACCTATTTATGGATAAAAGCTGAAAAGAAAGTCACAAATATTTAATAAATGAAAATAGACACTTCAACTGAAATGTGCAGGTATCTAATTTGGATGACTCCAGATGTGTCTTACATTTACTGTATCTGAACTATAACTTTAATTTAGTTCATTTTTAGATCCTAAAAAAAGCTCAGTATATACTTTTTTTTAAGAAATGGCACAGTTAAGGAGGTCAAACTGAAAAAAAATCAAGTTAATCCTATTACTACCTTTTGTTCTCTGTAAGACTTATTTAAACTGGGGCTTTATGAGCTTTTATAAGAATTACAATCCACTGTATGCACAATCCAGCTAAGTATGCATGCATTCAATTCAGCTCTAGAGCATGTCTGGAGGATTTTTTTTGACTCAATATAAACTGAACTTCTGTGAAAGCAGCAGTAAACACACACACGACAAACACAAGCTTGCCTTTCCAACTAGGCCAACACCTGTTTTGCACTTTACTGCACTTGTCTGAGAATCAAACAGCTTAGATCATTTCTGCACTGGAAAAACTGCTGTCACCCAGGCTGTGTAAAGCATGTGTATTATGAAAAAAAAAAAAATGTCGTAAAGAGGACAAGATGTAGTCCTGGGGCGGCCGTCTGCAGACTTGCAGCATTTTTCCACTTGGTGCTGACAGCTGTGGCCGAACTTTAACACGTTGGAGTAGAATATTACCAAACCCACAACACAACTACTTATTAAGCTGAAGTTGGTGTTCAGCACGGTTTCTGTGGAGGTTTAGGGTCATACCTGTTACTGGATGAATTATGTTGTCCTTTCTGCTTGTCCTTAGGATGTTAACAGAGGTGCTGAGTCCATCTGTGGATACAAATAGAAGAAAAAATTAATGAAATTCAGCTCTTGTAGATGAAATAAAAATAAGTACCTTTTCAAACATGTTACAACATGCTTTAAAGCCCATGTGAGGGCGTTTTTGACATCCATGAAGTGGGCTGAAATCCATATTGCTGCCTTTTACGGTGTCCAAAGACAAAACAAAACTATAGTAGGGGTAGATGTCAGTCATGTAGCTTTAGAAACAGCCCTGATTTTATAGTTTCCAAACAAAATATTCTCACAAAATGAAACATCGGACTGTAAAAGGTCAACAGGATTAGATTTATTTTCTAGAAGACACTGTTTAAGTATGCTGAGGGAAGAAGAAACACAATAATTGACACAGGTCAAAATTTCCTCAGAGGAGCTTTAAATCAAACAACAGAACACAAGACACAAAAGCAAAGCTGGTACAGGAGACCAAAAAGCATCCAGAAAGGTTCATAAATTAAATAAAAAATTATAGATCAGAGCACAAGATGCATGCAGCATTAAGTAGATTAGTCCTGATCGTGATCACAGGGATCCAATTGGGGCCAATCTGAGCAATTTTCAACCAGTCATCTCAACCCAATTATTATAAACAGAGCACAGTTTGCTCATATTATGCATCAACTGCAGTCATGCTACATTTTCTTTTTGTATGTCAGTTGCAGAGCACCACAAACTGTCCCGGAGAAAGTGTAACAATTCCTGGTAACAGGGGGAGATAGAAGTCATGGATGGCTTCATGCTCATGAAAGGTTCATATTAGCAGCAGACTGGCCACCTGATGGGTGCGGCTGGGCAAGATGTGAACTCCTCATGTGATGTAACCTCTGTAATGTCTAAAATCTGACCCAAATCTGAGGAGAGAGACCACCAAAACCTGTGTGGAAGTGCAGAAATGAAGCAAATGCACTCAATCTGAGCAGACAGGTGCAAATGTTTCATAGTCCTTTTTTTTTTTCTTCTTACAACTAATCTCTATGTTAAACCTTTTGCTGTGATGCAGGTAAACATCTGTCCTGCAGCTTGAACGTAAGTCAGGAATATTTGGAAATTATCTGATGAATAACTGATAATAAATAACACCTCTGCCAAACTTAAATAACACGAAATTGTTATTTTATTCTGCAAAGACTTACAGAAATGGCTATACTTGTGTGGGCATGTTGGGAGGGTCTGGAGCACCATGTTGGGCTTTTTTACTTCGTTATATTTTGTCTTTCTCTTTTAAAAACACTTCGAGTGCATTCTGTAGGAAAAATAATCACTTAAATGATACTTTAAGATGTGGGCACATTTACATCACTAGAAGTATGGAAATATCTCCAGCAACTCTGTAGTTATTTTCTTTATTTTTAATTGAATATCAGTTAAGAGTTATTTCCTGACGTAAATAAACGTCTCACTAAAAAGCGCTCGAGAGCAATTAACAGCGACACCTGCGCAGATAGCGAACTGCTAATGTCGGCTGTTTAGTCAGCAATGCAAAACTCCAGTATAAACGGTGGAAAATGTGTCAAATAAGCACATTTAACGAGTTTCTATCGGTTCCTGCACTTCAGACCTTATGTTTCCTACCTTGTAAGACAGAACCCGTTAACAGCTCACAGCCTCTTGAATGAGCCTGAGTCAAAACATTTGAAGATAATCCAGCTGAAATAAAGTCCTCATGCATCCAAAAGACGGCGAAAAACCTGCCGGGAGGTGATGTTGAGGGCTCCGCTGGTGTTGTCAGCACAAAGTACAGAGGAGGAGGAAAAGAAGAGACTTATCGGAGACCAAGTTGCAGAGAAGAAAAAGTCCGGCCCCTCCAGTCGTCCTGCCCCTCCCCTCCGCTCCACTCCGCTCCTCTCCTGCTGACAGAAATAGCAAGCAAGGCGGGTCCCACCAAAAATAGCCTCGACTTGACGCGGACTTGCAGAACTATTGTTTTCCTACTCTGACTGACTCCCATTGGGTGCTCACTGCAGCCAATCCGCGCCTGCCGTCGGTATCACTCATACAACAGTCCCAACTTTGTCTCCACAGTGTCAGGCTTGTGTCAATTAATATTAAGGCCTCAACACTGTGGCTCCATCTGCTGTCAAAGTGACCAAAACCAAAGCTGGTGAAGCTTCAAGTGATGCACTTGCCTGAACCCTCACCCTTCAGCGTCCTTAGTGAACATTGTTAAGTCTCACTTTAATTTTTGCACCTCAAACTGCAAGACTTTAACCCCCTCCCTGACCTATTTTTTTTTTTTTTTTTTTTGCATACAGCCAGACAACATTTATGCTGATATTTTACATTTCAGCATTTTCATGTCCTACTGTCTCCAATAAATGACTCATTGTGTTATATTTGTCACTGTGTCAAAGTATCTACACCAACATGTGATACTTGCCCTGATGAAACATGCCCCAGTTCTTACTTTTACCAGTTTAAATCATACTCTTCTTTTGAGTATTTATGTGTGCATGTGTGAACTTTTAGTAATCATTTTGCAGTTTGTAAAGCACTGTAAGTTTTCTAAAAGGTGCGTTGTACATGCATTCGTTCACATCAACTAACAAGTCTGCTGTGTAATGTGGAATTTCCCTCATACATGACTGGCTTGGTTTCCAGCGCTCTTGTTTGAAATAAACTGGCATTATTTGTCAGCTGTCTTTATTTGTGAGTGTTTTACAAAATGTGTAGCAGCTTTGCAGCAAATTTGAGCATGAAAAAAAGATTTTTCTACTATAACTTTTATCTTTTGCCATGACGTCTGATGGCATGACAGGAAAGGCCTTCATTTTTATGATAGTGCCCCTTAATTATGACCCAATAACGGAAGAGTTGCACAAAACTATGACTGTTTAACTACTTGGTGTTTTAACTGCACTTCTGAATCTTTAAAGTAGAAACAAACACATGTCCATAAAAGACCTCAGCAAAAAAATTAACTGGCAGTCGCTGCTAAAAAAAGTTCACAGACTCCCCTGACTAATAGCACAACTCGTTATTAATCAAGTTTTATGCACAGTCATCTCTTGAAACCTCTAAAAATCTGGTTTAAGAGACCAGTGTACCAACATTGCAAGTTTGCATTGCAAGTGAGCAGTTTCTGCAACACTTTATCAAAAACTAAACCACACTGCAGCAGAGCTCAGGACTCTTGAACATTGTTTTGACATCCTCAGTAACAGCAGGAAAAAAAAAGAAAGTGTGCTGGCAGGGTCGTCCTGGGGAAATGTTTGGCATACTTTCTTTGGGTCAAATAACAATGTCACATATTGTTGAACTGATTGCATAAATAGCTTTGCTTGGAACATTGTAGTTCATTCAACGAAAGACGTCAACCCAACTGAGAGTAATTAACACATGTAATTTGGTTTAAATGATTTTATGTGCATAAAATCTGAGCAAATTTAGGCTGTTGTGAAACAAATCACACACTTGCCCCGTAATGGTGTTGCAGAGTTACAGAGAAAAACGTACATTTTATTCACTATTGAGTCAGCGGATCAGTTGAATGTTGTGAAGGAGGATTGAGTAAACAGAGTGAGCTTTTGGATTATGGAGGGAGGCTGAGGGAGGGTTTGCTTTAGATTGCGTGAGCTGGTGCGCTTTTACAGGGGCGCTACCACCAGGGATTCTGGACCTTATAAAATATATATAAAGCCCAATCACTACCTCAAATGTGCTGATATTTTAAGTTCCCCTTGCAGCCCCTCACCTTCAGAAATGTCCTAACATTTGAAACTTTTCTCTCCCAAACCGCACCCCTGCACTTTTTTACATGGTATTTATATGAGGTAAGCAACAGCTTTCATGAAGCAGACTTTCTCTGCATGGAAAGCTCTCTAATCAAATCTGGAAAACCAGATCTAATCAAGTTTCCTCTCTTGACTCGGAGTAAATATTTGTAACATATGGGGGGAAAAAAGAACCATCAGCATTTTTGCCACTGGTTGCACAATGTTTGAGTTCACCAAAATGGTCAGTATGCATCCATTTTCAGCAACTAACCTAACTAAGGATTTGTCTCAAAAGTCATGCAAAAGTGTTAACATCCCTCACTGACTGTAAATAAAGGGATACTGTTGTGCTTTTTCATACTTTACAAATATTGATCAGCGAAAATGTTGGATGTAGAGGGACACAAGACTTACTCAAATCGTGAATCTCCTTGAAAAGCATAACGAACATAAAACTTACAAAACAGGAACACCCTGCTCTGGTCTTTGCCGCTAGAACTTTTTGTCCCTTTCCAAACTTTCTGATTCAGACTTGGCAGAATTCCTGGATTTGACATTTCAAGTACTAAAACACTGATTGACGTAACGGCAATGACTTTGTAGCGTTGCAAAAGTAACAAACACTTTCTTAGAAAAAGCAAGTGGTCATGCAAAATGCAGCGGTTAACAGATGAGAAAAAGGAAAAGGAGAGATTGTTGTACTCCAAGGATTTTGTACTGATAGACGGTTTTGACAGTAAAAACTTGACTAATGGGTAATCCTTCTTATTATGTGTCTTGGGAGCTTCCATTCTTTAAAGGCCAACATTGCTTCACCAATGGGAGGGGTGAGCAAAAAGGCATTTGATCCTAGAATTTGATATTGCAAAATATTCCTAAATTTCTACACGCTTTACCTTTAAATAAATCATGCTTCCTGTGTTGTTTAACCTTTGCAACTATTACGCAGATATTAAAATGGAAAAAAACAAAGTATTTACACTTCATTAATGCCCTTAAAAAGAAATAATCCATCAGTACCCCCACATCAGACGACTGGAACTCTTCGTGTACATAACAGGGAACCTTTGAGGTGATTTGTCTGAGGCAGTTCACCAACAGTAACTGTGTAACCAGAAATGTGTGGAATGTAAATCTGCTTGAATCAACTTTGTGCGCTCACATATTCTCACCAGTGTTGCTTTATCATACGGTTCACATTTATTACTGTAGAAGTCACTTTTTAAATCATATTTGCTGTGGGTCACATATTTCAATTATGATAAAAATACAGATTGAACCTTTTTCTAACATTGCAGGTGCAAATCTTTCCTTGCTATTATAAGACCCTCTAATGCTGGGAACCGGGGGCCCATGCAGAGAGGAAGCACAGCATCCTGTCTACATACGACACGGCGTACTTCTACAGAACACAATGTTACTGTGGTGGCAGATGTGACGCAAGACCATCAACTTGTCAGTTTCTCTAGTCCAAGTCAAGTCTTTCCCAGAATTGACTGTTTGCTGTCACTCACATCCTCAAAAAACACGTCACACATGCTGACATGTGGTCACGATGATGGAAATGTCCAATTACATGTCTCTTTTGTTGTTATTTTTGTACCATCATAAACATTTCTATGCATTCTGCAGAGACGTACATATAAAAATCTAATTTAGATGTACTTTGTATTCCCCTGACCTTTTATTATGTTTAATGAAATAAACCTAATCTGCATATCACAGATTGTAACTTTTTGGAGACAGAAACTGATATTTATTACAAGTTTCAGAGACACTTCTCTGCAAATTTCCCCTCTTTTAACCGACTGTTTTCTTTCCACACAGCTCTATCAAAGTGTCTTTTATCCTTTTTTCCGATCTCAGCGTCAGCCAGGTCAACAGCAAATGTTTAGACCGATTCTGAAAACAAGAAGTGTGAGTCTGGCTGCTGGTGGTGGTGTTCAATCGTCCGCTCGCTCACCCTCGGGTGCCTCTGTGAACAGGGGGGAACCCGGCACCATTCCCAGAAACCCTCAGTGTGTGGGTGTACAGAGCGGCAGCACCGTGTGTGTGTGTGTGTGTGTGTGTGTGTGTGTGTGTGTGTGTGTGTGTGTGTGTGTGTGTGTGTGTGTGTGTGTGTGTGTGTGTGCACTCACATAAACGGTGTTCAAGCATTTATATACACTATAAGTGTGTACGTGCACGTATGTGTGTGTGTATGTGGTTAGTCCATTCAATTACACAATCTACCAGGCAGTCTGAATCACATCCGGTTTCATGCTGAAAATAACAAAACCACAGGGTGACAGAAAAGCAGCGCAGCAGGCAACCGCCCACAGGAAGAGAGGAATACACACACACACACACACAATAGATATATACATATACTGTATATATATACAAAAACATAATCAGTCCTGGTCAGTAAGATTTTTCCACAAACATCCTTGTTTTTTAATCAAAATTAAGAGTTTTCCTGCACTGAGTTGCATTCTTGACTCATTCAGATTTCAAAGTTAAAACTGCTCCTTCAGTAACTGTGACACATCTGCATGATGTTTTAGAGTAAAAGGAGGTATTTCTAAGATTTATATACTGCACATGAGTTTTTAGAATAAAAACAGAAACTAACAGCTGCAGTATGTTTGATCAAATTGCTTGTTTTCATCTTTGTTTCTTGGCTTTTCTTTGACTTTGTAAGGGATACAAATATAAGTAAAACTGCCACAAACCTTCTGTTGATGTGTGCAGGGCTGTATCCAGACTTTTAATGCTAGGGGGCCCAGTTTGGGCACCCATATATACATGAGTAAGAACTACTTTCCCTCTCTGTGTTCACCAGTCAAATCTAATTGCTTACATTTACATATCATGTATAGTGTTCTACTTCTGACGGATATGTATATTTCTTACTCTGTAAGTAAAACACAACTGTGGCGCTTGAGAAAAACAGAAACTTTATTCTGTCCTGCCGTTAAGAAGTGAAGTTACACCTCTGTCCAGGTCCTAGCAGCTAACTCATATCATATTTTCAATATGCTTCAGTGCTGTGTTCATCACTGTTTCAGAACAGAGTCTATAACAGTCTTTATTAGTATGTGTTACTTATTCTCGTGTTAAGACAAAGAGAAAAAGAGGTGGCTAGTGTTAATCATCCCACTTACATTTCTGAATAACTGAAAGAGAATTAAATATCAAGTTCCCCAAAGTTAGCATGAAGCTATGACTTGCTGATATGAGTAATATTTGAAGTTTAAAACAATCACATAAGCAGCACATTAAAATACAACATAATAAATAGCCACAGTAAGATGCAAAGTTGAGGTTTAAATGACCACGGACCAAATCAGGCGGACGGGATTCACTTCATGCAAGTTCTGGTAGTAAGCATCAGAGGTAGTGATATAACTCAGCCAGCTATAAAGGACTTAAGGGTGAAACCTGGGGTGGCCTACCAGTGTTAAATAGGGGCCTATGCTGCGTCCTGTCCCTGTGAATAGAGCTACATTGGTGATTTTGGACCTGCATATGTGTATCTCATATTATTTGACAGAAAATGTAGTGCTCCTCTTTTTAAACAGTCAAATGTGCCACTCATCAAGAATCTTTGTCACTTAATGTGTGGAAAAAAACTGTCAAAGCAGCTTGCAATATATCCCGTGGTCTCAGTGGTTTCAGACTGGAAATGATCAGTACAGAAATAATTACTCTCATTGTTGATGGTCCTGCTTGTTATTTAGGTCATTAAAAGGGATCAAATGTGAGTCTGTTTCGTAACCTGCCAAATACTCCTCACAAGACTGTCCTGTGAACTGACATATAACATTCAATTTAACTTTTAGTTGAAGTAAAAGTTTCACCAGTGCAACTGCTCGTCTGGTGTGATGCAAATTGGGGTTTTGCACGTTGTATGATTAAAATGGAAATAGAAAACACACAATCTGTCCTCGCTGTCCTCTGCAGAATATCTGAAAGTAAATCCCCGCTCATCAGTTTCATCAAGCTGTGACAAACGCACAGAGACGTTGGACACTAGATCAGTTTAACGTGCATTATGACAAGTCGAACCTTAGTGTCAGTTATAATGAAATGAAACACCTATAAACAGTGACTGTGACGTGTGCGAGCTTTTTGTTTGTACTTTATGAGGCAGGATGTGGTCAGCTGTGTGCTACATCGCTTCATAGCTGCCTCCCACCTGCAGAGATCTGCTCCTGCCACAACACAACACTCAACACATGAAGTGATCGCTCACAAAATACAGAAAGGGTCTGAAAAAGTGAACTATGATCCTCACTGAGAGTGTGAAAGGGGGGCAAAGATTTGAATTCTTGGCCAGAGTGAAGATCTCAAGAAAGCTGTTAATGCTGGCATAAACTTGGGGTCAAGTGCATTTTTATTTTTACAAACTCTTTTCAACCACGTCTCAGATTTCAAATCATATTTTGCAGGTTTAGCAAGCTAAGTTAAACATCTAAAAATTTTAAAATTCTTTGGTAAAATAATGGAGTCTGACATTTAAAAAAAGGGTGCAAAGATGCTCCCTTTGACCCTTTGAGGGCGATTGTTGTGCTCCCCAAAGTCTACCTCTTACAGTTCTTTAATGTATTAACTTGTATTATAATGTAAGAAACAGTACACTAAGTTTAAATTATACTCAAAGGTTTCAGAGTACAAAAAAGGTACTTTAGTGATCCTTTCTTGAGTTTGTGCTCTTGTGATGACATGAAGGGTCTTTAGTCACTCGATCTAGATTACTGCTATATGTATGAAGTCTTTTATTTTTTTCTTAATTTCTAATGACACCCAGGGCAAGACTGTGGTACATTTTGCAAACATATAATATAAAAAACAATCACATTAACATTAATTCCCACTAATCAAGCATATTGTGACATTGAAATCTGGTTATAAACACTTCTAAGACATCTTACTCCAAATCACAAGCAGTTACCAACTAACAAAAACATTATTATTTAACCACATTTCTCTGAAGTATCTTTCCAATATTAGCTGAAATCCTGATTATTCAAAGTTGGGCTCTTAATGCATGTTATTTTTTAGACAAAAATCATACACACTGCACTTAATGGGCAGTGTGATGTTAACATAAAGGTCTGGAGACATCCTAAAGTGAGAAGTTTTAACCTTCCTGCACAACAGAAGAAAAAGGAGTCTGCACCTGCTCAGGCACTTAGGCTGTTTAACTTAAACCGTGGAGGATAGAAGACCCCGCATTTTATTAATATGTGATTATGTCAGTGTTCCTGCAGCTTATCATGAAGGAAAGTGGTTTATTAGCATGGCTGGCTTGTGTTTGACTCCAGGTTGTGTCCTCAATTTTCCAATGGTGAGTGTAATGCCCTGCTCACCTCCACAGTCTTTTCAGCTTCTGTCTGTAAGATATGGCTCGGAAATCCCTGTTAACTCGTGAGTGGATGTGTGAAGAATCTTATGATGGAAACTTATTCACAGTGAAGATGGTCTAAAGACTGATACTGAATCAACATCCCAGAAAAAGTGCATGAAAAAGTGTTTTAGTGGCTTCCCTTCTATTGTGTAAAATATAACAAAGGGCCCCCTGGATGCCTAAAAAAGTATGTAATTTTTTTTTTCTCTATTTCATTGGTAAATAACTTTAATTAATCACTTGTGTAAACTTTTCCAAGCCTACTGTTCAAGCTGTTAAGGCTTGAACACAACTTTCTGTGCACTGCAGCCTCATGGCGTACAGCAGGTGCCCTTTTTATCTTGTTTTGCCCCTGCCCCTCAAACAGCCTTAATACACCGCTGCTGACATTATTTGGATGTCGTTAAACAGAAAAAAATACTTACTGTGCAATATCAACTTAAATCCATCAGACATCCAACCATAACTTTTTCTTTCATGTCCTTTCTAAATGTCTCTGCTTCGGTACGCTGCAAATCAAACCAAAGCAGCTGTCCTACAGCATTAGTTCACAGTCTGCGTCTGCTGCTCAGATTCTCTTCAGTGACGCATGTTTCTGTGTGTATCATAATAAAATCATCGAAATCGAAATCTGAAGACAATCGGGGTCATTGAGTGAAAACATACTGTCAAATTACGCTTGAATCTGATCGTTTCAGTTAATTTATGACACTTTACATTTTCCATTTGATTAGAAAAACTGCAGAGTGCTATGAGTGTGTTGCTTTGTCTCTATCTGTGTGATACTTTATCTCCCAGTGTGTCGCTGTAAAAAACGAAGCACATGCGCTTGTATAAACATAAACGGGTCTGTTTTACATAACACAGAGGGGTATGACCCTTATTTCCACTAATTATGAAACACAGCGGTCTCGGTAAGCTGTTGTAACATAGTTTAAGAACAAGCACACAGACGCTATCTGGAAAATGGAATTAGTGGGTATGGAGGTTTCAGAGGGAAAAATGAGGGAGTGAAAGATGGAGGGAAGGGGCTGGGAAGATAAAATGACCCAGGAGGGGAAAATAAGTCAGAAAGAGAAGGGTAAGAAAAGGAAAGAGAGCGAGAGAAAGAGAGAGAGAGAGATGGACTGTAATAATGTTTGGCCTTGGTCTGCCAGCAGGGTCCTTCCCCTTAAGAAGCCAACAGGAATGTGAGGAATGCTGCAAGAGAAGAAAAAAGAAAGGAGCAGAGGAGAGGGGGAGAAACAGAGGAGGATGATGTGAGGAAAAAAGTTAAGAGCGAGGAGAGGGAGGAGGGAAGGAGGGGGAAATCAGAGAATCCAGATGAAGATAGAGTGAAGGGGACAGGAAGATGAAGTATAAGTGGAGGGGGGCAGAGGAAAAGACTTATTATCTTCTGCAGGCTGAGTAAACACAAGAACAAAGAAGATAAAAATAAAACAGAAGGAAAATATCAGGCAGGAAAACCCTGAGCTATTTGTGTGTTTTTATTTTTATGCATGCAGATGTTTCTCTAAGTGCACCACCATATGTTTGTGTTTACACTCATGTGCAGAGCATTAGGGTGTGGTCAGCTGCAGGCTCCAGTTTTCTAAATGTATCTTTGAGAGTTTCTCTTTGTCTCAATCTCAGCCTTGCACATTTCACACCTGCATTATCCTACAGGAAATGTACTCTTTGCAGGTTTAAGTGAGAGTCTGCTTCAGTCTTGTGGCAGTCAGGAGATTCTCATGAGGTAAAGACAGACTGAGACTCTGCATGTCAGCTCGGCATATCAGATCATGTGTGACCTCCGGCTTCATGGAGGATGAAACGGAGGTTATTTAAAGCACCGAACATAGTAAGTGCAACTATAGAAGAACTAAAAGGCCAAGAATTCAGTGTGTAGGCACCAAACTGACTGATGACACTTTCATAGTGATACAGCACAACCCTGACAGAGGTAGATGCAGCCAGTGTACAGTCTCCTGGTTTGGGGGACATACTTCTGAAGTCTACAGATTTGGCCAATAACATACCAGCTTTTGAGGAGTGCCTTTTCAACCAAAACTATTTTCCTTTGAAATGTCTTTAAATTTCATTGACTTGTTTATTTATCGTCCAAAGGAGGACATTTAAGCTATTTTGACGGCCTTTCTCCAGAGTCACTTTCAAGCCATATTTAAAAACACATAGATGTAATGCCAGGATTTAACATAACATTTCTTTCATACAACAATTAGTTAGTCCAAAAAAGGCTACACAGGCTTTAAACTGTGTGAATCAAAAACATAAAAAGCAGACTCTGTTGTGTCTCTTTAAAGCTCCAGTAAGGAGTTTTTAGCTGGTCATGAAACAGACTGAAATTAATACTGAGCTCTGTCTATAATCGAAAGAATGCAAACAAGACAACTGATCATTTCTAAATACTTATCTTCAAAGCTTGTTACCACTGCTCAGGGTAGGTGTCAGACAAAGTGACAGGCGACATCTATCTGCAGGACAGCCTCCGTTTACATTTTGAACAGCAAAGACTCAGAGAGAGTGATAGGTTTGAAAATTAAAAGACAGCAGCATGAGATTGTTTTAATCAAAAGATAACTCATTGAGTTCAGCAAAGAAGTGACAAAAGATCCTCACAGAAGCTTTAAAGGGATGTTCTGGCATAAAATCTATTTAGGATCAAACACACCATCACACCAAGTTAGACACCCCCTCGAGAGATAAGTGTTGCCGACTATTTGCTTAAGAACATTTATGATCATTTTCTCATTGAAATGCAATCAGACCGAGACACTGAGGCAGAAGAACTCTGCGTCTACAGTGCAAAATGATTAATATGGTGAATATTACTTAAAGGAAATGATAAAGAAATGATCATAAATGTTCTACCTTGAGCTGTGTCACCCCACAGCAGTCCGTAATGGACTGGCCTGAGGTCTCGCTACAAACAAGCGGCTGCTGAAAGAGAGTAGGTGAGTTGTGTTTAGTCTCTTTGTTAAAGAAATCAGGCAAAGATAAAAAGATGTTTAGTGGCTAGTGCTATGGCTGGGACCCTATATGTACTGTTGATGAAGTTAGGTGCTGTTCTGAACATTATTTGTGGCTACAGAGTGGTGTTTTGGTTGAGGTTTGTGTGGTTCCTCAGACCGCTGTGTATTGCTATCTGCGGTCGTTACTAAAGTTGGTATAACTACAGTCAGCAACATTCATCTCTCGATGGCATGTCTACCTCGGTGTTACAGTGTGTTTGACCCTAAATTAATTTTACGCCGGAATATCCCTTTAAGTACTTAAAACATTGCTCAGGTCACCTTAGCAGTAAGACTGTCTGTGATAGGGCAGCACATCCTCAAGCATGATAAAGCACCCTGCAAATACTATCTGAGTTCATAATCATAAAAAAGATAACACATATATACTATAAAAATTAAATGTTCAGGTTCAAAATGGTTTTGAAGAATAAAACTAGGCAGATATAGACGGTAAAAAACAATATCAAACCGCTAATAAACTCCAATGAAATCAGGAAAAACTCTTAGGTGAGAATCCTCGTCTATTGTCAAGAACTTTAAGACAAACAGACTGTAAGCTCATAAAAGGAGTAAGATAGTACTACATCTAATCTACTCCCTTCAAATCTGTCTTCTTTTTGCAACTACAGAACAAATCCATTTGTAGAGAGATATGCCATCAACATGATGTTTGTCTTTACATCTCAGATACCCTAAAGCTCATGTCAGGAGTGTTTAGCAGGCGATGAAGCTGAGAGAAACTAAAGCAGCTTTAACAAACAAAGGCATCGGCAATGAGGCTGCTTCTTGACAGTTATTTCTGCTGCCTGAAACTGTCAGATAAAGCATCCTGCAGAAACACCTTTTTTTATTATCAAGTATTTCCACCGAAAGCTTTTAAGCAAGTGACGCTTTTGACTGCTGAGAGGGAGCAAGATGAAATATTCTGGTCAGAAAACGCTCCTTAAGATCAGCTACGAGTTGCTGTATTTGCGTCTGGGTTTTCCCTAGAATCATGTCAATCTCTAACCTCGAATTGGTCAGAAATTCTCACACATCATATGCTAACATACATTCATATACGCCACACATTTACATCATGGAAACCTGAGCAAGACACAAACATATATTCCCTTTCAGCCTGCACACTTTCTGAAATCACACAAGCATGTTCAATGTGTTTCCATGCTGTGTTTGTGTCTGGCCACATCGAAAGACTTGGTGACACGAGCGGTCCACAGACACACAGAGGATCGCTGACAGACAGTTTCCACAACAGAGCAACAGTGTGTCATGTGTGCAGTCATCACCTCGGCTGTGCTGAGAGGTGAAAGACAGGCCTGATGTGAAGTTTTCCAGGGTGCTCATGGAATAACTTTATGTATACTATTCAACAATTCACTGTAAACATTTTAAGAGTCAGAAAAAGCTTCCTGTAGAGAGCATGTAGAAGTTACTGGAGCAGACCAAACTTTTAGATTGGCAGTAGACGGTTCAGTCAGCTGGTTAATCGGTAAAATGGTTGCAGCACCATGTTTTCCAAAGTTTAGGATTACAAATAACTTGTTTCATGTGCCCAAAGCCTGAACACTGACCCACTTAGTCCATGGTCCAAAAATTAAACACATTCACAATCATTTTTTCTGTTGCTCTATTTCAGAGTGTTTAATCAATTAAACATGGGAAATATCAACTGTTGTGAAGCTTTAAAGTAGCTAGTGCTTGTTGGAAGAAAATTTAGCTCGAAGTTTGGACTTGTAACACAAATAGACTGAAAAAAATCTGCTTCTGATATGGAAGAAATGGTTTTCATGCTCTCTAAAATAAAAAGCGTAAATAGATAAAAGAAACACTGAACAAATTAACACAATCCTCTAATCTTTGACCTCTAACAACTTTTGTGAGCTTCTTTCTTTCTCTCTATAACAACAACAATAACAACAGCAAAGTTAAAGCAAAATAACACACATGACCAAACTACTGTACATGTTCATCAAATACATTCACACTAGTTGTTGTATGTCAACACAATGTCTAGTTTGAAAAGGGACAGAATGAAGCAAAGAGCTAATCCAGTCCTGCCTCTTCATTACAATTTAGAGTCAATAATCAATTAAAACATAATTCATCACCAGCTGTCATTATTCATGGAGACAATATGAATACACGAGTAATAAACTCATTTTGCTCACTGCAGTCATCTTCACAGAAAAATAAATCTCTTCAAGCACAACCACCAGTCTTCAAATAACCCCTAAGAGAACAAACAAAACAGACTAATAATAATCAACACTTCAGAAAATACTGTATAACATATATCACATAAATCTCTCTATATATATCTACATATAATACATACAGTATATACATAAACACTTATGTACACTGTGCAGTATTTATAAACATCGATCTCATGACTAAGTATACCCTTACAGTAAGCTTCTCTGCAATATACCTGTTTACATTTAATGTTACTTAATATAATTATTTGCACAAGTTAATAATAATGAGTGTTCTAACATACAAAATTAATATTACTTGTATGCGGTCATATTGTTTTAGTATAAAACCATATTTTTGTTAAATTACTGGTATGAATCTTTTAATACTTCTCTATTATGTAATTTAATAATAAATTATGTAACTTAAGCTAATACTTTAAGAAATGTGCACTCAGAATCAGTAAATTAGTGCAGCTGATTCTGTATGTGATCAGTCAGGCTGTGGTACTTTCACGGCAACAGATGTCCATAATACTTAGGTAAGCTGATATTACACAACTTTACATTTAAAGTTGAAAAATGATAAATCCTATAACTGATGTTCATTTTTGCTTTATGTGTTAAAATGAACCTGCGAATGGGACTAGGGATGGAAATTAGCCACCTGGATATAACCTCTTATATTTACATGTAAATGTTCATTAATACATATGGTCCTATAAAAAAAAAAAAAAGAATAAATAAATAAATCTGTTTCATCTGTCTCAGTTATAATAATAGGTGTGTTCATTACACTGATGAAAGAATATAAGCTATTTGGACTGTGGACAGTGTAAATGTCAGTGTGTCATCTGCATACGCTGTCATCCAAGATGCTGTTAAGATTAAAATAACCTTAAATTTTAAATGTTTTGTCCTGATGTAGTTATGTTTTGTTTTAACTGCACGACATTCGACAGTCAGAGCAGTAATTCGGGGCAGCAGGTTATCATAGAGCAAGCTCTCGAATCTTGACAAGTGTTTTTGTCTTCCTCTCACATAAGACTCTCTCTTTAGAATATGCAACATTCACATGACAAATCCAGATTAACATCTTATTTCAAGAAATTACAACTGAAACATGAGGCCTGATTTGCTCTTAGTACTCACTAAAGCAGTGAGAAAAATTTACTCACCAAGTTTCTTGAAAAAGGATGTTTTTTTTTTTTTCTGATAACAGATAAAAGTCAGGGATTAAAATTTAAGGTTGGTGGTCTGAGTGTTTGATCTGGTTAAATTGAAAGTGAACTGAGGTCAGCCCCTGTGACAGCACAAACAGAGTGTGTAATGTCTGTGTAATGAGCGGCTGAAGATCCTTTACACCCCGAGGATGTTTGGAGTTACGGCAAGTTGTTTCAAAACACTGCAAGAAACCATAGCAACCGCAGGAAAATCCCAGGGATATCAACATCTCACACAAACACTCACACACACTATCTACCACTGACACACAAAATGTCAAATCAAATCAAAACTCACCCCTTAACACCCACCATTCTGAACAACAACAAGCCTGAGAAGCGTGAGTGTGTGTAGGAAACACCCAGACGGGCCAAAAATAGCTACACACTCTCGAGCTCCCCATCTCTCGCTTTCAATACCTCGCTCTTTCTCTCTTTCGCTCACTCGTATGTCTCTCTTTGTGTCATTAGAAACCATGGAGGGGGAAAAAAATAAGTTAATGTTCCCATACGGAAAATATCACCCACTTAAATGTGAGAAAATCAGACTGAGTGTATGATTGAGTGTACAGGGACTATTTTTGGTCAAACTGCTGCACAAGGGGAAACATAAAGCAGCTTACAGGAGGGAAAATAAGTAGGTTGAAATTTCTCTGTTTGTCTGACACAAAAAAATGAACCAGGAGAGTCAGACATCCCATCAGAATATGGAGCCAAATGAAACAGTAGCTCAGTTATTCAATGATTTTCTTGCAGGTTTTAGATAATTTAACAATTCAAAGCAACAAATCCTTATTCTACTAAATATTCCTCAGTATTTTTACATTTTTAGACGCTGTCACACCCTCCATAACTTCACTTTTGTCTAAACCAAGGTGGCAACTCTGTCACTGTGTTTATTTTAAGGACACTCAATTAGGAGTAAAGCAGGGCTTGTAAACAAAAGAGAAATGGGCTCCAGAAAAGCATGTTTACTGCTCACTTTTAGTAACCCGTCATTCTGCAAGGTTAGACTCTTTCAAACACATCTGATTGCAGACTTTGATAAATGAAGGAGGTATTTTGGTGCACACTCATTGCTCTGACATCTCCAACCTGAGCTATTTTGACCTAACTAAGAGTGAGTTTCCAGGGAGATCCTGGTATTTTTATAACCTGGGCTTTTTTTTTTACTCATTTTGAGGTCTGAATTACTGAGTGCGGGTCTGATTACTTCACCCAGCAGATGCTAAACAGTGTGCAATAGCTGCAAGAACTCATTGAGGCAACAAACCCCATGTTTAGTGTGCAACAACAAATTGAAGACGAATTCAGTTTATTATTATTAGTTAATTTGATTTTCAATTTCAAACCAAAAATAAATAAATAAATAAAATAAAATAAAAAAGAATCTCAGTATTTGTTTCCAAAACCAAAACAGAAGATGGACAAGGATGAAGTGCATTACAAGTGCACAAATCTCCTTTTTCATATGTATAATAAAACAGCTCAGACATCTCACAAACACATTTTCTGTCAACCAATCAAAGCAAAACTTTGTACTCTGATTGTTTCCCCTTTATTAGAGAGTTTTCAGTGTCAACAGATCACAGCACAAATTTCTGAGAAGGGCCTCACTGGTCCTGCCATCCTGGAGTAAATATTTGGTGACACTTCAGGTTGAGCAATATTGTTCTCAGAGGACCACATAGAGGACAAAGTGGAGACAGAGAAATGGCCATCAATCCCTGACGCAATATTTTTATGTTCCAAACAAATACATTTAACACAAAACTGATCCTTCTGCAGTAAGTTATTAGATGTAGATGTAGTCCATCCCTGTGAACCCAGTTTTCTGGGAGGCTTGGCCCATATTCTACACAACAGAGTAACATGACATTATTAACCTCTCCTCTGATTTAACATTACAGTGCTGCAGGTGTCAGAAGACCTATTTTCTGTTTAGTTATTGTTTAAGGTGGAGAAATACTTCTACTATAGCTCTTCATCGGCATGTTTTATTATTTATTTTACTGTTAGTTATAAAAATCAAAATCATTTCATGTTTTCTTGCATGATTCACAAAATAAATATCATGCTCTGTTAAAAAAAAAAAAAGGGACATGTACAGTGAGGGAATAAATCGAGTGGGGCTAGAGTAAGTAGCTGGTGGTCCTCTGTTCAATCAGACACTTTGCCCCCTAGTGGTCATTAGCAACAATGCAGCCCTGAGGTCTTCGAACACCATTGCAGTGTCTTTAAACAGAAGGGGGATGTAACTTTAATTTCACACTCTGTCTGCCTGACTCAGATAAGATACTGCTAGATAAACTTTATTGTCCCTGCAGGGAGATTTATCTTGGCTGTTGTCACCCCTGAAGCGAGAGGATGAAAACAGCAACAAACAGCAGCCCGGGATGGAAACATTACCCAGCTATGATCACACACTATAAAAAACACTTCACACACTCTCAGCCTGTCAGGTCAGGACACATCAGGTGATCATCTCTGCTGTCTGTCTCTGTCAGCGGTGATTGATGAAAGTGAAGTGTCTCACTCGAGAACTTGTGTTTTCTCTGCTGTTTTCAGTGAAAGGTTACACCTCTGCTCTCCGCTCGGCCCGCTGTGGGAATTTTACACAGAAAAGAGAGCGAGGGAGAGAGACAGATGGGTTTCCCTTGCAGGATATCCTGTTCTAAGTTGAGCTGCTGGGCCCACTCTGACCTCCTCACCCCCTCTTGACCTCTGACCTGCTCATAGCTTAGGCTCACATCTCCATCGTTTCCTAATCGCCCAAATCTCTTCATTTTCTTTCATTTAGCCCAGACCTCTTTGCTTTCTCTCCCTCCTCACTCCTCGATCATCCTCACAGGTGTCACTTTAATTCTTCCTCTTTCCTTCTCCTCTTTGTTCCTTTGTCTGCCTCCTCTTTATCTTCTGCCAGCCTCCTCCTCCCTCATCACACCCTCTCGAGATTCAGTTTTCTCTCATTAAAAACTAAATCACAGCAATCATACCTGACTGGATGAATTCAGTCTTTTTGGATTATCAGACATCAAAACCAAAGACAAAGTTATCTTAACTTTTCAATTGATCAAATGTGAAGGGCTAATAATGGATAGTCACATCTGTCTGTAATAAATCTGTGTTTACCTTTGAGTATTTTGATTTAAATTTCCAGTTTTCTCTGACAACAAATCCAAAAAGCAAATTTAAGCATTTTTAGATATTGTACTTATCTAATCCAATAAAATAAACTTGGGAGCCAAATGGAAATGGAGCCAAAGCAGAGGTGAAAAGAAGTGCAGTACCTCAAGTGTCCACTTGAGGCTGGCTCTAAAAGCCTAGAAATCTCACAAATATCAAAATGTCCATTTCTACATCAGAAATGCACATTCACTTCCTCGCACGAAAAAGTGAATCTGTTCTGGAGATACTTAGACATAAAAGCTAATGCGGAGAGAGCAGCAGCAAAGATATGTAGTGCAATCTGCATAACTGGTGTACAGCTTAGTCGACTGGCAGGGCAATATGATGTAGCTGTTAACCAGAGGTTTAAGGCCCACCTCAGCTCTGATGCTTGCTGTGTTAACCAAATATTAAGCTCATCTGAAAGTGCAACACCTGATCTTCATCAGCTACGATCAGCTGACAGCTCAGCAGCTTACTGTCTATGTACCCCACAAGTCTTTGCTGCTGCTCTCCCTGCTTTAGCTGTTAATGTGTGGATATGACAGTGGAGGGAGGTGTGCTTTCCAAGTACACACATGGGAGGATAGGGAGCTCTCAGCTCTGCATCAAAAAGTCAATTCTCATTTACAAAAAGGGTTCTGTCCAAAGTTAGGGTCAGTTCGTGTCAGCAATTTATGTATGTAACTACCATTATTTGGCCTCACAACGCCTCAGCAGAAACCAATGTCCGTGTTTTGAACAGTCCATACTAACTAACTAAAAATGAGGCAATGTTGAAAATTGTTTGGAAGATGATTGACTAATAACACTGCTCGGTATGTGTACCGCAAATCTAGACTTTTATTACTTCACTTTAATCTTATTTCTGTGACCTTAATGGCGTTTTTGCATCACGGTTTCAGCTACAAAGCTACATGGTTGAAGATACAATGACCGTCTGCAAGATCATCACATTAAACTCAGGTTTAGCTGAGTTAAATATGAAATAAATTTAAAATGAGGCAGTGATGTATGACCATAGCATTATTTTCAAGAAGATTTCAGAGTTAAAGACAGGGAAAAATATTGCATAAAGAAAAAGGTGTATTCAGTAAGTCAGCTTTGGCTCTTGAAACTTTCTCTTTTCTAAACCCATCTATTTTTACCCTGACTAATTCCACTCATTGTGCGGTGTGTCAAGTGCTAAAAATCCTTCATAATACTAACTGTGAACAAAGAGGGGAAAACTGTCAGTGAGCCTGACACTGTTCACAGCCAATAATTTTCGAAATGTAGAGCAGTTTTGTGGTTTTTCTGGAGTGTTTTGCCATGATCTGCATTATGAAGGACACCAAGCATGCCATTTATTAATAGTGATTTGGTCTGACCCTTTTTTTTAGTTAAAACATGAAAGAAAATCATTGCCTTGATTATAAAACTCTTAATTAAATAAATATACTGTTCATCATCCCTTCACTTTCTTTTTATGTCAGCCTCTCTCTCTCTCTTGCTCTCTCTCACCCCAGCCCTCCCACCCTGTCGTAGAACTGGAATCCATTAACTGATGAATGGTTGTTTGTGTTTTTTTAAGCTCAACAGCGCCCCCTCTGGCCTCCATGGCCAAAGAGGCAGAAAACAAAACATTAGCTGTGATTAGAGGAATAATTAACCAATCGTCCTCTGACCTCAGGGCCAACCCTGAGGTCAGAGAGGCAGAGAGTGGACTATTTCCCAGGTGGTTTCCCATGAAAACCATCAGGCAAGCAAAGATATAGTGAAGTCATTGTGTGCAGACAGGTGACACACACACACACACACACACACACACACACACAAAACACACTTTGCTATGGCTATTTCACAACTTTAGTGCACATCTAAGAGTGTGCTGCTGCTGCTAGCTTGTGGTTGAGGATCCCTGCAGACCGAGAACAGGGTTTAGCGCTGGAAATCAACACTTCCTGCTTCCTGTGGCGAGGGGAAGTGCTACCGTCGCTGTCCCCTTATCGCTGGATACACAGGCAGCACAGAGGGAGGAAGGCAGACAGGGAGGGAAGAGGAAGAGGAGAAGGAGGGTGGTCGAGCAGACAAAGGGAGACGGGTAGAGAGGAAGATATGGCTGTGGCCACTAGTTATTTATACTGTTTGGATGTACTTTTTCTCCTTCTGATAGAAAAATGAATCAGTGACTGATAAAAGAAAGGATGACAGTTTTTTGTCACTCTTTATACTCATCTTCCTTGTTATGTTATCCAGCTGTCTCCATGTCTCCATGAGAAAACAGATATATGTCGTCCATAAGAGTCTACTCTATTTTCTGTTCACCTTATTTAAAGTTGCATATCATTCATCATACACACACATGCCCTGTAAACAAAGAGACATATCATCCACAGTGTTATTCCCTCAATGCATGACTTTAAAATCACCAACTTTACCAACAATAATGGGATTGTTGGAGTTCAAACTCTATCTCTCACATAAAAAAGTTGCAATATGCTGCAGAGCAGTTCTACTTAAATACAGGCCTACATATATGACTCAAGCATTAATGACACAATTCACTTGTTTGCATGCTCGGTTTAGTAATGATCACTGTTTTTTTCACTGTTGACCTGAAATGTTAGTCATACACCTGCCGATATTTTTAAAACCATAGTCTTTTCTCTGCGTTTCAACCGTCCCTGAATAAACAAACTTTTAGGTGACTTAAAACAGTTTAGCAACAGGCTCAGTGAACATTTACACCGACTAAGTCCTGTTTTAAAGAAATTTTACTGCGTCTTTACCTTTTTTCGATGGGGCTGCAGCTTATTTTTTCCTGCTCCTCTGCCATCTGCATTTTGCACCTGATGCAAACGAATGCACAATGCATGCAACTTTTTTTTTGCACATCCAGCTATGCACCACCATTAACAATAACACTAACTGCACTGCTGCAACCACATTTTGGGAGGACCAAGACTTGATATGAGCTGCATCCAGGTTTAACTGACTGATCAATAACAGTAATCTGGCTTTAATTTTTGTGCTGGATTCCACTCTTAGTTTGTATTTTGTACGTATTTATCTGAATGAAATGTGCCACAACAAGTGTGTACGTTATATGAAAAAACAAAGTATATTATGTTGGCAATTCACAATTCTCTACTCTCCAGATGTAAATGAGCACAAACGATAGATGGTATCTTGCAGTTTGGCGAGTTTTGTCAGCATTTTGATCTTCTTGTTTGTCGGCTGTGTATGGTTAAACTGGCATATAACAACGTAACTGGCCTGATGTATAACCAAAACAGACATGTGGAGGGTTACCTGCATAGGGAACTAAAGAGTTGGTGCTAACTCTGCTGACCTTAAATACAATCACAAGTCACCATTGTTTGCTTCCAAACTCAGCCATGCTGAATAAGTTGTTTTCAGTTTTGACCATGTTCTGAGTCTTTTTTTTCATTAGTCAGTTAATCAGAATTTTAGTTTCTACTTGAGTAATGTGTAAATTAGTTGCTTCAGAACATCTTTTCTTCTTTCATGATTACCATTCTATGAAATGAACTGCATTTTGCATGCTGATACAAAAGGAAACAGTGACAAATATCACAGAGCCAAGAAATTCAAGGGACACTGAAACAGGAGGAAAATCAAACTATGCTGCACATTTGCAACAAGTTTGCAGGCTGCAAACAAAATGTACCCACTCTGAAGGAGAACAGCGCAAAAAAGAGACAACGAGAAAGACAGAGGGAGAGGTGGGGGAGAGAGATGTTTGGGATCAGGGTGGGGAGGTTTTCAGCACTTGGGATTGTCCCAGATGGACACAAGCCGCTCCCTCCCTTTATAAACAGCCCCTGGCTTTCTAACTCCCCTCTTCTCTCTGTCCATCTCCTTTTCTTCCCTTTAATGCCCCTCGTACAAAACTCAGCTCCCTCTCTGCAGAGCTCCTCTGCAGGGGTTTGGGGACTCTCACCAGAAAATGTGAACAAATTGAGACATTTTGTTTGTTCCTATTTTTCTCTGACAATGTCATCTGTCCCCCGCAGACAACAACACCACATCCCCCTCAATCTTTGCCATTTCCAAAGTCAACACACCACTAAATGCCGGGGCTGACTCACTTCCACTGTGGGTGGTTCTGTTTCCAATTTTCTCACCACCTCGGCCACCCCACCACCTCTGAGGGAAAGAGAAAACTTTTGTCCTGATAACAATAAAGTGACCAATAGGACGGGCAAGGACAGAGGACATTTTCCCAAAAGGATGCAGGTAGATGCTGAGAGGAGAGTGAGCCTGCTTCTACCACTTCTTTTGTGCCTCAGGAATGATTAGCCCTGTTTTCCTTCCTTTCTTTTTTTCTGGGAGAGCGTGGGAGCGCCCTCAGAGTGCTGCATAGAAACCACGGGGCTCATAACAACAGGAGGAAGCCGGTAACTTGAGTAACTCGGACCGGGCAGAGAGGGGGGGATAAGGGGAAGAAGAAGAAGAGGAGGAATGGGGAGCGAAGTAAAGAGAAAGACAGCAAGGGACTGAGGAGAGATTCACATCTTTACATGCCTCCAAATCCTGGAAACATGAAATCTGAGCTGGCATGGATAAAGACTTCATTTACAAATGACCTGTTGCTTTGCAGACAGCTTTCCCAGCATGCACACACACATTAAAAGTGACAGATAACACACACACACTCATCCCTCGACAAGCCTTAAACACAATCTGGTGACTTTCTCAAAAAAAGGTGCAGCCTTACCCGTCTGTGGTGTGAACATTCAGCATGAGGAGCGTGTCAGAAAGTCCCGTCAGTCATGTTCGCGTACAGTTCAGTCCAGAAAGCGCCGAAGAGGACACCCAAAGTACACACACATGCACACACACAAAAATACACAGGCACAGTATCAGTTCCTTCTGTCCAAGTGTTGAGAAAGTGAGGGGCCGCAACAAAAGGCAACAGAGGGGAGGGAGAGGGAGAGGGAGAGAGAGAGAGAGAGAGAGAGAGAGAGAGAGATTAACCTCCTTGAACTGACTGCTGGACTCTCTCCCTCCCTCACACACACAGAAACACACACTCACACACACACAGTGGGTTTGCCGTATCACTGACTTCTTGTGTTTTCTCTCAAGTGCCAAGAGGAGGAAGGGAGTCCAGAGAGTTTGTGTGTGTGTACGTGTGTGTTCACGGTCATGGATGTGTTAGTGTTACAGTGTGTGTGTGTGTGTGTGTGTGTGTGTGTGTGTGTGTGTGTGTGTGTGTGTGTGTGTGTGTGTGTGTGTGTGTGTGTGTATTTTAGGGTAGGAGGGACCGGCTGGCTGGAGTCCAGACACAAGCAGCCTGGTAGAAAAAGACAATAGGAGGAAACACTATATCAGAAGGAGGCAAAATACCAGCACAAAAATAATTAACAGACAGTGAAAAACAATGACAGCCAGAGTGGAAAAAACACAGGCGGCTGCTGCAGCCGGCACTGAACAATGATAGTGGAAACAACAAGAAGACAGCACTTTGAGTTGTCTCTACTTTAAAACCAGGAAAACAAAACTCATGTTATGCAATTGTTGTTACTTATACTTTTATAACTAAAGATGATTAGTTAGTTCAAGTTTTTTTCCATAACGGAGAAGAAAGGAGTCAACACTGATTCATCCACCCATCCACCGTGAGTCATTGTCAACCAATGATCCAGCTTCCTTATAGATAATCTCTGTCATTGGTTTTGTAAGCAGATCTGGTTTCATAGCTTTCAGTTTTACTTTTATCCAAAAAAACAAAAAAATAACATCTATCTTTAAACCAAATGTTTAAAGTCCCACTCCAAACATTTTTTTTTACTATTTAAAGTGTTCTCAGTGGTCTTTAAGTTGTGATAACAAGTTCTTAGCCAAAATCACATTACCTGTGTTATTTTCGAGGACTTTTTTTCTGCAGAGTTCCAGTAGCTCATTAGCAATTCACCTCTGAGTCGTGGGCGGAGACAGCGCACTCTGCACACTCGTCTTCACGCTAGCTTGCAGCCTAAATTGCCAGTTTAGCAGAAGAAGCAGGTAACATAGGAGCCATTCAGCTCTCGGACACTATGGTCTTTAGGGACACGATGAAAGTGAATATCAAAATTAGCTTTCTTACGAGCATTGCAATCCGCTAACACACACACTTGTTCTGCGATCATCGTCTCTGCTTTTACGAGTGTGGCCTGCAAAGTGGGGCTCCGGGGGCAAAGCGTGGATTTGCTACTTAGGAAATCTCACTGAATCTGAGTCTGTCGTTTGGGTCTGCCAGAGATTCACAGCGACTTGAATGCAGAAATACTCAGAAATGCAATTTCGCACTTACTTTTCTCATGATATGTCCTGTAGCATTAGAAAAATGCCATATGAACATGTAGAAAACAAGAAAAATATGATTTTCATTGAAGTGGGTCTTTCATGACATTGATGAGATATTTATTAGTACTTTTGTCAAAAGACTTCATTACCTGCATGCGTGTTTATCAGGTTTTGTTTTGAGAGCTCCCTGCCCTTCCTATGTGCTGGAAGGCCAAGGCCGCAGAGGTAAGAGCCGCTTCAAGTGGCCACTCAAAAACTTGAGCTGGTTTCACTTTCAGGTTGACTTTATCTAAAAGTGCAATATAATAAACCAAAGTGTTACTTGTACTTGACTCAAAAGCACTCATAAAAACACTTAAATGTTAGCTTCAAAATACCTTACTTTTTGGCCTCAGAAAGTTTCAGTCCACATAATTCATCAGGTGTAGAATAAGTAAAAGTTTGAAAGACTGTGTCCTAACTTTAGAGTGATCGATTACTTCAGTTCTTTTTAAGGTTGATCCAACACTTAAGTCTCTTCAGAGAAAAGACAAATATAAGAGAATTAGGTAATCCAAATAAAAAATGTGGGGGTTGTCTTCATGAGTGTAGCGGCTTTGTTCATTTCAAACACATCATTTTTCAGAAATGACTCTCTTACTCACTTGTGCGCAATCAAAAGCATGTAGACACATTCCCTGTGCAATCCCCGAGCCATGACTCCCACACACACACTCACCCACACACACACACACACACACACACACACACACACACACACACACACACACACACACACACACACACACACACACACACACACACATTCTCCCGGCTGTAATCATATCTAGTGATAAGAGCAGCTTCCCCCAGCGGTCGCTGGCTCTCAGACTCAGACCACAGTGTCTTACAATGGCTCTGTATGCTGAGCCTGCTCTGATTACACACACAAGGAGCCGCATTACACCCTGCTAATTCAATTTCCTCCCCCCCGGGTTAACCTTTGTGTGTGTGTTTGTGTGTGTGAGTGCATGAGGAGGAACTGATTGAGTAGTTATTGAAGGGAACAAGCTGCTTGCACAAAATCTGGCGGAGAAAATAAAAAGGTGGGGGTCTCCGTCAGTATGTTCATCAGTATAATGGCTGTTTGTCCAAGTCTGGAGGTTTCTGGACATCATCTTGGTTAGGACTTTACATCCTGCAGTGCAAAGTTACCAAAACCATCTGCATCATTTTACTGGTACAAAACGTATTTTATCTGCAAATGTTGTTTACATCTTTCTCTCTTTTTGGTCCATCAGATCTGGATCCTTAATGAACCCTGTGCAGAATAAGAATATTAGAGTAGTGTCAGAGGATCACTTTAGCAATAAAAACTGATCTTTAACATACTAAAGATAAATGTATTTCCTGGCGTCTTCTGCATTATGACTTTCATATTTACTTATGCTTCTGAAAACAATCTCTCTCTCTGTTGGGAAAGTAGGATAAAACTTGAATGCAAAAGGGTCCCATATTAAACCCGTTTTAGCAGGTTCACATAGGTCTCAGAACAGTCCATTTGAAGTTTGTTGTCTAAAAACCCATTTTTTTCCTGGACTTCAGCCAGCCTTAAAACTCTTGCAAGTGAGCTTTACCGAGAACATGCCTCCTTCAGCGCAAGCCACACCCCTCCCCGTCCCTCTAGAGTGGGGCTGTGGCTTGCGCTACGGAACCATGTGCTAATGTTTACACAGAGGGCTCTATTTTCTTGCTTTGCCGGATACGTGGCGCACGCACAGCGTAAGTCAGGTCCGCCGCGCCGACAAGGCGTTCCCAAGCACAATTTGGTATTTTGGTGAGCGGCGCAGCCCGGAGTAAGTATCCCCCCTCCCTAACTCAGCTCCCCCCAGCGGCGTAAGTCGTAGCGAGGGAGGAGAGAGGGCGTGGAGTGGGTTTAACACAGCCGAGACCTGTTTTCACCAATCACATAAGCTCCTCTCCTTGCCTTAAAATCCGCCACCGGCGAGGCGTATTACTATTTTCATGAAGTAGTCAAAGAGATCAAGAGATGTCTGAAGACAGTAATGCCACAAGATGGCGACAGAAGGCAGCCCCTCAACATGTGTCGCTGTAAACGCTGCAGAGGGCGTCCTGCACACTCTCTCATATGAGCACAGATGGATTTGGTGTGTGTAATGTTGGACCCACTGGTAAGACAAACACCCTTTTCCACAAATAAAGACACTTACATAAAGTTGCACATATTCAAAACTCATGTGACAAAGGTGGGTTGTGCACACAGATCACAACATTAACTCCAAAAATGGCATTAAAATCGGAACCATCTGTGCATAAAGGATGCATCGCGCTCCATGGCCTGGCTCTTTCTTTCATAGATGTTGGCATATTAAATAAATTTGCCTCACAAAACTGAATATTATAATATTCGTGTGTAGACTTAAAGTAAATAACTCATCTTATCACTGAAACAAATCATCTGTTCAGCCACCACAGCAGCAGCTGCAGCAGGACGGGGAGAGGACACGGAGACATGTCCAGGTCGAGCTGCGCGAGAAATAAGAGGAAGAAGAAGAAAGAAAAGGAGGGAGACAAATTAAATATCTTGTTAACTTCATCATGTGTGTTTATTTACTAGGTATTTAATTTAATTTAATGTGGTTTCAGCTGTGTTGATTCGGTCAGGTTGTGTGTCCGAAGGCGTGCCAAACGTGCTCATCAGATCAGATATAGATCAGAATATATCTATAGATCTAAATGTATGTGCTGACTCAGATTATTAGTTGTTGATGATTATTTATTGCACTGAAATGTGCCTGACACTGTGGAAACCTGCCGGTGAGGCATGGGTGACGTATGCCGATACGCCGCCGGTCTACCAAAATACTACTAGACCAGCTGCGCTCCGCCTGCGCTGAAAGCTGACCAGGTTTGAATCGGCGAGCCTTAAGCGCACTTCACACGCCACCGGCGAGCACGAAAATGTCCCTGCCCTAGCTGATTCTGTCGACACCTCCCTCTGCCACGCCACCACGCCCATACCAAACTGGCTGTACGCCATGCGCCGCCAAACGAAAATACCACTGCGCGGGGTCCGCCACCTTCCGCTGCCTCACCTCCGAACATGAAAATAGAGCCCAGGGTGTTAAGTATGGCTCCTAGAAGCGCTGTTGTCCAGCCGTACCAGTTTGATCCAGAGTCTGACCCAGAAGGAGAGGCTTCTGAAGAAATTCCAACCATGTGGCTGCAGCAGGACATTTCTGGATGGTTAGTTTCAAATATTATGTCTCGATATTTTTCTTTTTACTTTGTTCATGTGTTGGTACACAATGACTTGAATGTAGCTAGGTAACATTAGCTCAGTTACTTGAAGCTCTTTTGGTGAATGCGCAGTATTGTAAGTATTGTTATCTCTCTTGACTTTGTTCTTGCAGTCTACAGAAACAGACTTCTGTTTCCTTCCAACAACAGAGCAACTGCCTTGCTTGTACCTTCGCCATTGAGCGAGGGCGAAAAGTAGGGTCTGCGTGGAAATTTTTTTGGGGGGTAAAACAAACATCTTGGGCAGGGTCACCAACCTGGAGGGGAGGAGTTATTGCCGCCC